AATATCCTTCTCTCTTGCCACTCTACGTACAGCAGGTGTAGCCAAACTGAGAATGCTAGCATCTTTTGATGGTGGGGTGGACGGAGTGACAGGTTGTGGTGATTCAGGAGTAGAGGTGGGAGGAGTCGTTGGCACAGGCTCAGATTGGGGTGGTTTATCACCTTCTACAGCCATAGCATCGCCTTCATCCACGTCAATGTCGACCAAAGGTTGGCCGACACGAGCCATGTCATTGGCTTGGTAATGCAGCTTTTTGATCACACCGGAATATCGTGATGTAATCTCCACAGACGCCTTATCAGACTGAACCTCACAGATCTTGTCAAACTCCAAAACATCGGTACCTGGTTCTACAAACCTAGTAGACGATAGACAGATGTTAGGTGTATACAATTACAGGTCGTTTCATACTTGTACACATACCATTGCACAACCTCACATTCGGTAATACCTTCACCGATGTCGGCTAACAAAAATGGCTTGATGACCTGAGCTGCAACCGCAGAATGAAACTCGTTTCGTAGAGTGGGGGGTGATAAAGTATTATATAAAGCCGGCCGTGTCCAACGAGCAGGCTTTGAGCTAGTATGCAGTAATTTCGTGGCTATGCTTGATTTTCTAGCAAGCTAGGGTGAAGTATAATACGATATGGTGAGATATGACAGTTTACTGGAACGATGTAGTTGTTTGGTACCGATTTTTCTTACCAAGTGACGCGGAACGCGACTGATTCCCTATATGACGAACTTTTAGTACACATAAAGTATTATTGGACCATAGAAACCGAAAAGAGTACCTGGCGAGCAACTGTAGACGAGAACTTGAGCATCGAGCGTGTTGGAAAGGAGAGGAAAGTGCAAAAATGCAGCCTCTCGTGGGAAAAATAGCCCGCAAATTGAAAGGCCGCCGTGTGGAAATTGTGACCACCGTAGCTTCGGCTTTGGCAGGCACAAACTCTCACAACTGCTTCTCGCAAAGAATACCATTCAAACGTCATATGGGAATGGATTTGAAATAATAAGCATACTGCGGATGTTTATTATATAACAGTGCATTCCTTATTAAATCCGTGTGCATACACTCAGCTGAAAGCACTTTTATTACCGCCATTGATAACACGGAAAGCTAATACCATTGCTCTGATATGATCTCTTTTCAAATAGAAAACTTTATTAGGTTGATGACGGGCGAGGTATCTGCGAAAAGGCAGGTTGTGAAGGTGTTCGTGGAGAAATCTATTATTTTGCTTGTCGCTTGGCTTTATCGTCGGCTAGTGCTTTCTGGATCATTTCAGTGATTTCAGCGGTCTTTGTAGTGGCAATTTTAGAGCATCGAATAATTTGATCCATCTCCAAAGGTATTCCACCAGCCTTTGATAATGCACAAATTTCCTTATGGATGTTCATGGCTATGGTCATATCTCCTTCTCTAATCTGCTCTTCCAATATTGATGGATCCACAACTAATAATTCTCCTCCATCAAAGAAAGAAAATGAAACGCATATAGGGATATGATGTACGCTCAGTGGTACAGGGTTTCTTTGATCTAAGGAATGCTACAAAGCGAAACAAAAACCACTTAGTTTTAAGCAATGAAGCAGCTTTGTCAGGGTGGTTTGAACTTACAATAGTGACTTCCTCGCCTATGACGGTCACATCAGGGCGCCGAAAATGTAAAAGTGCAGTGATGGCAGCAATGCAAGCACAATCTACAAGGTTGCCTTCATGGTCGAAAAAGTGCAAATCCACGCGTATGGACCATACCTGTCACCAAAATATTAGCACCCTTTACAATTTATAACGTCACTTTAGGGTCGTATGGCTGAGTCCTCACCTTTTCGCCAGCAACAATACACAATCCTTCTGTATCAACCGCTCGGCTACGTCGTAAAGCCTTTTCAATTGTTCGACTAATGAGAACTTCCTCTTCTGAAGGGCTGTTGATACAAATATTAAGAACAGGCATTATGTACGTTTCGTAAAATCTTTTCCATCACGTACCGGCCGACTTCAAATGCAGGCGATGCCATTGGTGATATTTCGGTATTGAACAATAACAATCCTTCAGTTGGCTTATCTGCTCGCGGCCGTACAACCTCTGCACTAACTTTAGCAGATACTCTAGGTAATCCGAGTGAATAATTTTGCTGACGTTGGTTTAAATCAAAAGCATTCACAACAGAATGCACACGACACATACCTCGTTCGGCCTAATTGAACCTGTACATGACCGAAATCTGAGTGAAACGAAAGTTGCAGGGATCGGAAATCGTACGGTCGTCGACCATCAACACGAAGGCCTTCTTTGAGTGATTGAAGCACGAATTGCTTTTCGTTGAGGGAAGGATCGGCTTCTCTGACCATTGTATTCCAAGCGGTTCACTAATTGTAGAAAACTCGCTCACAATTTTTTAAAACACTTCGTTCTGGAGGTGACTGGTTTTTCCTGCCTTTCCGTTTTTCGTCCTTCTCAACACATGTCAGGCAACAAGTCCATAAAGCCGGATCACTCGGCAGAGCTGCTTGATTTCCCATCGCGCTCAGAAGCAATAGGTAAATTGGTTGAATGATCATTTCGTTCCACGTTGTCTTTTCTCTTTATTGATCCACTCTCAGCGAAATTGCTTTCAGATACCACAGAGTCTTTACAAAAGCCCAGCACAGACACTGCTCCTCCTACAATACCCCCACCTGAACTCAGGAAAACTTTCAAGATGCCAGTGAAGAGTGATCGTAAGTTAAAGTGCTTCATCTACCAGATTGACCCCGTGAAGTGGAACTAATGAAAATTTTGACTGATTTCATTTACCATAGTCATGGCACGGTTGCAGACATTTTTACCGGAGTTGGAGTCTGCCAACCGACAACTTGACCAGCAGGTTTCTGTAGACCCAAAGAAAGTTGATATTGAAAACGTGGATGATAACGAGCAATACATTGAGATGGTGAGTACATTACTATGGCTCATGTTGGCATGCCCTTTTTTATTCATCTTACTTTTGCGTAGAATTTGGGATTGGGAGTATTTGAGGAAAAGAAGCCATCAGCTTCTTCTTCAGACGAAGAAAGCGAGGTTGATGAGAGCATTATCATCAATCCCTTTTCGGCTGCCGTTGCAGATAAGAATCCAGGTATTACTCTCATGGATCAAGATCAGTCTGAGGATGAGGACAGTGCTAGTGATGAGAGTGCAGAAAGCTGCAGCTAAATTTATATTAGACATTAAGATAACCAATTAACTGTATATAAAGCAAGGATAAAGAGCCAAGGCGATTGAAAAAAATTATAATGTTGTTTATTCGCAGTGTATTTATCAATACTATGTGCGCGGTTAGGAGAGGGTGTGGACATGCGTTCAAGGCTTCAATGAAGTACTACTATGATATCACAGGAAGAGATGGGAGCAGGCGAGTGTTGTGAAAGAAGGGAGTGGGATTCTATTGATCCTCACGTTCAGGAGGAGGACCGCAAGGCTGGACCATTTTCTACAAAGGACAAAAGGGGTTCATTAGTGGCGAAAAATCACGCAAGGCTGGGTGATCAAGAACTGAGATGTACCTGAATGAGGTTGAACTTAACTCGCGCTAAGCTCTCGTTCTCAGCGACTGCAAAGTATGAGAGCATGCTTTGGTGACCTACAAATGCGGCGTTGGTATCTCGGTGCTGATTGACGAGCCATTCACTTTTGAGTTGCAATGAGAAGGATTAGAGATAAGTAGATCTACACTGATCAAATTGTAGTATGGCTTAACTTACTGCTTAATTGTATCAGCGTGACCAGTGCCAACATACTTTGATTGTACTAACAGGATAAAGAGAAGCACAGTGGTCAATTCATTTATGAATCGCAAAAATTCGCACAGCTACAGCATACTTACAATGCTCCAATTGACTGTTAATGTTCAGACGATCCTGTAAGTGTAGAGTTAAATGATGAGTATGTACTGTCAACTACAACAACGTGGAATACATTCGTACCATATTGAACGGAAAGTACTGAAATGATCTGGTGAAATCCCATTTCAAGACATTCACTTTGGAATATGAAGGAAATTTCGCAGTCCCCGCCACGTTAAATTTCCACATTGACTTAACGCTGGTCATTGTTTGAAGCTTGCCAATAACAAAGATCCCCTTCTTTAATCGGGCAAGTTGCAAAATATGTACTTGTGGAAAAGCTACAGTCTATCTATAGGTACAAGAAAAGTCGATGGTCTAGTGCTGCCATCCACCTCGTTCAGGATATACATGAAATCCATTACGTTCGAAAACAGCTCATGATAGTGCTCAAGGTAATTCCACTGTCTCGCCCCCCCCGCTGTTTATAAAAATGGTTGAACACAACGTGTAATCATTCGCTTCGCTATGGAAAGTGCGTGATATTTTATCCGACAACTTCAGTTAGCGAGCCAAATAATTTCTCTCAATTAGCTGTATTGGTGAAATGACGTTCCTTTGAGAAAAAAAGTCGAGGCCATCTGTACCAGTTACTTTCCTCATACGATTATTTAACCCAAGTATTGTGAATATTTATGCCTACGTCGAGTCAAATATTGACATGATAAAGCTGTTGACTCGGCATGTTAACGCAGGTTTAGAAAATTGCCACTTTAGGTAATTCAAAAGGAGAAACTGGATACGTCACATTCAGATCAAATGCACCCTCGATACTGCAGTTTGAAGTCCTCAACGTATTATTTTCTTCATGTCGAACAACCAACATCTTCCATTGCAAGCTAATCAGCCGCCAAATGACCAAGCACCACCGCAAGATTCCTTTGTGCCCATGAATATGCAGAACAATATGGCGCCACAACCACCCTCAACCATGCCTGTACCCCCACAATCAAGTATTCCTCTTGGCCAGCCCTCCACCGCCCAAGTGATACCAGACTCATCCAACCCTTACAACTATTCCGTCAACCAAGCTTCATATAACCAAGCTACCCCCGCATCTGGCTTGCATGAACCAATCTCCGCAGCGCCTGGTGGCACTAGCGATACGGATCCTCAGCTCACAAAGATCACGTCAAGCTTCAGTTTCGCGACTGGTTTCGTGCAAGAAAAGCTAGGGTCCATCATTGGAAGTGACGAGATGGTGCATACTGGAAAATCTACTCAAGATAAAGCAAATCAAGACTGGGCAGATGCTGATAATAAGCGAAAGAGTGGGGTGCCTAGTCGAATTGGTGGAGAATACGAAAGTATAATGGGCACTATCATGCAAAAAGTTGGCTACGTGGCTGGGGATCCAGAGATGGAAGCTAGAGCAGCATTGAGAGCCCAACAAGGCCGAGAAGAGGTTTCTAAGGTTACAGGAGACCGACCATATTAGACATGGGGTTTAATTTGATATATATAAATAAATGCAAAGGTGATTCGATAACCAGTGTTCATGTTGGAAGAGTTTAATTGATGCGAGCTTGGTTGGTTGGGGGTTTGGGGGCCGTCGAAAAAAACAAACCACCGACATTGAGTGAGTGGCAGTCCCAGCCCGCCTACTACTCACCCCCCTTCTGACAGCCTATATATTGCCCCCAAGGCAATCAGCATCTTTCAAAATAAAACGCTTTTTATCCATGTCCAAAGAACTCGCTAGCAAGGCCGCTGGCTCTGCCAAGCAGGCACAAGTGAACTCTCGCTCTGTCGCCACTGTCCCCAGTGTCAGAGGCATGTCCAGCAGCCCACCTCTGGCCGAAGCAGGTAATCAAAGAAACATCACCCATTCCAATGTTTGGTTCCACTCCATGTTACTTACCTTGTCTCTACGTGTAACGTCTTTATCACAGCCTACTCACCTCTCACTCCTATTACTGCCCTTCCCAACAAGTTGGACCCTGCCGATGCTGAACTCAAGACATTGATTGATAACAACCAAGCTTGGGCTGACGCTGTTACCAAGGAAAAGCCAAACTATTTCAAGGAAATGTCTTTGAAGCAAGAACCCAAGATTCTCTGGATCGGTAAGTTGCTGGTAACGAAAGCACCCTCACGAAAAGTGACCCACGTTTGTTTACTTTTTGTGTTTTGGGGGCAGGTTGTTCCGATTCCCGTGTTCCTGCCGAACAAGTTGTGCAACTTGGACCTGGCGAAATCTTTGTCCACCGTAACATTGCTAATGTTGTTCACCACACTGATATGAACTGTCTCTCTGTTCTTCAGTATGCTGTTGAAGTCTTGAAGGTTGAGCACATCATTGTTTGTGGTAAGTTACACCTCATGGTCAACATGAAATACACGTGTTTTCTTTTTCCTAACTTCAACGTAACAGGTCATTATCATTGCGGTGGTGTCAAGGCATCTTTGGGAACAACGCAATTTGGTTTGATCGATAACTGGCTCAGAACTATCAAGGATGTCTACAGAGGTTTGTGTGTTCGATCTTGTGAAGCTGACACCAAATCGGAGCTTTTCCATACTGATGTTATCGATCTCTCTGTTAGAACACCAATCTGAACTTGAAGCCATTGAAGACACTAAAGTTCGTGAACGTCGTCTTGTCGAACTTAATGTCGTCAACTCTGCTATGAATGTCGCCAGCACCACCATCGTACAAAATGCCTGGCAACGTGGCCAGAAGTTGGCTGTTCATGGATGGGCTCACAACATTGAAGATGGGTAAGTGGAGGTGTTGAGAAAGAGTATGTATGTTCTATCGACAGCTGTTAACTGATGTATAAAATTTTTTAAAGCCTTATCAACAAGCTCAACTTGACTTTGAGAGACAACAGCTCGCTTGAAAAGGTCTACCGCCTTTTCTAAATCACTCACCAAACGCTGACTAGGGTAGATAGTGAAATCAATTGAATATGTAAAGCCATCAACTAACCACCCATATAGCTGATGATATATAAAAAGAAAATTACGAGAAGATAAATAAATAAAAAAAAAGGTGTAATCCTGAATACAGGTTGTAACTGCGTAGGGCCATAATTTTCTTTTATGATTTCGCTTCCCGCGCTCTTTATCTTGCTGGTTTTTAGCAAAACTGCGAACAAGCAGTGACAGATGCCCGACGAACCAGTAGACATTTATGACATTTATAGTGATTCACTCGGTTTATTCGGAGAATCTTCTGTAGCCCAAGGTGCGCAAGATTAAGAAATTGACCATTGTATTCAAAGTCCTAAACTGAACCCGCTGAGATTACAGGTACACCAGGAGAATGCATAGAGGTTAGAGGATGCAAGGTCTGGCTTCCGGATGTTGGAGGAGGTTCAGGAAAGTAAACCATAGCTTTATTTTATTACGATTACGTTAATAGAAAAGATCATTACCAACTCATACCAAACAGTATCTCTCATGTCCCATTATCTTTGGAACTCATCACTCGTTATGGCCGAATACATTCAGGAGGAAAAATTCCAGATGGCGAACAAGACAGGTAAGGGAAATTTAAAACAAACGATCCAAAAAACCAGTATCCAAAAACAACAAAGTCTCAAAGCCTTACGCCCATCTCCTTTGCCAGTGTTAGAGCTCGGATCAGGGGCAGGACTTCCTGGGATACTGGCAGCCAAAATGGGAGCATCGGTTTGTGCTGCGTTTAATTCTCGATTTGCTTTTGTGCAATGTTTTAACATGCGCAAAAAGATATTTGTACATCTCCGAGGTCGTAAACAATAACCAACTTTCGTGTAGCAGGTCTGTTTGAGCGACTATCCTGATCCAGTCATCACCGCTAATCTTGCGCACAACGTGAATGAAAATTTCCACGACCCAGCTCGATGTAAAGTCGTACCACACGCATGGGGAACCGATGTCAAGGACTTGTTGGAAAGCAACTCTGGAGCTCTTTTCGATGTTATTCTTTTATCAGATGTGGTATGGATTTCTGACCAGCATAAGAATTTGCTGGAAACCTGTACAAAAACGCTTTGTTCTCATGGCAGAGTATACTTGACTTGTGGCGTGCATAGTGGTTGGCAATGTGTGGAACGTTTTCTTCAATTGGCACATGATTCATTTGGTTTAGCTCACAATCTCGTAGAACGAAGAACACACCAGTCCTGGGGAGCACATGCTGCAGAGGCAATCGATGATATTGCGCTCAGAAACAGGACAATCTTCGTTTATGAATTCTGGTATAACAGATGATAGTACACAAATAAATGATCTGTTGTAAATTCGCGTGATATGGACAACCATGCGGTATACTGTTTAGAGCAATGAGACAGAAGGAGAGGAACACAGTCGATTCTTTTGACCTTCCTAACTCAGGTGGTAAGAGGTAGTGTTCCGTTAGTCATAGGCACGGGTAACAAAGTCAGCTATGATCAGCATCTCTGTCTTACCTCTGCAATGTAATGTTATTTATTTACTCACAGTGACCGTTGCTTAGTTCAACACTAACCCAACCCATCGATCGGCTTCATGTAGGAAAATGTTCAACTTAATTTTAGAGCGGTCTTCCTGGATAGGGCTTCGAATATGGCTTCAAATACATGTTGTAGGTCAATGTTGCATTGACAAAGGTTGGGAGCATGTATGACGAAATGGCTCATACTGGAAGAAGCAGGAGGTGGCAAAGGATCCCAGTCAGTGGTATTTTGATCCCGTGGCCATAAATCGATCGGCAGCTTACCTCACCTAAACACTGCCTGCGACGGAAACAACTTGATACTCGTCTCTTAAGATTTCCAGGACAGCTAAGCTTTCCTGGTTATTATTTTTAATGTTTTTTTTTTGTAAGGATGGCCTACGGAGTGTGTATAGTAACGACATGAAACAATTCTTTTTTTTATTATTATTATTATTCAACAAATTTTAAAAACAAAAACATAACGAGAATAGAACCAAATGTGCGAATTTGGAACGAGGGTACTCTTCATTACATATGTGCTGCGTGTGTACATTATGATTAATTGCCGCTCGTCACATTGAACGCAAAACAAGAAGAGATCTTTTTGTTTGGGGGCGGGACCCAAATTCATTTTTTCGTCCACGGCTTCATGTCTCTTCCTGCTCAAGGGTATGGAAATGTTTAGAAGCGACATTCCATATTATCCAACGTCAGTTCAAACAGACCAAACTCGCGAATGCCTTATAAGGGAAGGCAAATGTGGAGCGGGCTCATAAAAGAAGTTGTGATGAAACAAAAGGAGACACATCCGTCGTGAGAGTAGTGTCAAGCCATGAAAGATAGTGGGAAAAAATCAGCGATATGGGTCTTGTTACCTTTGTAGCCGCTTTCTCCTAACTCGGCCAAGTGGTAGTACACGGGGAGGTTTCTTCAAGCAAAGAAACTTGGATATCGAGTGTAGTCAGAGTGATTGTAAACTAACGAGATCGCGCTATCTCGTCTCATGGACGATTCATCATGAAATCTATCTAGAGTATAATATGGTTGATAACATGGTTGTTTTGAAAAAGGGGAAAAGAAGGATGCAGATGCATCATAAGGTGGAGTGCTTGAGCTGGATGAGCTGGATGGAGAAGACACTTCCGCAGTGTTGTGGTCTTGAGACTCCAAAAACACACCGCCTGCTCGGATAGTGGAGTCATGGACCATTTTCATGTGCTTGGTTAATACCGTTTTGTGAACAAAGCTTTTACCACACTCTGGGTTATGGCATTTGTATGGACGTTTTCCAGTGTGAATGCGCCTGCATTCAAAAAGTTAGTTTAATAGGATCAAGTTCGGTAGGGTGGCGCGACCTGTTTATTACCTGTGCCGGGCCAATGAACTGCTATCACTAAATCGTTTGCCACAATCCTGGTACTCGCATCTATGTGGGCGTTCACCAGAATGTGTCCTTATATGCACAGTCAATGCAGACCTCTATAAAGTGTGAAGAATGCACGGACTGGTTAGGAAAACGCTGAGTGGTCATCTGGGTATCATAACATTACCGATAGCATCATGGGCTGTTTAACCATACCTGTATGAAACTTTTGCAACATGATCGGTTTGGGCATATGAATGGCCTGAAATACACACGTCAGCTGCATTGTAAAGTAGTGTACGAGGAAGTGAATGTTTACCTTTCGTTAGTGTGAATTCGACAATGGCGCGCAAGGTCCGAGCGTCGCCCTAAAGATTTGGGAATAATTGAGTGGATATAAAAAAAATTTTTTTTGGGATTTTTAAGTCTAGTAATCATTATATGTATGAGAATTTTTAGAAAATACTAACTAAACGCCTTCCGACATCCGTCAAAGGTGCATTTGAAAGGCCTGCTTTCGCTTGCAGGTTCGACATGAATTAGTTCTAAGATGTCCATGTTAGGGTCTTCTTTGAGTCAGTGGGAGCTGCAATTTCGAACGGTGTAGGATGAATTGGTAGAAATAGGTGAATATACAATAAAGTTTGGGATTATGAATTATAAAAAAGAGAAATGGGAAAAGGGGAGGGCAGAATGGAAATATTAAAGAGAGAGGACCACAGAGACTGAGCTCTTTTAGCAAAAGGACGGCCCACATATTTATAGGAAAGAGTCAGCAAGCAGGTGAGCATGTTTGTATTTCACACTGATGTTTGCCCAAAAAAAAATAATCGATCGTTACCTCATATCACAAAACAGTCCATACAAATCCTGTAAGTGATCATCGTCTGGATAATAAAAAGTAGCCATTTGGAAGGAAGCAGATCAGCCAGTGTAGTATTTAGATTGATTCACGCGTCGTTGTGCAAAGCAGGCTACACGCGGAAATGACAATGTCGAGAATCAAATTGAAGCGGCTTTGACATTGTTTACAAAATTCGCCATCAATAACCTTCTTTGCTTCATGGTAATAGAGTATGGCTAATGAACGGACGTGTACGCATTTGTTCTTTTTTCTTCTAGGATGTCCGTTTGGACGTAGGCACACGAGCTTGACCTCCGCGAACACCCCTCTTTAGTATCTTTCAACCAAGTTCTTTGCTTCGTTTTTTGCTTACCCCCTCGATCATCTCCCGCATAGTGTGACCTTCATTACCATAACTGCTCTTTCCACTAGAATTGTTTGCATGGATCTTCGATGCTTTCAATCTGTTGCATGATGAAGCCACCACCACAGTCAACATAATTTGTCACAACTACAAGGTTTTTTTTTTTTTTTTGAAAATGTGGGGGGGGGGTTTATGAATAATAAAGCGAACTCTTATGCCTTGATGAAAATCAAGTACTATTTCATCAGCAACACTCGATCACAAGATTGATGTCCAAGCGCTTCTCATCCCAACATGGAATTCACATAATTGCCAAACTTTACCTTAGTATGACCTGGCCAACAAAGGAGGCGGGGGAAGATGATATAAGTATATTTCTGATCATTTCATTATTTGGTACATGAGAGTGTCCACGTCTAAAAAAATAATGATGTAAAACCAACCAAAAAAATGGGACTACTTTAAACGTGATGTTTGGAAACAAGCTTCCCACTCTGGAAATATACAACTTCTCACTGCAGATATATATAAATAATAATAAAGAAGTGACGGTGTCAATATTAATGCTAAATTCCGTTTTGCCTTTGTAGACGTACTAGTCATCGCATATCTGTATATTGTGAAGGGCCTTTAGGAGCCAAATTTTTTAAAAATAAAGTTCTAAGAACAGTGGGAAGCATTGTTTGCATCGCCCCTAGGTTGGCAAGTTATCGGAGCGAAAGTCACTTGGCGGGATAAAATCACTCTTGCACATTGGAAGGTAAGAGAAAAAAAAATTCAATCGCTTTACTTCTAAGAACTCAATAGAACTGAGACTGTATCATCACCACTCGAATTTCACATTCTAACGTCTTCTATAAATAAAATACTACGACGATCCACGCGGGGAGTAGGCAACCATGAGTTTTATACAATGTAACGAAAGGTAAATCAAAAGCAGACCGGGGTGGGCTATTTCTAAGCACTATGATACAGAAGCCCTTCAAAGCTCATTACATTTGACTTTTACGCATAACATTACGTCGGATACGTAAAGCGGAACTACCAATACCTTCATTCGCATCAAAGCTGACATAGGGGACTTTGCGCCACGGTACACCAGTAATGCCGGCTCCTGCACCATTACGGCTATCAAGCATTCCCCAAATCGGTAATTCTAAATCTCCTTTCACAATGCCATTCACTTTGGTTAAGGTATCAAAGGGGAGAGGTGTCAAGATCATAAACCGAGATTTTGAAACGTCAACGGTCCGAATAAGTCCAAGTCCGTAACAGTCCGTGATCTTGGGCGAGGGGTTTGCGCAGCTTGCTGGTGCGCGAAACGGAGGTGCTATGAACCCGCTTGGCTAAAATAGTAGATGTAGTTAGCAATTATGATCGGAAGGGTGAAGACGTATTGGTCAAGGAGAAGAAAGGGAGGTCTAGACTCACTGTGTTTGCAGGCTTAATATTTTTCATATTCTCATTTGACAGCTCGCTGATTAAACCAACCACACTTCCATTCAAAGCAAAAAGGAGCTGGCTGTATTTGATCTCCTCGAAAAAGACCCATATACCTTGGAGTCCGACAGTCCAGTCCAAGCACCAAGGTACTCTCTCCACCAATCTGGTCTTGAAATCCCACCACGCATTTCCTTCTGCACGCTTGCCCATGTGATTCATGTGCATATAAGAGACAAGGTTGAGCATTCGATGATCCGACGGATGATATCTCTGAGCCGTGACATCGGCTTCAAGGTCATCCATTAACGAGGTGAGGTACAATATTTTAGGTAGAACGGTAGTTTCTGATGAGGGCGGGACAACAGACGTTATAAATGATGGTGGCAGGTTACGTGAAGGTGTGAGAGTTGACTGGAAAGCCAAAATGAAGTTGGGTGCTGCGGTATGGATTAGATCCATGAGAAGATCATAGCCAAGACCTTTGATCCAGCCATGTGTGTTGATGACCAAAGGAACCGGTTTTTCGCCCAATGCAGTGTCATTTGCAACTTGATCACAGACTTCTTGCCTCCAAGTTGTTACCAATTCATTCAAGCAGGCCATGTAATAATCAGGGTCATCTCGAGGAGTAGTTGAACCAATGAAGTAGCGACGCTTGGCTTCAAGATGTGAGTTCGCAAAAGGTGGTCCTAGCAGAGGTTTGTCCAATATATAAAGAGAAACGACACCCTGTATTCCAAATTCCGGCTGTCCAATATCGGCCTCTAGGAATGCTATTCTTGGGTGCTTTTCCAGTAATCGATTGACCATGTACTTTGAGAAAGTGGATTTCCCCATTCTCTTACTTCCACATATCAATGCCACTTGTGCATCTTCACTTTCTTGACTAGCGGTGAGGAACTGATTCACACCAGAAGTCCAGGATGGGGGAATCTGCATGGCTTTAACATTAGGTGTAGGTTCCAATATTGGGCAAAATCCAGGAATGGCATTTATGGCTTGAATCGAAGGATCGTCGGATGTTGGTTTTGCGTCCTCCAAATTAAAAACACCTTTGAACAGCGGCAAAATACGCTCTACGTCAATAATACCGCTGTTACCTAAGCTCTTTACAGCAATGATAGTACTAAATCTTCCTGGTGATTGTTGCAATGTCGTTAAGGCACTTGTTAATTGCTTTCGGATAGGAAAAGACATCTTGTGTGCAATAGCCGTGTGTTGATACAATTGGGTATTAATTCTTGACTGGGTAGGCTCAATGCAGATTAAGGAGTGCGTTTTGGGTGAAAACATTGGTACGAAACGTACAGTGTCTGGACACTCAAAGTTTCTCAAATTGCTTGGAACCGGATCATCACTGCCAAACACGGCTCCAATTGCCGAATAGGAGCCCAAAAGAGGCGCAAAAAGTGCTTGACCTTGGAAAATAATATTCTGGAAAATGGATTTTTAAAAAAAAAATGAGATGCGAAACTTGTATTATCAACACAGCGAACATGGCAAATACTAATGGAAATTTTATTTTTACCTCATCCTTTTTCAAACCAATAACAAGGATTTCATCGTTCGATTTGGAAGTAACTTTGACAACGTTGCTAGGGCTTGGAGTGAACAGCGAAATAGCCTTTGGATCATACTGTGCCCTTAAAATTTCAAAATTCATTACATCAGTGGCAAGAACGTAAGATCGCATAAATATTGCCACGATGGAGGTGCTGCCTTACGTTTTGACTTTTTCTGGTTTTACGCGCTTATTTACCGATCTGGCTCCTTTCGATTTACTGTTTACATTCTCTGCTTCCGATTCTGCGTCAGAAGGCTCGTTCTCTTCTATTTCAGAGTCCCAATCAGTCATCTGCTCTTGTTCCAGTTGCTGATCAATGTCATTATCCGTATCTTGTTGTTGATCGCTTTCTGTAGTGGCCACCAATGCAAGTGCACGTCTAGCGGCGATGGCACTTATAGGGGTTGCACTGTGAGCAGGTATGGGTGATTGTATCGAAGGCGAGCCTGGTGAGGTTGACTCTGCGGCTGCTGTGGAGTTGTGTTAATCTCTGGCTAGTCAACGTATTTCGCCGTGGAATGCTTAATATTTGCTTTGACCAAATACCTTTCAAATCGACTTCCTCCTTTTCTTTTCTTGTCGCTGATCTCAAACTTCTGGTGGTCTTCTTGTTGCTGTCTGCCTTTTCATCACTCTTTCGTTTAAGCATTTCAAATCTTGTAGGCTGAATGCTTCTGCATTAACACCTACATTGAGAAAATTTCAAAAAATTAAACTTTTCTGACTGCCTTTTTTTTTTCTCGCAGAGTCGTAGGCACGCTTCATTCATTGCGAGCACTTGATAGCCAAGCTTCATACGCTGTTAATTTGACTTTTGTCCTTTGCTATTTTTTTTAACAATTTTTCTTATATTCATCGACTTTTATTTGATATCCAGTGAATGTTTTTCTTTTGGTATACTGCGTTTTCACTTATCGCATTTTACAGTCTAGATGTCGGCAGCAAGTCTATTCCAACCAAGCTTTGTAGCTTCTCTACGGCAGGGAGGGAGTTTCCCATCATAACTTGAATAGTGGTCATTCCGAGCTTATTGGCGGATCGCAGGTTCATACCAATATCATCTAAGAAGATAGCCTCAGAAGGCTCTACTCCTACTACTTTGCAAGCGTGTTCATAAAACTTTGGATCCGGTTTTCTAGAGGAAAAATACAGGTTTATCAACACTATCCCTGGTTATTGGTATCCGTAGCGTCCCCTTTCCACTACTTACCTCAAACCTACTATCCTCGACTCAATGAACTCATCGAACTGTGATCGCAGCTCGTCTGGAAGCTTGCCACCGAGAGCTTCAATCTCTTTCAAGTCATCTTCTGGGTACTCAAAGTTATTTGTCAACGCAGCAACCTTATACTTTCCAGATTCTATGAGGTTTGCACTATACATGTGAGTAAAGCCAGTGCTAATGAATGGAGCGCACATTACTCACAATCGACATCTTACCTTTCAACTGCTTAATGGCATAAAATATTCTTTCATCCACAACAGATGTTTCCCGCATCATACTTTGAAAGAGTTCCCTTCCATCCACCTTTATGTCCGGAATGATAGGGATATCTGTTTTGAAAATTCAGTTCTCTGAAACGGCATCGGCATTACCTACTTATTCGCACTCACCTTTTCCTTGCTTCTTCATATACTCTCGGTAATGCTCTTTGTTCGAAGGATGAGACAATTGTTCGCCAAATGCTGCATAAAAGTCGTGTAGCTTTATTTCTCCTCTTTCCAATTTCTAGACGGCCCATGTGTTAGTTACACGCCATCAAACACGCTAACTTTTTCATACACTTACCTGGAATGCACCATTTTCTCCTTGTTGAACGCTATTAATGACAAAGGCACATCAGAGATATATAAATCTTTCTTTCCTAAGAATATTACTCTTACATGCTCAGGTTGATGTAGTTGCGTGGTAACCCGACTTTCTTCTCATATCGGTGGATGCCTTGCATAGGGGATCCCACGCACACTCCACCTGATCTCGGTTAGTGAAAGGGTATTAAGGTACGCTTCAATAATATGTAAAATGTTACCTATGTCAAAGATTACTGCTTTGTATTGTGGAGCCATGAGGTTGTAAAAAGTGTGGAGAAAGGAAAACGGTTAAAGAAGAAAAGATTAATGAAGCTTGTTCAGCAGATTTGTGGCCTCAGCCAATAGATTTTGACTATTTGCTTTTTTGTCAGTGCCTTGAGGAAATAATTGAATGTCCGGTTTCTAGCCCGAACAAAAAGAGCTGTGCTCTTTGACAACATCAAAGAAAATTTTACAACAAAAATATCTTTTTCTTGAATGGTACCACGAATAAGCGTGATAGATAATTTATATCTGTAAACGGCTATAAATCATGCTCTTGTGATTTATCACAAGCAAGTTCCATAGTCAGCCGAGCGAACACCACTAAGAGCGCCCGGTAAATTTTGGTTCTTAAACAATGAAATCAGCATCTGTGAATTCCACGATCATGTCGTATACATCAGTCGCATTTGCCTAGTACAAGATACATGTATGCTGCCGAACTCAATAAAGAATATCGGTTCACTGGCTTCTGTTCTAAGACATAGTTGATAAATCCTTGGGAGGCTCGCATTTAAAGAAGGCATCAATCACCTCCATTGAATTTAAGTGCTATACGCTCTTACGATGGCTAGAGGTGTCGTTTTAAGGAATTGGGTCGTGCTGCCATCATTTGACGCGCGTCGCGGCATCAATTTAACCGATAGAGTTTTTTTTATCTAGGATACATTGCGAGCCATCTATATTTCAGATCATAATGTGCATGAATAGGGCACAGTCATAAAATTGCTATGCTGCTTCTCTGTCCTGTTTCGTTTGAAACGATTCTATTGCCTCTTCAAAAAATAAAACAATCAGTTCAATAACCCTAGAAAATTTAATTTTCGGGTGTGACAAAGAGCGACAAAGATTATTATTAAGTTGAGCGTCCTGTTTGCTGGCAGTCTTCATATCACCTGTCCCGCACCTTCCACACAGTATAATTCAAAGTAGAGCATGTCGACGCAGAGGCTTCGAATTCCTCGAAATCGACCCTGTGAAGGTAAAAACGAACGTTTGTTACTACATAGGGCATGGTGCTCTAGTGCAACCATGTCATTCAGTTGCCAAGCCAAATCCTTCCCTGCGCCAAGGTTGCTAATGCTCACCATTGAAACGGTTTTTCTCAATATTTAGAATGCAGAGAGCATCGTCGAAAATGTTCTGTACAGGAAGGCGAATCTCGATGTAGTCGATGTATAAAGCGAAATTTGAATTGTATTTTCAAGGTCTATCGGCCCTCAAAGGGCCACAATAAGGATGACGTTGATCAAAGCGTTTTGGGAATACAAAGCAATGTTACATATCTTGAACAGCAAGTATACGAACTAGAGCTTGCTTTACGAGAGGCTAGAGCATCTTTAAATATCTCTCCAATTGATACGCCTGTTAAACAAGAGCAAACCCAGTTCTTGCCATCGCCATCGAGTGAACATACTCTTCAATCCTATAGCGAGCAATATATATCACCGCAATTCAGTTATGACGGTATGCTGGACGGTTCTACCAGCTCATTTGATTCGACCAGTAAATGTGAAGACTTGCACACTGCGGTAACGCCGTATCATAGTAGTTTTACCGACAATTATATCTACAATACCCTATCAGACATCACGACATCCAGCCCAAACTTGTCGACTTGCTCGCCGTCAAGCCAAGACCTTGTGCTGTTTTCACAAACATCAACAAGTGCTGGAGATGAACAAAAGAAGGAGGACCATACATGGAGTATTTCTGTAAGTTACAAAGCGCTATTTTCGCTTGTGCTCCATCCCATCTTACCAGTGTATATTTTTATATTGTCATAGATGACCAAAGATGGCCTGACCATCAACACTAATGTAAAGACTGTTCGAGACTTGGTTTCGTGGGGATTGGAGGCAATCAAAGTCCTCAACCTAGATGCATCAGTACAGCCATATCCAATCAGCTTGTCAGAGTACAGTGGCAACATCAACTTATCGGTTACAAGCAAACTATTGGGAGTTCATGAGCTTTATGCAAAAGTGATTCGAAATGGTCCAAAAACGTTAACATTCGATACAGGAGTCCCGCCGCGACCACCTCTTTTGGCAACAACCCCTTACCAAGTCATTACCAAGCTGCTCGATACCTATTTCAGTTGTCACAATAAGCAGATGCAAATTCTATATCAACCGGCTTTTTTGGAAGACTTCCATAATCGAAGTGATATATTTTCATCACCAGTGATTATGGCAGTATGCTCCTATGTGTGTTTGAGGCATTGTAGACATACGCCAAATTACTCTGCACAAGAACTTCGAGAAATGGGAGAGTTCTTTTATAGCCTTGCAAGAGAACTTCTTGAAGATATCTTTGACGAACCAGAGCATCGAGAAGAAGCAATGACCACGCTGATTTTCATTGGTATGTTCCGACTTCAAACTCTTCGGGCTTCTGAAGCATTTACTGCCTTCACCTTGGCTTATACAATTACACTGGATATGTACGACGAAAGAATGAGCACACCAGTGGTTGATGAACAATCTTGGATACAACGTGAAATCTTTAAGAGACAATGTTTCTATGTCACTCTTATGGAGCACCACGTATACCACCTTGCTGAGAAGAGTTTCAAGGAATTTAAATTTCTATTTGCGGGCGAAAGTTTGGAGCCATTGCCTAATGAAGAGCCAGATATGGTGAAGTTAATCCAATTGAAAAACATCTTCATGAACTGGCTCAGCAACGAAAAGATGATCAATGCAAGGGTATGTATCGAGATGTCTGAAATTGGGCCATGATTGAAAATTTTGTTACTGAATTTGTAGTCATTAGAGGGAAATTTATGACCTAGACACGTCAGATGTTCCCGGCACACTTTCGCTACAGAAATACTTTGAGTATGAGGAAATGATGATTCAAATTTGGAGCACCTTACCGATGGACTTCAAAATTGTTGAGCACCCTGATATGGACGTAACGGATGAGCAAGTGATCAATGCTGATCGAGCTCAGTTGCAAACGTTTATCGTCGTTCATACCTGGTATATTCTGCTCAATGCGCTGTTTCTACCAAAGCAAATATTTTCGAGAATGCAAGAAGAACATGACCCTGGAGAAGGAACTTCCTCTGGTCAAACGGAATTCGCCAATATGTTTGTGCAAAGCATATGGGCAAGATCTTTAGACAGATGTTTGAAAAGTTCGTTGATCGTCATCAAACTTGCTGAGCAACAGATTAACCATAATATTTGCCGTTGTAAGTGTCAAAGTTGCCATTCATCGACAATGGAAATATCGTAACACTAAGCATTGAATCTTGTTGCAGTTGAGCCCCTTTACCTGCTTCTGATTATCGACTTGAGTATGCGGTTAGCAAAGGCAGAAATACGACCCGATATCGCACAGACTGGTCGGCAACATCTCGAAAGATGTGTCAATATACTCAAGGCCAGTATGTTTGCACCAATGCATGGTGTGCTACTCGAGGAAGGCAAAACGATAGCCCATATGGATTACGAGCCTCCTCCGATCGCACAAGGTCTCAAGGAGCAAATAGAAAAGATGCTTATGCCTTTTGGACTTAGTGTATGATTTGTGCACGTCTGTATTCTTGTAGTCAACACACCGGTTTTAGATGTACATGTCTTGTTTATTTTGTAATTTTGTTAATTTTTCTTTTTATACTTTTGTTCTCTCGCTTTCTGCTACGTTATCTTTGAAAGAATAAAAACCCCCCAACGAGAGGTTCAAACTGTTGTTTTGTCTAAATTGCAAAAATCCTTAGGTGGTGTTGTTTGTGGATAAAACACACCTTACATTAAAACACAACACCAAAGCCAAATGTTTGCTTGATAGAGTTCCAGTAGTATCCGGTCCAGTTACGTTGAGTGACTTCCTCTTCACCAATTGGAACACCAGTTTGCTTGACAATCAGCTTAGTGGAGTCAGAAGCTTGATCAAAAGTGAAAGTGACTTCAGAAAAGTGAGATTCTGGCCAAGTGCTAAGACGCCACTTTTGCACAATCTTCTTGTCAGGAACCTATGCACAACGTAATTTTAGAGTATGTTGATGGGTAATGCAATTCCTGTTTTGTACTTACGGTCTCTAGAATCTCGCCAGAAACGTTACCGTTGAAGTATTCAAACTTTCCTCCAATTTCACGGGACATCTTGGCAGATCCGCGAGTCCAGGCAGCAACACGTTGCGAATCGAGTAGCGTCTCATAGAGTTCATGAGCAGATGTCTGGAATTCTACAGCCTCTTCCAAAGAGGTGGTATTTACAATTTTTCCACGCTTGTCGGCGCCAGTGGTGGAAGCACCATCATGGCCCTTAGTGGCAGCGTTGCTATCCTTAGCAGCATGTGCCACTCGTGGTGGAGGAGCAGTTCCCAATTGCGAAGGATCAATGTAAACATCAGCTCCGTGGGCTATGAATGGAGGACGGTAAGTCATAAATAACATGTTCGTCATATGCGGCGGTCTCTGATCGATATTTACCCTTGACCAAATCTCCTGCAAAGGTTGACAATTTTTGACGAAGTTTTGCAGCAAGTTCCTTACGAACTACTTCCTTAATGGCGTGCTTTGCATTTGAGTCGTCGGTGACGGAAATTTCGAACTGGTAGCAAACAAAATACTGTCAGTCTCCATATTCAATTCATCCAATCAGTAACAGAAAAATCTAATTACCACATAGTCATCAATATCAGTATCATGTGCAACTTCAGGAATGAGAATGCGACCTTGGGCCTCAGTACCATCGGGAGCAGTACCTATACCAGACAATTTAATTATAAATATGGAGTATGACGGTCAACAGGTGTTCATACAATGCAAATTACCTTTCCATTCCAACTTGATCTCGACATCAAAGATAGTGATAATCTTTCCCTTTCTCTGGTTCAGGTCGACATCGCCAGTGACCTCTGTGACCTTGCTGACGCTGGTTTGGACACCGTTCTTCTCTGCTTCGATACCAACAAGTTCTTGCTGGAAATAGGTCTTTGCCCAATTCAAGCAGTTCTTGTTAACCCTGAAATTAAGAGGGAAGAATAATGATAAGTAGGCTTTTATGGAAAATATATGTGAAAGAAAAAGACCTACCAGTGCCTGGAGAAATCGCAATTGTAGCAAAGAGTAACAAACGATTTGAAAGATTTGGTTATTGTCAGTTGAAATGTACAGTAGTAAGCTAATGCTCAAGAATCTTGAAGCGTCTTCACAGCTGGTTTGTGGTTGGATTCAGCTATAACTTACCAGTTGTTAACGTTTTTCCAGTTGGACATGTACGAAGTTGATTGGAATAGCAGTATTGAACCTCAGAGTTCCAGAGTTTTCCATTAAGTGATGAAAGCGCGAATTGTCGGCTAAATCACGTGACTCGTTCTCTCTACAAATTGGCCATCGGAGCTTCGTTGAGAACTTCCCTCCAAGTTCACATCAAGGAGGTATTACTTATGAAGGGCAGTTAAAGGTTTTAGTGATCAAAGTAATTGCTTGTGTGTGCTTATCAGTAAGGATATAGTTATATTTAAACGCTTTACTATTTTCCATGCTTCTGAAGATATCTTTGTATTGGTTATATTAGTCGGTTTTCTGCCTTGCGACTATAGCTATGGGTTGGCGAAGCATTACGTCAATGCAAGCCGAGTTGATGCTTAAAAACAGTTCGTGATGATTTTGATCAAATTGTGAAAAGGAGATAGGAGGATTTTCTCATTTTTTATGCAAAGTACTGTGTATTGTATCGTTGAATGCTGGAAAATCTGTCTCCATACCCCACAAGATATGGCCACTGTCCAAGGCGACAAAAAGCCGGGCCCATCTTTGATGGCTCCTTGGCAAATCAAGCGCTCAATAAGCCACTTAGAAGCCATGTATCGATGGCTAGACACAGTGAGCCGTATTGTTGAAGGAGCAAAGGCTATTCGGATAAATTGAGGTATGACTTGGCATCAGACATGTCTCCTTATTATTTTGTATTCGGTCAATCTCGTAAATTGTTGAAACGCACCCTCTCATTATTCTCACTAGACTGTTCTCCATCACTTGAATGACACGCACTTTGGGCGACATAAAAAATGGGCTATCATAAGTGTAAAAAGGAAAGTTGAATTTATAAAATGCTGACTGTATGGTCAAATTAAGCAGAGAACTAAGGAGGATTGTAGAGAGCTTAGTAACTGGAGCTCAAGACGAAAGATTTTGATCAAGCACTACGCTCTGGGTAACAGTTTAAAAAGCGGGAACAGAGCTGTATCATATAAATTAGTATCTTTTTGTCGCTAGTCATATCATGGCCGTGAATTAGGTCAACTTACGTTGAAGTGGGGCTGGTAAGGGCTGAGCTCGAGGCGTTACCGTTAACGGGGGTAATGGGAGGGTGGACAGCACCGGGAGAGGTAGGCTGCTGAGTAGATTCCTTGATAGCAAGAAGCTGCTTGGAGCGGAAAGCTTCGTAGTGAATCTGTGCAGTGGTCTCAATCAAATCTTGAAGGTGAGTTCTGGTGAGGAAGTTGCGGAGGTGAACAAATTCACAGTGATCTTCATTCTCAACTACAAAGCAAAACAATATTAGATGACGATAAAGATGATATTGTTCCGATCGGTGCGTACTTACCATTTATGACACCATATCTGTTCTTTCGGCCGCGGACAGCCTTGCCATCAACAACCACGTTTCTCTCAGATCCAACAACGGCGAAGGGAATCAAGTCCTAAAATATCACATCAAAAGTCAACATATGGGTTGACGTGAGAAACATCACAGAAATTGTTTCTCATTACTTACACGAATGCTTTCGTTCAATGCTTGTTCCTGTTCATCGTCCTCCTCACTCTCATATGGGTAAAGGCGGATGTTGTGGAAGGTCAATTCTTGCTTAATCTGTTGGTAGAAGCAGCCATTCCATTAGCATTGATTTCGTTGCCTATCAAAACAACGTGGGATAAAATCTTACTCTCATCTTGAAGGCAGCACGTTCCTCCAAAGTCAAGGCATCAGACTTAGCAATGACGGGGACAACGTTGACAACTTCAGAAAGCTTCTTCAAAACGACAATGTCGATGGGCTTGAGACTAAATAAATAGCAAAAGTAAGTAAATTGCTAATGTAGGTGAACAATTTAGGAGAAAAAGGTACACACGCATGACCACTGGGGGTGAGGAAGAACAAACAGCAATGGATTCGGGAATCTTGAATGTACTTTTCACGAGTAGCAGTCAATTCCTTTCGCAAGTAGGCAGAGTGCTGATCCTTGATATACTTGATGATAGGTTCCCAGCTAAATCAGTGAAAATAACATTGTAAAATAAGTACAAGCGAATTTACACGGGAACCTAAAATTTTAATTGTGCATTACTTACCAGTTCTCGTTGTTAACCTGATCACCGTATCCAGGAGTGTCAACGATGTTCAACTTCAATCGGACGCCGTTCTCCTCGATGACTACGAAACACGGAGGTCAATTATCACGAATTCGTTTTCGAAGTACAGCTGGATCAAATGAGTACATACTATGACCAACAGTCTCAATTTCAGTTGTCTGTCTTGGGGGTTCGTCGCAGGCAACACGGCCCTTGCTTTCAATCAAGTGGGACGCGAAAATAGTGTTGACAAGGGTGGACTTTCCCAAGCCAGATTGGCCTGATGAGAGATTTGGTGAGTGGCCATTGAAGTAGATTATCATTAATATACGTTTAACAAACATACCAACAACCATTACGTTGAATTGGAAGCCACGCTTCAACAGCTTCTTTTCAATTTGCTGGGTGATGGTGTCAAAACCGACATAACCGTTAAGAGCAGACTAGAGTTGAAATGTTGCGTGGCGGTCAATACATTAAGTAACAGCTTCATTGTACTTTATCAAGATGCTTACCATTGTAGATTCAGATGAAGTTACGGGTAAAGATGTTTCTGCAATCGTCTAACGAATTGAAAAAGGACCAAGACACCGGAGTGTGAAGGGGGATATGAGGAGCTTGCCAATTCAGCGTGTTACACAGCGTGTGATTGGACAATTTTTGGCAGGGGAGACTGTTCAGATCAGTGCGCCCTTACTAGCAACACTCCTATTTTTGAAGGGCTATTAGGAGTGAGTAGCTTTGTGAAAACGCTTATAAAGGTGTTCATCCATAGACAGCTCCCTGGGTGAAAAGGAGGATGGTGCGTTTGTGTCCCTGGATCAATTTTTTTAGTTTCACTGAAAACATTGGCGCGCTGTGCCGTGCCAAACTGTGCTTGAGACGGAAATTTTCTCAGCCACTGGCTTCTGTCTTGCTTGCTTGAATTGTGGAATCATTAGCTCATCCAATGCCAAACGATACCGGCAATGTTGCGCGGTTACGTTCATATCTCAACCACAAAGCGCGAATAAAGGTCTCTGATGGAAGAATATTCATTGGTGTCTTTGTCTGCACCGACAAAGATAAAAACACAATTCTAGCTCATGCTGAAGAGTACCGTGGAGGTATGCAGAATCGACTATCTCGTAATGCAGTTTATATGTATTAATGACTTTTTCATCAAAAAATCCAGATGAGCAGAGGCTAGTTGGTTTGGTCATGATCCCCGGAAAGCATTTGTTAAGGATGGATATCGAAGACCTTGATGCTGGTGACGAGTACATGTAATGAAATCAACAATACAAAATCGTTCCCAAATAGAATGCAGAGGGGTCAGGAACCCATTATCTTTGTCAAAGCGGACATGAAAAGAAGTCCCTACATTTTGACGAAAACATGGCATACATAGATAATCATGGGCAACTGTAAACGAGAACAGCCATTGTAATATACCTCATTGACTGGAGAGCCACTTCAGCCAATTGCAATAAACGTACAATCTTTTTTTTTTCTAAAGAGACACCTCTTACACATAAGCATCATCTTTGATATGTTCAATAAAGTGATATATACCGTCATTGTGAAATACTCCAGTTCGCTGAATTATCGTGAACCCAGTGTGGTCATTATGTTAATTTACGATACCCTAAATTTTGCTCAAGTTTAATAAGAAGGTGTGCCCAGGTTTTTCCAAGTTAATTACGTTATCTTTTACACCTCTTCCTCGCTTTACACTCACAATCTCAAGATGCAAAATTCATGGGAAAAAAATGATACCTTTTACAGTGACGACAAAATGCAGGTGCCTTATCAGGATGGCTATACTACTGCCCCTACCAACACCTATTCACCACCTGATGCAATGAGCATGGCAGGAAGAAAATCGCTTGGTGGTGCATACTCTGTGGATGGCAGCATTGGTCAACTTGGCTATGCTCCACCGTCCTTTAGCAGCCAAACAATCTTGCCAGACGGAAGTACATTGCCTGTAAAACCTAATTTTCCACGTCTTTGCATAAGAATTTGGCAGCTCATCGCATCTGCAGCAACATTTGCTTTTCAAGCTGGCGCACCTGCGGTAGATAACCATTTTCATTTTTCGTGCGCCAAGTTTACCCACACTAAACGCTGACTTCATCGTATACGATTTGTAGTTTGCAGGAAAGGGATTTCCGTTCGAACCAGCGCTACTTTACTTTGTATTCGGAGTCTCCAGTGTATCGTTTATGTGGAGCTCCTTTTTAATATACGTGTACCTTACCAGGCGCTACGGGAAAGGTGGTAAGGTTAAGCGGCCGGTATTATGTATTGGAGATACCTTCATTACTATCTGTCTCGGTGTCGGTGTCTTTTTTGAGATTTCAAAGTATCCTTGCACTCCAGGGACTCTGGACGGCATGTGAGTTTGGTTCAATTGTATGCAACTATTTCATTAGTACTGAGGTATTTAACCTTGCTCTCCTCTAGGTGTGATATGCTCAATACTGGTATCTTCTTCGGTGTAACTGTTTTCACCGTTTCCACTGTGGCTACACTGTGGGATATTTTTGGTTCCATGGAGAGTATCAGAAATTGATACCAGGTTTATCCATAAAATCTCAAATTTGTTGCCTTAATAAACCTCTGTCATGTCTTTCACTGACAATTCCTGTTGCTTGTCCAGAGGAAGTTCCGTGAGATAATTGAATTTTCGTTACTGATAGCAGGGTAGAAACAGATATTATGTCAGACCTTGCTGATGTGTGTAAAATTGGTGCTTCAAGAACTGCAGCTGGTTGAAGTCCCATATTTGTCATCCAGCCTTACAATGTTAGCAAAAATACCGGAGACTGATGCTTTGAATTTCATCAAGCGCCAGGATAGGATCAAATTGCGCAATCGGCAATCGTGCCAATTTGTCGTGGTTGCCAGTCACATCTGCGGATTATCAATAATGTACCTGAAACAAAGTCTTGTATCCCACCCCAAGCTCTTCTCTCTAAATTTGAAATGGCAACCAACATCACATGGCACGATGGAAACGTCTCCAAGGAGGAGCGTGCAACTTTGCTCGGACAGAAGGTTAGTTTGGGATAAAGGAAAATAACAAGGCAGAGCGAGGGCGTCGGCTTTGTCAAAAGTCATGTAGGAAAAGAACCATGCTCGGTCTGCTAACTGCTCGTCCTCTGTATAGGGTCTCACAATCTGGTTTACCGGTTTGTCTGCCTCAGGAAAGTCCACTCTTGCCACTGCTCTCGAGCAGACTCTTCTTCACGCCAAGATCTCCAGCTACCGCCTTGACGGTGACAACATCCGCTTCGGATTGAACAAAAACTTGGGCTTCGGACCTGACGACCGTACCGAGAACATTCGACGAATTGCTGAGGTAAAGCTTCAGGATAGGACGAGGATGGAGAAATGTGTCCTTTGTTGTTGGGGTTATGTTATTGACCATTTGTTTGATACATCATATAGGTTGCCAAGCTCTTCGCTGACTCCACTTCTATTGCATTGACTGCTTTCATTTCTCCTTACCGCGCTGATCGTGACGCAGCTAGAAAACTTCACCAGGATGCTGGTATTCCTTTCATTGAAGTTTATGCTGATGCTCCTCTTGACGTTGTTGAAAGCCGTGACCCCAAGGGTCTCTACAAGAAGGCCAAGGCTGGTGAAATCAAGGAATTCACCGGTATCTCAGCACCTTATGAAGAGCCTCTCGCTCCTGAAGTTCATATCCGCACCGATCAACTCTCTATAGAAGAGGGTGTTCAAAAGATCGTCCAATACCTTGTTGCCCAAGGCCTTGTAGACCAATCCAAGTTGCAATAGATTCCATTATAAATAAACGCTTTACTTTCTTTATTTCTTGAACCATGATAGACTGGTTGAAAATGGTGTTGAACATGTAATTCCATCAGTGACCACATAGGGGAAACTTTCTTTTTTATTTAAATCCCAGCAAAGTGGATGGCCACAATGACATCATAGCGACAGCCAACACCTAATTTTTTATATTTCAACATTTTTCGTAATTTTTCTATTGTGAGATCTCTTTATTCCTTCCATTCTTCTGCTTCCTAATGGCTGAATTCGTCAAGCTATCTATCTTCGGTACCGTCTTCGAGGTTACAACCAGGTATGTTACTGTGACGCAACTCAACCGGATAACCTCCGCGGCTTGGCTGACCTCCTTTGTTCCTTGTCAGATATGTAGATCTCCAACCTGTTGGAATGGGAGCCTTCGGTTTAGTGTGGTATGTGGTTTAAAAAGCAATATGATAAGTTACGATGAAATGCATGGTGGTCGTTTCTGATAATGGACTGTATCTAGCTCTGCCAAGGATCAACTTACTGGTACCAATGTTGCTGTCAAAAAGATCATGAAGCCTTTCAGTACTCCTGTCCTATCGAAGAGAACTTACAGAGAACTCAAACTTCTCAAGGCACTGACACACGAAAATGTAAGCAGCCTAACTGATTATGAACCTGGTCCGAAGACTTGAATACTTAATTTATGTGGTCATTTGCACCGTCTCCTTACGCATGCAGATCATCAGCTTGAGCGACATCTTTATTTCACCTTTGGAAGACATGTAAGTTGCCTTGATTATTTGTGGGACAGACTAGCGGTTTTTTTCCCACCATTTGGGTAACGGTATACAGTCACTAAATGTACCTATCTTATTTTAGATACTTTGTTACGGAGCTTCTTGGCACCGATTTGCATCGACTACTCACATCCCGACCGCTGGAGAGACAATTCATTCAATACTTTTTGTATCAAATTTTGGTAAGAAATGTGAAACCATACCAATGACAACAGAAGAACATTCGATTTAACGCTTCATCATTTCTTTGTAGAGAGGATTAAAATATGTGCATTCCGCTGGAGTGGTTCACAGAGACTTGGTAAATATTCCACTCATTGTGACTTCATTGTTAGCCCAAGTCCAACCTTACTCATATTGTTTATGTCTAGAAACCTTCCAACATCTTAATCAATGAAAACTGCGACTTGAAGATTTGTGATTTTGGATTAGCTCGTATCCAGGATCCTCAAATGACGGGCTATGTCTCAACTCGGTATTACCGCGCGCCCGAGATCATGCTTACTTGGCAGAAATACGATGTAGCAGGTACATATCAATGGTTTTACCAAGGAATGATAGGGAGAAATAGTGCGCAAGGTGGCTAATAATACTGGTTTCACCATTACAGTCGATATCTGGAGTGCTGGATGTATCTTTGCTGAAATGCTGGAAGGCAAGCCATTATTCCCTGGAAAAGATCGTAAGTCGCAGATTGAAGGTGCATGGTCGGATGAAAAAAGTATTTTTTGCTAACATAATGGATCTAGACGTTCACCAGTTCTCAATCATCACCGAACTCTTGGGTACTCCTCCGGATGATGTGGTTGCCACCATCTGTAGCGAAAACACTTTGCGCTTTGTCCAAAATTTGCCCAAGCGTGAACGAATTCCCTTCTCACAGCGATTTGCCGAGCAGGAGCCTCAGGCAATTGACCTATTGGAGAAGATGCTTGTTTTTGACCCACGAAAGCGTATTACAGCTACTGAAGCATTGGCCCACCCATACCTTTCTCCATACCATGATCCATCGGATGAACCTGCTGCACCCGAGAAATTTGATTGGTCCTTTAATGATGCCGATTTACCCATCGATACGTGGAAAGGTAAGGAAGGAAGGGTCTTGGCAAAATCGAGCGATGGGATACTAACTTTCTTTTTTCCATCTTTCACCTAGTTATGATGTATTCTGAGATTCTCGATTTCCACAACGTTGATAATGTAGACACTTCGCAATACGTGGGCACTCCAATCACCGGCGAGTCATTGCAAGCATAGAAATATCGAAGCGAAACTTACTCCAAACCACCCACCCACATAAATCATATGATTTGACCCTTATTTCTTGTGCCTTTCCTACTCTTACAGTTTTCCTTCTCACATTTACTTCTCTTTGTACCATAAAATTCGAATGTTCCTTGTTCCAATGGAGGTCAGTTTTACATATGGGCAATTTTTGCACCTTCTAATATTTTCAAATTGGGGTTTGGGTTGTCTACACTAGTTTTACAGATTTGGTTTACGACGAATAATATCACAAGAGAAGGCACGTTATGGGGTTCAAGACACAAAAACGAACAGTGAGTGAAAAATAAATTACAGAGATGGTTTGAGCGTTTCGATCAACGAATTCCTTTTTGTTTAACCCATGAGTCGCTGGTAAAATCGTTGGACCGGACGACGATCCACTGTCGAGATATAATAACTGCCCCCATTGTGAGTCCAACTCACAGCTTCGGTGTAATAAGGGAATTTCTTGACACGTAGGATAGATTCGGGAGCATGCGCGGTCCGCTCAGTCAGTTTGTGACCGATGGGGACAAAGGACTTGAGGGAAATAATTTGCGTGCCTTCCTTGAGATCTAAGAACAATTGGCAAAGGCCCTGGTTTTGTGTACTGTCAAAAGCGTAGTTGTTGACCAAAATAACATCGGCCCGCTTCAGGGCATCATGGATTTCAGGAGATTCCAAAAAGTCTCCCTGTCGTATGCGAATATTGCCACTGGGAAGTTGCCATGCCCTGCAGAGCAAAATTTTGTTAGTCACACACACAATAAGGGATGTGCCCATCAGTTCCAATCCTACCAAAAAAGATAGGCACTGTACTGTTTTCTTCTTCTTCTTACCTCATACGAGTAGCATATTCTTTCAGCTGAAGCTTGGCTAATTTGCACGGTGTTTCCATGATCTCGATACCATGCGCTTCACAAGCCGTTTGGGCAGCTACTTGCAGGACAACATTCCCAATTCCACAGCCCATGTCGATGAACACGCTTTTCGAGGTAATGTTGGTGCGCTCAATGAATTCCTTGATCAAAATGGAATTGATCTCACCGTACACATGGTTTGAGAACGCTATGAACAACAAAAAGAAACGTTAGCTCGCATTCGCATTACAGCCATGCTCTACAACACTGACCTTGATAGTTATTCAAAGCTTCGGCGTGCGGGGCAACAGTACGACTATAAACCTGGTACAGAATATGACAGACTAGTTCATAGCTGGGACGAATTCTTCGCGCATTGGAAGCCATTTGACCGTCCTGTTTGAAACTTCGAACCACGGCATTGAATTCATTGACAGCCTTGATAAAACCGGTTCCATTTCTTCGATTTCTATACTTGGTCAAGTTTCGCATGGTGCCTTGCGTCTCGTCGCCAAGCAACTTTTGTAATTCAGCTGGTAAGAAGTATTCGTAAATGGCGTTGGCCGTTCGCATTAGATCTGTGATGGGATTGTATTCGTCTTTATCTTCTTGATCTGAATCCGATGTTTTGGTCTTGGGGTTGACGATGACTGGCTTGAGAAGAAGAAATCTACAATGGAACAGTAATTCATGCAAAGTGGCGCAATGGTTAGTAACCGGAGGGGGTTTCCAGTACAACGGCTATATCACCCTCACCTCTCGCTAATGCCTGTCTTTGGATATTCCAGTTCAACCCGAATGGACTCTTTCTTGGAGGAATGGTCTCTCGAGGAATCAGAATCTTCATTGCCGCTCATAAAGCTAAAATCTAAATGTCAGGAGTTAGCAAGGGCCAAAAAAAAGTTATGGAAACAATCAGCTGGCTCACTTACATGGCTTGTATCGGGCAATTGAAGCTTGTACTACTCGCTCAGAATGCTTTATCTCTTTGACCTTAATGGACTTGGGACTACCCACTGGTGTTGCAGCCGAAGGGCTGGCGCTGTCTAGATTGTTCTTCAGCTTGCTGCTGATACCCTGAAGTCCATTCGAAGGTAAAGTGGAAGCTATGGTTCTGTCTGCTGCTTGCTCAGTAATGTCAGCTGGCTGCTTGCTGACATGGATGGAATTATTCACTTTGTCATTGGCCACTAATGGATTCAATGCTGCTCCATTAGTCTCTTTCGATTGCTTTGCAAGTCCTGAGAGGCTGTGTTCGTTGCTTCCATTGCTAGATTCTTTACTGGAAGGCTCTATACCGTTGGAGTGACTGGGTTCTGTATTTGCCTTTTTGGTTGGTCTAAGGATGGGCTCACCAGGTCGCTTCTCTGATATTTGTTTCTTCGAGCTATTGTTATCAAAACGCAGAGAGCTCCATGTCTCCTCGTCGCTGCTCAGTTCCATATGTCAGGCCTAAAGAATAAGCTCAATTCATTGCAAGTCATATGGGAATTTTATCCGGTAGGATTGGCTTTACGTCATTTGTTTCCATGACAATAATACAGTAATTGAATTTGAACGTTGTCCTGCTTCATAACACTGCCTATTGTTGAGCTAACATAGCATCGACATCAAAACGAGGGCACAAAGATAAAATACTTCAAGGCAATCAAAATCCTTTATCTTTTTTAATAAACGGAGAGTCATTGCTACCATCTTGAAATAATGCGTGAAACCCACAATTTGCCCTCACTGCTTGTCAGTTTGAAAGAAGTATTGGAAGACAATTGATGTAGTCATAATAATTTCAAGGAGATCTACATATAGTTACATAGAAAAATATTTTTTTCTCATTTATTTCGTAATTACATACAAACGATATATGTACAACATCACTGTTCTTTACTGGATTGCTCCTCTTTGAGTTGCTTTTCACTTTCTTCCTTTTCTTTCAGGTCTTTTTCATATTTTTCTACCCAATCCTTCACGTTGCATTGAAGTACCATTTCATATTGACCAAACCATCCTGTACTCTTGCGAGATATTTGTCGGAAGCCGTGCTTGTTCTTCAAGATATTCTGTGCAGGTTTTTGCATTTGATTGACAGTGGCGTAGACGACTTCGATGTTGTGCTCATTTGCCCACATCATAGCTCTACTGATGAGGATATTCGACAGTCCAAAACCTTGATATTCTCCTTGGATAGCCAGTCTCTGAAGGCTAGCCTCGTTCTTCTTGTGAGCAGGGAACAATACAGCTTGCTTGGGGACGGCTGGTCCCTCCAGAAATTTGGGAATGGACAAATGATACCGGCGGCAAAGAAACTGACCTGCCTGCTTCCAAGGTGCTAGCATAACTCCCCTAGCATTATATACAATATCATGATGCTGATCGATGGCAACAGTAGCAGATGGAATGGAGTTGATAGTGAGAACCCAAAACTGAGAGGCAGTGCGTTCTTCGTCGGGCTTTCTTGTCCTGATGACCTCGGTGGCAGCCTTGGAGCTCTTGTCAAAGGTAACCTTTTTACCGCCCTCAACCGCCTTTGAACTATGGAAGTCTTTGTCGTCCTCCACTACTCGCTCTTCCTTGTTCCATCCGAGATAGTATTCTTCAATATCCTTCATATCGTTGCACATGGCATCTTCAATGCCATCTACTGCCTCCTTACGATCAGTGTAGACAAACAAACCGGCAAAGGACAAAACTGTCCATGCAAAGGTTATGAATATGCGAAGGGCTGGTCCTGTCCACCAAGGGAAATTCATATCAGAGATGACAATTGGCACAAGTGCTAATAAGTAAGCGTCTATTGACGGAATGGAGCGACATGAGTACGAGTGGGAATGGTCAATAGCAAAAACTATAGCCAACTTACAAGATCCAATGAACAAAGCCCATGTAAGAGGGTGCAATAGCTTGGACTTGACACCTTGAGGCACCTGCCCAAAGTAAGTACTATAATAAATATGCTTTGCATAAGGTAGATCCGAGGGTTGAAATGTTCTGAGCATGATACCTGGTCCTCGAGTAGGCCCTGTTTCTTTTGGTGGCTCAGAAGCAACGCTACCTTTAGAGGCGTTACCAACTTTGATTTGATCTTCGTCTGCCATTCCGGTTGTTAGCGTGAAAAGAAGCACTGACTGTTTTCGGGCGGGCATAATGTTTTACTTTTTTTTTTTTTCCTTTCTGGTAGCAGCAATGCCTTGCTCACTAGCTATGGCAGTTGACTCCATTTAATGCTATTATTAAGGGACTGTTTACCATACAGATGTACACACAGCTGATTTTCTGTCATTTTCTTTAGAGCATACACTCTTTTCCTGACGGCTACCAACGGAAAAGCAGCTCTTTAGTGTGACTTCCTTGCAAGCCAATAAATAAAGATATTAAACCTTGAACTGTCCAATGGAATTAAGCTTCATTAAGATATTTACCCAATCAAAGAGGATTGAATTCAAGAAACGCACGTGATTTTGCAAGCCTGTAAGAGCTGCTCTCCCCCGGTTGTTTACGCTTTAGTTTCATTCACAATGCCAGCACCTAAGGTAAAACGCTGAATCATGCAGCAAATTCTTATAAACTTCTAGGAGCAATTTACTCAAAGTTCTTTCTTCTTTCAAATCAGATTGCTACCGTTCCCCACTTTGGTTTCATCACTCCCGAGAAACTCGTCCGTGTGTAAGTAACTGGAATGTCTCTTTTCAGCTAGTATTCTAGCGCATTCTTTCCAATTCAACTTGAATCGCTCACAAAAATTAAATTGGTATGTGTAGTGCTCCCTCTGCTGCAGTCTGGGGTGCCGCTGCTGGTGCTGCTGTCCTTTTGCTTGGTAGTGATATCCCAATTATCAAGCGTGATATCCTTTCTAAGGTTCCCTTTGTCGGCAGCTACTGGGCTGTTGCTGCTCCCGCACAGGACGAAGAATAAACCTATCATAACTACTAGCTTATTCTCTTGAGAACAAATATCACACCAAAAAAAAAAGAAAAAAATATGGCCCAAAAAAGCTATTGCATTGGAAACATATCCAGACAAATCAAATCAACCTTCTAGAGAATGTGTCTTTTTTTTCGTTATCGATTGGATTGTTCCATATGAATGGCTTTAATAGACAATACATCTTTTATTACTACCAGTCGAATGGGATTTTTTGAGGGGGATCTTATCAGAGTTTAGTATCTCCTGTGTTTTGAAGGTCCTTGCTGCTAGGCCGGTTAGGCTCAAGCTGACATCCGATCCATGACGCTACGGCCGGGATTGCTCACCAAGTTGGGGGCATGTCCAACTCCGTCACAAAATTTTTAAGCGATTTCTATTCGCTCATTTTTTTTTTTGCTATGTTGGGAGAGAGATAAAAGAAAGTCACCTATCAAAAAACCATGAAAAGTCATCTTTCTTTCCTTAACTCTTTGGAAATTATCTTTGTAATCTCATTATGAGCAATGGCACATACAACACCAATGGTCTAGAACAGCAATTTGGTATGTAATCGGAAGTAACACTTGCATTGATGGAAACGGTTTCACTAATATATGATCTCTTTGTCCTTTATAGCTGGTATGGGCATGAACAACAACAACAACGGCGGATATGGCGGTGAAAAGCTTGGCGGAAGCCGCTATGTTCCCCCTCATCTTAGAAACAGCAGCTCCAGCGGCAACGGCCGATCATCTGAAAGCTGGGACGATGCTCCTCGCAACAACCGCAGCAATGACAGGTACTATTTCAAATCTCTTTGCTTATTGTTTGTAGATTGGCACTTTGCATCGTTGGAGCACAGGCAGATGGACTTTCCTACCATGCTGGATAATGCTTTGTAGTGATCTCGCTACCAATCTTTGGTTCTACCTTGACGATCCAGCATTTTAGTCCACTTTGAGATTCTGACTGTGCCTCCCGATGGATGAAAAAGCAAACCAACCTAAAAATCTTTCCCAAAAAAAAATAATTGCGTCACGTGAATCTCCTTATTCATTAATCCTTTTTCTTCTTTCTTTTCCTTTCTTATTAGCTGGTCTACCCGTTCAGACTATGGTCGTGGAGGCAATACTGGTAGCTGGGATGGTCGTCCTACCTGGAAGGAACGTGGTTCCTATGGTGGAAAGTACCGCCGCGATGGCGATAACGGCTATGCTCCTCGCCGCGAAGAAGGTCAAGGCTACTGGAAGGACGGTGTTCACCACGTCGGTAACAGAAACCCTCGCGCTGAACGTGAGCTTTTCGGTGCTGCTGAAGATCTTGATCGTCAACACACTGGTATCAACTTTGAAAAGTACGATGATATCCCTGTCGAAGCTAGTGGTAACGAAGTCCCAGAAGCCATTACTTCCGTAAGTTTTTTTTTCCGACAAATCCTCTCATACATTTCCCATTGTTATTCACACTGGCCATCCATCTTTATTAGTTCACAAGCCCTCCTTTGGATGCACATCTTTTGTCCAACATTGAGCTTGCTCGTTACACAACCCCTACTCCCGTCCAAAAGTATTCGATCCCAATCGTCGCTGCAGGCCGCGACTTGATGGCATGCGCTCAAACTGGTTCCGGTAAAACGGGTGGTTTCCTCTTCCCATTGTTCTCAGAACTCTTCTCCAAGGGCCCCGCTCCCCAACCCGCTGAAAACAGCTCAGTTCCTCCTGGTTATGGTCGCACTCGCAAGGCTTACCCCAGCGTCTTGATTCTTGCCCCTACTCGTGAGCTGGTTTCACAAATTTACGCTGAAGGCAAGAAGTTCGGCTACCGTTCATGGGTCAAGTCCTGCGTCGTCTATGGTGGTGCTGATATTGGCTCCCAATTGCGTCAAATTGAACGTGGCTGCGACTTGTTGGTTGCTACCCCCGGTCGTCTTGTCGATTTGATCGAACGCGCTCGTATTTCCATGGAACAAGTCCGCTATCTCGTTCTTGATGAAGCTGATCGTATGTTGGATATGGGTTTCGAACCTCAGATTCGCCGTATTGTTGAACAAGAAGGCATGCCCGGTGTCGAAGACCGTACCACCCTCATGTTTTCCGCTACTTTCCCTCGTGATATCCAACATTTGGCTCGCGATTTCCTCAAGGATTATATCTTCTTGTCTGTTGGACGTGTTGGTTCCACCTCTGAGAACATCACTCAAAAGATTGAATACGTCGAAGATGAAGACAAGCGATCCGTTCTTTTGGATATCTTGCATTCCAATGATGTCACCGGCTTGACTTTGATCTTCGTCGAGACCAAGCGTATGGCTGACAGTCTTTCCGATTTCCTTTTGGGTCACAACTTCCCTGCCACCTCCATTCACGGTGATCGTACTCAACGTGAACGTGAACGTGCTCTTGAATACTTCCGTTCCGGACGCACTCCCATCATGGTGGCTACTGCTGTCGCTGCTCGTGGTTTGGATATCGCCAATGTTGCCCATGTCATCTCATACGATCTTCCCACTGACGTTGATGACTATGTCCATCGTATTGGTCGTACTGGACGTGCTGGTAACACCGGTCTCGCCACTGCTTTCTTCAACCGTGGTAACAAGGGTATCGCTACTGAACTCGCCGATTTGCTCAAGGAAGCCAACCAAGAGATTCCTCAATTCTTGGAAAGCATTGCTCGTGAAGGCCGCAGCTTTGGTGGATATGGTGGTGGTCGTGGAGGTCGCGGAGGTCGCGGTGGCCGTGGTGGTCGCGGCGGCAACAGCTTCGGTGGCCGTGATTACCGTTTCCAATCTCAAGAGCCTGCTTCCCGTGGATATGGTGGCGGTGACTCCTTCAACGCCTATCCTCCTCTTGGTGGAGGTGCTAGTGCTGGTGGTTATGGTGGCCAAAGACCCGCTGCTGCAGCTTCTGCTCCTCCAATTCAGTACCAAAACAAGACCAGCTGGTTCTAAACTGCAAACATCTCAACATTATAGAACGGGGTTCGTACGCACTCTTGACCTCGTATGAACCATTTTAGAGCTTTCTACCCCCCACTACAGCAACGGTCATGTCTTTCTTTATATCTTTATCCTCCTTTTTTTTTTTTTTTCTTTCTCTGCTTCCAATTTCAAGACGCGCATTCAGACAACTCGGATTCATCATGCAATTTTATCATATTTATATTATACCGTGTTTTCTTCTCTTTTATTTTATTTTTCTTCTACCAACTCTTTGCGACGTATTCATAGATTGTATTGCATTTATCCCATTTTGTGTATCTTTTTTCACTCCAATTCTTTCGTGTCATTTATTGTTTTGTTTCTTTCCTCACTCAAACCACATATCAACCACCACACCACTCCTCTTTCACTGTCCCGTATTCTAACTATGCATAATTCTTTTTTCACATTTTTCATCTTCTTTCCTTCCTTTTTTTTTTTAACTTAGTTTGTTCATTCTGTATATCTGGACATTTGCAAGAGAGGTTTATCGGTTATCGACAACCACGAGAGAATGAAAAAGGCTGCACATACTATAGGGCAACTGACTTGTCCCTTGCGCTCACCTTTTCTTTTCCCAAAATCAAATAAAACCAAAAAAATTATACATTAATTAATGAGTCGAACGGACGCTTTTTTTTTTTTCAAATAGAGGGCTGCTATGAGTGTACTGTAACAGGGTATCGAGAAGAACAGAAACATGATGGTGTGTGGGAGGGAGAGAGATGCAATGGGGGGTAGGCACACATCTAATGTTATTCTATTTTTTATATATATTCTTCTTTTAAAGCAGGTTGCATATCTTCTTTTGTAATCGTCGCATGTTACCAGACACGGCTGCTCTTGTTGCAGCTTCTATGACCTCAGTGACGTTGGTGTTTTCCATGGCACTGCACTCATAGTACTTTGCTCCGATTTCTCTACCTAGAGCCTCACCCTGTGAACAAATGGCTGTCAATTTTCCGCAACAGGACATGGTATGTATGTTTTTGTTTTTTTTTCATTACCTCTTCGTATGAAATCAATTTATGTCCGACTGCATTTAGTTGAGCTACACGTGTGCTGTTGTTGCGTAAATCTATCTTCATGCCAACAAGTAGTTTCGGTATATTTTCGCAGAAATGAGTCACTTCAGGGAGCCACTATAGGGGAGAGAGAGAGGAAAATCAAAACAGACGTGAGCATATCTCCTCTTCCATGGCACGAAGATCATCTGAGCCACTTACTCTGTCTTGAATGTTGGAGAACGAGGTCGGCTGATCAATAGCAAAGCACATCAAAATGACATCGGTCTCAGGATATGACAATGGACGTAGACGGTCATAGTCCTCTTGGCCAGCAGTATCCCACAATGCTAATTCGACCATCTTTCCATTATCCAGTTTAACGTTGACAATGTAATTTTCAAAAACAGTTGGTACGTATCTCTATCAACGGGACCCAGTCCGCGCCATTCAATTTAAAATTCCCCGTTAGCTTATAAGCGGGTGGAGACGATCGATTCGTTTAGCGATGATGACTTACGGCTGGGAAGGCTCCCTTTTGGTAAACAACCAACAAACTCGTTTTTCCGCAACCACCGTCACCTACGACTACCAGTTTCTTTCGAGTAAGCTACTAGGAGGGATGTGATCCGTGTTATTAGAAATAAGGAAAAACGAACGGTTGAGATGAGAGATGGAGATTAGCTTGCCTTTGTCATTTAGTGTGTTTAAGAGAGAGAAAGAGAGAAAAAAGAAGTAGAGAGGAAAGAAAGGTTGGCTGCTTAGTGGAAAAAAGGGTGGGTTGGGCGCACAGGATCGAAAAGAAATCAGACAGCCAAAGTCGTAATTTTTTTTTTTTTCTTATCCTGCCCACTTTGCGACTATAAGCAGCCCAAAAAATCCGTCCAGAGAGACTTTTGACTGAAAGGACCCCCCCCCCACAAAAAAAGCAGCTGTTGCGAAACGTTGTGATTGTTTACGGGCATGTATGTAAGAAATGGTACCTTCCCTTTCCAGAGTGGAGTTTGTGCTGTAATGGCAAAAGCTTTAATTGCCTACTGACAATGTATGAACGCCATTCAGATGAAATCTCAAGCGCTGCTGTTGCACCAAGTTCTTGAGGCCGAAGTCGGCGAATCTCCCATAACAATCAGAGCTTTGATTCCAAAAAACGTAGTAGGTGCCTGTATCGGCCTTGGAGGCGAGACCCACCGAGATTTAGAGCGACAGTTTGAGACGGCAATAGCCTTTGGTGCTTCCAGCCATGTTGGTGCTCGACTTGCAAGTATCGCAGGCACCACTCATCAGGTTGCAAGAACTTGGAGAGAATGTGCGTTCTTAATGTATCGCAGAAAGTGCCCTGTGTATGGTCAGGTAAGCATGTTGCTGTCTTTCTAGCACTCTCTTGAGTGGAATCCTTGAATTTTATGTCATTCATACATTCTCCTTCGTTTTCTAGAAGCTTTCGGTTGACTTGCTCATACCCAATTTGTTAGCTCAGAAATTGTGTGAAACTTCAGAGGACAACGATTGCGAGCTAACGGAAATTGCTGTACTCAGTGGTGCTACGTTGGTATTGAAGAAAGATGCATTAGGAAGTTCAACAGAACGAGTACTCCAAGTGTTCTTAGATGGGCTGGACCTGCAGGAACTCTTACAATTCGAAACCGCCATTAGACTTTTGGGAAGATCTTTCCAACGCTATACACACCTAGCCTTCTCTCCGGACAATATCTACTATATTCCTGGTCATGGAGTGGGTGATGCGGAATTTGGTACGACTGATGGGCAAGAGAACAAAGAAGACTGGAGCTTTTCAGTCGAAATCAACGAAAAACGAACTGTGGAAGGTATTGATTCTTCTCCCAGAGTGCCCAATGGTAACCTGTACATGGACAATTTTATGGAAACCTCCTGGGCTCGATTACAACAACCTGCAGGTGCAGCTGATTCTCCCAACCCCAACGGCGATACCACCACCAACGGTGGTCATTCGACAAACAATCAACGTTTGCGATCCAGCGTTTGCACTGTGCGCTTACTGGTTAGCAATCTCTATACACAGAGTTTATTCAGAAGAGATCATTCTTCCCAAATGTCGATCTTCAGACAAATGCAAAATAGGTACTCCGCAGAGAGGATGCACATTACGCCTATCACTAGCACCCCAAGTACGGTACCTCGCAACCAGTTCTGTTATCTTGGCGAACCATCCAATTCTATGAACTGGTCACGGCATTGTGAAGATCTCAAGTGGCCCCGTGTTATTCACTTCATCGTTGATCTTGATAAAGTGAGCGGTATCACTAGTGATATTGCAAGATTATTGAATGGAGAGATGCAAAATGCTCCCGAGTCGCTACTACGCTTGATCTTGTCAGAACTGGCTATTCAATGTCTAACTTCTACTGAAGATGAACTAAGCAACCTGCGGTCCTCTACGGGTTGTAACATATGGATATGCGATGAAAATCTTGGAGATAGCGATGAACGCGCTGTCATTATAACTGGCAACTACGCCAAAATAGGCAAGGCTGCTAACAAGATCTACTCGACCATCAACTCCAAATTGCGCTTGGCTGATATTCACAAGCCTATTCGTCACTATAATCCAGTGGAAAGCGTCCCACCAGAAGACGCTGCGTTATCTGGATGGTGAGGCTAGAAAAAAAGTATCATAACCAAACGACCAAGCCAACCCTTCTTCACCATCATCCACTGAGGCAAGGCATGTATATATATCCAGTGAGCTCTCTTATCGTCCTTTGTACCCCTTTTCTCCAAAGCATGACTTACCGGCCAATTCAACCGTAATTGTATATAACTGGGATATAACATAACTAGAAGTATCCGAAGTAGAATACCAGTAAACTCATTAAAACAAAACAATTAAATTTCGCTTTGAACTCCTCTTAATGTGAAGGATAACTACATGACGGTAGCAGTGGCTACACGTGGTGGTTACAGCATGTTAAACCCATTGACTCGCGGGAAAGGAGTCCCCCCACCTAGTGTACCAGCCCCTACGAAGACGTCCTTTGCGATCTCAAAAAAAAAAAATTGGACACATTTATCTTTGCTATACATTCCAACAATACAATAGATCTTTTGACAGTGGAGGGAAATAAAATAATGAGTGGGAGCATTTACATCGGCAGAATAATTACACTGAGAAAGAATCAGATTGGCTTGGATGGCGTGTCTATCTACTGTGAATTTGACTTGATGCGATGTCAGCATTTGCTACTGGCAACAAGAGAAGGGGTATATACATATTCCGAAGGTGGGTTTTTTTTTTCTTTTTGGCATAATGGAAAAAAAAAAACTGGCCATTTCTTTTTCGGTTGATTATTTGGGGAGGCAGGGGCAGGAGGTGGGGTGACAATCTATCGCTTCCAAATCCAAGAGGAGCGACGATCCCCAGATACTGGCGTCTGTGGCGGCGTCGACGCAGCCAGAGACAAGGGAGCCAACAAGAGAGTGCTTTCAAATGAAGGAGGGTTTAGACCAATGGGACGATTGGTGGTTTTGGATGCCAATCCTAATGTACGTGATATACGTTGAATGATTTGAAACATTCGTTTATGGCGTTGTTTACGATCATCCTCCCCTTTAGAGAACGTGCTTGCTGAATCAAATGATGAGAAGCTACGCAAGCGTCGAAGACGAAAACTGCTAATACTCAATCGATTAGCTTCTCTAGCCTCCTTGTTGCGTTTCTTCTTTTGTTGCTCTTGCTCGCGAGCAACGATATCGCTCAGCCAAGGAATAAACGAGTTCACCCGCATCAATTCTAATACAGCTTCACACGCCGGATTGAAAATCATGGGGTGAAGGTTGCCGGAGCGAACGTGGTATAATATTTCTTCTCTCATGTCGCAGGGTATATTGATTTCCTGAGGAGCATTGACACAGATGAACGTGGTGAGGATTTGACTCAACTTTTGACGGAGCAAGTTGAAGTAGACGGTTTGAGATTGCGGTAACAGGCTAGCCTCTGATTCAGTCAAGTGGATTTCCTGGTCATTTTTTAACTTTATAGTAGGGTCTACATCCACTGGTTTAGGTATCCACTCGTTATCTTCATAATATGCCAGGGCCTGTTGGTTGCATTTTCGCTCGTCAAAAAAGACGACAATACAATGCTTGTAGCGTTGAACAGCCAGCCAAAATTCCAAATTTTCCGTACAGTAGGTTTGTTGTAAATACAAGTAAAAATTGTTGAATGCCAGGCTGGTATTGTTCTTCAAAACGTCCTCCAACGTGAACGTGGAGGATGGTGTTATTGGTGGTTCGTATAGAGATGTGTCCATTTTTTCAATAAGGCTTGATTGCAAAGAGTTAGTATCAAGAGGAAGAAGAAAAAAAAAGAAGAAGCGCAATCGCCTGGTCAACCAAGGAAAAATAAAAAAGAAAAGTAAATATAATTATATTATACACAACACGCAAGTACATTTATATTATAGTAGTACTTGGGTTTGCATCTAGGATGGGACGCGTAGATTGAGATCCACACGCAGAGAGCGACCCTCTAGCCATGATTACCTCTCTCTCTTCTCCTTTTTTGCCTCCCCCCGATCTCCTCTTTTGTCACACATTCCTACACCATCCATGTGTTTGATTGCCCACTGACACGTTCTTCCCGGTAGAACTCAAACCCTCAAGCCTCATTCCATAAAGCCACAGTGATTGTGGGGGCAAAATGGGTAGGTGATCTACTGTGAACTGGCAATCACGTCGGTCAGGTCCCCAGTTGAATATGAGGTGGCACACAATGTTTGCTTTAATTTTTCTTTCTCAAAGATTTTTATTTTTTTTAGTTTTTCATATATACAGTATTCACAACCATGGCCTACTTAATAGGCACTTTGTCCCTTATCACCGCCTAGACCGTAAGCCTCCGCACGTCCAAGATGGGCTCCTCCCTTGTATTCGCCTTCAGTGAGAATCTTTTTGACAATGTCGTCAGTATTGGAGGTACCAAACGCCGACTCTAAGGCGCCCTTTGCTGGTCGAACTGCTTCGCCTGTGTTGCCGCCGTTTGGAACATGCAAGATTTCGTAGGCTAGAAGAATCAATCTGCGTTATTTATAGCTCTGCGCAGGTTTTAATATGGCTCCTTTTCCACTTACATTGAACAACCTGCACAATAGGGATGGTCTTATCCTGCTTCCACTTCTCAAGGTAATCAGCATCAGCAAAGACGAAAAATTCTTGGCCATCGGCCTTGTATGAAACGCGACAAGTTGGTCCTTCGGGCATATTTTTGATGTTTTAAGAAAAAGGTATTGTATGATTTGGATGGCTGGCGTGCTCTGGCGCTTTTATATTTGCACTTACAAGGTGGGGGCCATTTTGGCCATGAGATCATGATTGCGTAGCGCATTCAATTTTTTTTTGTCTCAGAAAGCATTTTTGATTGTCCGCTGAAGGCTTATGGGTTTTAATAGGGACTGACCTGGTAAGAATTGACTACAGAAAAAATATATTATTACTAGAGCTATGTGAAGCGAAAAGGGCTATTGAAATGAATGGTATAGATGTGCAACATCCTATGGAGGTGGAAACGCTAAAAGTATTGACTAGCAATAGTTTCCAACGCAACACTGGCAGCGTCTAGTGTCAGCGGTGAATAATTTTTTAGTGTTAGCATTCGTCATTAACATATGGTTCAGCATGTCAAAATAGAAAGTTCCCCTACCTTCTATGACTTCAGAAAACGTATAGCTAGTACCCGCGCTCTGCGTGCCTACAGCCTTACGACTGATAAATTTTCCCAGATGACCGCACGATACGCTAGCTCGAATCCCACTAACAATAGCAGTTAGATACATGCCCAAACCAGCTCACACACAGAACGCATACATACTCTGAAGAATAATACTGTTCATAATGGATGACAGAGTCATTTGGATAGACAAGCTTCATGAAATCCGAGAGTCTTGTTACGGCCGTTTTGACCCATGTAGGTTGCTCTGATAGCCCCATCAAAGCCTGGGATCCGGAACCTTGCCATGGAGATGCCTTGTAAGGCGAAGTAAGCTTCATTTGAGTAGACGGTTCTTGTCTGGCTCTGAAGTTAGAATCCTTGTGACTGTAGTTGGATTGAGTCGATTCAGGGAACCGCCCTTTCGCGCTAGAATATCCAAACGCTTTGGGGCGTGAGCTAACATCTCGCTGGTACCAGCCAGTAGATGACATTGCGTTTGTAGAAGCAGGTGGTGGGGGTGGAGCATTGTAGGAACGACGGTTCATGAAAGACTGTTGTGAAGTATTACGGCTAGTGGTAGACAAGATAGAAGATGCAGACGATGTGAGAATGGATGCTCCAAAGTTTAATTCAGATAGCAAAGACGGAGAGGGAGACGAGAATTCTTCCATTTCAGCTCTAGTGGGACCATCAAGGTCGAGGTGCTCAAAAACACTTGCTATGGGCCAGTCAACATGAATATCATCCACTTCTAGAGCGGCTGGCATGATGGCCATGCGTGGAAAGGGATACATCTTGGTGTTGATGGGTTGAAGATCGCCAGAGTCTTTGAGCACACCAATAGAGGCCATATCACCGGTGGTGACACTAGTGGCCGTAGTAGTGGTTGTCTTGGGACTATTGGTAGCGACTGAGCTTTGGTCATAAGATTCGGATCTAAGGTCAGTACTTCCCGGGTGAGCCGCAGTGGAAGATGAAAGAGAGGTTCTGCGAACAACCACATCAGCCCACGAAACAGGGTCCCGCTGGTTGCTTTGAGCAGAAGAGAAGGTTGTGGCTTCGATACTTGAGTGCAGCGTGGCTTGTGTGACCAAATTTTGTCCGGAAGGGACTGATCTCGAGACAGTGCGATGATCAATCTTTCCCAAGAGAGTCCAGACAATTATACGAGATAGATCTTGCTTAGCATCACGCTCTGATGCGTGTGATTGAGCAGTGTAGAAGAGCCGGTTTAGAAAGTCCAATTGCGCAATGAAGTCCCCTTCCTTGATTTCCTTGTACTGAATGTTCAGAGGTATGGCTATCTTGTTGGCTATTAATAAAGGAGAAGATGGAGAAAAAAAGGGTGTGTTAGACTGTGATAACGATGGTGAGAAAAGTGAAAATGGGTGGGGAAGAATGAGTTGTCATGGTCAAAAATGCAGCATTGGAGAGCGCTGGTTATGGTATGATGGGGAAGAAAGGTTGTGTGGGTGATGACTTACTTTTGCAAATTTCGTTTAGAATATACGAATATGTGAATCCGCCCAAATTTTGAAGGCGGTCTACAAGAATCTTGGTATTGGCCCACCATGGGACAGTCAGATTACCCCAAGCGCTCTCAAAGTCACAACGAGAGCGAGTTGTAGAATTGATATCGCCTTCAGGAGACTTGGTTTCCCCCATGAGCGAGCGAATTGCCACTCTGGCAGCCACATACATGGCGTCGCTCTTAGTAGCAAAATCCGAACCAGCCTCGAAGAGATGTTCGCCAATGTGCACCTGGCACTCGAACCGAGCATGAGGACGATAAGAGGATTGTACAGTCTTGTAGGCAAAACGGTAGTTTAGATTGTGAGCCGAGGCGTACTCGCGCAATAATTCTATGAAAGACATTAGTATGGTCCTGACAACAAGCTTACACAATTAGATCACTTACCAACGGGAGTCTTGGTGTCGTTCAACGGCATGAACGATGAATGTGTGGCGAATGGAGACACACCAGAGCAGAAATTTGTCAGAGGGAGAAGCAGCTTGGAAAGGTCTTAAGAACGAAGCTAAGGGATGAGGAAGCGATGTTACAAAGGAAAAAGGCTACTTACTTTCGAGTGTTATATAGAATTAGTGACTGCTACAACACAAGGAACTTGGTTCATTGACTGATCAGCCATTTCTCTCCCTCCCATTCAAAGATATATCACCAAATCTGATGAAACATATTGTATATCATCTCACTGATTATTTCTATGTAAAAAATATTTTTAATTACATAGAAGCGAATGCCTTCAAAATTGGATGAGAAATCTTCATCCAAAGCCAAGATGTTACACACACTTAAAGCTATCGTAACTGCGTGAAACAAAGAAATTAGCCGAAAGTTTACCTTATTGATATCCTGTTTGTAAATCAAAGAAGGCGGTTTTTGCACAGGGTATGTATACGAATGGCAACCATTTGTAAAAGTGATTTCAAAGTCGCTACCGACACCCACTTGAAAGCGCATTAGGTTCTGATAAAGCCATAAATATCTTCCTGGTTCCTTTTTGCTTTTGCTCACTCATATAATATGTCGAATGACCATTCATGCATATATTTCAGTGTATTGAACATGAAGGAAATAATCCAACAACATCATACACTCGAGATCGTCTTCAAATTCACTGCTTTGGTTCAATACAATGATCATACCATTGAATGGTATGCCACCATTTCTTCAGCATGACATTTTTATATTTAGATGAATTTTATGCTAGAGTAAAATGCAGAGGTACAGATGCTTGAAAGTATCCATGTAAAAAATAAGGTATGTGACTATTTGTTGATTGGGCGGCGCACTGCTTTCCCATTTTCATAAAAGCTCCCCCTGGTTATCTTTTCGCTTCGCCAAGGAATTTTTTGATTTACGACAATATGCCGTTATTGCAAATATTTTCTTCATCCTCCAAGCTAGGAAAAGATATATACACATCCAGAAAATAGGATTGATGTGATGGAAGGCCAGGCCGGGTTGGTAGTATTGAAGCCTTATTGCTGGATGGTTTTATATCAAGGTCGGAATCAGAGCGCCTTCGCCTCCGTGTTGATGGGCGGCGGGAAGACATTGAAGACTGACGACGTGGGATAAGGAAATCAAACATGTGGATAAAAGTGAAAAGGACAAAGTGAAAGACTTTCTGCTTTTTATATGCTCCTGGCTAACACTGCTTTCTATTTTTTTTGTTTTGTTTGTGCTGGTGAGAAGGCCTGGACCCAGAAAGCAAGTTGTTTCAAGTCCCTGACAGTCACTTCTAAAAATTGAGGGTTGTCCCATAAACAGCATGCTCACCTGACCGCGCGTGAACCAGAACTGTTCTTCATGGCTTCTTCTCCAGGAATGGTCTTTAGCAAAAAAATTGGCTTTTTTTATATATACTATAATGCAAAGAAGTAAAAATACTGCACCCGAACGGAGGGTCATTCTAAAAAAAAAATAATCTATTGTGCTCCATAGTATGTGTGTTGAACATCAGCCAGCTTCTTGCCTCTAAGTTGTGCAATTTCCTCAGGGAACTTTTGATGTTGGAGAGCTTCGAATGTAGCCTTGATGACGTTCATAGGTGTGCGTGATCCCATCACCTTACCGCTCAAATCATGAATACCGACACAACGGCAAATTTCGTGGATATAATGATTGGATCGATTACCAAAACCTAGTCGGAGGAACCAAAGGGATGAATATTTGTGTTAACCCGGCCAAGCAGGTACAAGCAGGTTATAAATAATAGTGAGAGTAACCAAGTTAGAAACAGAAGACTAGGGAATAAAAAAAAGACCTGCAGATGTCAATGCAAGTTCAGTACAAATTATAATTACCTGGAGGTCGGCTGCGAAGGTGAATGGTAGTAGCATGGAATTTGTGTGAAACATCCATAGCAAGGGTTCGCTCATCATAACGTTCAAAGTATCGCATGTTCTTGATCGCTCGGTTGGTTGCTTTTCGTACTGCTCGGCTAGCTTCCTCATCCTTACCCTCACCATACCCAGCGAGGCCATTGCCGTTTCCGACCACAACGAGTGCGTACATAGAAGGTTGCTTTCCTTTACCGTTCATGTTGACGACACGCTTGACAACAAGAGCCTTCTTCAACAAGCGCATTTGCTCGAGGCGATCCAACGGCGTGTCGACATTGTCCGTGACTGTGTTAAGAACTACTTCAGGTGGTCGGTTGAATGGAAAAGTCTTTGACTGATCCAAGTTTGCAGGCTTGTTGTCAGAGAAATCAAGAATGGGATCGACCTTTGAAAGATCAGCAGCATTACTTTCGTCTAACAAGCGATGTCTCGGTGCCCTGTTGGAAGTTGTAGCGTATGACCGAATCAATGCACATGGCACTGCAGCTGGAAAAATGGAGGTTTAGTATAATGCTTACTACACCATGGGGCAAAGGTTTCCACTGGGGTTCATTGTCAAGACATACCATTCAAGGTCTTTGAATATGAAGCTACAGAGAGCTTTGAAAATGCTCGAGAAATGGACTGCATCGAGCCTTGACAGCAACTGTATTGACTTGAAAGTGTAGTCTCTAAATTTTTGTGTTTTTTTGCAATCATCGTAAATTTGAGAGAGTCACGTGCATTCATCCAACAGCGACCTTGAAATTTGGCTATCAAAAAGCGCTTCGTGCAAAACTCCTGCAGGCAGGGTTGGTTTTATTTCACGGAATTTGCATTTGTCTGATTTTATTTCTAATATGCATTTATATCCGTGTTTACATTACTGGATCTCATTTTTCGTCGAAATAAACTTCTCTAGAAAATTCGTGAAGTCCATCGAACTTCCGAACATGAGTCTAGAGATGCTGCTTCAGCCTAGACTTGGCAAAGAAGAGCTATAGCCTTAAAATAAAATTTGCAATATTTTCTTTTGTAGGCTTTGGCGACGATAGTGATTGTCGAACAAATCTGAAAAAGACCAGCTTCCCATAGTGATGACGACGGACAATAGAGCGTCGCGAGCTAAGGCCAGATCGCAAGCGATGAAGCGGACTGAAGGAACCGACTTTGCGAAGTCGAGAGACGCACCAATTCGCGAAATCATGTGGAAATAGTGGTGGTTTTCAAAGGTTTAGACGGATCTTTAGAATTGACAAGTACTTTGTCAGATCGTCGTTTGGATGCCAATGGATGATATTTTAATGCCTTGAAGGACCGAACTGGGCACAGTTCCTTTGTAATTGTCAGCAACAGAGACTCTTCGTATTGGACGCCCAGGACATCCTCTATTCGATGCGCGTTGTCATAGTGTATGTTCAACGAGTTCCGGTGAATAGGATAGAATTCACTCATATTGCTGGGGAGCTGTCTAGAATCATCCAACTTCTCGCTCGGAAGTCTTGTTGGTCTATATTATATGACATCTCGCTAAACACCTTTCATTTACTGCCACGAAATCAAATTGCAGTGAGAGGAAATTGCGCATGGGTGACATCATCACACGTGATATATCTCACCAGCCTTTGATCGTTGCGCTTTTTTTTTAACAAGCGCGCACGAACACCAGCTCCAAGCCTGATTGCGCGCATCCCTCGATTGAGGCAAACAAGTCATCGCTCAGCATGCCACTGGACCGCTCGCCATCACGTGTTGACTTCACATTCTATGAACAACCTAGCACAATCCATTCGTTTGAATCATTGTGTGAGCCTTTACGAACTGCCCTGGACAGTGAGGGTGCAGATACATCATTTACCGCTCCGGAATTGGCATACTTCATTGCGCATTTCCAACAGTTTCAAAACAATGTCTTGAGTCCATCTGACGCTTTCAGTGCACGACAAAATGGCTCGTCTATTTCGCCAAGACTGCCGTCCTCGTTTTTCTCTCTTGAACACCTCAATGCGGATTCTCCCCTTTACCACATTCTATTTGCTGCTTACCAGTTTCGCTCGGAAAACGACATTGCTGATTGGCAGTTCAATGCAAATGAAGAGAGAGGAACTAATATCGACATGCTCAAGTATGTTATTCGTCAACTCAAGGAACTAGGTCTCTTGAAGAAGAGAAAAATTGCTTTTGCATCCAACGTGCCAGCTGCCGATAAACCAGATCTGCAGAAAAAGATCGCCGAACTCGAAGGTAAATAACACGGTGAACTCACTATCAGATGCTCTTTGCTTGGTATTAAAAAATTTGTTAAATTCTAGCTGAATATGTTACGAACGCGACAACTGCTACCCATATTATCTACAATCAACCGAGTGGTATTCAGGATAACGAATATAAGGTCGTCAGTGACCGTGATGGAAGGACACTGGTGCACTGGGTTGGGTACCCTGATTCATATAATGAATGGGTAGAAGACATTCATCAATTGCAAGGTGTGGCTTCTACTAGTAGCAAAGCGGAGCACGATGACCACCAGCCATACCATGTCAGTGTCGATTGGCTCAACAGCAGTTACACCTTTAACGAGTGGGCCAATGAGCAAGAATATCAAGTTGAAAATGCCGAGCCCATTGAATCGACCAACAAACGACCCATTGCTGATGCCGAACAGACGCATGAAGGTGCCTTAAAAAAGTCTAGAACCGACGAACCTGATGCTGCTACCGACGGACAGATCAAATTGGAAGAAAGCAATCTCGGTGAGGATTTGGAAATTGAGGAAGAAGCTCGAAAATATCTTGTACAACAACAATACGAAGTCCTTCTCCCATCGTATGCAGCCTGGCATGACCTTGCATCCATTCACGAAATTGAACGAAAATCATTACCGGAATTCTTCAACAATCGCAACAAAACTAAAACGCCTGCTGTATACAAAGAGTACCGCGATTTCATGATCAACACGTATAGGTTGAATCCACTAGAATATTTGACGGTCACGGCATGTAGACGAAACTTGGCTGGTGATGTTTGCGCTATTATTCGAGTACATGCATTTTTAGAGCAATGGGGTCTGATCAATTATCAGGTAAGCATCACAGTCGTCTATAATGTAAAGGCTGTATTAGCTTCTCACCGCTTCTTATAGGTTGATCCCGATGCACGACCTTCCAATCTCGGCGCACCGCTCAGTGGTCACTTTAGACCTTCCGCGGAACTGCCTCGTGCACTACAATCGCATCAGGCTGCTACTCCTTCCCAAGGAAAGCCAGCTGGGACTGTTACATCCTCTAATGAGAGTCCAGCACGCAAAGCTCTCGACACAAACTTGGAATTGAGAAAGAACGTTTTTGCCAAATCAAATAATCAACTGAATGGCACAGCTAAGGAAGAGGCAGACGAACCTAATGAATGTACTAGCTGCGGGAAGACATGCGAAGATGTTACATATCAAAGCAGCAAACCACCACACGTACATCTTTGCGAGAGCTGTTATGTGGATGGCAAGTTTCCCGCCAAGCTCTTCAGTGGAGACTTCATTCGGAAAACAAAGGTCGAAGCAAAAGAGAAGGAAGAAACCGTTTGGACTGATCAAGAGTCTTTGTTGCTTCTGGAAGGCCTGGAGATGTATTCATCAGACTGGTCTGCAGTTTCACAGCATGTTGGCACACGAACTCGCGATGAATGCATTTTGCATTTCCTCCATTTGCCACTGGAAGACCCTTACTCCATGACCACCATGTCAGATTTAGGAATGCTACAGTACAAGTTGTCAAAGGAAAGCCAAGGAGAAAACCCAATCATGTCGGTGGTTGCATTCTTAGCCTCTACCGTCGACCCAGATGTCGCTGCGGCTGCTGCTCGCACTACATTGAAAGAGCTTGGTATGGAAGGAAAGCTGGGCATTGCAGTGAAGAAGGAGAAGACTGAGAGTGAGATGGACGTGGACAAGAGCAAAGGAGATGAAGCGGACAAGACCACAACCGATGACGACAAAGCAGCCACCACTATGACTGTGCCCAATTTTGAGGAAGAAAAGCGTATTTCTAAACTGACATGCGAATACATTGGAAAGCAAGTTGAGAAGTTTGAATTGCGGTTGACCCAATTTCAGGATTTGGAAGCTGCTGTTGAAGAAGAGAAGCGTCATGTTGAACGCGAGCGACATCAGTTGTATCAAGAACGAGCCAATTTGAAGAAGATCCAATATCAAGTGCAGGCCGAGATCACAAAGCGACAGCCACCGCCACCGCCTCCTCAAGCACTTCCGAACGGCATGAGTCCAGCTCAGCTTCAACAACTCTCCATGCAGCAACCACCAAATCCTGGGCAGCTGGCACATGCCCAACAGCAGCAATTTATGAGAGTTCAGCAGTACCGGGATATGATGATGCATCAACAACAACAAGGTGTTCCACCCCCCATGCCACAATACCATCAATCTCACGGCTACAATCAAATGCGCATGCAATAACCCTACTTTCTTTTATTTTCCATTTTTTTTCTTTATTCATGTTCTAATCCTTGGGCTAGCTCACAGAAATGAAGTCGTTGTTTTTGTAAATACAGTAGATGAAAAAAATTATAAGCAATCCTTTTGAGCGTGATTCCCGTTTTGCACAGTGACGACAGTCCAGCCAAGCATTTTGATTCTCCGCCGCAATAATGAGACTTCCCTCCCCCGCGATGTTGGGATTAACTCTTCCGTCATTACTTGTTGATAACACACAATGGCGCTTCATTATTCGATATGCTTTGGCATAATGGTCACAGAGGTATGTGTAGTTAGAAAAACCTGAAATTTGTCGACTGTTCTGTATCGACACTGACTATTGATTCCTGGTTCTGTAGATCGTGATCTTTGGCGTTTTGATCGTAGGTTACAGCCTCTTGAAGCTTCGCGACCGGCTACTCACTGACGCATTTCAATGAATATTTTACCAATAGCTTCCCCTTCCTAAACACTGGCGTCGTCAGCTCGTCAAGTTTGTGTCCACGTCTCCGATGGTAAGATAGAGTCCAAATTTGGACAGTGATCCAATGGCTGACCTGCCAGTGCATTGACAAGTTTACTTCTATAGGTCGCCAAGGCTATCCATATTCTTAAGATCGTATTTGTGTAAGTGGAATAGCATGTGATAATTCTATGGCATAGAAGCTAACGATGTTCGTAAATCAGGTTCGTGTTTGTATTGTTCATCGGTAAGTGTGTATGGTGTCGGATTTCAGACAGCTGCTGGCTTCAACGTATCGTGTTTGCTAAGGGAAAAAATTTCATAGACGCAATCAACCGTCTGCAACGACCTGGCGGTCTAGATGATCAGTCTGCAGCTGGCGCTCATATGATGCATGATATGCGTTCTGGAGCTGCCCTTGCGGCTCGTAAATTTTACGCTCAGCGCAACCTGTAAGTGCTGCAATACTGTTGGAGCTATAATTATGTTATGCCACGAAAAATAACTCTTTTCACGACAGTTATTTGACTGGTTTTACTCTTTTCTTGTCTCTGTAAGTAAATTAACCTTCATCATTATCATCGAACCAACCGGTTCCGGGTCCTAATATCTCATTCGCATTGCAGCATCCTTAGCCGTACTCATCAACTTCTGCTCGAGCTGTCGGCAGCAGAGGAGGCTTTGGAAGCAAATGGCCAGGTTACGAACGGCGCAGAGTCAAAAACACTTCGTGATGAGATCGCAGAATTAAAGAAGAAGCACTTGGACTACGATACGCTGAAAAAGCAGGCGGCTCAACAAAACAAGGAATTTGACCGATTGGCTGACGAGCATAATGCTTTGGAAGAGAAATCGAGAGTAGGCATCAAGGAGACCAGGAAGGAGTTGTAATACACAAAGGATGAGAATAGCTTTTATACACTTGTGGACTTGCAGCACTTCCAAATCAATCATATTAAGCATATAAAAACATTTGAAACCGAAACCAATATATGGGTCTAAATATGAACGTCTAGCCGGCTTATGCTACTCTGTTATAGAAGTTGTTGCGCTTAAGTTCCAAAGCTTTCAAGTATGGCGCACTAATGGGTGGTTGTAATGGATCCAATGACTTGTATTCCCCGTTTTCCTTCGTCTATTACAAATATACATTAGCACGATGGCCTTATCAGAACCAAACCAAGTATCAAGCAATACTAACCTCTAGAGCATAGGTCATGTCAGAATCGTAGCCGCTAGAGCAAATGGATAGAGTGGTATTAGCAAGCTGAACAGTATGTCTGCGGGTTTACAGAGATCAACTCGTTGGTTACCTCAAGTCTCCACAAGCAATGAATGGAACAATGGTTCTATTAGGGCCAGTCAATTGATTGTCTCCACTGTAGTGGAAATCAAGTAGTGGATTTGCCATGGTTGGAACGTAGCCTTCTGGTGGTGAATAGTTCTGACATACAATGAATGATTCTAAAGTCCAATGGAAAGAGTTTAGTTCCACAAGACTCTTAACCAGTAAGTGCACAGGATAAATCATGCATCATATCGTACCAATACTAGAATTGCGAGAACTTCGTGGTTTGCTGCATGTAACCACAGGGAAGAAAACCTTGAGTTGTGAATAAAGAAGTGTGATATCTTTGCCTCTGAAAATTTTGGCAATGAATGTGCCGCCGGGTCGCAAAACGTGAGTTGTAATGTTGAGTGCCTAGGTAGAATCGTTGATATTAGCTTTTTTCCATTCACACATCCAGGATGTTGTTGGTTACTTACAGCAAGAAGAAGTTGTGCTTGGATATATTCATCCATGTCATGGAGACCAGTCACTATTCATCCATCACTGGTTAGCCCATCTATAGCATTGATGCTTGTGATAAATGCTATACCGCTCGGGATCCTTACCATCTGGAGCACCATCGCATACAACAATATCAGACAATTTTCCTTCAAAATACGATATGATTTGTTCAGCAGTCGAGACCTTGGTGATATCACCTTGAAGCTGGATCACTCCAGGAAGTGGAGCCTACAAACCATGACGCCCATGAGAAAATAAGTCGAAATTTATGAGATTGATCAAAACGGATGACATACCATGGCCTGTAGATCAACTGCAACAATCTTTGGTGGCTCTTCTTGAGGATTATTGGCGTGGTTCTCGCTATTGAATAGAGTGATCAGTAAAAATACATAATCAACGATGCATTAATAAATGTAGCATACCTTAAACGTTTGCTGAGCACTTGTGACCAACTTCCCGGTGCAGCACAGAGATCGACGGCTCTATGTATACCTGTACGATATTAATTATTTAGTACTGGTATAGAGTTTCCTTCACTGCCCATCACTACTGACCTTCAAACAAGTTGAATTCTTCGTCCAGCTGCATCAGTTTAAAAGCACTTCGGGCTCTCCATCCTTGTTCTTTTGCTAATCGATAATACTATGCTGGAAATTAACAGCTGATTTCAACCTTGCAATCCACCTAGTGTGATACTTGCCACATCGCGCTTATCCTTTGAAGATTTGCCCATGACTACCGAACTGTATTTCGTCTGTCAGACCTGTGCTTTTTTTTCTTGAAATTGACTTGAAAGGAAGAGCAGTCACAGTACTGTTGCTTCACCTCTAAGCACACAACTTGTTCGAGCGAATGAAGCACAAGGCTGAACGATCAGTCACAGAGGGTCCACCCATCGCCACCATTAGTGGATGGGAAGATGGCCAGCAGTTTACAAGATCCCTCCAAAAGCTAGATCGCTGGGAATTGCAAGCAGCCGACGTTTTGACAGTTCATATCGGGGACATTAATATACAGCTCGGACAAGACCCTCATTCGCCACACTTGGGCGGTTATGTTTGGCTTTCTTCGATGGTCCTCTGCTCTTACCTTCAAAATCTCGCACTGTATCACCGTAGAGATCGACATGAACCTGTTAAATTGGATGATACATCCACCTGGATCGAGCTTGGCTCTGGAGTTGGCTTGATGGGGATCATGCTTGCAAAACTTGGAGTGCAACGGGTAGTTATGACAGACATTGAGGAACTTGTCGACACCATGAAATCCAATGTCAGTTTAAATGATATGGTGTGCAAAGATTTGGACGGTCGGATAATGGCTCAACCCAACGGCAAAGGGGAAATCGTGGTAGCACCTCTTTTCTGGGGTGACAAAGAGGCTATCCACAAAACGAAAGATCGGTATAAACCAGATTATATCCTAGCTTGCGACTGCATCTATTCCGAAGCCAGCGCTATTGACCTGGTAGAAACAATGGCCTTGCTGTGTACTCCATCGACCATCATTGTGTGCATGAGTGAAGTTCGTAACCAAGCTGCGCAAGACGCTTTCATTCGAGAAGCGGAACGACTCTTCCATGTAGAATTAGTTCCTACCGTCAAATGGCACGGAAAAGTAGCTAAGCATATTGCCTTTGATGAAACTCTCAATCTGTATCGCTTAAAAATACGGTGAAAATAAAGAAAGATATTGTCAACAAGCTATTTACTTTGACAGTGCAAAACCCAAATTTGGAACGTGATACTGAAATTTCCCAAATCTGCAATTTTGCATTTGAGACCCCCAAGGCTAATCGCATTCATTCAATCGTTTGGAAGAGTAAAGCCATGCAGGTGGGACGTGACAGCGTCACGAAATGGCTCCCGTTACCTAAGATTGCTCACGGCATTGTGATCTATCCTTTCTCACCCACTCCGAATCTCAATGCTCAGTCAAATGCCAGCGGTCAAACCTCAGCAACCACATTACTCACTCCAACCTCATCTCGACCCAATACCGCCTACTCTACCATCCAATCTCCCTTACTTTCACCTTTTACTGACGACGGTTCATTTGTGTCTGGGAACAGCGTACCAACTAGTCCAGTTCCCGAGCCTATCAAGCCAAGCGATTTAAACGCACTGATACCTTTGGAAGTCGGAGACGAAGTTTTCATCATTGAGCAACAGAAGTCTTGGTATCGTGGCTACGTCTTACGTGCATTGAATCATGGTGAGCTCCCAAGTACTGCGCCAATTGGATGCTTTCCGAAAAATCACGTTCATATCAAAGGTTATGTGCGCGTGAGCTCTTTGAAGCCGGAGAAAAATCGAATATCGGTGGCTGTCGACCCTATGGATCCCAATATCATCCCAGATGTCGAACAAGTTGGCTCACCAGATAGTAGCTCATCAATGCTGTCTTACATGGCTGCCCGCCCTCCAAAGCTTCCGAGATCCCTTTCAGAGTCCAATATCACTACCAAAATGAGCAGTACGAAGCCCATTCCCGATGAAACCATCGATGAAGGAGAAACTTTTCGTCCGGGCAGTGCGACTAGCATGTCCCATTCGTCAGCATCAAACTTCCTCTCATCTTTGGATTTGGCCGAAGCGAACCATCCTCAGCCTGTGCAACAGAAAAGCGAGCCCGCCCGACTACCTCCACTTCCCTTCACGCGATATGGCCAATCGACTGCTACAGGCGAGAGTGAGCCTCTTATTGACGAAATCGCCGCATGTATACGGGAATGGAACTGTCGCCTATATAAACATCTGTCTGACCGACGCTACGCAGCGTTCAATTCTCTCAAGGATCAAATTAATTATTTATTTCAAGCGCGCAGACAGCTGTTGGACCAGACATTGTCGAGAGAGGAATTATCCAGATTACGAAAGGAGTTGATTCATAGGATGGTGGTCATCAATGTGATACAGGGTGGTGAAATGCTACTGAGGCACCCACATGTTGGCCACTTGTTGGATCTACATAACACATCCATCGCCACTATCTATCGCATGCATTTTGAATACGCCAACAAAGACTTGAGCACTCCGAACGCTCTACTGAGCTCTACTAATTTGGGGTCTGGTCTCCTGTCATCAACCTCGGCGCTTAAACTCCCTTCTCCGTCTATCACCGCATTGTTATTGAACTCGACTTCTGGCCTAACAGAACTGACTGAAAATATGCAACCGGCTTCTCCTGGTGTTATACATCCACCATCGCCTTTGATCCTAAACGCTCCAACTGGCACCACTAAAGGCGCCAAATTTTATCATCTATACTTTGATCTCAAGGCTTGTGTTGCTCACATTTGTCAACCAGGAGAATACACAGAGCTTTATTTTTCTCTTTACAATCGGCTGGACGAAAAGTTCTTAACTGAAGAGTTCTTGGTGGTGATGAACTACAATGGTATGCCCAAGGATGAGAACCGTATAGGCAAGCTCAATACTCTCTTTACCCAGATTTCGAATCACGACTTGAACAAGGACATCTATTTGGTGTGTCGTATTGTACGTATGGGTGCAATGAAATTGAGTGACAAAGATCATGTCTCATCTCTGTCTGGCGGACAAGCGTCAATCATAAGCGGACTGACAGACTCCAAATCCTACTTCGACATCGCTAACGGTAAGCAGCACCAAATCAGTTTACAACACCAACTGGCTCAGCAGCGCCATGTAAGTCAACCTGCCGCTCCTCAGCCAAATAATGCTCAGCATGGTCTTCGAAGACCATTTGGCTGTGCTGTTCTTCATCTTGGCGGTCTTCTAAAGGGTACTTCAACAAATCAAACACTTGCTCCCGGACCATCATCCAGTGCATATGCGGCTTCACCTAGTGTGAACCCAACGTCCGCTTCCCTTCCTTCGTCCTCAGCCGGTACACCCGGCCTAAGCATTCGAACCAACCTTGGTGCTGCTAATTCTAGAGATATGCTAGCGGCCGAACATTTCATGCCGATTTATACCCCAACCACAGAATCTGGCTATTCGTGTCTGATCAACAATATCATTGATGAGACGCCAAAGGAATATGAGCGAAATCCAAGAGCTGAAATGCTATGTGTTTATTTGCGACTTTTCCACGGTGAATTGGATAATGTAGTCAAGACCAACACTGGATTACTACAAGATGTACCGATCACATCGTGGCTAGGCTTCCCTGATGTAGTCTTCCCAGGTGACGAGCGGAATGAGCTGTACATATCTTTATCATCTGGTGATTTCTCTCAAATGGGTCGTTCCAAGAACGTTCAAGTCACTGTCTGTGTCAGAAGCAATGTCACTGGTGATGTAATCGAAGACGCATTGCATCCAGCAAGTGGGGTTGGTCCAACAACCTACTGGGAAAGTATGGTCTTTTATCACGATCAACGACCGTCTTGGGAGGAGACCATCAAGGTGAAAATTGCAGATGTTGATATATGGGAGAAATCACACATCTTCTTGACTGTACGACACCGTAGCAGTAGTGGTTACAGCAGTCAACAATCTCATAGTGGACACAGTTCTTTGTATCGAGGTCAATCCCACTCACCTCAAGGCTTAGCATCGGAAAAAATTGTAGCGTTTGGATTTTTGCCTCTGTTCTTGCCACCCGTGTTCCAAAACTTTGTGGTTGATGGTACGCACAAGCTTGCTCTCTATCGATACGACAAGCAATTAAGCAATCCAGGGGCATATTTAAATGTTGTTCCATGGTGTGTGCAGTCCACGGCTCCAGCCAACATGTCTACAACCAACAAGCAGAATAACCGTGTAACGATGAGGCATGGTAGCCAGAGTAGCATAGGCTCAAAAAATGCTCTTGCAATCGTTCCCAATGGAAGCAACAATAGTCTTGGCCGGCAAGATACAAATCATTCAGGTACAACGATTATGGGCTCTCCTATTGGTATCTCCATGCCATTGCCTAGCACCACCATGGCTAACAATGTCAAGCCTGTTGTTCTTCGCGATACCGTCAGCTTCCAAACGTTCCTATGCTCCACACAATATACACAAAATCAAGTGTTGGTGCAGCTGCTGAACTGGCAGTCCTTTTTTGAAAGAGGCCAGGAAGGGAAACAAGAACTTCAGTCAGTGTTAGACCAATTTACATTTGTCGGTGAAATGGAGATTGTGAAGTTCCTTGGTGATATTTTCGACGCTTTGTTTGGCATATTGACTACCAACCATATGAAACGCCAAGATGTTCAAGACATGGATGACAAAGTCGTTGAAAGTATAGTCTGGGTTCTCGGTATCATACAAGACAGGCGATTTAGCAACTTCCGGCCCGTCTTGGATGTCTACATTGAACAACTGTTTGCCCAACCCGGTCTACAATCTACTGGCATTACTTTTGGCAAATCTCCTCCCAAAGAAGCGTATGTATATGACGCATTGTTAAAAAGCCATTTGAGATTATGCTCGGATCCTGCCGATATCGTTCGTGCCAAGAAATTACGAAGCAGTATGAAAGTATGGGAATATCTTTTCCGTTTTATTGTCCGGTCTCGAGAAGTTGCACGGCAAACTGAAGAAGAGAGCGAGCGTACTTTGCGCGATATTATGTTTAAGGAAGAGCTTCAGCAATTGATGAAGTTGATCAATGGCATCATGAGTCCCGACCTTCCCAGCTCCATGATAGGATCGCAGACACTGGCACTTCAACACTTTGCAAGTATTCTTGGCGAATTGCGTAGAGTCTTTTTGCCAAGCGAAGTATCGGATATCATCATTAGCTTTTTGGATGCTTCGGCGCATGTCACGGGCAAGCTTGTAGCCTATCGATTGTGTACTATTATTTTTGTCATCAAGAGCCCAATCTTCATGGACATGGATAGCAAGAATTCTCTAGTACCTAAGGTAGTGCATTGGATAGAATGCTGGATTAGACCTTACTCACAAGTGGTAAAGGAGCAAGAATCCGGTTCTGCTAAAGACACCAGTATCCCGCCGAATCAAGCCATTCCTTCTGTAAGTCGTGCGCAATGGCTTGAAAATTTGCGACTGTCTATTACCATTGTGTACCTTGTATTTGAGAAAGTACGAGGATACCGATCCATGTCACACACATCAACCAGTCTCTCCTCATCCTGGGTCTCTTCTATGTTTTCACTCAAAAGTGTCTCGCAATTCCGCCCTATTTCACTGGCTACGCACGACGAATATGACGAATCCCACGAAGACCAAATGATGGCTGCCGAACATGAAGTTGCAGAAATTACAGTGACGCTGTTATCACTGCTCCCTCTTTTATTGAATACATACATGGAACTACAAGTTATCGTGAGTCAATGTTACAAGGCTATGCTACAGCCCAATGCCTCAGCTTCATCCACCACCTCTCCAACGTCAGCTTCGTTCGGTCAGAGCGGAAAATCGCCCATTAGTTCAGGTCGAAATTCTATGAGTTTACGCGATCGAGCAAACTCTGTCTCTAGCAAAGCACAAACTGTACATGCACAGGGCTTTTCTAGCCAGTTCACCACCCAATCTGCCAGTAACAGCCAAAGCATACTCAGCAAATGTCCGGCGACGCCCTTCCCGTCCGTTTACCCATTTCCATCTACACCCGCCGTCAAGACCAATCTGAAGACATCCAAACTGGATGTCACACCTCTTATTTCATCTGGATTGTCGGACATTAGCGTCATCATCCTTGAACTTTTCAACGTGGTACCTTCGCACGAATGGAAACAGTATTTGGTCAACACGGTTGAAGAGCAAGGCACTCGCAAAGCATCTATGATCATTCGCGAAGTGTGTGGTGTCTGCTTGGGTCTGCTTCAAGGAGAGATGATAAATCCCGAACAAGACGATGACTCTCTCCAAGACATTGATTCTTCCCTATTCGAGAAAATTGCCGCAGCTCGTGCTATACCAAGGAACTGGCTCAATTTGCAAATGGTAGCTCATCAAGTCGTCATTAATTCTGTGTTGACACCCATCATAGAGCTAATAAGAGAGGGATATTTCCCACTGGACTCTAAAGCTGAAGTTGGATACGAGCTTGAGGCGAACAACAATCCCATGGCTTTGTGGGAATGTGTACTGAGAACTATTTTCACGGTTGTCTCCAGCCGAGAGCTTGAAATTGACAGGTTCCTCCCCCAAAGACAACATGCTATGTGGAAACTTGTGGGTGATCTTCGAGGTGGTTCTGGTGTGCACGCTTTACTCGTTTTATGGGCAGCATATGGATTGGATCAGCAATTACCGGACGCCGTGGACGAAGATGAAGAAGCGGATGAAAAAATGATGGATGATGACGAATTGGAGACCAGTAGTGAACCAGATATATCAATTGATAAGAATCCTGAGTTGGAGACATTCAAATCGCGATCATCTGTTACCTCCATAGAAGACATGCAACACCGACCATCGCCATTGTCCATTGTCACCAATGTCCCTCTTCCCAACAAACTGACCATTTTCCATGCGCGAGCTACGCCTCTTATTGTATTACCTCTGTGCAAAATGTGCTTAGCCAGCCACGACTATGTTCGTGAAGTTGCGTCAAACATGATGATTGATCTATTCGTCATTGAATACAAGCGGACTGGCAATGTGATGAGATTGCAACAGTACTTAATTGGCACCATGGATCATTTGCTCATGGTCGAGAAAATAGGAACCCCTGTTTCCCGTCATCGACTTGTTCTTGAACTTCAAAACAGCCTTCAGCAACATATCGGATCGATCAACACTGAATGCTATGAACTTTGCACCAGCGCCATTGCATCTTTGGCAACCTTCCTTGATTTACTATTACAAATCAGAAGTTTACCGCAAGACAACGATGAGTACATGGACGAGCGCATCAACAGTACACTCAAGCTGATGCGATTTATTCAAATGATCGAACGAGAAGAGATCTATATTAAATATGTACATCAACTAGTTCACCTACAATTGGAAAGCAACAATTCCGTCGAAGCCGCTTTGACCTTGAAACTACATGCCGACTTGCTAGAGTGGGATCCGTACACTGAGTTGGGTGCTATCACGGAATTGAATTTCACAGCCCAGACTGCGTTTGCAAGGAAGGAAAAAATCTACTTCAAGATGCTGGATTATCTTGAACGCGGCAAGGCATGGGAAATATGTGTTGATCTATGCAAGGAATTGGCTGATCATTATGAAGCAACCACCTTTGATTATATTCGTTTGAGCGATATTCTTTCAAGACAAGCAGGTTACATTGAAAGTATTGCAAAGAAGGAACGCTATTATCCAGAGTACTTTAGAGTCGGATATTACGGCCGTGGATTTCCTGTCAGTGTGCGCAATCATCAAGTGGTATTCCGAGGTTTCGAATGGGAGAAGATTGGATCGTTTATTGAACGCATACAAAACAAGCATCCCAATGCCGAAGTCTTACCAGCCAAATCAAATAGCGGAGGGTCTATATCTGATCAAGAGCTTAAAGAACTTGAAGCGTCACCTGATGGTCAATATCTGCAGATAACTGCTGTAACGCCAGAACCCGTTCGCGACGATCGACCCATCTTCAGCAATCAACTGGTCTCTGATAATATTCGCAGTTATTACATGGCGAACGAAGTCAGTCGGTTCTCTTTCTCTAGACCTGTTCTCAAGCCGGTTGTCAATCCTGATGATGGGTCCTCCAACAAGCCAGAGAACGATTTCTTGAATCTATGGACTGAAAAGACCACTTTGATATGTGAGGATTCATTCCCAACCATTCTTAGACGATCTCGGGTCATCAAAACCATTGTTGTAGAGCTGTCGCCCATTGAAAATGCCGTGCATGCTATGGAACAGAAAAACAATGAACTTATGGCACTGGAACGAAAATACGCTCAAACTATTCCTAAGGCGTCCAAAAGTTCACAGTCGTCAACAAACACCAATAACATCAATCCATTTTCCATGGCTCTCAATGGTGCGGTCGATGCTCCTGTCAACGGTGGTGTACCCATGTACAAGATGGCATTTTTGTCCGGTGCCTTCGCTAATCAGCACCCCGATATGCTGGAATGGGTTCAGCGATTGCGCGATACAATAGATGATCAGGTAAGGCGAATCGTTCATTCATCATGAGAACATGGGTCTGTTTATCTAGTGTCATTAGGATTTTGACACCTTTGCCTTTTTTTGAACCACAGGTACAAATCTTGGAAAGATGCTTGGAAGTACATAACAAACTTGTTCCTCTCGAAATGCGCCCACTGCATAATAACTTGGTCAAATGTAAGTGTCGTATAATGTTTTTAAGGAAATTTTACGGGCGCTTTTCTGACCATGCGTACGCTCTGTCATGATAGTCTTCCGCAAAAACTTCAAAGATGAAATCCAGCGTGTCAATTTGAAACGCAGAATGTCACAAGCTGCTAGTAGAGCTTCTCGCAATTCCAAAGTTTTGTCAGCTACATCCCTACAGGAAATTATTGACAGAACACCAACGAACCGACAAGGATCCGTATCGCCTGGATTGGCGTCTCCTGGAGTTGGTGGTTCTGGCAACCCTAAACATGGAGCTATGCCGCCCATCAGTCGAGCGTTTTCCATTCGACCCAGTTCAATGATATTGACCGGCATGGATGATAACCTACAGGTGACGGACGAAGACCTTTTGACGGCAGGCAAGAAAATGGCGCCTTCCGATGTTTCATCCAAAGCAGAGAGCCTTTCTCGATCCTTCAAAATGAGTCTGCGTATGAAGGCAGGCAGGCGACGCACCTCCAGTAACCCTGACATGATGGCCGATCTTATCGCGAACCCACCTGGTCAACGGTCGACCAAATCCACTCTGAACACAACATCGTCCTCTTCACCTTCGCTGCTATCCTCTTCCAATTCTAAATCTAGCAAGAAACGTACCTGGGCTTTTTCAAAGCCACGTTAGAACGGTCATGGCTTCTTGGGATATTGATAAAAATATTCCCACTTTTTTACTTTTTCATAGAGCTAATTTTGTTTTTTTTCGTACAAATCCTAATTGTCTTTCATGGTTACGTTTCTTTTTCCATCGTCGCTCCTTTTTGTATCCTTTATTACTAGCTTTTCGGAAGCAAAATAGCTGCGTTATGTTGATGATACACTCAACAAGCAGAAGAAGAAGAAGAAAAAAAAGAACAATTAAACAAGAAATAGCAATACCAGAATGTATGAGTGAATGGGATGCATGGAGAGAATGTCAAAGAGAATGAGAAGGTTGTGTGAAGTGAATTCTATAGTGTGGCACATTTAAGGAGAAAAATAGGCAACATTGACAACGGTGAGTGGGTTGGGGGGTTTTGTAGGAAAGTCTAAGCAATCCCTGCCATCCACAGGACGGGGATGCCAAAGTTCGTTTTGGAACCATCTTGGTCGGAAAGGTCGGTGTTGAGACTCTGGTCGATGGCTGCAGCGTCCCATTTACTACCTACTTGACTTAATCGCTTCTTGAGAGCATCGTAGTCACCGCTGTTCATCATGTTTCGGGTATCATGATCTTTGCTACTGTATGCATAAGCAGCGTGGGCCATATGTAAAAGAGGACGAAGTCGAGGTGTCATTCCGCTGTTTCCATGTAAAGCCACGGCCCGAGACAACCGCAATCCGCCTGCCGGTGCATAGTGCCAAATATCCTTACTGATACCCGTGTTTTGAATAGCACGAGCAAGAAGTGTCCAATATTGTAGATTGAGCGTTTCATAATGAAACTTGAGTTTGTCGAAATCCGCTGAAGTGCCCGGCAAAGGCATGGTTGCTTGAGCAAAGGCAATTTCATACGGTTGTGAACCATCAGACGAAAACTGTTTGCCAATCCTCATACGACATCGATTGGCCACTCGTAAATAGAGTCGCAAGTCATCGGTGAACGTCGCCAAAGCTGCCACTTGTAAATCGTAAAGCACACTGCGGTGATCGGGAAGTTGAGCAAGATGAATTCCAGTAGGCGAGTTCACAAGGTACTCCAAAAATTCAGAGGCGATGGATTGTAGTTCAACGTATTCTTTATGCGTGAGGGTTTGCGTCTTGTGTAAAATGCGTATGGCGTCAAGAAAAGGGGCTAGGTTGACTTTGGTCAAATCATGAGGTATCGGGATGGGATTGCTGCCATACTTGGGAACAATACGAGGAACACGATTCAGACTTGGGAACGAGTATCCTTGATCTGATAAGAAGTCCAACATATGACCCTTGTCCTGTATGACGCGTGCCATGTTATATTCCTCTTGCGTATCGATGGCATATTCATTCAAAAAATGAACTCTAACAAGATTAGCTGCCCATCGTCCATATTTTTCATTGCCAACGAAGTATCGCGCCAATGCCAATACAGTCACATTGTCGGCAAGTGGGCCAAGGAAGTTTGGATCATCACTTGATATGTTACGAGGCTGGGCCGTTCCCTCATTCCTGACAACAAAATCGGGTTTTAAAAATTGTCTTGCTGCCAGTGGGTCTTCATTATGTCCTGCATCGTCGTCACGTTGATCTTGTTCCCCAGGATGCTGACTTATTTCTGGCGCAAACCGCCCCTCGATATCCGCTAAAATAGTATTGGCACGCGCTTCAATGTGATCGACCATCTTTCGAACATCCGGGTCACCACTCCAAAGCGAATATCGAATCTGTGCAATTTCGTTTTCATTGAATAAGAAAAGATGTTCTTGTCGGAAGGTACGGCGAGCGAGTTTTTCGTCTAAAGCATCCAAATAATTTTGAATAGCGAGCAAGCGATTGAAGGCTCGAATGGAAGTAGCTTCTTTCTTATTCTCCTCTTGCTGGGGATTACCAGAGAATAATCGAAATACCCATCCAACCGTTTTGAAATTGCCTTTGTCCTTGCTGTACGGTCGCTCTTCTGCCTCCCAAGGTACGACGGGTCGGTTAAGGGAACGTCGATTTTCCAAGGCTCCAATACGCCATAGAAGCTCAAGCTATATCGATTGGAAAAAAAAAAAAAAAACATGATCAGTATTGTGCGCACGTTGCTGATTTACCAACACCCCATGGTGTCACTCTGAGATCATATTCTCCAAAGCTTACCTTGCTGCGCCGACCATAGCGCATGTTTGGATTGTACTCCTCTTCACTGTCATACCTAAATATCAGCTGAGGCTCTTCGGGGGTCTTTGGTTTCTCATCCATGCCATCCAGTAGGACGGAGTTATTGAGTAGACGGGTCATGGGGACTACGAAATACTTGGTATTGTGGCCATAGCGCTCCAGCTGAGATCGGATTTCTTGGAAACTATTGACGCTCAAGAAGCAGTTTCCATCGAAGGGCATGATCCAGCGGGTATTGGATAAAGATTTGGCATGTCGTAGGGCAGTGTTTCGTCCACCATTCTTTAAATGGGGTGGAAGTAGACGAAAACAAACAAGCCAAAAATAAGTGTTACTAAATCCGTGCTCTAATGTTTTTTTTGGCGGTCCACCAATGTCGCAATCGTACAGCCAAAATATCACTTACATTATTCATGGCATACAAGTTCTTGTCATGATACGTATAATCCAACGTGCGTAATTTCGCCACCTTAGAGAAATGCATGTAATCGTCCGAATGAAGAAAGTCTTTTTCCGGGAAGTCCTCTAGTCGAAAATCCATTTTGACGTAGTCCTCTTCATGAAAAGGCGCTCGAATATATTCCATTTTATATTCATCTAATAATCGAATGATGGCCGCTTCATTCACAGGATCCACAATCCGATTAAGCAAAAAGATTTTCCGAGTATTTGGAAAGCTCTGTTCATGTTGGAGGATAAAAGCAAGATTCGATAACGTCTGACCTTCCTTGTGTCTCGGTGGCAAATCGTTACCAATGATACGATACAACAGGATTTGATCTCGGACCGACGGCTCAACTGGCGCAAAGGCTGGAGCTTTTTGGTCTCGAGGTCGTTCATAAGCAGGGGGAGTAGACGTTTGAGCTGGTGCAGAAGTAAAGAAAGGCAGGTACGACAGAATAAGCAGTATAGCCAATACAACCACTATGAGACGAGCCCAGCGTTGGTAGAGTCGCTTTTGACTGGTGCCATATTGATTGTAATAGTATGGTTTTGAATAATGGTCATGCTTTTTAGAATGATTGTTGTACATGGATGAAGTAAATGCTGGTTTTGTTTGCCGCGGCTTGGGGGACCCATTGGTATCCATAATAGCATCAATGTTGAGATCTACAGATTTTTTTGTTCGTGAAGATGGTAAGCCATTCTCTGCCAAGCTGGCAGCACTTGGCATTATATTTGCAAAATGTGAGAGGGATGAAGGGGAAAGAGAATGTCTTGATACGGAATGGGACGATAGAAAGTTCAGAAAATTGACAAGAGTGGAAAAAATGGAGCTACGATTGTTGCTTCGCCGATGACCAGTCACTGAAATTACGTTGGGTCCCCAATATCAAACACAGCCCATGGAGGTTTACGCTCTCAGCCACGCATGGTCCAGCATTTCTTGAGCACTGGCACGATGTTCATATCGAAGCATGGGTAGTAGAAAGCTGGCAATGTCTTGCGCTTGTTCCTTACGCATGCTATATTTTTCATGTAGTACATCGGCAAGACCCCAATGCCGGAGTCGACTAATGTGCCTCAGCTCGCCTCGGTGATTGAAATACTCTTGGCTTCGCTTGCCAGAAAGCGCAAAGGAACGGGGCATATCGCCTATCAGCTCTATCATTTGGGCGAGGTGATCTTAGCCACACACAAAAAATGGCTTGTTAGTTGGTGGGATCTTTTTACTTTTAATACAATAAAATAGCACTCACCATCATCACGATTGTGTCTTGCTCCCTTCTGAGGGTCAAACAAGTAATCTCCAGTGATCAATTCGAACATCTGTCAATCATCATAAGACAAATGTTGGGTTAGCCTGTCCATCTTTAAAACCGTCAAATGTGGCTACGGAGAGGGGTTTCCGATGTGGAGTCTCCACCACATAGAACCTACCATGCAAGCAAAGCTCCAAATATCTGCTTCAGGTCCCCAAGGGGCACCAATGATAACTTCCGGAGACCGATATTGTCGAGTTTGAATATCTTCAGTGAAGTGATGATTGACCCAGCAAGCGTTACCCAAATCGGCAATTTTGATATTAATAAGGTCCAAAGAATAAGGCACTTCAATAGCTCTAATGTTCAAAACTATCAGCAACCTTGTCTTTGAGAAACTCCATACGACAGATTGGAGGACTTACTGGTCTCTATAACGGCCGCCTTTTGTTGAGTGGGGCCGTCCGCGGTGATCCATGCTATCCCGACTCTCCGTGTCAGACGAGAGTGGCTGAGAAGCTATCATTTGCACTCGGTCATGGCGATGGAGGCTGCGTCCTCGGCTTAGACCGTCACGAGATCGCTCGGGATCACTGTATCGTGGTCTTTCCTTTACATGATCATCCATTCGGTCAGGTTCGATCGTGGCAGCGGCTTGTGCGGCTGATTTTCGTACAAGCTCTTCTGCGTTATCTATACACATCAAAACATTTTCTGGTTTAAGATCCGTATGAATGATGTGACACTCCCTATGAAGATAATCCAAGCCGTAAAGCATTTGCTTGGCGATTTGCTTGACCAAATGAATCGGTATGCCGCGATGTTTGTACCGTTTGATTAACGCTAGCAAGTTTTCACCAAGAACTTCAAATGTCATGCAAACGTGCGTCCCATTGGTGCCGTTATGCATAAAATCATCGTAAACTCCAGTAACATGTTGGCGTCCAATGGCAGTCGGGTTCTTTTCCGCCACTGTTTTCAATAGCTTGACCTCGTCTAATGCGGTTTCGGTATAATGTTTGGCAGATTTGACCACTTTCAGTGCGAAATGTCGATCTGTACTACATCGTTTCAACGCGATAAGTACGACGGCTTGGCAAAGAGTACTTTATGGCATGGACGGTATCTCACCTATTGTCTTTGACTAGCCATACGGTAGAGAAATGACCCCAGCCCAATTTTCGAATGATTGTATATTGGCCATCTTTAAACTTGTCGCCTATATGAATAGGATGGTATCCTCCTTTTCTATAATCTTCCCGATCTTCTTCCTCGTTTTCAAATTCCTGGTCTCCATCATTATCTGAGCCTCCTGACGATCCACTGGCATATGATCGATCTCGTTGAGATCGTTTTTCAGGTGAACGCTTTGCATGTTTTCTCCGCCGTTCATACTTGCTATTTGGATGGCTGCGTGGCGATTTTGAACGATTGCGATGTGGATAGCTAGACAAGATGAAATAAAAAAAATTAGGGGGAGGGGAGGCAAATTAGTCAAATCGCGCCACAGTCAGCCTCATAAATGGCAACATTGGAACAAAAACATGGGCCTGCCCTTAAGTTTGCCGTGGCCAAAGTTGTATTTAACCCAACAGCTAGCCGTCCAAAAGAAAGGTCACAGCTTCAGTTCCCATCACCAAACTTATATCCTTACCTGTTTCTGTACGCATCGTGTTCTGAATGGACATCTCGCCGAAAGCGATCTGTGCGCTTGTGGCCCCGATACCTGTTGCCGGAATCATGGTATCGACGCTTGTCAAGTGAGGAATCCACTGCAATGATGGAAGAGGAGTTAGCATTTGCATAGTCGCTTATTCTTCAAAAGTGCATTCAATATGGTACTTGTATATGTCACTCTACAGTGAATGGCAGTTGTCGACAGAGGGGTGTCGTGTATGAGCTTTTTAAGGTGAATTCAGAAGAAAAAAAAAAAGTACTGCTGGCGGACATCAAAAGTCTGATTTTTGACTCTTCGACCACTCGTTCTCAAAAACACACTGTCGCATGTAAAGGAGAGCAGCTATGTCAGCATATTGATTGCGTACAAAGTCCAGTATTTTTAGAGAGCAACGTATGACGAGCCCACTTGTATGCCATGGTCAGTTATACTATCGTACACAAAATTTGACTTTTGCACTATTCAATAGGAACAAAAAAGTTTGCTGTTTAGGAGGTAAGCGTACAGATTATATTTCTTTATAAAGAAAGACTTGTCTTTTGATATTGTATATGTTACATTTAAATAACTATAGTCATACACGGAGGAGAGCTATTTAGGGTGCAGCAGTAGCAGCGGGGTGGAAATCTGCCATAAGAGCCTCACCAGCTTGCCAGGATCCGAAGATCAGACCGACAAGACCAAGCAGCACACACAAGAAGCACCAGGCAAGTTCGTATATGGGCTTGTTTCGGATGCCAGTAAGCTTGAGATAACAAATGACAGGGAAAGCGAAGATAATTAAGCAGTTGGCCACAGCACCTAGCATGGACATAAAGTCACCAAAGTATGGCACGAAGATGGCCACGACGACGACGACAACCATAAGGATGATTCTAAAAATGACTCGGAGTATCGTTGCCATCCACTTTCCACGTTCCTCCTCAGATATGTGAAGCATCCTCTCACAGTCAAGCGCGAGCGATGTGACAAGGAGTGGTGTGGCTAGAATGACATGGATGGTAATAATGATAGCAGCGGCGGTTTTGGCGGCAGAATCTGGCAATGACGCATAGATGGGAGATTGAACAGTATCACCGTAGATATAGTAACCAGGAACAGCACAGAGGAAATAAAAGGCCATACAAGTGGACAAACCACCAAAAACAACCTTGTTCCAATCCTTTGGTCGTCTCATACTTGCTTCGACTGCGGGATAAATTGGGTTTCCACCTAAAGGTAAAATAAAATGGTTACTACATGTTCAAAAGTAGAAAAGAAAATTCACTGCAGAGGGAGCTTACCATAACTGAAAGAGATGGAGCTAAGAGCGACAGGAAATTGATCCCAAATAACCGAATCGTGTTGGACAGCGACGGGATTTGTTTTGTGATCGTTCACAGCGGTAGCAACGACGATGACGACGCAGATGAAAGTGCAAACGACACCAGCGGCACTAAAGATACCAATTTCCTTCATGGATCGGAAGAAGACGAAAGGAACAGCGATGACAGCAGCCCAGATAATTTTCCAGATAGCAGGAGTCAGCTCTGCTGAGGTCCCTTTGAGAATGACTGAACTGAAGTTGGATCCACAAAGCATGACATACAACATCGAAACACCAAGCAATAGAATGACGTTGAAGAAGAAAATTACAATGCCGCCGATAGGACCAAATGCCTCTCTACCGACATCATAGTAAGAGTCTAGTCTTCGTTTGCCGTTGGCATACAGGCATCTGATCAATATGATACCACAATAAGAAGCCATCAACCAGGACAGGCCGAGAATAAAAAGACCAATCCAACCACCTTGTCGAAGGGCGTAAGGTAGAGAGAGAGCACCGGTACCAGCGACAACGCATACAATATTGAAATAGGCCCAGAAGGAAGAACCTTGACCAGGGCGTTCTGCCCTAAGATCAGAAACTATGCTCTCGGTGTCATCTGTGGAAGCCGGATATTTGCCCAGTTAGTACAACAAACAAATTGAGAGAGGGGTTACCGAGTTTGAACAATGAAAGATGTGTAACTTACAGACTGATGCGGCATCGTCAACGGTCTCTTCAGGCTTTTTCTCTGATGAAAACATATTTCAATCAGAGGGTAAGGGTATGAGTGTGGGGAAAAGGAAGAAGAGAGTCCTTGCTGCGAACTAGAACATTAAAAAAAAATCTCAAAACTCAGAGGCACCTTGTCACGAAAAAAAAAAAAAAATTAGAAAGGGAATCAAAGGTTTGCCTTTCCTTTAATCTCCGATGAAACCTTGCCGAGAGCTTGGGAAGGTCTATCGCATACAGGAAGAGAGCTTGCGTACTCAAATTGATAGAAACTGTCGTAATATGGCCATAGTCAGAGGCTTGGTTACTTAAAGCTGGCTAGAAAACTGAGGACCTGTCAAGAAGTTAGTTTCGCCAAAGGGTTCGTCCATGTGACTAACCTGGCCCATAAGCCAATTAAAAATGATTTTCAAAATGTTGCCTAAGCATCGGCTTTATCTCCGAATGTGCCAGTGAACCTTTGACACCAAAATGTTTCTGAGGGAAGCAGCTAATTGGTATGAATGTACACAAATATGGGCAGTTGGATTCTACTGTACAGGTGCGGATGGAGAAGCTAAACGAACGGTGAGAAGCAAACCTTGTAGTCATTTTGTCATACGAAACCATAATGTGCTTTCTAGGTGTTCGAGCATGACAATTTGTCCACGACAAGTTGTATCGCCCACAATAATGTACTCATGAAAGTTTGTGTATATTTCCTGACTTTGTATGGTTGATAACTAGCCACAATGACGCTGTTGGCTTCAGCCTGGGTAGGTGCGAATAAACTCATTGATATTGGTTTCAAGCTCACCAAAAGCTTGTGTATCCTATGTCAAAGCTTGATTGGGTTGGCCGCTTGCCTCCGTTTTACGTCCGCAGGCAATTTCAGCCCATCCTCCACATTGCCATATACAAAATAGAGAGTTCTGCCGCATCTATAACGCTTAATTATTTCACATTGGATATACGAAACACCGTCATCTATATACGTACTGTGTGAATTTGAATTTTATGGCTGTCGCTTGTTCAAACCTTATCCCAAGGTATACAGAGTCGAACTTCGTTGAAGCTTGTTCTTTTGACATCCAGAAACATGAGCAAAGTTATCTATTCCCTTTTAGCCAACGAAAGTGGGATGATAAAACGGGGATTTGTAAGACGACTGTAACTTCATCCTTACCAAGTATACATGAAAAATTCTTTTGCCTATTTTTTCAACTTTGTTTCCAAGCTTGATCCACCTACTTGCGGCCGGGTGGTCTTCCTCGCTAGGCCTTACACTTCTAACCTCATCAGAATACTCCTTCTTACTCAATGCCCTGCTACCGATAGAGTCCGCTCCGGCTAAAAGTTGTCTTATACCATCCCAGATACTTCGCGTATGACTCCTACTCATACCTTCTCCGCACAAGCGCTACAATAAAATAAGTATACTATATAGATCTCTCAATATGAAGATTTGCCAAAAACATATTTTTCATCCTCTAAATGCTGCTCGTTAAGAATAGAGTGCGTACCACCAATCCGCCGAGATTACGACAAGGCTAAATGCTCTATTTATCGAAGATTGTAAATTTTGATGTAGTATGTATCCCGCCAAAATCTGACAAGCGATATCGGTTCAACTAATTGAGGATCCGATGCGGAAACAGGAATTTCACTAATTAGCGTTGCTACAGTGGATGCACTAACATTCACATAATTCAGTCTCTACCACCAGTATAAGTATCAGCAGCGTGCCATGTTCGATAGCCGTAGTCGTCTAGCTCGCCACCAAAATCCACTCGCCATCTTTGTTGTTTAATTACTTTATTATTTTTTGCCACCACAGGCAGCTACCATATTTATACATAGTCTAACTGGAGTTTGCTTCGAAATAGGCCTTTGCGTGAGCTCCTGCACTTGAGGCGATATGTTCCCGTTCTTCTGCTGTCGCATGCTACCCAAAGGAAAATGCTGTTTAAGTCCATGAGAAGAGCTTTGTACCGGTTGTAGGAAGGCATACTCACCCTATTGTTCAACTGCTCGAATAACTTGATAGCCTCTGTGTAAAAGTGTTTGTAGCGAGTAAGTTATGGAAATCATGACCTATTCCAACGAATCAGCCACATCGATTACTTGCCTGCCATTGCAAACCCAACCATATAGTCTATGGACTTTTGCTTATCATCATCTAAATTCGACAGGTTCACTAATGCTTCATACCATACTCATTTCTATCTTTTCCTTCGCAATGCCTTCAAACGTACCAAATTTTTCTAATGTAGCATGTCGTTCGTAAGAATACCAAGCCTCACAAGCAGCAGCGGCGGCTAAAAAAGATGGTTAGAATCCAACAGGCGCCATGCAGTGGCAAGGATCCTTCAACTTACATATCCGGTCTATGGAGACAGTTGTCTTCGCCTGTGTATCACCACCCTGTAAGTAGAAGTCGTCGTGGCATTGTTTCATCTGATGAACCGTCATAAACCCATTCGAGTTAGACCGAAAGAGATTCTCAACCTGCAGAAAAACAAAAAGTAGTGTTGGCATTGATGTCAGATCTGGGTGCAGTCTAAGCAACCACTACGGGCAGTGGTATTTGCTAATACGTTTGATGCACGGCAGGGTAGAGGTTACCTTTTCGAAAGCGCGAGCAAACATCGACAAGTATTCGTGAGAAGGTTCATCGGCTCCGTCAGTGTAATGCGTTACAGCGCCTTTGACGGACGGATGGTCTATATGATGGTGATCGACTTGAGGCTCGGCAGTTGTCATCGTCCCAAAAAAGCAAACTAGTAAGAAGAAAGAAGACTACTTCCTACGCTTTAGAAAAATTTCAGCCAAAATAGGAGCATTTTTTTTGCATGTAGCACAGCGTGGCTTTTCTATGACCGCGCTTGTCATAATTCAACGTGCTTTCCTTTGGACTAACAGCGTTCTCTCGCTAATAAAATCAATCTTCTCTTGTAGTCGACAACAGGTTAGAACAACCCCTCGAAGCAACTTTTGTTATAAATTGGTAGCAAATATACTGCTGGTTTTGATGGACACAATGATCACTATTAACTTTGGTTGTTGATCAGAGGCTCTACAAGGTATCATCAGGAAAAGATGACGAGCAGTTCCTTAGATAGGAGCGGCACTGCTTTTACATAGATTGGTATCAAGCTCTTTAAAAATACGGAGCACAGTAAGTTCCAAATAAAATATTATAAGCGTAGTTTTGCTTCAATGATGGGTGATGCGATGCAGGGGTGGCGATAGCTTTGCTTTGGTGCAGTTAAGCAAGTAGAAAGCAGCCTCTCAGTGAGTCCATTCGGGACCTGAAATGAGAAAGAAGTGGTTTTTGCGTTGGTGTCATGATATGACAACACATATCATAAATTTTTCCATTTTCCCCACTTTTCCACAAACTAAGAAGTATTAGGTAAAAGCTGCAGACTTGTTAGCTTCCCAAATGTGACAAGAATGACACTTGTATGATGGACGGGAGGCATGTCACGTGATTTCGTTATCACTTTGAGTTTTGGGTATTTGCCAAAGCAAGATTCATCTCACTTTCTGACATTACAGTAGCAAAACAATATGGCTGCACCTAGAAACGAGAGCGAATCCATAAAGAAAGAAAACGGAAACAACGTCGAAGTTGTTGAAACAGATGACTTCAATTTTGGCAAACTCATGCAAGATCTGAATGGCGCTGAATCTATGTTGACCAGCATTGAGTCAAGAGCAGCTGAATTGGACGCCAAACTTGATGCTTTATTGCAGGAAGCGACAACAACTTCTGCAGATCCAGATACTTCTACTGCTTAACGTACTCATCCTCACTTTACGCATGTCAACGTTTTTATGGTACTTTTACAGCATTTTGTAACTGCCAAATATTTTTCCCACCCTTCCTCCCATCCTTCGTCTTATGCTTGTTGCTACCTCTTGTATATTACGTTCATACCCGTTATATACAACTCTTTTTCGTCGAAACATGTCAAAATTGTCCGAATCGCAGCGTGATACTTTGCTAAAGCCTCTGTTGGATTCCAACGGCTGGGCCATGGTTACTGATCGCGACGCCATTAAGAAATCCTATGTGTTTAGCGACTTCAACGAGGCATTCGGATTCATGTCGCGAGTCGCTCTCCGAGCTGACAAAGTAGATCATCACCCGGAATGGTTTAATGTAAGATACGGTTTTGGTTTCGAGTGTGAGTTTCACTGATTTGATCATTCATTCTGTTGGCCACCCAATTCTCCGCTTCTGTTCTTAGGTTTACAACAAGGTGGAGGTTACACTCTCCACTCATGACTGCCAAGGCCTATCGACCCGAGATGTTGATTTGGCCAAATTTTGTGACAAGGTGGCCAAGGCTTCCAAGCAGTAGTTCTACGTTGTTGCATAGTTTAGTGGTATTTTTTTTTTGTATGTCATTGTCTTGTTTTCATAAAGAAGGCGGGATTTCTCCTTCACCAGCTGCCAAAAAAGAAAGTCGCAACCATTACAAAAAAAAAAAAATCCCGCACGGAAGACTGACCTCGCTCCACTACTCCATTCTGCTTGCGTTTTCAAGTATCCTCGAGCTTCCATCGTTTGGAAGTTTTTACCTCATGCTTATTCAATGACTACATTGACTGGCAATCTTGATCCGGTTACACCTAGAAACCATTCCATCCTTAACAGCCGTTGTTCAAAAGACCCATCTCCACGTTCCAATATGCCACCTTCTAGCCTTTCATCTTCAACTCATCTTCACAAACCGCATAAAGCTTTGCCAAGTATACCTTCCTCCATAGATATTCCGCTTGACTTACCTACGACACCCTCCATACCAAGCGATGAACAAGTCGACACTATCACCGACAAAATACTTCATTTGAATGTAAACGACATAGAGCATGGACACTCTGCTGCTATCATACATCCGGGTTGTCCAACACTTTCTGATGTATTGTCTCGACCTTTCCACAATGACGATGTTATAGTCGATTATTCAGCAACCCCCATGACCCATAAATGGTCCGCTCTAGATAACCAGCCTATATCCTTCCATTCCGAAGACGTTGATGCATTCTTAGCCTATCCGTCTATTCCTATGGCTCCTGAATCTTGGAAATCTAATGGCTTGGAGTCGCTCGGACAATATCTATCAAATTCCACTTTTGATGACAAAGACACCATTAATAGTATGGTGTCTTTACCACCAGATTCCACTGACCATTATGCTTGGCTAAATACACATACCAAGCCATCTGTTCGTCATATCCTTCCTCTTCCAGTCCCAAAGTGGCGAAGGAAAGATAGAAAGTCAGCCATACAAAATAATTCGTTACTCGGCCCATCCCGCATACGTGCAGCTAAAAATTGTATCGCTAGCCCAGACCGAGCTGCTCGCATGGTGTTAGCGACTTTAAAAGCCGATCAGAGCAAGCCTGGCGAATCAGTCATATCCGAAATAATAGACTCAACTCATTTGTCAGTTAATGACCTAGCGCCTCATCGCGACAAAATCAAAAAGATGAAGCGAACCATAGGAAGCGATGAAGTCAAAAGTGATATGGAAGAGCGACGGCCGCATATTTCGAACGGATCTCGACGACGGCTTAGGCACCAACAAAGATATACCAACAACATACATGACTTTAGCACAGAGCAACAGCAGAAACTCAACGAGGTCCGGTTACCCGAGTCTGCTTTTGACTTTTCTTGCCCATTTCAACCTAGAGAATTGGATCCGCTACCCACTGATGCACCCCCATCTACAATTGGCTTGGTGAAGTGCTTGAAGAATATCCCAATACCCTTCCATTCTACGACGTATAATATCAACCGCCAACTAAAACCACTAACCAACCAATCCGACAAGCAGGCCATATCCACCACCACCGTCATGCCAGCACGCCAAACACAACTTTTTCCTCCAACAGGTCAGAAACAAAAGGCGAGCTTCAACTCGTCTCGAAACGATGCTCGCGGATTTGACGAATTACCACCAACAGCTACCTCCATGACCCCAAAAGGTACCCGTCCTCGAAGAAATAAGAAATCTTCTCAGGCTGCTCGTGCATCTGGGCATGGAAAAGATACCAATACCACGTCAAGGACCGTTAGAGCTACGGAATTACTACCTTCGTCATCATTATTGTTCGATTATGGTACATCAGAGGAATGGATGTGCTGGTTTTGCGAATTTGAAGTCTTTGTGAGAGGCTTTGTAGCGGCCAGACGGAGAGGCGGATGGTACAAGCGACGAAGAGAACGAAATCGCAGGTTACGGGAAATAGAAGCTCGACAGAATAACGAATTAATATCTTCGAGTAGCTCAGACCTTGACGAAATAGATAATCCTTCATAGATAATACATATAGTGTCTCGATTTACAAACTGCAAACCTTTCAGGTAATTTGAGATAGAACAAGCGGTATAACAGACTTTGGCGGCATTGTCATCTGGGGTTGCAGCTTGTACTGAACATTCAGTGCCTATTAGCGCATTGTATCTACACATGATGATACCAAAGCCTAAGGTTGCGTATATTTGTCAGGAAGTCCTCGTGAGGAGTTGGACAAGTGATAGAAAAGTACTAGTAAACAACGATAGGAGCCCGATTTATCCTTTTAAAACCAGCAATGCTTAATTTATGTCCCAGCCGACCGCAACAATGGCAGACATAAATCAAAATGGGTCAAAGAGCTTTCTGAACACTTCGGTAACAAACGGCTTTCATGTAAGCACTATCTATTTCTTCTTTTTTATTTTGCGGCCAGCCTTTGATGGGGACGTCTCCAATCCGTCAAAGAAATTATCATTGGCGTTTTGCAACATCCGTCGTTTTCGCCGTGGCGCTCTTTCGGCCTCATCACTGTCATCTCGGTCACTAAATTGATAATTGTCTTCCTCACTGCCGGAGTCACTCTTGTATGACTGAGAGAAGCCTGCCTCCGACTTGACTTCATCATGGTCCTCCTCAGATGACACTGCTTCTTCTCCACTTTGGTCGCCATTTTCGTCTTCGTCTTCATCAACGTTATTAAACAGGAACTTGATATCCCAAAACCGAACTGAATTGTCGTGAGCACAACTTGCAAGCCAGGTGTTATCATAGGATAACCGAATTCGCTCGATGGGGAAGTCTTCTCCATGGGCTCCGATCACACCTTCAAATTTGTTGGGTAAAATCGACACGACACGAATAATTCCATCACTGCTGCCTGTACATATAGTGTCTTCATCAAGCTTACAGATGGTATCAATGGAACTTGGGTGACCCAGTATTCGATCACTAGAGTCTTGCCACTCTCCCCATGTCCATAAATTAAGTACGCCAGCTTGTGATCCTGTTATGACTTTTTTCTCATTCTAAAAGATAAAGCATCAGCACAGTCGTTATGTCTATGTATGCTGACAGAGATTGCTAATGTACCTTTACTGTAACAACGGATAGTAGTTCATCGTCCATGCAGTCCGATATTGCTTTGAGTTTAGGTTTGCGAATGTCCCATATAGATAATAATCCATCGCCACTGTTGGACAGAATTATAAATTAGACAGTGGTAGACAACGTGAAAGCTACCAATATAGGCTTGCATAACTTACGCAACGGCAATCAATGTGTTTTTGTCGGTGGAAAACGTCATATCCGCTATAAAGTCGGTGTGCTCGTGGTAATCGTGTATCAGCCCGTGACTACGATTATCCCAAATCTGAGAAGTTATAAAGTCAATATACAGAATGCTAGGATGGCTGATGACCATGGTTTCGGTTACAGCCTCTTCCAGTCCGCTCACCTTTATTATACCCAAATCATCTCCCGTCGCAATCAGATTTTCATTCAAGCGTAGTATTTTGTTGATAGGCGATCTATCATCAAAACAGGGTTGGTCGTCAGCCGCATTCCATAAATTCGCCATGAAGCAACTAGAACAAAATAAAACTTACTCATGCGCCGCAGAATGCTTGTGAACCAATTTTCCACTCTCAACATCCAGTGTGTGAATGGATCGGTCTCGCGATATGCTATACAGATCTGAGAGCAGCGGAGAAGGCGTTTTTAGAAATATACATGATGGCGGACTGAAGTATACCCAATAACTCACGGTTTCCGCTCTCACTGAATTCCACGCCACGACATGATTTCTTCGTCGGTTTGACTGACCATTGCTGCTGGTTCTCTTTTTGTCCGAACTTATAACTGTCAGAAGCGTTAAGCATCGAAAAAGAGCTGAAGAACGGTGAACCGGAGGCCAACTTACCATTCAATATCGCCCGTAATGAGTCCAGCTGCAGCTATTTGCGCTGAAGGATGTAGTGCAAAGTCAAAAACATGTGAACTGAAATGGAGCTTGGACATGGACTTTTGAGCTTCTTCTGGTCCAAGCAAGTCATTAAGGGAAGACAAGAAATTTCGCAGTCCCATCGAGAGACAAAGCCACAAAAAAAGAGCTCAGTTTCAAGATTTTTTTCATTTGCTCAAGCTCCTATTGTTCACCATGGAATTGACCCTTCAGTACCCTCAAGCCAAGTTCGAGGCTGACAACGATTTGGCTGACGCTAATGTCATTTCCAAGTATAAGATTGCTGCCAACATTGCTAACGGTATGTTCCATACTCAAACCTTTGCTGGATCTTGTTTTAGTCCTTAGCCGTGGTTTTTCCTTTTTTTTTTTTTTCCAATATGAACTGACAACTATCTCCCTTCCGCAGCAACTTTGGCCATGGTCCTCGAGAAAATCGCTCCTGGTGTATCCACTTTTGCGATCTGTCGGTATGGAGATGAATTGATCCAAGCATACGTATGTACTTTTAAATATATATAGGCTATCAACGGTGACCTATAGCGTTGTTAACGGCTCATTTTTTTTTGTAGACCTCAAAGATGTTCAAGGAAGCAGAAAAGGGAGTTGCTGTTCCTACCTGCGTTACCGTCAACAACCTCGTCCAATATTATACACCTCTTGCCAGCGAAGCATATACGTTGAAGGCTGGTGATGTTGTCAAGGTTGAGCTCGGTGCTCATATCGATGGTTATATCGGAACTGCCGCACATACCACTGTGGTTAACGTCGACCCTTCTCAACCTGTCACTGGAAAGGCTGCCGATGTCATCGCCGCAGCTTACTACGCTCAAGAAGCTGTCCTTCGTATGATGAAGCCTGGAACTTCCGTAAGTTTTCATAATTGTGTGTTGCTGGGATTATAGACCAATGTGTTAAACCAATGTTTGTTTCTCTACTGTAGAGCACCGACATTTCCCGAGTCATTGCGGAAACTGCTGCCTTTTTCCGTTGCAACCCAGTCCAAGACACATTCTCTGCTCAAATGAAGCGATTTGTTCTTCGAGCAAGCAAGGAAGTCGATAACCGAATCGACCCAGAGATGCCAGCACATGAGTTGGAGAAGCGTGAATTCACATTGGAACACAACGAAGTGTACTCTTTGAACATTGTTCTTACTACCGGTGACGGAAGAGTTAAGGACTCTGAACACAAAGCTATGGTCTACCAACGCAATGTCAACAAGTCATATGCTTTGAAGATGAAGTCATCCAGACAGGCTTACAGCGAAATCAATGCTAAGCACACCGTCTTCCCCTTCGCCATGAGGTAAAATAACTGATATAATGTGTGTTGACATAGGTCATCGAGTATTGTAACTAACATATGGATTGTAGTGCTTTGTCAAATAACCAAGCTCGTCTTGGTCTCCCTGCTCTCCTTACCCACGGCTTGGTGACGCCGCTGTTCACAACCCGAAGCTCTATGGCTTCTGATATCGTTGCTCAATTCAAGTTGACTGTTCTTATCACTGCTACTGGCGCCATCCGCACCACCATGCCACAAACCCTTCCTTATGTCCACTCTGAGTTCAGCGTCCCTGCTGGAACTGCCACTGCTACCCTTTTGCAATCTTCCGATGTCAAGAACCCCAAGGCACCAAGTGGTCTTCCAAGTGTTGATGTCGTGTTCGGTGCCGCTGTTCCTGAGGAGCAGGACGTTGAAATGGAGCTTTAGATTTCTCTTTTTATTTTATATTTCAGTTTCTTTTTTTTGTATGTCCTGTGATTCCTCAACTAAGTCGTTTCAAACTCGACTCCAATTTCATCTTCTGTCATTCACTCAATAATTGTTAATTGCAGGATGTACTGACAGATTAGCAAATAACAGTTTTGTACAATAAACACATCAACTTCATTAAGCTAAAACAAATAATTTATTCACATATGCACATACGCCATTACTTATTGCGTTTTTAGGTCTTTACGGCTGTAGCTGTTTGAGGCTGATTCAAAGTATTTACTGGTTGAGGCTGGTTCATCGTACTTCCTACTTGAGGATGATTAAGAGTATTTCCTACTTGAGGTTGATTAAGAGTACTTGCTACTTGAGGCGTGCCCGAAGCACCTGCCATGTGAGGCGGGTTCGCAGGATTGGCTACTGGAGGCGGGTAAGAAGGATTGGATGACATCTGGGGTTGCGAAGAAACGCCGGTGGATGGTGCATTATGCAACGCTGGCTGCCCAGTTCCCGGAACAGCAGCACTTGTAGATGCTGCGTTTGTCATTGGAAGCTCGCCTTTCTCCATCAGTAGTTCGTCACGTCTACGAGTCAACAAGAACTCTTGCAACATAACAGCATTTCTCTTGTTGGCCATGAAGAGGAAGTCAATGAAATCACCTAAAAACGGAATGATACCAAGCTAATGTCGTCGATTGCAAAAAGCTCATTTCAGTTTTCCATTTCCTTTGTCAGAGGCATAGAGCTAATTAAACTTACGAAAAAGTCAACCACGACATTGAGGTACATCATGAACACAATACGGCTAGGAAGATCAGCTCTCTTTGCCGTTCTGACTAGTTCAACTGCTAAAGCAGCCCCCATGGCATCACCAATGAATGGAATGATACCTGTAATATGAGAAGGTGTCAAACTTTATCGTACTTACACTTGCATATTGATGCGATCGGTTATTAACTTACCCAAAACGCCATCAAGTCCAATACTGATACCGCAACACAGGAATCCTTGATCAAGATAGTACGCTCTCCTCTTGACTTGGGTTAAAATCTCACGATCCCGCTCACCAAGGATGATTTCCGATCCAGGTCTGGATGACCAGAAATGCGACTTGTAATTTTTCTCAGCTTGGGCTCGCGCTGCCAGCAGATGCGGATCAGTATCTGCGATAGAAGGCTTCTCTTTGGTGAATTTTTCAGAGATCTTCTGTATGAAGGACTCCTGATCGGGGTTGTGTGGGTCGTATGCTGGTTCGGCAGCTGGGGCAGCTGCGGGTGCGGGTGCAACACTCATTCTGAGGAAAGTATGAGAGAGTACTGGAAAGAGGAGATAGCGTACCGGTAAAGCAAGTTTCAAAGTTTATATAAAAAATTCCCTTTGGTTTCAGCGTAGTTTGTCACTGGTTATGGTCAATGCTTTGCTATTGTGTTCCAAACTATAGCATGAATAACCTTGGGTCCCTGCATACTGACTTGACTGTATGATATTCCACGGTAGCTTCTTCTACTGACACGAAGCCCTCTTGTCCAGATATCCAACTGATATGAGGATTATGCTAATTTGCCAAGGGTTCTGCTGTTCTCGGCGAAACCATTACCATATGTGCGAAAATTTTTGATCAAATTGAACGGAATTGAAACAGGTGGCTTCTGTAATGTTTAGATGTTTGACTTAATGTGAGCTTCATTGACAGGAATGAACCACAAGCACTTATCAAACGATTATTCCTTCATATTTTAATGTAAGGAAAATGTGCCATTGGGTCTTTAACGGACAGTAGCAATATTTCGCATGATTCTTACATTTACAATCGCATTGATATCTATCGTCGGGAGGTCTCACAATAACACCAAAAAAATTGAAAGTTGTGCGATAACCATGTATTGATTTAAAGATAATTGAATTCAATATGAGTTACAATGTTTATCATATGTCTCTCCCGGACATGCTGAAATGCTCATAATACCAGTAGAGTGGAATCCAAATTGTCTTCTTCTTTGACAGTAATCGGAAGCCAGTTATCTAGCGAGATCCTCCAAAGTTACGTCTTTTTGCTGCTGCTTCCTCTTTATCAGACGCGCTACTGCTTTCTGATCTTTTTAAAAACCCATCTATGCGAGGTTGGTTCTGCTCTGGTTCTTTTTTCTTTTGCTGCTTGGTGGTAGCCTTCTTCTCTGGTTCCGAGATCTTCGTGTAGGTGCCGCCACACTGGATTTGATGTCGCGCCCACCAGTAGTCAGCTTTTTGGGGTGGTCTGTTCATTGATCGCCTAACAATACCGTAAAACGGTGGCTGATGTTGACATGGTCCGTTGCACTTCCACACATGTGTACGGTGGTAATTAACTTCGTCATGAAAGGTGTGATAAACAGTAATTTTGGTGCCAGCAGCCTTATTGATTCTAGCCGCATGCATTAAAAACTGAGGTCCGTGGCCATCTATTATCATGGAATATGCAAGTTAGCGTAATCCTTGAAAGGGAGAACGGTATTTGATAGAACCGGTGAATACATACCATGGTCAGTGTAGTTGTCAGTTACAAAAAGCAGCGCGTGAATCATCTCGTGCTAAAAAAAAAAAAATTGGTAAAATTGGATGCGTCAATGGATGCGCTAACCAAACCATTTGCTTATCACATCACTGTGATGTCTTACCAATAAAGTATCGATTAAATCTTCTCGCGTTCGAAACTGAAGCAATGGCTCTGATAGTGAAATAGTGCATTGTCCAGTAGATTTGTAGCTACAGATTCCAGCACTACGGGTAAAGTCAGCGAAACATTCTACACCGCTTACATGTTTAACACCTCTTACCATAGTGTCATCTTTTTAGACCACTTGAGCTGTCAGACCAAGTTTCACTTGGAGTTAGCAGATTGCCTTTGATACAAAGAATTACCGGGGCCATAAATTACCTCTACTACTTTCAGCATGCCAAAAAAGTATTGTTCATCAAACATCTGAAAAAGAGCATGGATATCTGGTGTAGGACTAAAAAGGTCGAGGTCATTGGCGATTTTTTCGTCAGGATGGCTGCTATTTGCTTCAGTTCCTTCCTGTTCCTGTAGGAGCCGAGCAAACTCTTCGTCCGATTTCAGCTGAGACGAGGAGGGCGATGGCGGTGAGCGATGTTCAGTTGATCTTTCGCCATGGACCAAAGATTTTGCATTTTGCTCTTCTTCTGCCTGCAGTAGTCGAGCCAGAGCTTCGTCAGAGTCTATGTCATTATGTGAATTTGTTACGGAATTAGGTGTATGATTAGGTATAGTTGTTTTGTCGAGTAATGAGATTGGTGCTTCGGGATCTGATTTGGTACCGGCTTCAAGCTGATATTGTTCATGGAGACGTCTAGCCAGAGCTTCGTCCTTTGCTTCATGTAAAATCAGTTCTGTCAGTTCATCTTCTTCTGCCTGCAGCCGCCGAGCAAGCCGTTCGCTATCCTCAGCGGCCATTGTTTTTGAGAGTGAGACAACAAAGAGGGCTAAATTTTTGTTCTTATGCTTTACAACGTCCCTGTCTTGCCCATGAAATCGATCGCTATAGTCATTCATTTTAAACGGAAAATACAGTCATACTTTACTGAAACTTGGAAAATAGCTAAGAACATTAAGCAGTTTAAGAATAGTAATCCGGCTTCTTGATATTGACGCCATATTCTGCCAGGGCTGCTGACAGATCTTCCATAGTCAAAACCGTTTTACGGTCCTATCGAAAAAAAAAAAGGAATGGATGTTACAGACCATATCAGCAAAGTGACTCCTATGAACACAATTCTTACTTTTCCCTGCTTGCTTCGGTTTCCCTGCTGCCGTATTTTACAGAATTGAAAGGCATCGGTAGCTATGTCTGTGATAAATTTCTGGGCCGCCAAAGCGAGGAGGCGTTTTCTGGTTGATCATGTAAGTTGAACGATCTAAGCATGCGTTATATTATGACCATTATACGTACATTCGGACATCGTCACAGTCAAATCCTGTTCGGCTCAAGTAGTAGTCCGTCACGGCATCCGGTATCTACCCACGATAATATAATTAGCTGTTATTCAGCTATATCGTACCGTTATATCAAATGTCAACTTACAGCAGGTGTATAATTATCCATCATTGAAAGAAATTCAGCAAGACTTCGTTGCTTTCTGTTCATTTCTATGTCTCTTCGCGTAGGCTTTGGCACTTGAGCTTCTTTGCTAGTCTCCATTTCCGAAATTTGGTCAGCGGCGTTAGAGCTGCCTGCGGCCGTCGCGCTGGATTGTGAATTTGAAGATCCATTAGGCTGTGTATCGACATCCATGGCCAAAGACTGGTGTGTTTCGTCTGACTGTGATTTCTGGTCTGACATTGGTAGGATCAATGTTGCGGGGTGAGATGCGTGAAGAATCTTTGTTACCGGATTTGAAGCAGAGGCCAAAGCACAAATTTTGGTCAGTCCTGTCGACCAATAAAATGACAGTATTTCATGGAGAGCCAAATGAAACAGACATTGCCTACAGACGACGACTTTGACCATTGGTATGGTCTGATAAAGGCACTGTTGAATCGTTTTTTTTCCATCTTTGAATTTTTTTTAATCAATTATATTGCATGTATTGGACTTTATCAGAAGCTCTTAAGGGGAAACTTAACTGAACTATATTTATTGGGAAAATATTTTGTAAATTCTGAGAATTGGTCTTGCGAGCTTCAGCAGTAATAGTCTCTCCAGCGCGCTTTAGTTGGGATACGTACTCAGTCTAAGTCCATGGCCAGCAAATTGATGAAGTATGTCTTTACGGCTATGTTTGATGCTCGTATTTGTCAAGAAAACCAGCGTGCAATTTCTTGTTGTATAATACTGATTTTATTCGGCTTGATCTTATTGAAACACTGAATGAATTGATCATGTTTTGTGAAATTTTCCTCGAGACAGACACAGCTACTGTCCATTATACGGATTGAAACTTATCAAATTTACCAACTGAACCTATTAACAATTTTTTGTGGACCAGCCATCGAGGCAGTCAGATATCATACATGAAGAGAGCTCTATACGTTTTATGCAAATTTTATTTGTGACAATGCCATGCAGATGAAAATCATTTTGTTCAATTGTTAGTGTGTGCATTGCCCTCTGAGAGCAGATATATATTAAATTTTGAAGGGGTATGTAGTTAGCAAGGCCCCCCCCGGAATTCAGTAATGACAGTTAATCAGCCTCGATCAATAGATTGTATGTCACTAACTTTTCTGTTTGTTTGCGTTGCCAGACGTCTTTCCGGAGGTGCTAGGTGGGTTAGCTGTTTTGCCTTCTTTCACCATATTTGCATGCATGCTTGAGCCATTACTGGCATTAGGTTTGACGTAGATAGAGGTTTTAGGCTTCAAAGTCACAGGAATAGGTGTCTTTGCTAAAGAGTGAGTTTGGTTTTTACTACGGTTCATAGGAGGAAAGAAGAGGCAGTTCTATAAAGTAAGATCTGTTGAAAGAGATGTCAACGAAAAGCAGAAGTTGGTATTTTATAAAGAAAATGCGAAAGCAAGATTGATTGTCTGGTTGTGAAATATAATGGGTAGCTCGAAGTTCTAACTGGAAGGTGCCACTGGTCACAACGTGATATGAAAACGCCGTGCCCTTACCCATCCGTAGTGATGTTACCCGCCACAACCGCCACAATGCCCCTAGGTGTGCACTTTCGGCACACATTTAGTATCACTGAAAATGTGATGTCCGCGGAGCTCAGTGTAGCTCGTGTTCAAACTTGCCCAGGCACTCGAACTGAAATGCTGCATTGTTACTCGCTTCAGCAACGCAATTCGCCGTGTCATCACAATAGAAGCTTGATAAGAGCGTCAGAAAACCTTGTGCTAAAGACGAGAGTTCTGGGCTTATCGCTAAGACAGCTTTCACCGTTTAGACAGGCATATGACAATATTTCAGTGAGAGCCACATGAAACAGACATTGAAGACGACTTTGTGCACTGATAAAAGATACCATTAAATGTTAATACATCATTCTACATAGTAATGATGGCACGTCGAAGCAAGCGACAATCAATAAGTTGAAAAGCAGTACATAATGTACGCCGCTAAAGAGGTATGTGGGCATTGATGAATACGTTGAAATTATCGATGAGCCTCCTCCTCGAGTTTTTCAAACGCTGAATAAAATGTCATCACCTTGGCATTGTGTAACTCCTTGCTCGAGAGGTTATGAATTTTATAGCATAGAATCTTCTAACCAGCTGAGACTACTGTCATTTATGGTGGTGTTAGCGATCGACATTGTTGGATATCACATATAAAGAGAGCTCTTAATCGTTTCATATAATATTTTTGTGAGTGATAATTTCATGTAGATGAAAATCATTTTATTCAATTGTTATTTACATGAAATGTGTTGAAGGAGTATAAATTTACCTGGCCTTGGTTTCGGGCGTTTAATATCGCAGGTGATCGTCGACGACCAATGTCATAGCGTATCGCTCTAGCTTTTCTTCTGTTGGCATGCCTTGCTTGGAGTCTTTCCCGAGGCACTAGGTGGTTTAGCCTTTATTTCTTCATTAACCTTGCTTCCATTACTGCTTGAGCCATTGTTGAAATTAGCCTTGCGGACAGCAGCGGCTTTCGATGGTAAGATCCCAGTGTCAGGTGTCTTTGCTGAGGAGCGAGATTGAGGTTTGCTGGGTTTCATAGGAGTAAAGCAGGGGCAATCGTACAAAAGTTAGATTTCTGGAAGCAAGCGTTTAAGTCGTCAATGCAATGCACAGGTAATTTATATGCACAATAAATTTATCGCACTTTACCCACTGTTTGATGGAAGGGTCAACGGTCCCATAACTAACCCAGCTGCCAAATATGCTGGCTCACGATAAAACGCCGCCGAAAAGGGGCGCTTGCTCATACGCATGACAAAAGTTGATTGTAAGTGAAGCGATCGATGGTTTTGGGGTTTTGGTTTTGGTTTGGGGGCGCGCGATCGGGCTTTATTTCCTTAGCCCATCCATTGAACAGCTTTCACTGAAATACACTACGGCAAACTACTCTGCTCCACGTTACCATACCCTCTAAAGTTATTAAACATAAATGCGAAAATTTCCACCTTTGATAAAGCTGATACCGTGTATACAAGTGATATGGAGTACGATAATATTTGAGATTTTATTATAACACGGTAATCCAGTTGACTTGGCCGGGTTGTGTTGGGCGTTTGAGTCTACTAAATGACCGGGGGATGCAGTCAATGTCGAAAGCGCGAGGTCGAAAGTTTTGACCGCAAATAGAAAAATACTAACGTCACGAAGTTATAACGCGTGCTATCGATATACCGGTTTTATTGTTGTGATGCGCAATCCGGTATGGATGAATTCAATTTTTTTGTCGCAGTAGAACTTGATTTACTAATAAAAATGTTATAGCGGGAAGTATTCAATGATATTGACACTTGCAAAGAATACGCTTTCTGATAATACAATCGCAAACTTATGCACGTAGTTGTAGGGAAAGATCCGCTGTCGTTTATTCATCTTTCATTGCACACCTTTATACTACACCAACTGACGACGTCAACAAACTCAGTATTTGTGCAGCGCACCACAAATGCAAAAAGGTTTTGGTGAGAAAATTACATTTCCTACCACATTTTCACGAATGGCTACACGCGATCTTTCAATCATGTCACGTGCTTCATACTGTCTTGATTGAAAAAATAAAAGTGCAATCAGTCAAGCTCGTGTTCAGACTGGTCCAGGCACTCGAAACTGAAATGCTGCGTTGTCACTCGCTCCAGCAACGCATTTCGCCTTGTCATTACAATAGAGACTTGATACGAGCGTCTGGAAATCTCGTGGTAAAGAAGAGACTTCTGAGCTCATCTCCAAGGCAGCTTTCACAGTCAACACCGCAAAAGCCTAGCAGACCGTTTGGACAGGCCTATGAACCGGTAACGACAGGTTGAAATGTCGTTCAATATGCCCAATGAAGTACTAACTAAATACCTAGAAATTGGTCGAAACTGGATGGTATGAATGGTGGGAGAGCCAGGGTATGATTGTCTACAAAATATTGCTAACCATACTGTAACTCAAACTGAATCGCCTATTTACCATACCATAGGATTCTTTGGATCAAAACCGCAAGGCCGAGCACGTAATCAAGCAAAGCCGACATTCAACATGATTACGCCTCCTCCAAATGTCACTGGGTCGCTTCATATAGGGCATGCTTTAACGTTTAGTTTGGAGGTGACTGTCCTTTTTTGAAAGAAGCCGTATAACGCAGTGTTTCCAAATGCTGATCAATCGATGATAGGATGCGGTTGTTCGCTGGCGTAGAATGTGTGGCTACGATGTTTCATGGATACCTGGGACAGATCATGCTGGGATTGGAACTCAATCTGTTGTAGAGCGACAATTGATGAAGGATCGCCAGGTGAGGGCGGTATAACAATAGTATTTCAAAAGTGATGGCACCTTTATAATTGAATTCTTCAATGAAGCTTTCTAGACATGATTTAGGCAGAGATGCCTTTGTGGAGGAGATATGGAAGTGGCGTGAACACTATGGTAACAGGATTATTGAACAAATCGTGAGTTGGTGATGATTTGTTTTTTGCCTATCACGGTAACCACAAATTCTAAATTTTTCTTTGGCAGAGAAAAATTGGTGCTAGCGTTGATTGGGATAAAACGTATTTCACTATGGACGAAAGTAGATCAAAAGCAGTACAAAATGCCTTCATCAAACTGTATCAAGATGGCCTTATATATCGTGATTCCCGACTAGTCAATTGGTGCTGTGAGTTGGAGACTGTTATATCTGATATAGAGGTTTGTTTCTCTTAATTTTGTATTTGAAGCGTGCATGTATGTCTGATTCAGTGTCATCGTGTCAGGTTGACTACCACGAGATTACTGGTCAAACATTTAAGACTTTACCTGGACGAACTGAAGGGTAAGTTCGTTTGATATTATAGGCTTTCGTCGTGCTTATATCTGGCTGACATCTATTCCAGGGTTGAATTTGGCGTCTTGCACAAGTTTGCATATCCAGTTGTAGATCCGAGTGATATTGGCGAGTTGGTAGTTGCGACTACTCGAATTGAAACAATGCTAGGTGATTGTGCTGTAGCTATTCATCCAGAAGATGCTAGATACAAGGTAGACATACCGTTTGAAATTCCACGGCATTGCAAGTTTTTAACTAATGTATGCACTCAGAGCCTTCACGGAAAAAGCGTCATCCATCCTCTTTCCAAGAAGACGATTCCAATTATCTGTGATCCACAGCTGGTTGATATGGAGTTCGGAACTGGTGTCGTAAAAATCACCCCTGCTCACGATCAAAATGACTATGACTGTGGCCGACGACATGGCTTACCACTTGTTAGCATATTCGATAAGAACGGCAAACTGAATGAAAAATGTGGTGTTAAAGAGCTCGAGGTAAGATATATGGTTCGATCAATTGAAGTTCGCAGACAATATTCAAATGCATAAACACCATTTAGGGCATAGATAGGTTTGAAGCTCGTAAATATGTTGTAGAAAAGCTGCAAGAGTTAAATGTCTACAGAGGCAAGGAGACCGATCATGCTATGCGACTTGCTATCTGTTCAAGATCGGGAGACGTGATTGAGCCTCTCATTCAACCACAGTGGTACATCAAGTGCAGCGGGTTGGCAGATAATGTAGCCAAATATGTTGACCAGGGCGACATCGTCACCCATCCTGTACATCACAAGAACGAGCTTAACAGATGGTTAAATAATATTCAAGACTGGTGTATATCTCGCCAGCTATGGTGGGGTCATCGGATACCTGCCTATCAGATCCGTTTGGCGGACTCACATGAAGGTACTGCTGCATTCTAGAACACCTTTTGAAATGACGGCTATTAACATCATATGCACAGATTTTTGGGTTGTGGCAAGAGACAGCAACGAGTTGCACGCCAACGTCGTGAAAGAACTCTCTAACCGAAATCTTCCCGATAATACGTCGTATAAAGCGCATCAAGATGAAGATGTTCTCGATACATGGTTTTCGTCCGCTCTACTGCCTCTATCTGCCTCGGGTTGGACAGAACCTGGCACCACGGCAGTAAGTTATAATTTGTCATCTTTAACATGAACTCTTTAAGGTAGTAACCACTTCATTTCGTAGCAACGATACCCATTGAATGTTATGGAAACAGGTCTGGACATTTTGTTTTTCTGGGTGGCGAGAATGGCTATGCTTTGTACCCACCTTGATGGACAGCCGCCTTTCAAGGACATCTTTTTGCATGCTATGGTTAGTTCCACTTACTTCAATTGGCAGAACCTAAAAGAAACTATGTCTTTGCTAATAATATTATTTCCTAGGTTCGAGATGCTCAGGGTCGTAAGATGTCCAAGTCTTTAGGCAATGTTATTGACCCCGTTCACGTCATAAATGGTGTGGATTTGGATACTCTAAAAGAGGCTGTGCGAACCGGTAATCTCGCTCCTTCAGAAGTTGAAAGGTAGGCAATACTTCCCTTACATTTTTTCTTCCTTCCATACGCTCACAGTACCCCTAGGAGCATTAAAAATCTTGAAGTCGAGTATCCCAATGGTATACAATCGTGTGGTGCGGATTCCTTACGGTTTGCGCTTGTATCATATACCCAACAAACAAGGCAGATCAATTTGGACATTAATAATGTTGTATCTACTACTCATTTTGGAAACAAGATGTGGAACCTCTTCAAGTATGGGCTTAGCCGTATTCAAATGGTGGACAACAAGCTTTCATCTTCGCTAGTCGATCGCCTTCCTAAAGCCGAAGAATTAGCCTCTATACCACTGGTGAACCGTTATATATTATCAAGACTTGCCACTGCTGTGATGGCTTCACAAGCCGGATTCGAAAAGTTTCATCTTCACGAAGCTACAGATGCTACTCGCCGATTCATTGTTGAAGACTTGTGCGATGTCTATGTGGAATTTAGCAAATCGATGCTCAAAGATAGTCAGAGCGCAACCTCGTTGTCGACTTTGAACATTTTGAGTGCCTGCATGGACGTTGGACTCCGATTGACTCACCCTTTCATGCCATTTTTGACTGAAGTAAGATATCGATGACATTATTCTAATCTTCCTGTGACAGATATTGATACCCTTGTATAGGAACTGTGGCATCATTACAAAGAACACCATGAAGACCGAGAACAGTATTCCTCACCTCCGTCCTTGATGCTTGAATCCTTCCCGGCTGTTGATCAGTTTGCACAGTACAAAGACGAAAACGTTGAATCAGGATTTCAGGTAAGAGCGAGACGCAAAGCTAATAATGTATATCTCTTCATTTTACTAAAGAGATATCTTCTTGTTAGACCGTATTATCCATCATTCATGCATCTCGGTCCCTGCGGCAAAGTAACCGTGTGAGCATTGCCAAAGAATTGCCATTCAAAATATGGTACTCCGATGCAGACGCGGATACACATCACGGCGAGTTACAAAAATATGTAGGCGATATTAAGGATTTTATCAAAGCATCTTCGCTAGAAGTATTGACTTCAGATGTAAGTTTTTGATGCCTGACATGTTGTTATGCTACTTTGCACTAAGGACTATTGTGTTTAGGCAAACGGAGGCTATGAGCCGACAGAACCAGTGGCTATGAAGATCATCTCGCCCAACCTCAAAGTATTCGTTCCCATGAAAGACATTTTGCGTTCTCAACCTCAGTCGGACGAAAAATCGCTCAGAGCGAGAATAACCAAACTCGAAAAGAAATTGACGAAAACGGAACGGGAACTGGAACGACTAGGTAACCAGATCCAACAAAGCAGTTATGAAAGCGCCACGCCCATTGAAATTCAACAAAAGAACAAGTAAGATGCTCATTCAATTTGATTTTATCAGTCATTTTGTAACATCTCTAATGCTGTTTGGTGTCAGGAAACGATTAGAAGCTTTGGAGACAGAAAAGCTAGACTCTCTAAAAAATATTGATCTACTCAGAACGCTATTGTAAAAAAAAAAAAATTCTGTAAAATAGTAAAATCAACGAATCAGAATGTTTTGTTGCTTCCTTCAGCCACTGACTTCCCGGTCACCCCGATTTTTACGTCTTTTTATTTTGATTTTAAGATGCAGTTGCAGCTCCACTTTCTATCTTTCTGCAATGACTCATATTGAAAAAGTCGACCACTCTATCGAAGAGTCTTACCTCTCTCCACCGGCTCGTAAGAGCCATGGAAGAAGAAGAACTGTGTATATCTCGGGACTATTAGCAGCTTTAGGAGGAGTACGTTTATGCCGATCGCTGATATTCTGATGTGTCTCCTAACTTGTTTGTCTTATAACAGTTCATTTGTGGATACGATACTGGAGCCGTAGCAGGTATTCTATCTCTACCAACGTTTATGGCAGCTTTCCCGGATATCAATGCCTACCTGAAGAGTGTTCTTCTTGTCATGACTTTGGCGCTTGGCGGTTTAGGCGCTCTGTCATCTGCTTATTTTTGTGGTAAGGTTTCACTCGCACTGACAGTACATAATCGTAGCTTCCCACTAAAAGACTTTGAACTGCATCTTATAGACAAGATAGGCAGGAAGTACTCTATCATTGTATCGTGCTTTATCTTTGCTATTGGAGTCCTTATGCAAGTCATTGGCATGAAATATGGCGTTCTATTGGCTGGAAGAATCATTGCTGGTATCGGAAATGGTATCATTACAAACAGCATCCCTCTCTATCACTCTGAAATTGCCCCTGCGGACATTCGTGGCCGACTCATTAGTCTTTACACGGTGATGAAGTCATTTGGTACGCTAATAGGCTACTTTGTGACTTACGGAACCAGTTTCTTGGTCACTTCGTGGGGATGGCGTGCTCCGTGGCTCATTGAGCTGCTCCTGTGCGTTGGACTTGGAATATTTTCATTCACTCTACCCTTTTCACCTCGTTGGCTCATCTATCAAGGCCGGGACGAAGAATCGCTGCAAGTCCTGAGCGATCTCCGGGAAGCTCCTATAACCGATGTCAATATTCAAGCGGAGTTTAATGAGATTAAGCAAGAGCTCGATTATGAAAGATCTCTTGGCCAAGCAACCGTTTGGGAGTTGTTCCAGGGTACCAACCGCAAGAGAACCCTTATTTCATTTACCTTGGCTTTAGGTGCTGCTCTGACTGGCACTCAAGCGGGTAAGCTTTTTAAATACGATGTGCGTAGTGAAAAGTACTTGATCCTAATATCTTTCCGCTCTTATTAGTTCGCTACTTTGCTCCCACTGTTTTCAAGAGTGCTGGCCTTTCCAGTGTCTCTTCATCCTTGGTAGCAACTTGCGGTGTCGGTGCTTTTGGCTTCTTGGGAACTCTCGTAACCGTAACCTTCTTGGACAGATGGGGCCGCAAACCCATCTTGCTCTCAGGCACATGGATGATGTGTATCAGCATGATGATGATTGGCGCCATGTTTCAAGCCTTTTCACACATGGATGCTCAAGGAAACATCATCATGACATCGGTCCCTGCTCGTAATGCTATCATGGCTTTCTTGTTCATCTTCAGTTTTTGTTATTCTTACTCGCTGGGCATCGTTTCTTTCGTCGTACCGTAAGTATTTGAGGCACGAAAACATTGACCTTTTACGCATTCAACCCTGACCAAGCTTTCACCTCTAGTTCAGAGATTTTTAATATGCGCTGTCGTGCAAAGGGTAAGGCAATGCCAAATAATGATGGTATAGTATGGTGAAGTATATCGCTAACTGAAATTTGTTCTTCACAGGTTGCGCCCTCACATTTTCAATTTTTTGGATTTTCTCCATTTTCACTACCTTGATTATGCCTGTGTTCTCAGCTCACAGTGCATCTGCTGCCTACTTCTTTTTTGGTGCCTGCTGCTTTGTAGCTGGTGTATGGTACTTCTTTGTACCTGAATCCAAAGACATCACACTGGAGCAAATGGAGCAATTGTTCTCAAAGTAAGCATTTTACCATTCTTCGTATTTTGTGCGCCATCCTTCCCCCTTTTTTTCTTTCTTTCTTTACTTCTTGGGTGGCCACATCTTTCTTATGATTCAGTTACCTATCCTTCTTCTTCGGAATACAAACGAGGGTGACATTGCTTCGGCTTTGTCTACCCTCATTTCTTCTCCTTCACTTACTGGCACAAGGGGTGCTGTACTTTGACATGGTTGCACCATGTCAAGTCGGCTGAGATCATACCCTCAAGTGACTCATTTCCATGCATTCTGCTCTGCTCTTTTTTATGCAAAGTAATGGAAATGGTTGCTCAAGCGGATTCACGTTAATGCGTGCGGCGCGATGTGCTTGTAAAACTTGTGCAATTTGCACACTTTTTGCATTGGAGGCTACTATGTAGCCTCCTTTTTTTGTTGGCCTTTGTGGTTGGTTCGCTCAGTAGGCTTTGACCCTATGGCCATGTAAGGGTTGTTTGCTGGTCAAATGCTTGGTAACGTTGGAACGAATGAGTAAGTTGGGAGGTAAGCTACGAAATTGAAATGATGATGAAAGGCAGGCATTGCCGATATAGTATGTGCAATCTTGGAGGATGATCCTACATAGCCAAGTGTGTGCAGTACAAAGTTGTTATTATAATTTTGTTGTTATGTGCAATGCCTGTTCTCTATACGCTTACACTAATGTGAGCTCACGTATATTGCGCGCTGAGACTGATTAGATAATTGTTTGTGCTGTTTAAGTTCTGAGTTTGCTAGCTGATTTTTGACCCCCACATATAAGACATGAGAGTCGGATATAGTATTTTCAACTGGTATGGCAAACATAGATCATCAAGATCTTCGATGCCGCAACTTTAGATCTACATTTTCTGCAGACAGGCTACGGAAGTCTGAGGATATATTTCGTATTCACAATGGTTTGTGGACTTTGTATCAATGAGTATAAGTTAGACTTGCCGTTCTCATTATTCATTCACTTTAGTACGGGATCGTCATATTCGATCGCATCGCCAGCCATATGTGCAAAAAACAGTAACGACAACAATACCTACATCTATAATGAACAGCTGCAATGGGGCGCAACAGTATGAAGCTTCTATTCAATGCTCACATATTCATACGTTCCATGCCACGTTACAACGATGGCAGGCACAGCCTACGTTAGTAACCAATCTGCTCCTGCTTGGCTTGTTTGAAGAAGAAAAATGGGATTCTGCCAACATTCAGGGCGAATCAAAAGGCATTGATGTCATAATCAACATCACTTTGACTGTAAATAGTAACTATATGCAAGACTCTTTTACACTTGGAGATATTCGATGGTAAGAGCGAGATTTGGTAGAGCAAATCTACTCAAATGCTTTTTCATACTTACAATGTTTACCTACAGCATGAAGTCGTTGTGGAGGTCTTGGGTACGCGACGGAATGATGCACTTCACTGGTCTGTATTTTGCTGTTTTGGGGGGTGCCTATAGCTCTCTTGCAAAAGCAAACAGTCGATATGTAAGCATTAAAATAGCCGCTTCAAGTTATCGGATTACATCAGCGTTCTAATATCAATGACTCCATTATAGGCTTTGAAAGCAGGATCTCTAGCAATACGTCAAATACAGCTTGCGCAGAAACTGAACGATACTGTTCAAGAATGCAAATGCTGGCTTTATTATGCAGAAGATTTAATTCATCTTGGTAAATTGGCAAAGGCTCGAAGGATTTTGAGAAAACAATATCGATTTGCGTATGACAATCAAAATGAGCTGGTAAGTAGATACCTGAATATTGCCTTATTCATCACAAGCAGACTAAACCATTTGCATTTAAAGCTCGAGAAAATGTGCCAATCTGTAGATAACAAGTTGAAAGTTGCGGAAGAAGTAAGAAAGTCTGAAGACATGCAAACTCATCTCGTGCGCCGAATGGATTCAATTTCGATATAATCGCACTACCTTTATACGATCCACATAGGTTCTATGGTCGAAATTCACTTTTACTTGCTTCAAGCCAACAGATAGGTTGTAATTTTTACGGTGATCTGTAGATGGTTTTGCTGTAGTTATATATCCCGTATTCGTATGGACCTTAGATAATGATCGAAGTTTATGATAGCTGGAAGAAACTAGTCGTCAACATTATATTCGAACTATATGTCTTCAATGTCCAATAAAAGATATCCTCTATTCTTCATTTTGATATGGCAGACTGCTGCGTCTATTCAGCGCTGCCAAACTGGAGCTGAGTTTGAGCATCTCATTTGTAAGATCTGTCCGTCTGAAATTTTCGGGATCTACTTTTTAACGCTTATTACTTACACCCATTCTTGACATGGCTGACCAAGGAATTAGCAAACAGCTCGCAAAAGTGAAGCACATTATCTTGGTGCTTTCTGGTAAAGGCGGAGTAGGCAAATCGTCTGTTACAACACAACTTTCTCTTGGGCTTGTGCACCAAGGATTCAAGGTCGGTGTCTTGGACGTTGATCTAACTGGCCCTAGCATTCCTCGCATGCTTGGCTTGGACGGCAAACAGGTTCACCAAGCTTCTAATGGGTAAGCTTTGCTGAAAAATTGATAGAATTATCATTGACTTGTTCAATGTCTTAACGTACAAACTTCATATGTACTCTCGTTTGTATCAGTTGGGTGCCAGTCTATGCAGATGAAAAGCAACGACTTTGCTGTATGTCAATTGGATTCCTTTTGCAAAACAAGAACGACTCAGTCGTATGGCGTGGACCTAAGAAGAATGGTATGCAATAGATCTTTGTGTTCTTCATTTTGGACTTGCTTACTAATGCTGCCATAGCAATGATCAAGCAATTCTTGCAGGATGTATGTTGGGGAGAGCTGGATTACTTGATTATCGACACACCACCTGGAACATCAGATGAACATATATCTGTTGTTGAATTTCTGAAGGCGTTCAATCCAGATGGTGCAGTTATTGTTACAACCCCTCAGGGCGTAGCACTTGCAGATGTCCGTAAGGAACTTTCTTTCTGTAAGAAAGTTGAACTTCCTATTCTCGGTGTTGTGGAAAATATGAGTGGTTTTGTCTGCCCACACTGCGCAGTAAGTATCAGTATTTACAGAACTGAACCCGCTCTGAATGCCGTTTCTTATCTAATTTCATGATGATATAGGAATGCACCAATGTATTTTCTTCGGGAGGCGGTGAATCTATGGCCAAGGACTATGGTATTCCATTCCTCGGTAGGGTTCCAATCGATCCTGCATTTACGAGTATGGTGGAAGCAGAAGGAGATGGCTCTTATGTCAATAAGTTTGAAACATCCAACCTATTTCCTACTTTCCAAAAAATCACAGAGCAACTGACTGCACAGCACACGAAATAATTATCGTTTCTTCTTTTCAACATATAAACAATTTGAATTCTATGGTAGGATTTCCCTTTTGTAAATTACAGCAGCTTCTAGAAATTATACAGCCAATAATAAAAGAAAAAAAAATATATGATATGACAGATAACAGCAAGTGGCATTACGCCAATCGAGAGACATCCAATCCCCAATCTGATTCCAGGTGGTCAAGGATGGCGGGAATACTTGATAAGATGTTGAAAGTTTTGCGCTCACTGTTGCTCATAATATCTTCCATCATGTACATCAAGTGATGGTGGAAGATAAAGTGATTTGTACCGTACCCGAGTGCCATATGGACATAGCTCTGCAACAGAAGGAAAATCACATTAAGTGCATGCAGTAAGCAGATTTTTCAGCCGGATGATAGGCTCACCTCAATACATTCCCATGGGGTGTTTTCGTAACCGGCAAATAATGCAGGATTTCGAAGCAAACCTCTAGCAGACATGACACCATCCACATTGGTTTTTGAATATATCTCTTCAACGTCGGCCATGGAAAATACGCCGCCATTGGCGATGATGGGTACTGAGGCTGACTCCTTTACAAATCGAATTGCGTCTAAATTGGCAGGCTCTGTGTTTTTCTGTGTTTTTGTTCTGCCGTGGACGGTAATGTACTCGACACCAACGGATTCCGCTCGTTTGACAAACTCGTATGTTTCTCTGTTGGAGAAAAAGGCACCGTCAGTGATGATGTGTCAATTTAGCCAACAAGCTTGATAACTCTTCTTACTTTAGGTCTGGGTGAACTCGGATCTTGATGCTGCAGGGTATGTTGAGTCTGCCTTTAACGGTTCTGATCATATCCCGGACAGTCTCTGGTTGTGACATCAAATGAGCACCGATTTTTTCATGAATAGCCCACTTTTGAGGACATCCACAGTTGATATCTTGAAGAAATTCAAATCTTAGTTGATTTTTTCTGTGTAGCCATAGATAATAGCGAATACATACCGATGCCACTAACATATGGACTGGCAAGCTCAGCTGCATCGGCTAGATCTTTGCCATTACTGGCAGCAAATTGAATCACAACTGGATCGTCTCTCTCGTTGGTTGAAAAATCTGTTTCTCTCGCAAATTCCGAGCTTTTAAAGACATCGGCCAAAATCATCGGTGTGTAGACAACATCGCAATTGTATCTGTCAGGAACGGCTTCATGTTAGCGTAACTTTTTTTTTTTTTGAATCTAGGCGGAGGAAGTGGACTCCCGGCACTTACTGTCGAACAAGCTCCCGAAAGGGTAGTTTACTGTATCGCACCATAGGAGCGCAGACATTGATTTTGCCTTTCTCCTCTATGATGTCTAGGATTGTTCTCTTCTGCATTTGCAATCGATGGGTGGTGGTATAATCGAAAATTTTATTTTTTAACGGTTTTTCTTTTTAATATGAAAATTCCTAATTTGTAAGGAGTGTTCCAGTGCGGTTGGTCTCTTCAATGTCTTGGTCGACATCGCATACAATACCACTCAGCAACTTGGTCACTTTCTCGTATACCGACACAATCTCCATGGAACCATTCACTACAATTGTCGCATGCTATCATAAACGTTCCATAGTCGACATGTGGATTGTCGCAAATACAGTTGATGACCTCAGTATCTCCACCTGAAACTTCCACAGGCGGCGGTGCTGATTCTACCACTGTAGGAAGTTTGAGCTTGAATCGAATCTTAGGAGTGCTAGAGTCGCTGGAGGAAGGTGCTGCCGCAGAGGATGGGGCTGGTTGGTTATGTGTTCCCAAAGTGTTTAGCGATAAGTTGACAGTCAAACCACTCTTCTTCGGTGCAGCAGGGGTAGAATCAGACGCCGCCAATGCTGCAAGCGACGTTGGGGCGGCGGTCCGCACTGGCTCATGCTTCTTCGGTGGGTGAACAACAGTAGTGCCTGCCGATGATATTGAGTTGCTTTTTGCTCTTTTGACGACTACAGGTGCGGGTGCAGGCTTTTCGATCACAGGGGTAGGTATTTCGGGTACATCGACTGTCGGCTTTGATATGGCATCCTCAGGTAAGCTGGACCCACTTGCAATCACGTCGGTCCATAAATTGGGTGCTGAAAGTTTTGATACAGCAGCAGAAGGCGCTACTTTAGTTATTATCTTCTCCAGAATACTCGGTGGTGCCGTACTGACTAATTCGTCGGAGAACATCAACATACGGTTGGGATTTATGTTTTCTGCGAAATGCTCGGAATTGGCCCAACTCTTGTGTCGCTTGGTTGCCTGCACCCCAGCGTCCTTTTTCTTCTCCACATATTTCGATAATTTATCAAACGGTACCATCTTATGATTATCTTCTAATGATGACGCTTGGATGTCCTGCATCGTGCTGTCTTCGGCGCCTCTAATATCTAGATTTCCAAGATAAGAGTCTTCAAAGGGTATTTTGTGTCTGTAAGGTTCTTTAGGTGCCTTTCTTTTCCCAGTCTTCAAAAGTATAGCGTTCAAAGGTTTTGGAGCTTGTGAATCTTGCTTTTGTGCTGTCGATGAACTCGGCTGTTCAACTTGAGGAGCAGATACATTATCATCGTCTAAGGACTGTATTGGGAGTGGTGGGAGGTGATTAGGAATATAATTAGATTGGTGGTTTCCATATTCTACGCCGTTGTGTAATTCTGCGGCGTTGGTTTCGTCGACGTCGTCTTCTTCAAACTCTTCTTCGCTGCTCTCTGTGAACGCGTCGTCATCGCTTAATAGGGTGTCGATGTCTTCCGGAACTTCTTGATATTCGTACTCAATAGTATCGTCCGGATCTACAATTTGACAACCACTTCGTATTACATCTATAGATGAATACATTAGCAAGCTTCTCACTTCAGCAGTAAAATCACGCTTTGTCATTGATGATATACCGTTTAAAACTTGGCCAGGATCATTGCCATTGCTCCATGAAGGTAAAAGGACTTTTCCATCGCCAATTTCAAGCCAATCTCTGAGAGATCCGATGTCTATATGAAGCTCTGAGAAAGTGGTTGAGGTGTCCAGAGCGTTTGCCTTGACTCGGCCAGAATGTTCTGCTAACTCAGCAGTAGTCTGACCTAGCAATTCAAGGTAGCGACTAAAAACATCAGTCAATACATCGGCAGACGTGAGGTGTGACGATTCGAATCCTGCCGACTGTAGTATTTGAAGCGTAGTCGTACGCAAAAGTGCAAAGCAAAGACTCTCAGCCATGGGCGTTTGGCAGCGATTGAAAGGTGAGAATGACCTGCTATGGCTGGACAAAGTTGTCTGCACAAGCCACTGCCTGGTAATTTCTTGCCTGGCGGACAATTTGGCACAGTTGAAACTGCTTTTTCTGTCCAGCATGTCAAATTCAGACTTTGTTGGTGTTGAACCTGTCGACCCTGCCAGATTCCAAAGCTCCCATAACGCTGATGCCTTGTGCAAATCGGATGATCCCTTGCATCCTGCCAACCTTATTCCCGAGCTTTGCAGGCTGTTCTATACTTCAGGCTGGGTCACGGGAACAGGTGGTGGTATTAGCATAAAGAAAGAGTAAGCGCTTATCCCTTTACTGTATTGCTTGTGCGAGATGCGCTAAACGTTCTCACTTTAATTTTTCGTAGTGAACATGTTTATATTGCTCCTTCTGGAGTGCAAAAGGAGAGAATGAAGCCTGAGGATCTTTTCGTTATGACTTTGGCCGATAGACAAGTGCTTCGCAAACCACAAGTATTCAAACCATCAGCATGCACTCCCTTATTCTACAATGCATACACTATGCGTGAAGCTGGAGCTTGTATTCACACTCATTCTCAAAATGCCGTTATGGCTACTTTACTGTATCCCGGCGAGACGTTTGAGATTTCTCACCAAGAGATGATCAAAGGTATCAGACGTGGTTCTACCAAAACCAATCTTCGGTACTTTGATAAACTGGTCGTACCCATTGTTGAGAACACTCCTGAGGAAGAAGATCTTACTGAAAGAATGGCACTGGTGAGTAAAATCGTCACTTGTGATTTGCTAGTGATGGTACCATCTCCGTTCTAACAAACCAATGTGTAACAGGCTATGGAGAAGTATCCAGACACGTGCGCAGTCTTGGTTAGACGACACGGTGTTTACGTTTGGGGCGGTAAGTTCTACCAACTTGCTGTTTATTTGGTACCATGGAGGAAACTAAATGATATTTCACGGATTCTAGAATCATGGGAAAAGGCAAAGACTATGTGCGAATGCTATGACTACCTGTTTGAAATAGCTGTTAAGATGAAGAGCATTGGCATTGATCCAGCCGTTAAGCCAGAATCAGAGCCTGACTACGAATAGTTCATTCTTCACTACACCCTGGTTACGGTTTATTTTAATTATATTTTATTAACATGATATGAATGTCTCTTATGACGATGATCGAAACACGTTTCCTAAGCCATGCTCTTTGATGTATTCTCCACCATACTCTTCATATTCAGCCTTGCTTATTGACAATTTAGAAAATTCATCGTTCATTGAGAATTCTGCTGCTCCGCGCCATGCATCTTCCGTAGGATTAGAAGCTGTCTTAACTCTAATATTCCATCCAACATTGAAGTTTTCTTGGAAAGTTTTTTCTAATCTTGGGGCAAGTCCAGGCATGAGACCAAAGCCGCCAGTGACGAATACATTCTAAACTTCCAGTCAGTAAGAAGTACAACTATAATGAGCATGTCACAGCTCATGCTTACCTTGACAATGCTTTGCTTGCGTGAGGCATCGTATACTCGAACAATATCGTTGATATTATCTACCAGGCCAGCTTGATCCAGTCCAATGATGCTAGGTTGAAATAGAACCTCTGGTACTCTCACCCGCTCTACGTTAACGTGTAGCTGATGGGACTGGCCGACATCTTGTGCGTCATACTTTGGATACATGCCATGCTTTAGTAGGTGAAGGAGAGTGTTGGTTGGATCTTGTTCTGCTTCAAACGCATGCTCAGGCAAAAAGTCGGGATCATGTTGCAATAAAAGTGACTCGTAGTGGTTGAGTGATGCCATATCCTCTTCTTCATCTTCAGACTCTTCTTCGCGATTCTGCAATGCGAATTTTATAGTTAGTATTAAATTATCATCGTCCCATTCCCGACTCTCTATTTTCCCACTTACAATTTCTCGATAGACCATCCAGTCCTCATCATCCGCACCGAACGTATCCTCTATACCATGAATGTTGCATCAGCTTATCTGTAGTTGACAATTGCGGGTAGTAAAATAGCGCTTACCTTCAGCTCCACGTTTCCGCCGCTTAGATGCTGGTGTATCACTTGCTAAGCTAGCTATGGATCTCATTCTTAGCTGAGAGGCATGACTACGTCTGTCCGCTAGCTCGGAAGCCAAGCGCTTCTTAGTCTTGATCCGCTCAACTGTTGCCTATGCAATAATGAGGCAATTAGCACCACTATTTCAAGCTAATATATACCTTTCGACTAGTTACCTTTCGTTTTTCCTTGAGATCTGAAAGCCATTCATCAGGGTGGTTCATACGTCGCTCTTCGTCCAATCGAGCAATTTCTGCCTGACGTGCTTTGTCCTCTTCCTTTGCCTTTTTGGCTCTCTGTCGAGCATCATAACCAGCCTTCAATAAGCGCTGCTTCTTTTTCTCTTTTTTGTCTGCTTCAGATAGCTGGTCATCAGGAATATCTAATAGAGGGAATGTAGGAGGCTCCTGCAGTGTATGTTAGTTCCAATATGATAGAGAAACACAGCTGCATATTCGTTGAGCTACTGACTTTGTCATCGTTCTCGTCGATGCCTAGCTCCTTGTTTCTCGCTCGCTGAATGCCCTCTTCCAACTTTTTAATAGTTGCGTCCAAATCCGCCTCATTATCAAAACCAGATTCCTTCAACTGTGCCTAATGGAATAATAAACGTTAAGACATGTATTCAACGGGCATGTGGATGACGTGAACATCACTTACAAGCCATTCTACTTTCTTGACTGTGCCTTTCATTTCCTTTAGAACTGTAAATGCCTCGTGCTGTTGCTCTCGTTGAACAAGCTAGAAAAAGAAGGGTATTAGCTTTAATGTAGATATTTCTTTGAGTTCATTTATGGACATCTCTACCTTTTCCAAGCGTGATTTCGCCGCTGCCTCTCTAAGTCGCTTAGCATTTTCCTCCTTCCTGGCAGCCTGCCTTGCGAGTTCCTCTTCAGTTTTCGTTTCAACGACCTGATGCTGTTTATTAGCATGATTACCTTGCACTAGCGTTTGCCAATCTTAATCTTACCAGTGGGCTGAAGGGGAATTGCACGATACGGTCTATCTTTTGAAATTGTTGTCTATTTTCGATATCTGTCAAAATTTGCTGATAATCCTCGGCGACAAATATGTGTTCGTGCATCAATTGCTTTGGGAAAGAAAGAAAGAAAGTCAGATTGTGGTATCACATAAATCAATAAAGTATTGAAAATGCAAGTTACCTGAGCTTGGGCAGATGTGACTTTTGTAGGAAAAGTGGGATACTTGAGTTGCATCAGTTTCAGCATGTACTCAGATGCTTGCGTGCCACCGTAAGATAGTCTATGAATTTAATTCAACTGTTAGATTCCCTTTCGTGTAGAATCTACTTGGTATAGAGGTCTAACCTTTTGGTTCTATCCAAAGCACCTTTACCGCCAATGACAGGAATGATGTGCGTTGCAGTATGGCCAGCAGAGATGACTATACCGTCTCCATTCTTTTTGTCTTGATTAGCATAGAAACTGAATAATGAATCTATACCGTACGAAACTGATGGAACAGAATAGCATTCGAAGAGCAACTCCGTCATCACTAACAAAGTACATTTGGACGTTAGACGATACGGCAGCGCATCTGAAATGATTGATCGAGCAAGGCTTACTTTTTCGGCTACTCTTGGGAACGCACGCTGGTTCTGTCATCAAAATAGGATGGCCAATGGTGGGCGTATCGATACCTAGGTTGAGGAAGATATAGTCCAACACATGCTCCATACGTTCCATGTCACAAACAACGTTGGAATCGAACGGAGATCGTGCTGTCGCCTTTGCAGCCGGATCAGCATATATTTCTGGGCCAACAGCAACCACGCTAACATTATTTTTACGGTCGCGGTATCTTGCAACCAAGTTGTCGAAAACAACTATCCACATAAACGCGTTAGCCAGAGGCACTCAAGCTGCTAAACCAAATTTGAGATTTTCGATACTTACATCTAGGAGATTTTTCGGAACCCCATCCAGCTCTACAATTATATGAACCTAAAGTCGGCAAGATCTTTGTCAATAACAATGGATATGGTTGATTTGCTGTGTTATAGTTGAATTTGACTTTACCGTTGTCGATTACAATGGGAGTGGAAGAGCCTTTGAACTTGGAACGGTAATCAGTCGACGGGGAATACTGGGTCGAAGACGTCTTTTCGCTTATAGCATAAATTGGCTGTTCAATAAAGTCGTCGTCTTCCATGATTGCTGGCCAGAGCAAGGTATACAGACCCCGTTACGTTCAGGTTCGCAGCGAAGTCAAACTCCACCGTTCAAGCGTGACTGCTGTACCTTTTTCCATCATTTCGAGCAGAAACCTAACAGTTCGTGAAGTCTCCACACGCTTATTACTCAGGATTTATGGAATCTTTTCAGCTAGAACTACACCCTGAAAGAGGGCCGATATATATTTCACTCTTCAAAAATGTCAAAAACGCTGTGGAGCTGCGACAACGTCTGCTAGACCAAGACGCTTCCCTTGCATGGGCTCTAGTGAATGCCTCTTTGGTACGTGATTGATCAGCTCGAACCAACTAACTACGCTGAACACCATAGAAAACACAAGAATCGACTAACACAATCACTATAATCATACCAGGTAGTCAACACATTTCAAATCCTTCTAGCGATTAACAAAGCAATACACAAAGAAGTCACCGGAAAACTCAAAACACATAAAATCAACTCTGAGATTGTTTACGACTTTTCATCAACGAACAATGTATGAATGAATGAACTTGTTATCGATTTTTCGATCAATCTTTCATTTTTATTAACTTTTTTCGAAGATTTCCCAATCATTGCGGCGGTATGGCGTGTCAGACGACAGTACAGCACTTATTGCCATCGCCATTGGCGGAAATCCCGGAGATGTATGTGCATAGTTTTCTCCCACTATTATGGAAACTTAAAGCATTGCTAATCGATTGTGTATTCCCTCAGATTGAGAAGGCGATGCAAGCAGACATCCACGGTGAACTTGTTCCACTATCTAGTATACCCGAGTTCAGCGACATCAAATTAATCAGAAAGGTGATTATGAATGTGAAATTGGTACCAATGAAAATATACCTTCACCTAACACATTTCTCCTTCAGTATTACCAATTAAATGACAACAATATTTCAGATAATATTGATGAACTGATGCCTTTGATAGCTGGTGCAATGGCATTAAAAGAAATCAAGTAGATTAGAGGACCTTTTATACAACATGTAGGCAAATAAAACTAGGCGGACACAGTTTATGCTGTAGTTTTTGATACATTCAATTACAATTTGCTCTTATCACCAGCCACATGTTCAAGCTCTCCTTGGTCCACAATTTCAAGAGCGAGGTGCGTGAATGGGACAAAGCGTGAAGCGTAGAATTTAGCTTGAGCGGATGAAGCCTGCTTACGTGCAACACGAGCGGCAATACCCTGGGTGATCACAGCGACACGGAAGAAAGCAAAGGCAACACAGAATGACCAATTTTGGATGGGGTATGGGATACCAGCTTCCTGGCAATAAACCTTCATCAATTCATCGGCAGGTGGAATAGGAAGTTCCTCTTTGGAGCCCTTGAATCCAGCGAACACGCCATCTTCCGTCGATGGTATATAAAATGGCTGCAGAAGATTGGCAAGATCGGACAAAGGATGACCAATTGTGGAAAGTTCCCAGTCCAGGATACCAATTACACGAGGCTCTGTAGGGTGGAAAATCTGAATAAAGAAGAGAACAGTCAGTAGAGCGAAATAGGCATTTTGTGTTATGTACAAGTTTGCATTACCAAGTTATCGATCTGTTCAGTAACAAGAAGAAATTCAGCGGGTGGAGCATTGTTAGTTCGCTGTACATAATGTGGTTCATCACTCGGCTATTTATGATCACCTTATAATCGCCATGAACAATACTAGACTTGTCTTGAACCTGGTTTCTACCAAACCAAGCTAACATTTCTTGAAGTCTAGGGAGCTCACGAACTTTTTCTCCAGTGTCTTGATCCTTCACTGCGGCTTGAGCATCGGACACTCTCTTCAATGATTTGATTTGTCTTGCGTAGAATCCGTGGTTGCGACCATAGTCTTTCAATCCAACCGCTGCATAGTCGACTTTGTGCAACTTTGCTAAGGTTCTAATGGCTGAAAACCAGCTGCAGGATCAAATTACTGTTTGTTAATACCATTCATAACCTCTGTGGCAATTGATCATGGTAATGCCATCCATACCATTGTCTTCTTTCTTCAAAAGGCATAGATAGCATGCGAACATCGGTGAAAATGCGTCCTTTGACAAATTCCATAACCTATCATTTTCAAATTAGGCTTCATGCTTTAAGGCGTGAGAAACGTTATTTCGATCTGACTAAAAATCTTACATAGAATGGGGTTCCAATAATGCTGACATCTTCACACAAGACGTAGACCTCTGGTACCGGAACATCTGAGGAAGTACCGATAGCATGGAGAACACGATATTCTCTTTCAACTGCATGAGCAGTTGAAGACAGAAGAGCACCCGGTGGCTTCTTTCGCAAAACGTATTGTCTCTTACTAAAGAAAAATGCAGGTTGAGCTCGGCGGGCCGTGATTTGGTTTACTTGCAGATTCAATATTCATTGACCCTTGTATACTTACTTTGCGTCCGCTAACAGGTAAGTGGGATTAGACTGACCGAAGCTGAACTGGCTCACATCAAGTGGTGCTTTGAAGCCGGGTATCTTTTCTGACAAGTATTTTTCTAACGTCTTAACGTCGATTTGATGCCTATTTACATAGCGAATATGAATGAAGGTTGCATTAGCAATGAGAAAATCGAACCGTGGATCTTTGCACTTGCATACCCTTCACGGACGGCCGATGTACCCTGATCGGCTTGACGATTGTTACCAGAAGACATTGTGGAGTAGAATTTAAAGACAGGCTGGGGTAGTTGTGCCTTATATTTGAATTTCCTAATTTATCTTACTAAGTGGGAATCGTCATGTGGAAATTTTGGTCGAAGCAAAAGACAGATTTTTTTCTTTGTCATGAAATATCCAAGCAATTCTCAACCCAAACGTTCCTGCAGCATATCACCCTAGCACTACTATTGTTGTTACTAAGCTTTTTATTCCACTTTGGCAAAACAAAGGCTAGCGTTGGTACCACCGAAACCAAACGAATTCGTTAAAGCAGCTCTAATTTCTTTGCCTTCTTGCGCAACCAGGGGTACATAATTCAGATTAAACTCATCGTTACTGAAGCCATGCAAGTTCAGCGTAGGGGGCAGGACATTCTGTTTAAATAAAACATTAGAATAGAATTGAGTTTTTGAGCGTGAGTATTTTGACACCTTACATTCTTCAATGCCAATATCGTAAAGATTGCCTCTACGGCACCAGCCGCTCCCAAAAGATGTCCAGTGGCGCCTTTTGTGGAGGACACACTTATATTGTCCCAATGTCCATCAAAAATGGATTTAATGGCCCTATTTTCGGCAACGTCACCTAGAAAGGTGATTGTTAGCACCATGTTGACAATCAAACGGTGGTACTGTCCGCTTAATTACCTTGTGGTGTACTGGTAGCGTGTGCATTCACATAATCAATGTCAGCCGCTGTTAGCTTTGCATGACCCAAGGCTCTCTTCATTGCCAAAGCGGCGCCCTGTCCATTTTCAGGCGGTGCTGTCATATGGTGAGCATCGCCTGAGAGCCCGTACCCTTTGATTTCAGCATAAATATTAGCCCCTCTTCTCTTGGCATGTTCATATTCCTCTAGGACAACGACACCAGATCCTTCACCGATTACAAAGCCTGATCGATCCTTGTCAAATGGTCGAGAAGATTCTTCAGGATTTTCGTTGTATGTTGCTGCTAGAGATTTTGCTCTAATGCGTACTTGATCAGTATAAATTGTATGTTGACTACTTTCACACAGAAAATACATACTTGCAAAATCCTGCAATTGCAAGCGGGTGGATACAGGCTTCAGAGCCGCCCGCTATCATAACATCAGCATCATTAAACTGTATGAATCTCATTGCATCTCCAATGGAATGGGCTCCAGTTGTACAGGCGGTTGATGCAGCATGGTTTGGACCCTACACAAGTAGAATATAAACATCTGAAAACCTGAGGTTACTCAGCTTCGTCAGACTTCATACCTTGAACCCAAACTTCATTGTCAGATGTCCAGCAGCCATATTGATCAGAATTTTGGGAACAAACATGGGTGAGACTTTCTTGTAGCCCTATTATAGATATCGTTCAGGTCTCCCGTGAAGCCAATTATACCATCATCGATGTCCAATTTACTTACGGAAGTTGAATACACCGTTGACGTGGTGTATAAATCATCTAAACTTCCCATTCCAGATCCTAGACATACACCCTGCAAATAAGGATGCGTCAATACGATTTCTGGCTGTGGCTGCCGTGCTTGATGACATAAGCCATACCGTTCTCTCTTTTTCCTCTTCAGTTTGCGGTGACCACCCTGCGTCCTGAAGAGCTTGCTTCGCAGATGATATGGCGTATCTTGTAAATAGCGCTGTGGTTCTATCGTCGCCTCTATCCAACCACTCTGAAGCGGTAAAGCCACCTTCGCTGAGTGGACCTTCTTTGACAGCAGCTCCGATATTTACAGGGAGTTCACTGAATCCCGGTCGATCCTTCAAGGACACAATTCCGCACTTGCTGTTGATAATATTTTCCCATACTGCTTTCACTCCTGTTCCTAATGGAGTCACTAGACCAAGGCCCGTAACGACGACTCTTCTCATTGCTGAAGTTTATACTTGCTTATGCTATTATGCTCAAAATTCCTTGAACTACACGACGGCGAGATAAACAGTCACGGTCACGTGTGTCAAGCTTTCCAACACTTTCATTACTCATTCACCCTTTCTAGCACTGCGGTTCTTCATACACCTGGATCTACACTACAATGGAGAACGCGTACGGAACTCTGAGTGGCCCCAACATCACCATTAGAGAGCTCCAAAAGGATAAAATTTCTTTTATCCTTAGTGACACAGATCTGAGGTATGCAATTTCGATTAAACTGCAGTTTCAATCTACACCTGAACTAATCGCCTGTTGAATGCTACACCTTTTTTGATCAGTGTTGCTAACTCACTGAGACGAGTGATGATCGCAGAGGTCCCTACTATTGGTGAGTCTGGCTTCAATTTTCTATTGGCCTTTCAATATGCACCCTGACAGCTTTTGCACCTTTGCAGCTATTGACATGGTCGAGATTGAGACGAACACCACAGTCTTAGCCGACGAATTCATCGCACATCGTCTTGGAATGATTCCAATTGAAAGCACGGATGTTGAGAGGATAAAATATACAAGAGTATGTTTCTTTACAATGAAATTGTTCGCGTGGATATGTCGAGCTTCAATTCTAATATCGTTGTTTAGGATTGCACATGCTCGCAGTATTGTTCAGAGTGCTCGGTCGAGCTTACTCTTCACGTCAAATGTACAGATGACCGAACCAGAGATGTCACCAGCAGAGAACTTATTTCCTCGAACCCACAATTTCAACCAGTATTAACAGGTGCAACATTTTGTCTAGAAAATTATACCATTTTATGGCGAAGGCTGACTTATTTGATACCCTCACAGATAAGAACGACAGTGGTATCTTAATAGTAAAGCTTCGAAAAGGCCATGAACTCAGCATCAAATGTATAGCAAAGAAAGGTGTGGCAAAGGAGCATGCGAAATGGAGTCCTGTCAGTGGCGTAGCATTCGAATACGATCCATACAACAAACTAAGACATACCCATTACTGGATCGAAGAAGATGAGAAGAAAGAATGGCCACTCAGTAAAAATGCTGCTCTGGAAGCACCTCCAGATCCGAATGCACCATTTGACTACAACGCCAAACCGGACCGGTTCTATTTCTCTTCTGAGGTACGGTATTGCATGTGATGGAGTGTAACCAACAAAGGAATATGCTAATATCAACGTTTGTCATTAGACCGTAGGATCTCTCCAGCCTGAAGAAGTTGTTTCAATGGCCATGAAGACCCTTCTTGATAAGCTTGCATATGTTCAAATGCAGCTGAAGGAGGAAGTGGACATGAAGAAGCAAGATCATACTAGCTGGGGATATTAGTACCAATAATAAGAAGTTTCAATCAGGAAAAAGTTCAAATGTAGAATAAAATATTTGCCAATCCATCTTCTCAGAGTGCCGTCGACTTGACTTTAAATAGAACTTCTAGACGCGTATTCGTTCTTCGGTTTAATCCTTCCCGAGAATGCACAGCCTGGCAAAAAATCATCCGCTGCATGGTTAGGGTTGACGCTAGCCGCAGTAACCACGTGCTCATTTTTTTGATTAATAAAATGACGGGTAGTTTCTGGAAAGACAAAGCTCATACTAAAAATGACCTCGTCTACTATTGAAAAAGGCTCCCGTGTTCTCGTAACCGGTGTTAATGGATTTATTGCATCTCATGTTGCAGACCAGCTATTGAGAGCTGGCTATAAAGTCACTGGCACTGTTAGAAATCAAGCTAAGGCTGAGAGTCTACAGTCACTTACTGACAAGTACGGAAGTGATGATTTCAAAGTTATCATCGTCAGAGACTTAGAAAAAGAAGGAGCTTTTGATGAAGCTGTTAAAGGTTAATCTACTTCTCTTTTACGCCTACTTCATGGTCCAAGTCAATATACTTATGTGATATTTTTTCTTCCAGACGTTGATGCCATTGCTCACGTTGCATCGCCAGTCACCTTTAATCCTGAGAACCCGATTAGGGATGTCCTCAACCCGGCTATTAATGGAACTATGAGTCTTCTACAGTCCGCGCACAAGTGCGGCAAGAACGTCAAACATGTCGTTGTCACTTCAAGTGTTGCTGCCGCTGTAACCCCGTTTGAAGAAGGGTCATACAACTACACTGAAAAGGACTGGAATAGGACTAGTTACGGAGAAGTTAGCCAGTGGAAGGAAGGCGAACCTATCAACGGTCCTGTTGCTTATGCAGCAAGCAAGGTCGCAGCTGAGCAAGCCGTGTTCAAGTTCCAGAAAGACGTGTCTCCAAACTTCTCCATCAACACCATCTTACCTGGTACCACTTTTGGAGCAGTCATTACCGAGATCAAGTCAGCCAACGAGTTGACAGGATCACCAATGTGGACTGCTGAGTATTATAGTGGTCAATCAACGGATGTCACAACTGCTTGGGTGTACCACCATTATGTGAACGTTCAGGATGTCGCTTTAGCACATGTGCGTGCCATAGAAAGAGGCTCTGAAACGAATGGTGAACGATTTATGGTAGTCGGTGGAAGCTATGCTCTTCAAGAAAAAGTTGACATTATGCGCAAGCACTACCCCGAACGCAAAGACATTATTGTTGAAGGTACTCCGGGCAAATACCCCACACTTGAGCAAACCCTGGATGGCAGTAAGACTGCCCGACTTCTAGGTATCCAATACAAGACTTTTGAGCCTAGCTTAATTGAGTGTGTTGAAAGTATCAAGCATTTATATTGAGTAGAATCAACCAAGCTCTATGGACATTGCCTCCAAGTTCGCTCAATGAAAGGCATATGATATACTGTAACGTAGCAATAAATGCACGCAGAGACATGAAAAATATGTTCTATTCATTAAAGCGTTTGGCAGTCTATATTTGAAATAGTGAGTACCCTTGTTATCCATTGAAGAGCTATGATGCAACTGCAGTTTTTCGTAATGGTTTGCGCAAATTTGTATAGTTTATTAGGCTGAAAAGTCATTGTGAGGAAGAAATGCCCATATAACATCGAATATGAGCAAATACGTGGTCAAAAACTATGAGGCGGTCATTCGAAGCCCATCATAGATCAAACCAAAATCATATATTGATGTTATGTTTCCATTTGCAACCCTTTAGTAAGAATATTGTAGAAGTAACGAAAAGAAGTTCAAACTCGTTGCGGAAGTCGTTGAAAACCTAAATATATTTGGATAGATTGTTACGTAAATCTTACATAGCCATTTACTTGCTGAACGATCTGAAGACTTTCTACGAACTTTGCTTTCCTTGCCCATTAATAATACTTATCACCTCTTGTCATCTATCAAAAGCATGCTCGCTAAACTTGGTCAACTTCTTATTATGTGATGCACTTTATTTACAGCTATGATGTTGCGCGACTCGGAAATAGCCAAGAAATAAAGTCCTTATTTTATTTGAGATATATTCTAGTGATGTCAAATTCTGGAGCTATGATAGATTCAAAGTCAAACATTGCTCTCTACTGGGGGTGTTCGTTAGATCTTGCTTCCAAAAAACGATACTGCCATCCGGATCTGGAAGACCAAATCCGGACGACCAAAGAAGTCCGCTACAAATCAACTCTGCTTTAAGTAGTAAACAGCCGATAATTCGTGGCGTTCAGTAACGAAATCAGAAACCGTGCCCTCGATGCCATTGCTCACGCTGCCCATTGCTTACGACTGCTTACGAATTCCGTTGCTTACAACGCGAGCATTATCAGTGTCAACCTGACGAGTTGACCCTCTTGAAGGCACGTTGTAGCCACGTTGTACATATCCAGGAGACCACATTAAAGTGTTAAGTTTTCGCTGGCTTCACAGGTCCTTGAGTATTTAAACAGAAACTGAGTTACGAATGTCATTTATCGAAAATCTCAAGCCCAAATGTCCTCAAATACTTTCCAAAAAGGATCTCATGTTCTAGTTACTGGTGTGAACGGATTCATTGCAACTCATGTTGCGATCCAGTTGTTGCAGGCTGGATACAGAGTCACTGGAACTGTCAGAAGCCAAGCTAAAGCCGATGCCCTACATGAATTTTTCCCTGCCAAGTACGGAAGTGATAAATTCAAAATTATCATCACAGGAGACTTGGAAAAAGAAGGCGCTTTTGATGAAGCTGTTAAAGGTAAAACTTGTATTTTCTTTCATATTGATCTACCACCCGGATTTCTTACTTATCGAGTTTCAATGTTCTACTACAGATGTGGATGCCATTGCTCATGTTGCTTCACCGACCAACTTTAATCCTGAAAACCCGATCAAGGATGTCGTCAATCCTGCTATTAAGGGAACAATCAATCTTCTGCAATCCGTACTTAAGTACGGCGAGGACGTCAAACATGTCGTAGTCACTTCGAGCGTCTCTGCCATCATAAATCCAATGGAACAATCGCCATATGTGTACACTGAAAAGGACTGGAACGAGATGGCACTAGGAGTTGTTAGCCAATGGAAGGAAGGAGATCCTGTCAACGGTCTTCTGACTTATGCAGCAAGCAAAGTCGCAGCCGAGCGAGCCTCGTTCAAGTTCCAGAAGGAATTCTCCCCAAAATTTACCATCGACACTATCTTACCTGGCACCACTTTTGGTGCCATTATTTCTACACCCAAGTCCGCTAAAGACATAACTGGAACAAGATCCCATGTTACCGCCTACTACAGTGGTCTAGCAACTGACGTAACAACTTCCAACGTGTTTCATCACTATGTGAACGTCGAAGATGTCGCTTTGGCGCATGTTCTGGCTATTGAAAAAGGCTCTGAAACAAATGGTGAGCGATTCATCTTAGTCGCTAGAGGATTCACTCTCCAAGAAACTGTTGATATTCTGCGCAAGCATTACCCCGAACGCAGGGAAATTATTGTTGAAGGCACTCCGGGAAAATATCCTACGCTTACTCAATTGATTGATGGCAGTAAGGCTACTCAAAGACTAGGCATTGAGTACACTAATTTAAATGACTATACTGTATGTTTGATATGTTTGACGACGCGTGCAAGATTTATAATATATAACTGTTGTCCATGTCAATGTTTTATTCAGATAAAGGACACCGTAATGACTTGTGTGAAAGCATACTTTATTGAGTTGAAGAGGTTTGCGTATGCTAGCAAAAGCTTACTAATTGTGATCAAAACTTTGGTCATTTGGTGAATTATGTAGAAGCTCGAGTGTAGAAAAAATTCTAAATAAAAAAATCAACAATAGAAATCTACACATATTGACGTGTATAATACGACCTCCTGGCCTTATACAACCTTTGTAGAAGAAATGAAAGCTTAGTGTACCTGGGTAAATTGTTTGTCATCAACCCGACCAGATCGAAGCTATCGGATAAGCTCAGCATAAAGGATGAACGGATGGGAAATGTCCTTATTTCATGGCCAGCTGGTTTCAAGAGTAAAATTAAAGTGGCCATTCAGCCAATTATGCAACGTTCTTTTCGGCCTGGATAAACATTCCCGAATGGACGGACTCGAAAACGCTTACAAAGAGGACCACCACGGCAAATCACGTGCCGTCCCTAAATTTCGTCAAATGAATAAAAATGTCATTGTATGCCTACAAATCGAAGAAATTAAAACTACCCAAAGCTCATACATAATGTCCCCAGTTACATTTGAAAAAGGTTCTAATGTTCTAGTTACCGGTGTAACTGGATTCATTGCCGCTCACGTTGCAAACCAGTTTTTGAAAGCTGGATATAGCGTCACTGGAACCGCTAGAAGCCAAGCCAAAGCTGATTCCATCCTAGCATTGTTTGCGGACTATGGAAGCGATAAGTTCAAAGTAGTCATCACTGGAGACTTAGAAAAAGAAGGAGCTTTTGACGAAGCTGTTAAAGGTTTGTTTTCGCTTTCTTTCGCGATTATTTGGATTCAAATTCCACAAAATTGAAAACTTACTGACCGTCAATGCTCTACTTTAGACGTCGACGCCATTGCCCACGTTGCCTCTCCAACCAGCTTTAATCCGGAGGACCCAATCAGAGACGTCATCAATCCTGCTGTTAATGGAACACTCAGCCTCCTACAATCCGCACACAAATATGGCAAGAACGTCAAACATGTCGTCGTCACGTCAAGCAGTGCAACTCTCCTTGATCCATTAAATGAATCACCACGTGTCTATACCGAAGAGAACTGGAATGACCAAGTGTACGAAACTGTTAGCCAATGGAAGAAGGGTGATCCAGTCAACGGCGGTTTCGCCTATGCAGCAAGCAAAGTCGCAGCAGAGCGCGCCTTGTGGAAATTCCAGAAGGAAGTGTCTCCAAAGTTCACCATCAATACTATCTTACCTGGTGTCACATTTGGAGCTGTTATCCCAACACCCAAGTCATCTAATGACATAACAGGAACACCTGCAATGATCACTGTGTATTATAGCGGGAAAGCTACTGATGTTACAACTTCCAGCGTCTTTCTCCATTATGTGAATGTCGAGGACGTTGGTTTAGCACATGTGCGTGCCATTGAAAGGGGCTCTGAAACAAATGGCGAACGATTCATCTTGATCGCTAGAGGCTATGCTCTTCAAGAGGTTGTTGATATCCTGCGCAAGCATTACCCCGAACGCAAGGACATTATCGTCGAAGGTACCCCCGGCCAATACCCGAAGTTCACTCAATCGATTGATGGCAGCAAAGCTACCCGAATTCTAGGCATCGAATATAAGAGTTTGGAGACTAGCTTGGTCGAGTTGATTGACAGTGTCAAACAGCTTTATTAAAAATATAACGCTTTACGACGATCTATACCATATCATTTAGTGAGATAAAGCGATAAGAAACTGAATAAATTTTATAATTTAAAAAATTTAATAGCCATTGCCATGAAATTAGCCGTGATTATGTGATTATTTTGCGTGATTTTTAACACTTTGCGCTCATCAGCGTCTTGCCCGCTGAAGCAATCGAAATGAAGTAACTGTACACTCTATTTCAGATGGTATGTTGAATGAACAAAGTCTTACTCCTATAAAGGATTTGATATACGCGTTTTGACAGCTTCAGAATTTCGGTTGATAGCAAATCTGCATCATTCATCCACAAGTAATATTTCGAATTGTTCAATGACAGGTTCAGAGGCCTTGCTTTAGATGTTATTGCCTCTTATGCGGGGGCTTACCAATAACCAAGCTGACAAATTGATCTTCTCGAAAGCACTTAGTAGTCACACTAGAAGATATATAAGGGGCACTTAATTTTTTTCTATGCCGTCGAAAGCAGAAGTCGCTGGATATACAACCTTATCAACTATAACTCAAGAAATATGCCATCAAACACTATTGAAAAGGGATCTCATGTTCTCGTTACTGGTGTGACTGGATTTATTGCAACACATGTTGCAAACCAGCTGTTGAAAGCTGGATACAGGGTGACTGGAACTGCTAGAAGCCAAGCTAAAGCTGATGCTGTCCAGACTCTTTTTGCTGACTATGGAAGCGATAAGTTCAAAATTCTTATCACTGGAGACTTGGAAAAAGAAGGAGCTTTTGATGAAGCTGTCAAAGGTGAATGTTATTCCCATGCAAGACTGATGCGCTAACCAGGAGTTTTCGCGTTAAATGCTAATCGATATTCCATAATATCCACTCCAGATGTTGATGCTATTGCTCATACGGCTTCGCCAGTGACTTTTAACCCTGAAGATCCAATCAGAGATGTCGTCAATCCAGCTATCAATGGAACAATCAGTCTTTTGCATTCCGCACACAAATACGGCAAGAATGTCAAGCATGTCGTTATCACTTCCAGCGTTGTTTCAGTTGCCAGCCGAGATATTGATCATCCCTATACCTTCACTGAGAAAGATTGGAATGAGGGAGCTTACGAAAAGATTCGTCACTGGAAAAAAGGAGATCCTGTAGATGGCTCTATCTCTTATGCAGCAAGCAAAACCGAAGCCGAGAAAGCGTTGTGGAAATTCCAAAAAGACGAGTCTCCAAAATTCACCATAAATGCAATCTTACCTGCTGTATGTATCGGCAGAATCATTCCCGCACCTAAGTCAGCTGCGGAGGTGTCGGGATCCCCTGGCATAATTGCTGTGTTTTACACTGGAAAGGTAGATTTGACAGCTGGCAACGGCCAAATGCCTTACGTCAATGTAGAGGATGTCGCTCTGGCACATGTTCGTGCTATTGAAAGAGGGTCTGAGACAAGTGGCGAACGTTTCATCTTGTCGGCAGATACTTATGATCCTCAACAAATTGTTGATATTCTGCGTAAACATTATCCAGAACGCAAGGAAATTATTCCTGAAGGCACCCCTGGAAAATATCCACCTCATGATCAAACTTTTGATGGCTCCAAGGCTACCAAGGCTTTAGGTATTCAATACAAGGACCTCGAAACATCGTTGGTTGAGTTTTCGGATAGCGTTAAACATGTTTTTGACTTGTAAATATTGTAATAAATCCATAGTGCATGCCCAGAAGGACAGCATGCATTTTGTTCATGAGATATTTATTGTAATAGCTGGGGTATATGGGGTGTTCTACATTACAGTGAAGCAGTTTTTGCAAGTTCATATTATGTGATATCTGCTATGCTTTGCTTTCATTTTTGTGAGATGCAGACGTACTCTTTCTAGAGATGTTTTCAGGAATGCACAATGTGACAGTGCGGTCCATTTCTGTAAAATGGTTCTTACGAACAAACTCAAGAAACTGCATACGATTACAAATGACTGTTTTTGGCGGTGCATATTTTACAACTTTTTACTAATTTGATCATAGGTACAGGAGAGGGTGTTGGGATAACGTCTTCGAAGCGAATTTCAATATTATAAAGGATGGATATTAGGACGGGGTGTGGCTATCAAGACCATTTGTAACTGTGGGTTGAACTGGATTTATGTCATGAACCTTTGTCGTAGCGTCTTCGTTTGTTCCCGATATCATATGGTCACCACCTTTCGGAGGAGGTGGTGGAAGTTTGTCCACAACCAGCTTTCGCACTTGATTTAAAAATTCGATAGATTCATCGATTTCAGGAACGAGATGTCCAGAAAGTGACTCAAGTAGCTTGTCTAAGCGGGTGTTTGTACCGTCTTTAGGAAATTGTTCAGACATATTGACACGACTGTAATTAACGTATGATGAGTACAGCAATGACTTGCAGCTAAGAGAAGAGTTTACTTACTGCTCATAATCGCAATATTCATCTACTAGAGCCTGTAGCTGCGGGTATATATCATTGTCAGGTTGATCACATTGTTGTATTTCAGTGACACAGGCGTATGGCATTCCTGTTAGCTGTACGGTTAGCGTTTTTGTCTTATCAATAGATGCATTTTAAAAAAGATAACATACGGAATGAACCCGAGGCATCCCAACCCGGACTAATGGACAGATATTGGAACTTGGATTTGTTCGTATCTGCTGCATGGTCATAAGGGCTAACGATCACTCCAATGAAAGGTTCTAGACCAGTCTCTTCATGCCGAAAGAGAGACTGCAACAGCGAACAATGAGGTGAGACTCCTATTAACCGATCGAGCATAGTACTGGAGTAGTAAGTTACCTGGTAAGATGACTGGTTTTCGATATCTCTTACGCTTGGATTTGGTTCAAACGTGGGATGGGAGTGGTACCAGCCAACAACAGCCATGCCTTTTTCAGCAAATACTTCTCGAGCACGCATCTCAGATTCCGGATCCATCTCGCACTAATGAAACTATTTGTGAGATGATACCATGACATTGTGATGACTAAATGTGTACTCAGTTTACCTGTATACCAGTGCTAGTACTTTTGCAGGGGAAAGTGCATTGTACTTCCAGTCGCCTCGTATCTGCATTAAATTTTCCTCCTAGTAGGCCGATAATTTCGGTGTGTGCAAGGTACGAATGGAAATCCATGACAAGCTGTTGAAATATTAGGATTGAGTAATGAAAAAGTTTCATGAATGTAAACCATCATACCAGAGCATCGCTAACAATCGTAACATGAAAAGGAGGTTGTTGGTCATACTGCTCTAAAGGCACCAATCGGAAGGGGTCGTAGCCATTACGGAAATCATCATCTAAATGCTTCGGTCGTCTTATCGTTCGTTTCGGGCGTGATTTGGCTTTTAAGGGAATAGAATCACATTAAGTAGAAACGAAGGGAATGGAAAACCACAATGAATGGCAAGTATTACCTTCTTCAATCTGAACACCATGCTCTATTACTCTGCCTTCCAGATCCTTTGGGTCCACCCATCGACCGCGCTCGTCTCTCACCTTGCGCTTTCTCGGGCTGATTCATTAAATACAGTTTAGTAAATCAGATCTGGTCATTCACTCCATAGAAGGGCTATAACAGATGCATACCCATCATATTCCATCACCCAATCAGGTACTTGACCGACACCTTGTTCATCTTCATCAGAATAATATTCAACATGTGCTACGGCTGGTCTCTTTGGTCGAGGAGGGTTGGTGATGCAGTTTGTATTAATAGCACCAATGGCCTCTAAGTAGGTATGCACACGACCAATGGCGTTCACGTCGCCACAATCTTTGAGACCGTTACGAGCACTTGTTTTCGTAAGATATCGCGGTTTACATCGATTCCAAGATGCAATTATCGTGTTTCGAATTTTTAGATATCTCTCAGGAGTCTTGGATGGTTTACCTAAAAACCATTCTCGGTTGTTATTGACTTCATCTACACTAGCATTATGAGGATCAAATCGCTACGAGTGTGGTGTTTAATATGTTTTTCAAAGAGTGGCAATGCAATGGACATAAGCTGGCAAATACCTTTTCATCAGAGATCAAGTCAGGCGATTGGGACGCTTGCTCAACATTCTCCTCTTCTGCTTCTTCTGCTTCTTCTGCTTCTTCAGCTATTCCTTCAAGAGCTTCCTCGACTTTCCGCGGAATGTCAGATATCAAGGTCATCCCTTTGCTTTTAGATAGGATAGACGCATCATTCTGATGTTCATTATTTGCGAGATGATTCTCTTTCTCATTGTCCTCAGTCGTCGCTATAGATTGATTTTCAAATTTGCTTTCCTCGGTAATGGTGGTTTTTGGACTACTGTCAGGAGGCAGAATCACGGTCGATTCTGAAAGTATTTCTTCATTGCCTTCTTGCACTGGGTTGCTCGGTATCGTGTCGGAGATGCTTTCCTCTTTCACTTCATCTTTTAATGGAGTTATATAATCCAAAGGTGGCCCTATCGTATCCATGCCAGACGTATACCTAGTGGTAGAAACGATATCTTCTTCCATGGAACCTTCACTATTGAATACTTCATTAGCCTCTGGCTTCGTGGAAGCATTCTCGTCAATATCCACTTCAATATCTTCCATGGTGGCATCTAGAGGTTCTTCAGTTCCTGGAAGTGCATGGTCGCTATGAAGTTCTATTTCTCCAGAATTACCGTTTCCATTTTCAACTTCGTGTGTCGACGGACGACGATCTTCTGCTTGACCATTGTGTGCTGAAATCTCGTCTTCATCCCCACGGGGCTCAGATACCGCTTTAACGCTTTCACTACCCTTAATAAAATCAGACTTTGCATCTGTCTCTGGCGAATGGATGATCTGAGAGCCTGGTTAGCCATGAAAATCAAGAATATTCTCTTTTTGAACCGATTGACTTACTTTTGACGAGTTGACGAGATGTCGCGCATGATTTTTACATTGTAAAGGGTTGCGACTACCGACCGCTTCCGAGACCGCCTTCCAGTTACCATAGCCAAATTGTTCCTGTAAAATCATGATAAATTCAAAAAAAAAAAATCATATACGTAACGTAGCACGCAATCTAAGCTTACCAAAGCCCTCCTAAGCTGTTCATCCTCTTCGGCCGACCAACGCGTTTTGTGAGATGGTAGCTCCGCTGACGATATAGTGTGTTTGCCTGTCGACAGCATCAAAATTAGAAAAACGACCTTATAGCTATTGTACTGATTCTTCAGTGGCTTACCTTGACCGTCCTGCGCTTTTGGCTTATAATTCGTATCACCAGCATTGCTCGCTTTCGGATCACGTTTCTGCACTTTTCGTTTCTTCGGCTTGGGCTCGACATAATCGCCGTGCTCTAAGCTATTTGTGCCAGCACCAAAGTAATATTCTTCTTCTGCAAGCATTTGTTGTATAAGTGCCTTTGATTTTTCATCCATATCTGACGTGTCAATCGCCTATGAAGCAAATAGAGTTAATCAACTACGCGGACGTGGTTGGAAAAGTTGGTACTGCCAAAATACCTGATGTGGTTCCCAGCCACTTTCCTGATAATCTGCTGCTATATGTACAGTATACTGATCATTATTCTGTCCACCTTGGGTATCTACTGCTGTCTCGAAACTAAAAGTGTATAAGCATTTGTGTTCAAAAAGTCTTATGAGATCAGATTCACTTTCGTACTTGATATGTGGCTTTCCATTGTCATTCTCTGACTTTGTTTCGATCGAAACTTCTTCGCTACCTCCAATGTCGATGTCGTCTTCGTCGTCCACCTGCATTTGAATTCACGTTACAATTGCTGTGGACAAGCTGTTGGAAGAAAGGGCAAATGGAGAGAGGTTGCGAGAGTGACTGCCTTTTCACTGGAATTTCAATTTCGTTTCCAGACCAAAAACCAGGAAAGCAAAGTGTGCCATATCGTATGGTTTTGTCAACCACAATTGTTGTTTTTTATGAGTGCCTCGCAAAGTCTATAAGTCAACGCAAAGAACTTATCTATTGATATGGCTAGCATTAAAAAAATACAGACAGTTGGGGAACCTCTCTATGACAGGCGAAATCTGTGAAAAAGCCTTCCATTTAGAAGTATTTTCGAAGCAATTGCAAGTCCATAATATCACATAGGTGTAGTTTTGCCGGATTACGGTTGATTGTCTTTCCCTATGGCCATTAATACTTCTGAACCTTCCTTTATAATTCCGCATCAAAATGTATCATTTACATTGCATTCTATTCAAGTCTTCCAAAACAATAATGACATTGGACTGACAGGAAAAATTGCTTGAAAATGTACGCCAATAGGGACACCAATTATCAAACAGAATTGACAAAAGAATTGCTAGTGTTGAGATACCGTTGAGTGGTTTTTCGGTTATAACAATTCTAGCGCGCTCGTACTATAAATAGCTTGCGAGATGGCCAGTTGTGCTCAACGAGCGATTCAGCGTTTTGACCTTTATTAACATAAATCACTAAGGATATGCATCTACAGTTTCACGTTAAAAAGTTTTGCAAGGTCGCAAGCTTTTAAATTGGAGGTAAATGAGTGCGTAGAACCACGTAAACAGTGGTAATGAAACAAAAGACATGCAGCGATTGACTGGTCGGCGCTGCCGGGAAAAGTAGCCGTTTCAAATTTCCGTTGACAGTAACCCCTGGTGCGTTACTTTTCTTCTTTCTTGGCATTGCCCCGTTTAATTACTGCCATGAGCGACAAAGAAAGTGCCTTAGCAAACTACATACTGTCAAATATTCAACAAAACTTGTCCTTTTTGAAGGATCAGAACTACCTTTCTGTCCAAGCTCATGATGAAATCTCAAGACTTTTGCCTAGAAGCATAAACGTCACATCTGGAACGGAGATGCCCATGCCTCGCAATTCAGCTGCTAATATACCTCCTCCCAACCCACGACCGAACTCTTTCAAAACAACTCCCCCACCCAGACGCACACCTGGAGCCGAAATGAGCGATGTGAAGAAGCAATTTCCAATTCCAAAGCCTGCACTGCCTAACAATGGCTTCAATAATACGGAAAAGCCTCCTTTCATGGGTATGCCAGCAAAGGAAGCGGAACCTATTCCTCCAGCGTACTCTTTAACATCTGCAGAAGCATTATATGACTACCAAGGCCAGGATCACGAGGACCTCACCTTTAGAAAAGGCGATATTATCGAAGTTACGGAATTTGGTATGTGTATTGACCTGTTTTTGGCATACATTGGTTTGATGGATAAAAAGCTAATCTAACGTTGCCTCTACTAAAGTGAATGACGATTGGTGGAGAGGCAAGCTCCACGGAAAATCTGGCCTTTTCCCCCAAAATCATGTCGTCAAAATTGAGTAAGGGCTTGTGTGAGATATGCCGAACTTGCAGTTGTTGATCACGCTCATATTAATTACATAAATAGGAATCCAGCCAGCAAAGCCAAAGCTAACAATCAGTTCCCACCGCCTCCAAGTGGTTCACCCTACGGAGCTCCTCCTCCTCCAGCTAATCCCTACGCTAGTCCAGCTACTAGCTCTCTGCCTTACAACTACCCTCCACCTCCAGCCATGTACCAGCCCCCACCTGCTGGAGGTTATGCTCCGTCTCCGCCACCAGGTCAGGCTGTATATGCAGCTCCTGTTCAAGGCGAATCATCGGCCGAAGAAAGTAAGGGCAAAAAGTTCGCAAAGAAATTCGGGTCACAAGTCGCCTCAGGCGCTGCTTGGGGTGTTGGTATGTCAGGTAAGTAAACAGAAAGTCTTATTGCGCGGCACAGTGCTTGTGGCTAATTCAAAACTTTGTAGCCGGTAGCGAACTTGTCCATTCCATTTTCTAAGGGCTTAAAGCCAAGATAAAAAGTGTATCTCAGAGGCTATTAGATTGAGAAGATCACATTGTGCGCGTAAACATTGTCAAATAAAGATCCATCTTTTGTCCCAATTCTGGTAATTTGATATGTTGGGGGTAATATCTTCTCGACCTTGTCAGTCTTTCCTTCGCGCACCCTGTCACAAACCAAATTTCTCAGGTGTATCTGCCAGCTTCTCAGAACTTTCGCCATTTATTATTTCCCCCTTCCCCTTCTATTTTTTATACAAGCTGCTCGGAGCATCCTACATTTCATATCGAATGACTTTGAACACCAAGTTGATAACAACCAATTTTATCTCTAAAAATCATGATGCCATATCGTAATGCAGTCACTGCCCACAACAAAATGCCAAGGTCAGGCTGGCTTAGCCGCCACCACTTAGATGGGCTCGCACCCCAATGGCTTACTGAAAAAGGAAGCATGATCTCCCTCATATGACAGGTCAAATCACACCAAAGCGATTGGCTGAGAACGCTTCGAGATCACGAAGCCTCACCGCAACTTTGAATAGCACACCGTTCCGGAGACAACTCAGGCGGATGATTGGATTATATACAATGAGTGCTCATCATTCTTTATGATTAGGATGTATATACGAAGTGAGGTTTAAATTAGAAGAAAATAAGCAATTGAACTATTCTACTATGGTTATGAGATGCTTGAGGGTTGAATAAATTTAAGTGGCGGCTTGATAAGGTGACAGCGCAGAGTGGAAAGACTTGGAGGACATGAAGGACCGAGAACTACTTTCCCTTTGGCTTTCCCTTCCCTTTACCGACTGGCAAAGGTGGAGGAGGGGGGGACATCGCTATCGGGTAGGAGCAGTTGTAATTGATATTGACAGAGATACCATGAGAATTATAAGCATAGTTGTAATGGTAATTGAATAGTGGGCTTGGAGGTGGTGGTGGAGGCATGGCCTTTGGAGCAGCTTTAGCAGGCATCTTGAAAGAAGTTGAGAGTAAATGGGAAGGAGAAGGAAATTTGCATGGCCCTTTTTATACTTTTTGAAACGGAATAACACTATAAACGTGGATGGCCCCACCCGTCATTTTCCAATTTCTCCTTGCTGCGGGTAGTGGCAAAGTACAATCAGCTTCTCCATGTTTCTTTCGCTCGCCCCTGGATCAACATTTGAACATTGTGTTTCTTAATCTTTCCATGCTACTTCAATCAGTGAGTTCGACAACATTCTCCGATTGTGTGCTTTTCTCACCCTTCACGAAAGAGGGGATGACTGGAAGCGAACTGTGTGACATGTACAAGCTTGGACCACTACTCAATTCAGTGTGGCTTATATCCAATAACAGGCGGTTGTAATGAGCCACATTCTTGGCAAATCGGATTTGTATGCTGTTGCTTTAATGGGTTTCTTGATAAAATTCTAGATTATGCTAATGTACACTGATCCGGTGGATGCTTTATAATGCGAAGCCGACCTTTTTCTTTTTAGAAGATGCCTGCTGATAATAGGTTACGATGGGTCAGATGACAGTGATACGAGAAAAAGAAGCTGGGTGAGAAATTGGTGGTACCTTTTCTTGAGCCGTGGAGCTCTGCTGCTTCAGGGTGCGCTTCTTTTCTCGCTTCTGTATTCGTCGCTTGTTCTTTATCTGTTCCTTTACCAATTCCTGAATTCAAGTAATTGGATCAGCCTTTTGCATTATTCAACATCATTCATATCAGTAACATTTAACCTACCAATTGATTCTGCTTCTTCGCTTGAGCATCGAGGACGGCCAGCTCACGTTGTTCGGCCTTATCTTCGATTTCGGCCTATTCAACCGACAATGGTTAGTTGTAGATCCGGGGATCATGACGTGATTCCATTTCACAAAATTAAGGTTGAGAAATTTAACTTACCCTACGCTTCAATTTTCCTTGTGATTTTTGGTCTTCCTTGGCCGCAACGATATCAATGAGGCTCAGCATCGAAGACTAATTTCCAAAAAGAATTACGTTCGTTTAGCCATGTTACATTGTCATACATTCTATGCGTTTCGTTCGCTGTTTTATGATCCGCCTCTTGTTCTTACCTGCGTAGCAAATACTTTGGTCTTTTTACCCGTTCCTTTTTTCTTCTGAATAGGCTTGATATTGTCCACAGATATATCTGCATCAACGATAGCCTTTTCTACTTCTTCGTCATCAGCTTCCTCAACTTCCTCAGTTTTGGCAGCTCCGGCTCCTTTAGTCTTGGTAGTCTCGGCTCGTAATTTTTTCGCTCGTCTTCGCGTAGAAGTTGGATAGGGCTTAGACTCCTGCGCGACATCGGTTGCTGCCTGTAGATTGAGATCAGAAGAATTAAATCAAAGTCTTCTGATGGAATATTGATAACCACTATTGCAGTGACGGTCTGATGAGGGATTTTACCTTTGAGTTGTGTACTTCTTTTGGCATTGTTGTAATAAATGTGAGAGACTTGGCTGGCCACTGTAGAAACTTTTTTTTGTCTGAGCTTCCTGTCGTTGCTTGTGCGGAGTCCACCCACTTTCGCTGTCACATTCAAATGCAGTGGCTGGACACGCATCCTGCCCTGCAACAACTCCAGGTTCAACATGTTATCGCAGTTGGCACGTCATAGACCATGGTTCTTGGCATTGTCCAAGGTGCCGTTTAAGGTAAGCGGAATGCAAAGCATTTGAGGCTTGAAGCATTCCCACCTGATCGATTTTCCATGTTGTTACCAGGCTACGAGATGCAATTCCACCGCCGCTTCGGCAACCCCTTTCGGCTTCCAAAGTGCCTGGACTCAACCACCCCACGCAGACGCACTCATACCATTTGTTGTGGAACAGACGGTAAGTGCAAGCCTTCGTACGTCCCGATAGTCACCACCCCCAAACTTAAACCCTCCAATCTTGTAAAGGCTCGTGGGGAACGATCATATGATATTTTCTCGCGCTTGTTGAAGGAGCGTATCATCTGTCTCAATGGCAATGTAAGGGCAACAGCATGAAACAGAAATATAAGATTGAGTTGCTGATATCTGGCATTTGGATAGATCCATGACAGTCTGGCTTCAGTGATTGTTGCGCAGTTGTTGTTTCTAGAAGCCGAAAATCCTGAAAAGCCTATAAACATATACATCAACTCTCCAGGAGGAAGTGTGACAGCTGGAATGGCCATTTACGATACTGTAAGTGAACATTGATGGGAAAAGAATAATATGTTTTATCCATGACTAATGTCGCTGTCCAAACCAGATGCAGGTTTGTGTTGATGGATGGCTGGGATGGTAACTGTCGTATGTACTGACAACATGGCACTTCAACAGTACATTCAATCTCCTGTAACAACACTATGTGTTGGACAGGCATGTTCAATGGCATCTCTTCTTCTAACAGCTGGAGAACCTGGAAAGCGGTATGCGCTTCCAAATGCTTCCATCATGATTCACCAACCTTCAGGCGGAGCATCTGGTCAAGCATCAGATATTGCCATCCATGCTCGTGAGATACTCAGAGTTCGGGAGAGACTGAATAGGATGTATCAAAAGCATACTGGTATCCGAGAATTGGAAACTATTGGTAAGAAAAGCGATTTTGGAACTTTTTTGATGAATGACTTCGCTGACAAAGTAATCTAATGTATATGCAACAGAAAAAATGATGGAAAGAGATTATTTCATGACATCGGAGGAGGCTTTATCGGTTGGTCTGATTGACAAAGTTCTAGAGAAGCGATCACCCGGGAAAGGGCCTGAGCTTTGAACGTAATAAACTGCCTCCACATTGTGAAGTAAAATGTTTTTTCTGAGTAAATTAAAATTTTGTGTTTGTCATGACGCCGGAGCGCTCCACGCAATTTCGTTATATGCTGCTGGTTCAAGACACGCCAGTACCTGGTCCACTTTACATTCACAGACTCTAATTACCCTGCTATGGCGAAAGAAGGAGTAAAGCAATACTATCAAGCAAAGATAGAGGAATGCGAGCTTACTATAAATGAGAAAACTCAAAATCTTCGTCGTCTCGAAGCGCAAAGAAATGCATTGAACGCGAAAGGTATGAATTATCCGCTGGCCACTTTGATCGTTTCTCAAATGGAGATAAACCAATGTTATTTAACTCTGCATCACTTTTTTAGTACGACTACTAAGAGAAGAATTGCAGCTTTTGCAAGAACCTGGCTCATATGTTGGAGAAGTTGTAAAAGTCATGGGAAAGACTAAAGTCCTTGTCAAGGTACGATGACAGTTTCAGTAGCGTACGGAAAGCATCCGATCGTGGTCTCTAATCAAAACATTGTGCAGGTCCACCCCGAAGGAAAATATGTTGTTGATATTGGCTCTGATATCGATATCTCAACGCTCACACCCACTGTTCGAGTAGCGTTACGTAACGACTCATACCAGCTTCACAAGGTTCTGCCTAATAAGGTCGACCCACTTGTTTCGCTCATGATGGTGGAAAAGGTGCCCGATTCCACTTATGAGATGGTTGGAGGTCTCGAAAAACAAATCAAGGAAATTAAGGAAGTCATTGAACTTCCAGTGAAGCATCCCGAATTATTTGAGAGCTTGGGTATAGCACAACCAAAGGGTGTCTTGCTTTATGGACCTCCTGGAACTGGAAAAACTTTATTGGCAAGAGCCGTAGCACATCACACAGACTGTCGATTCATTCGTGTATCTGGCTCAGAGCTTGTACAAAAATATATCGGTGAAGGAAGCAGAATGGTGCGCGAACTTTTCGTCATGGCAAGGTATGTCACGTATTTCATTCCCAGTGTAAATAATGCCTCCCACCCAATATATTTACATGCATTGCAGAGAGCATGCACCATCAATCATATTCATGGACGAAATCGATTCAATTGGTTCGGCCCGTATCGAGAGTGGTGGTGGCGGTGACTCTGAAGTGCAGAGAACTATGTTGGAACTTCTTAACCAGCTTGATGGTTTCGAGCCCACCAAGAACATCAAGGTAATTTAAGAAAACATATACACGATGGTCTGAGCGTATTCTGACAGCATTTTTTTTTCAAAGGTTATCATGGCTACAAATCGCATAGATATCTTAGATTCTGCATTGCTTCGTCCTGGACGTATTGACCGAAAGATCGAATTCCCTCCACCGAGCGAAATTGTAAGTCATTGTGGAACAATTTGCCGTTATCTTTAAAGGTTCTTCATATTTACAAACTACCCTCTTTTCCTGATAGGCTCGTGCCGACATTCTCAAGATTCACTCCCGTAAGATGAACCTGACAAGAGGAATCAACTTACGAAAAATTGCAGAGAAGATGACTGGAAGCAGCGGTGCAGAAGTCAAGGGTGTGTGCACAGAAGCTGGCATGTATGCTCTTCGAGAGCGCCGTGTCCATGTCACCCAGGAAGATTTTGAAATGGCCGTCGCCAAGGTCATGAAGAAGGATTCAGATGCAAACACTAGTTTAAAGAAGCTCTGGAAGTAGATGGAAGATATTGGATAAAACTGTTTATACATGGCACAATAATGAAATGCTTTTTTTTTGCGAGCTCTTTTTTCTTTTCCTGTTGCTGCTGTCGGGATCGTTTGTAATGATAAACATCAAAGTTTTCTTTGTATTACTTGCAGAATTGCATTCATGGGGTCTAACGAATGTTACTATTGTACAACGACCTGGGCAAGATTTTTTATTTGCTAGTGGTGCCCATCTCTCTATCTATATCCTCCATTTCCGCTTCTAGCTCGCGAAGCTTCGCATCCAAAATCGCCTTATATTCTTCGTCTGTCAGTTTCCGTATGGGGGACCATTTTGGTACTTCAAACCAATCCCATAAGCTCTTCTTATCTTCGTTTTTTCGCCATTCACGATCCTGAGCGGTGTCTCGTTTAAAGTTTTCGTCATCATCGTAAACAGTTGAGTGTGCAGGTATGTTGATGTTTCGTTGTAATGAAGTGGATACTTGTATAGGGGACTCAATCGATTTTTGGTCGTTTTCTTGCGAACGCAAAATAATGTTCTGCCTCCAACGATAACCAGCAGTGTATAGCAATTGACCGGTCGTACAAAACGCACCAAACATAAAGAACCCTGGAATCAAACCTCTCGGGCCACCTGTCACGACATTCAAGGTTAGATTTCGGCTAAACATTACAGCTAAAGGTATGAAAGAAACGTACGAGCTACAGCAGCGAGTAAACCTCCTGTGGTTGCACCTGCCATCGCACTACTGAAGAGAGCATCAGCATCCTGCGTTTGCGAATCCTTGAGCCCGAATTGGGGATTCTTGCTCCTTTGGAAAGCTAAAAAGGCCTCGCGTATACCTGGTTAGCCATGGCCACACATATTAGTAAAAGTTTACGTGGTGTACCTTAAAAGTTCCCAGCATACAATATAAGGTTACTTACTGAAAAAGGTCACACTAAACAATCCGCAGTTAACAGCAGTCGATGTAGCATATTGCTTAACAGATGCATTTCGTAGAACTGCAAGTGAAGATCCCGTAGTGGCACCGAATATCACTGTGGATGCAAGCCGGTGAAGGTGAGCATACATGAAGTAGGGAATGTTACAGTTCTGATGCACAAATCCAGCATCAGTCATATTTTCCATACCTGCGAGGGAAGTTCCCGTAACAACATTGCTCACTGAGTCGTCGTTCAGTAGCATTCTTGCCTCTATCTCACTTTGTCAAATGGCACAATATGGAAAAAAACCTAGAAGGTTATTCAAGCAAAAGTCACGTGGCGAATCCCCATTACTTTGTTCGTTCCATTTAGACTAATGTCAAATACCACAAACATTTAAAGGCTGTCTTCTGGAAAACTGATTTTATGTTCGGTATTGAAGCATGCTTAATTTATATAAGAGGCTTTTAACTTATCAATGCTATAGCTGCGGAAGTTGGCTAAAAGTAAATCAAACCTTTTTTCTAGGTATATTGATCAGTCCAAGATTGTTTGAGGATACCTCTTTCATGAAACGTGCTCAAAGTTGTGGATGCAAGTTTTCGCCACATGCTATGCCACAAATATTAGTCTTGGAAAGTCACTTCTCGAAGTCAGTGTATAGGATACACTAACATTCAACGTTCTAAACGGCAAGTTCACATTTTCATGGCCATTCAAGCTGGGACGAATATTTTGCAATACACAATACCACCGGAGATTGAAACCGCACTTTCTGTTCTGATGCACTGTGATCTTGAGCTACGAGCACTTTCAGTGTCTATGGATCAATTGGGAAAATCTTTGATATTCAAGACGCCAAATGATACAGCTATGGGTGGAAATGGTTTGATTAACCAAGTTTTATGATTGAACCTCTGGTATATCGCCATATCTTGACTAACTATAACATTTTAAATTCAAAAGGAAAACCAACTGTCAGCGCTAGCGCAGAATAAAATATGTAGATTTACTTCTTTACCATTGATGAAATATTACCAAATATTATTTCCTATCAAAGATTTTAATCAATTTCATGGCCAAGCTGTATAGAGCGATGTCCTTCCCTTCCACTGTATCATGCAAAATGGCAGGTAAAATGGTCTGTGAGCAGCACGGGCCGACTCTACCGCAGCCCCCAATGCTTGGGTTAGGGGGAAAGAAAATGGCTTGGCAGAAAAACGTGAACGTATCTGATTGGTGGTCCGAATGCTGATAAAGTCCAAAAACTTCCCTCACCATTGGGGTTTTCTTCTTTAGAAGACTACGTTCATACAAGATTCTCCATTGGGTGGTGGAATCATACAAGAAAAAATGTCTCTTTTAACAAAGCCCCAAGTTTCAACTACTGCTTTCATTGATGCTGCTTCATTTGCCGCTGACCAAGTTAGTGATGCTTCTTCAGACAGTGTCCACAGCCAGGACATTTCAGCTGTTAACGCTGCTAGTCCGTCTAGCGACTGTCCTTCGGAGCATATCAATCCAAAGAAGAGAAAGCATACTCTAGAGGACAAAGACCAAAAACAGAAAGAAAGGTGAATATTTTTTCCTCACATACTTTGTATACGACTCTAAGCCTTCATATACTGACTACAACGCAAAAAGAATTTTACGCAATCGAGCAGCCGCTCAAGACTCCAGAGATAGAAAACGACGTTATATCTCCAATTTGGAAAACGACAATCAACAACTCAAAGAAAAAAATGAAGAATTAAACAAACGACTTCAAACTGTAGAAACTGAAAATGAGGTGCTTTCTGCGCAACTGCGTATGTTTGTCACTCAACTTTCTCAGGTGCAAGATCAACTCAGGTTTAACAATATCACTGAATTCTTACTTGGCGGTTTTCGCGACTCAGCACGGGTCGCGTTGAGGACACCCCAAAGTTACTGCGTTTGAATGAAATCGAACCTATCATTTTGCAAATGGACAACCCAATCTTGTACAGACTTCTCACCACCACGATTGATTCCACCACCCAATGGACTACCACTCATATCCCTCTTTGCAAACGTTCTTCATTCAAATGTATGTCTCTTTGTATGGATCCTTTCCCTGCAGCGGAGACTGTTAAGCAAGAATCCAGTGCTTTTGCACAAGACTTCCTTTGCGTTGATAACGCTACCCTCGACACTGCTATGTCACCAGCTCTTTCATTGTCTTCAGATGATACTCTAATCGACCATTTGTCACCTCCTGAAACTCTTCAATTGTTGACACCACTGCACTCTAAAGTGCCGGATCAAAATGTGGAAATCCGATTAGATGATTTATTAGACTGGAACGGCGAGCAGACGTTTGCAGCAGACTCAAAGCAAATTGAGTTTTTGAACTTGCCCTAGTTTTTATTTTTTTTGAATCATTTGCATCACTTCATATGGCCTTTGTCAAGTGCTTCCATGACTTTACAAATCTCTGTTTGCTTGATTTTTCTTTTCTTTTCTCTGTACAGTCTCTCTACGTAATGATCAGTCTCTCGAAATATGCCCTCTACCGTAATAAAGCCCCCAAACCTTCTCTTCTTTAAAAATGTGAAACTTTGTTTAGAAATAGGCTTGTCGTTAGCAAACGCCAATTTACTCTTTTCACTATGACCTCGTTGTCCTTGCGCTCTCCAAATGTGCCTGTTTGCCCCATTAAGGATTACGACCAGCGGTCCTTGTTCGTTCGTTGGAAATTTGTCCACGCGTGCCACTCGGCATATCGACACGTGAAGCGCAATCGGTACTATGCAATTTATGCCTGTGCATTGCAGTATGGAAACTTTGTTCTAGGTATAACGAAGCAAGCTATTGTTTGGACCAAGCAAAGCTGCGTGGCCACAACGGCATATTTGCGACGACCGTTGAATCGCCGATAATAAGTTTTTTTTTCCTTGTCTCGCTGGTTCAGGCAAAAGAGTAGTGACCACAAGATGAGATTTTTTTTCTTTTTTTAAATTTATTGCCACTTTAGAGTCCATCTGACGGCGATGGCTGCAGTGGCACCACTATCACGGACGCTACCATAAGAATGAAATAAGCTGGTTCTATTCGTAAAATGGTTTGGCTTGACACTCTTCCCCCGATGATTGGAGCAAAAGATATGAATTCTTTGTCAGAGTCTATGGGAAGTTATCCAATAGATAGCCATTTTCCCAAGTCAGCTCTGTTGCAAACAGGTTTTCTATCGATGGAATAGAGTATCTGTTTGATTAAGGACCACTTTTTCCAAACCCCTACAAATTAGCTTCTGTGTTTTGATCAGCTCTGTTTCCCATCTCCTCTGTGATCTTTAGATAATCTTTGCGTAGCGCGGTACTAGTGATATTTCTTATACTCCCACCGTTTCCTTCAGCCTCTTGCAAAAGACAGATCCCATGATGACTTGCACGATAGTCATATTTTAGGCAAAAGATGCATTCACGAGCCTAGTGTTTGTTTGTGTACATACGGTAGTTGTTAGAGTCAGTTAGAAAAAATGGGTGATGGCTCACCATGTGAAATGCGACAGCTTAACGTCCACTGCTGACGAGTCCACACCCACAGCCTGATGGGTTATGCCCAGCCTAGTGTCATAAGTAGTCATGCATGTTGCCATTCTAAGCTCGGTGATCGAACTCCAGAAAAGTCACTGTATACCAAGAAATTTAATGGCGTAGCATTTTCTCGTCAATAGCTTTTTGTACCTCGCCTCCCTTCTTTCTCCTCTACATTTCTTTATGCCTTCGACAACCGATGGATGGTCAAGATCCCTAGATGGCTCTCACCACGTATTCACCGCCCATGAATTTGAAATACCCGATAATGATGACCGTCAATACCGCCTTATACGTTTACCTAATCAACTGGAGGCATTATTAATTCACGATGCCAATACTGACAAAGCGAGTGCAGCCCTCGATGTTCACGTTGGTAATCTCAGCGATCCTGTAAGTAATAGCCTTGGTGCATTCAATATCGTCTTTTTTTTTTTTCTTTCTATTTGGGGGAACGGCATTGTCGGTATCAGATACATAGTGCGGGTGGGAAAAAATGACCAAGAAGTATCTGTTGGAAAACTCTGTCAAACGATGAATTGCAGCACCGCATACTGGTTCAACCAACTTGGGTGTTGTCATGAAGCGACAGAAATGTAATTAAAAAAGGACGATCGGTCATGGTGCTTCGAATTAAGTTTGATTCCCATTTGATTGTTTCAATTTTTTTTTTTTCAGTATTTCTGCAGGTGATCAAAGCGCACATGGTTAATAATAACTCCTTTTTATTCTGCCTGGAAACAAATAGGATCATCTAGAGGGCTTGGCTCATTTCTGTGAGCACTTGCTGTTTATGGGTACCAGTAAATATCCCAAAGAGAACGACTACTTTCAGTACTGCTCAGAGCACACCGGCCACTCCAACGCCTACACGGATTCAGAGCACACCAATTTCTATTTCGAAGTCGGTGCCGATTACCTACAAGGAGCGCTTGATCGATTTGCTCAATTCTTCATCAGCCCGCTGTTTAGTGAGAGTTGTACTGAGCGTGAATTAAAAGCAGTTGATTCAGGTAATGTGGCTGATAAGGCAGGTTGACCCATATCGTAAAAAATCCCTTTGGACTCATCGAATGCTTTACAGAGCACAAGAAAAATTTGCAAACCGATGGGTGGCGCTTACATGAATTAGAAAAGAGTTTAACAAACCCCAATCATCCATATAGCAAATTTGGTACGGGTAATCTACATACTCTGAAATACAATCCAGAAAAGCTCGGCGTGAATATCCGTGACGAATTACTGCGCTTCCATGACACCTATTATTCATCAAATATTATGAAATTGTGCGTGTTAGGAAAAGGTAAGATCCTTCTAATTATAAATGGAAAAACAAAAATGGATTACCCATTCCCGTCTTAACGCGTCTGAACAGAGTCTCTGGATGAACTTGCCGAGTGGGTCCTGGATAAATTTCAACATGTACCGAATAAGAACATACAACCGCCAATATTCGAAGGTCATCCCTTGACAGAAAAGGAACTTATGGTGGGCTATGGTGCTTCATATATCGTGAATCTAAAAAAAAAAAAAAATACATGATGTCTGCTGACGCGTCTTTCATTTCATTTCAGAAACAAGTGTATGTCATGCCTGTCAAGGACTATCGGTGCCTGGACTTGACATTTCCTTTCCCATATCAGCAGCCATACTTTCGGATTCAAGTAAGTGTGTTACCTTGTGGACCTGCCTAACTGTTTCTATGCTTACTCACGTGTATTCACAATAGCCTGGACACTACCTCTCTCATCTGATCGGGCATGAAGGCGCAGGGTCCATTTTATGCTACCTAAAGCAAAAGGGTTGGGCAAATTATCTTAGTTCTGGTCCAGTAGAAGGTGGCATTAATTTCGACTTTTTCAAAGTGAGCATCGATTTGACTGAGGATGGTTTGGCTCATTATGAAGATGTGGTAGCCACCGTATTTCAGTATATTCATATGCTGAAGAGAACTGGTGTACAAGAAAACATCTTTCGTGAAGTGCAGTCACTCGCCCGACTTTCTTTCAAGTTCAGGGAAAACTTCTCCCCGTCACAATATACATCTCTGCTGGTTGAACAAATGCATCAAAATTATCCAAGAGAATGGGTTATTAGTGCATCAAGCCTGATACGAGAGTATGACGCCGGTTTAATTCAAGATCATTTGGCTTGGCTAGATGAAAATGCCTTTCGCTTAACGTTGACGACAAGAAACCCTCCCAAAGGCATTGAACTTACAAAAAGAGAACAGTGGTACGAAACAGAGTATGAAGAAATGCCTATGCAGCAGTCAATCATTGATGTAAGTGGGATCTAAATCTGGTAACAAAGCCACCAATCTGGCGGGACGTTCCTAATGCATTTTTGCTATCCAATAAGGCAATTCGTATGGTATCGCCCATCGAAGAACTTCATTACCCAGGCATTAATGAATTCATTCCAACCATTTTTGAAACAAACAGACGCCAAATTGATACGAAGCAAAAGAAACCAGAACTGATTAAGGACACCCCAACGATAAGACTGTGGCATAAGAAAGACGACACATTTTGGGTACCTCGCACAAATATGTGGATATTATTAAGGAATCCATCAGCAGACGTTTCACCAGCCAACAGTGTCAAAACAAAACTGTATACTGAGCTCCTGGTCGATTCATTAAATGTGTATTCCTATGATGCCGAAGTGGCTGGTCTACTCTACTACGTTGATGAACATTCTGGAGGCATACTGGCAAGTGAATTTACTTTTGCAAATTGGTAATTGACAAGTTTAACAATATGAACCAATGTTGACTCATGTGCTTGACCTACCATAGCTTGATATCGGAGGCTACAATCAAAAGTTGCCTTTGCTTCTAAGAAAAGTTCTAATGCAAATGAGGAACTTTACGGTAGAGCCAAGTCGGTTCAAGCTTATTAAGGAGCAGGTTAGTAATTGTACACCTTGACTCCCACACACAGAGAGTACCGTTTGGGTTAACTTCAGTTGCCTTTTTTTTTTTTGTTTTTTTTCAGCTTATCCGATCCTACAAGAATTTTGCACTGGAGCCGCCTTATCAGCTCGCTTTATTTTACCTATCCCATATCACCCATGAACGATTATGGACGGCAGAAGAGAAATTGCTTGAACTGGAATCTATTACGTCTCAAGATATTCAGGATTATTATCCAACTCTATTGTCTGATCTCTTTATAGAAGTACTAGTTCATGGAAATGCTTTTGCAAACGAAGCAATTGGAATGACTGACATGATTGAGAGCATACTCAAACCTCGCGCTCTTTCACCCAGCCAATTGTCACAGCCGCGGACACTAAACCTGCCAGAAGGTAATGCAACCCAGCCCCGCTTTTCCTTTCTACGTCATGATGTTAGCATATTGTTACAGCCCCACTAAACGTTGATATATAGGCAGTCGATACGTTTTTACTAGTAAATTAATGGATGAGAGCAATGTTAATTCTGCAATCGAATACTTTATACAAATTTGCGAAGCAACCGACATTCCATCTAGAGCTCGACTCAGCTTGGTAGCTCAGATTATGCAAGAACCTTGCTTTGATCAGCTTCGAACCAAGGAACAGCTAGGTTACCTGGTTTTCAGCGGAATACGCAAACAAATTGCAAATATGGGCCTGCGTTTTATTATTCAAAGCGAGAAAGACACAATTTACTTGGAAAATCGCATTGAGGAATTCCTTGACTCGTTGAAAACCATTATTGAAAACCTCTCTGAAAAAGAATACCAGGCACAAGTGAACTCTCTCATTGCTGACAAACTGGAAAAGGATAAGAATTTGGGACAAGAAGGTATCCGATACTGGTCTGAGATTCAGTATGGCACATATGACTTTGGACAAGGTAAGTGCTCTGGCCAATTTGCCGCAATTACGAAATATTGCAGTTCTAATGTATGAATTTAAATACAGTTGACGAAGATGTAGTGGAACTACGAACGATCAGCAAAGCATCCTTACTGGAATTTTTTAACACTTATGTCCATTATTCATCGCCCATAGTTCGCAAAATCTCGACCCACATCCAGTCGCAGAAGCAACCTGTTAATATCAAACCCAAGATCAATATCGAGTCGCTTTATGTATGTCTCAATTCGCAAGGCGTCACCAAATACAATCTAAGTGACCTTGAGACTACGGTTCAAAGTTGTGAAAGCGGAGCACCTACCGAGGATGTGCTCCGAAAGTTGCTGAAAGATGAAACCAAAGCAAATGAGAACGAAATTGAAATGCTCATATCCAAATTGGTGAGCATCCTGAAAATAGACTCTACCGGCAGCAGTGGAACACTCGTTAGTGTGACTCCACCTACAGGCAACGGACAAATTAATCCTTCGGTAGCTACTACAAACCGAGACCACACACAGTTGCCAGCCGGCAACACTGAAATAGACGATTTTACTTTACGGTCGTTAAAGGCCCGAATGAATTAACGGCTATATGCCTAACCGAATTAGCCCCCCGCCGAGAGTATTTGAACGGGGGGAGGCACTGCTGTTTCAATTCAACTTGTAATCCAATTCCCCCCAATGTCCACAAAACTTGGTAATGTCCTGCACTAGAAGCACCCAATGACTTTGTTAGACATTGCTTATATTTATACTTATATATCGTACCTTCTCGTATTGAACCAATAAAGCTCTACCAAAGCTTCCCCTATTCGAACAAGCCGTTCGTCACGCTCAGCAGCTAGACCAAAGCCACCCCGCCGTGGTTGACGTTAGAACCTCTAAAAGCTACTCCTATGGAGACTTAGTGTCAGCCGTCGCGATATTTCGAAACAAGATCTTAAATGGACGAAAGTGAGTATTCTGGACAGACGGTCGCCGCTACCTTCAATGCTTTTCCCAAAACAAGTATTAAAACCGTACTTTCAATTCACAAGTGACCTGAACGGTGAACGCATTGCGTTCATCTGCCCAAGGTAAGGCGAATGAAGCCTATGATACTTTTTGACATGATGTTAACCTGCACGAACAGTGGCTACCAATACGTAGTGTGGCAATGGGCTATTTGGGCAGCTGGAGGCGTTGCCGTTCCACTTTGTGAGTTGCACTGGAAAATTGTTTTTACGTTGACAATGTGTGTTACTAATTGACCTCATAAGGTACGGCACATCCTGAGCATGAACTCCTGTACAGTGTGACGGACTCGGAAGCTTCACTCATTTTGGCTCATCCCAAATACGAGGCTGTGATGGGAAATGTTGCTAAAACGGTGAAAATCGACCTTCAGGTGTTCGGAGATTCTGATATGGATGTACAAGAAAAGGCTATTCCGGAGCTGTTTGACATGGAGATCACTAGACCTGCCTTGATCATCTTTACTAGTGGCACCACTGGTAGGTACAGATGAATGCTAATATGTCGATAGCCATATTGATATTGAACTTGTGACAGGTAAACCAAAGGGAGTTGTGTCCTCACATGAGGCTATTACGGTGCAAACAGAAGGGCTCGTGCAGGCTTGGAGATGGAAGTCCAGTGACCGAATTCTGCACGTACTTCCACTCCACCATGTCCATGGTATCATCAATGCCCTGCAATGCCCATTGTTTGCGGGTGCCACTGTGGAAATTCTGGAAAAGTTTGATAACAATGCTGTGTGGCAACGCTGGATTAGTGGTCAAGAAGGCGATAGCATCAACGTCTTTATGGCTGTCCCCACTATTTACTGTAAGTCAAAATGAGATGTTTTGATAGGGTACATCCGACGTCATTGTTCATGACCTTGACGCTTTTTATTTTTTTTATTTCCCCTTTCTAGCCAAGCTGATCAAGCACTATACCACCGGGCTATCAGAGTCAGATCAAGTCGCTGCAACCGCGGCTTGTGCGAAATTCCGTCTTATGGTGTCTGGATCAGCATCTCTACCTACACCTGTTCGAGCTAAATGGGAAACCATCTCACATCAGGTGTTATTGGAGCGATACGGTACAAGCGAATTTGGTATGGCACTCAGCCAACCTTACGAAATTAATGAACGTGTAGAAGGAACCGTGGGACTTCCACTGCCCAAAGTGCAAGTACGTCTAATGGCCGAGTCTATTGAGGGCTCGGGTAAATTTGATATGGATGTCACCGACGAGCGGGAAGTTCCTGGCGCTATCCAAGTCAAGGGGCCCAATGTTTTCATGGGCTATTACAATCGCCCAGAGGCAACCACTAAGGAATTTACAGAAGATGGCTGGTACGTCAAGATGAACGATGTGGCTTTTTTTTTTTTTTTTGTATTGTGGATCCTGTGCTCACCCCTCTCTATAGGTACAAGTCTGGTGATATTGGCATTCGTCACGGTGCCAAGGGTTACTTTTCCATTATGGGTCGAAGTAGTGTAGACATTATCAAAGTAAGTGCGAACCTTAATTACCTCTCAAGGGGCACACTATCTAATTAGAATTTGGGGAACAGACTGGCGGATACAAGGTCAGTGCCTTGGAAATTGAAAGGGAAATGCTGTCAGCCGACTTGGGCATACAAGACGTGGCGGTTGTCGGAGTAGAAGATGAAGAATGGGGACAAAAAGTTGCTGCTGTTGTAGTGATGAATACTGACAAAGTGAGTTAAAAAAAAATACCCAATTGATAGTTAATATAGGATAGCAACTAATCACAAATGACAGGAACTTGATCTGCAAACTATGAGAGCTACTCTCAAACCCAAGATCGCCTTCTACAAGGTGCCTACCCTTTTGAAGACCATGGACGAGCTTCCCAAGAATGCTATGGGCAAGGTCACCAAAAAAGCGCTTGTTCCCCTTTTCACTTCTCAAGCATAATGTATTGAAGTTATAACCGCCGTACAGCCAGCTAGATCGACCCCAGTGAGGCGTGTGTTGGAATAGACTTGATTGCCAGTGTTTTATTGGAATGAATATTAATATCTCCTTCATCTAACACGCTTCTTTATGTTTCTAAACAATAAAAAGAGCGTCGCTAGATAAAACATAACTGATACACTGAAGGGAAAATGAACTTGGAACAATGTATTGACTAACGAAATTTACTGAAACACGCTCAAAGTTTTTCTAAGGGCTTTATATCATACAGCAATGGGACTTTGTGGCCTTGTTTGCCCCTGTCCATATTTACTTTCAGAGGACCCATTGCTTTTGATACTGTTTTCCCTATGGCAACTTTGTTGAGCACGAGTGACAGCGGTAGTAACGACAGCGAGAAAGGATTGTGGTCGCCAGCGGGTTTGTACATCTGGGTCGTCCAGCACGATTTGTCTTGCTTTCTCTCGTTTACGGATTATGATGATTCCAGCAAGTCCAGCAGCGCCGATCACAACACAACCAAGCCCAACGACAATACCTATGATCTTGTTGGCTCTTTCTGCTCGGACAGCTTCGCTTTCCGCCTGTGTACTGGTAGGGCTCTCCAAATTGGCCGTCACGCTAGGTCTTGCTGAGACTGTAACAGATGGGGTAATAATATGCGCTACTGCTATGTTACTGCCATCATCGCTGCTGTCGTCCTCGTCGTCGTCATCGCCATCGTCATCGTCATCGTCATCGTCGTCTTTCTTAGTGTCTGGTGGTTTGTGTGATTTATGGGGATGGGCCGATTGTCTATCTGGCCAATCCGTTTCTTGCTCAGCAAGCGTGGATATGGTGTTCGTTGCCGAATGATGTTCAACTGCATGCTTGGAAGGTCGACGCGTAGCAGTGTTATGAGGCGTATGATGGTGGCTTGCTGTCTTTGTGTGAGTTGAAGTTTGTGTAGAATTTGCTAACTCTGAGACTAAGGTTGAGTTCTCAAACGGAAGAGTATCTGGCTGTGCAGTTACGTTTAAAGGTGTCATGTCTGAGGTATAGTTGGAGTAAAGTTGTGAGATAATTTGTGCAATCATGATGTCGTAAGCATCACTTGAAGTTGAGTCAGGGTCGATAGGGTTGGTAGAGGATGGCTCCATTGATGGTGTAGTTGTTGTGTCCACTACATCGTTTATATGACTATGTTTACGATGAAGCTCATGTCTACGATGTAGGGATCGTTCATGTGCTAGGGCTAATAATATATTAAAAAAAACTTCTCATGAAAATCATTTATCGGCGGAAAGACGACCTTACATCGACAAGTTACGCCATCGCAGAGCATAAGGTACGCGACTGCTAATAACACCACTCGCATACGCGGCTGTTCAGATGGTTTTCAATTGACGTGTCCCGGTGTGCACAAATCGTATTAATGTAGAACAAGGCGATCATAAATAGATCTGTTGCAGAGATCCAGTTGGACGATGAAAGGAATTGGAGAAAGCGTGAAGTTTACGGATATAAGAGGGAGGAGAAGAGGGAACTTTTGACAGAATGGACAAAATAGAAACACTGATTTTTCACATGAGGAGGGTATACTAGGCAATATTTTGTCAGTCGACTACAGAAAAACCGGATCCGAAGGGGCCATTGAATCTAAATAGGTGTACTAGGGAGAGTGGGTAAATGGACTGGGTTATCACTATCACTGACAATGAGCTAGTAACATAATGGGAGTAGATTATATCTCAAAGGAGACCCACGTGTGAGAGCTTCGCACGTATATCATGCCACAACTTCTTTTTAACACATCCATTGTCTATATACAATCTAGCGACGTAAAGCTTGAAGAGCCCCACGGAAAGCGATATAAGCAAGGTGGTTGAATTGATTTAGATTTCATTGGCAAGTTGGCGCTACATCCTACATGGTGTGGAGACAACATGGTTACGGAGTGCAAAGGGAGTAAAATTGACCGCTCGTTACACCATGGTTATAATTGATTGACCTCCCTCACAACCCCTCTCCACCCGCCCTTGGACCTCTCCTATTACCAGCAACTGGTGTACCTTAGCAATATGTCATTGCATTCCCGCCACCTGGCCTACACACCCAACCCACACATTACACACGCATACATTGACAGTCCAATATGATTTTCAAGACACGACTTGTTCTATTGAGTCATATCAAACAATTATAAGAGCCAAGTTTTGGAAAAAAAAATCCATCCAATAAAGGTACCGCTTAACGGTAAGACTTTTGGTAACGAGCACGGGCACCGGGACCTCCGAACTAGAAAAAAAAAGAAAGGCAAATGAGTGACATTGTCGCTATGACCTGATATCCATGCTTTTAACTGATAACATACCTTCTTGGGTTCGCAGCGACGGGGATCGGCAACAAGGAGAGTACGGTCGAATTGAACGAGGATTTCCTTGATTTCCTTCTTGGAGGCTTCATCGACGAACTTCTGGTTGAAGGCAACGACAGCCTTGGCAAGAGCTTGACGGATAGCGTAGATCTGGGAGACGTGACCTGTGATTCAGATGGCTGGATTAGCATTCAATGGTACTTTTACCGCCTTGTCGGCACGCACTGGGTTTTCCTTTGAAAAAAAAAAATACGCACCACCACCGTTGACGCGAATGCGGACGTCAATGTTGCTGAAACGCTCTTGGCCGAGGAGAAGGACGACTTCATAGACCTTGAATTTCATGATCTCAGGTTCGAGGAGGTCAAGAGGGGAACCGTTAACACGGATAAGACCCTTTCCGCGCTTGCAGTGAGCGACGGCAGTAGCGGTTTTCTGAAGAGAGAAAAAAGTAATAACGGTAAATGTTAGCTAATTCCGTCCCAATGTTTCCTATAATTCCACCCATTGCACTGAATTTTGATAAAAGTGTCGATCGTGTTGCAATATATGTTGTGGAATAGCGAAGTCGAGTATGTAGTAAAATATAGTAGTGTCGTTCACATAGGTAGTATTGATAATTGCGTTCACTAGGTAAGGCAATCTGGATTCGATTGCCCTGCATGTTGTAATGGCTAGATTATGTGTGTTGATAATCAAGAAACGCACCTTTCTTCCGAATGTCTGTACTGACTCCATGCTATAATGTAACAAGCGAGTTAGATGAATGGATTGGTATGTCGATGGATGGATGGATGGCTTCCTTACTTAAAAGATGGCCAATGAAAAAGAGGGGGTAACAAACATCCACTTTACAAAAATTAAATATCGCTGGGCGGACCTTCAAAACTCTGGTTGACAATTTGAATCCTTTCAACCCTCTCTTTTGCAGGCTATAGCACTCAGACCGAATGCGTCTCAACTTGCAGTCATAACTTTCTCCAGAACATTTCCTGTTCCATTTCGATCCAATGTTAGGCAAATTAATTATCTTTCTAGTCATTTGAGCTCACAACTTCTAAAGCTGCAATGAAGACCTCGTTACTTTTCTACCGCTAGGAGGCGAGTGAAGCCTTCCAAGGCTAAATACCTGATGGCACTTTCACGCGTTGAAACCTCATCTCTGCCGTATCATACAATAGCCCGTAACGTTATATAGTATGGCTATGATATAGGCAATTGCTAAAAGGATTTTTGAAGAAAGTTGGTTCATAATCGACATTATACACCGGACTTTGTCACAGTGACCTTACAGACATGCTGTTTAAGAAAAGATATGCGCAGATGTATAAGATTTATAAAAAATAAAAAAAAATAGAAATAGCCTTTTTGCTGGAGCACAGATGAAGCGTCAGAACCTACAAAGGATTTGGTTGTGATGCTTACTTGGCTACAGCCACAGTAGATTTTATTTAGAACGAAGGTCATGTAAGACTCTGTAAATTGCTTTTCACATGGAAAAAAGCGATGTGATCTTCAATATTAATAGTAGCCGGTTTATACTATCATAAAAGACATACAAGGAAGGTACAAAGTGCAAGTTTAATGAAGGTTTCCTTGGACATTTAGTTTATTCTGGTACTTATTTAGCAAAGTTCAAGCCTACAATGAGATACTAACTTGCAGTGGAAGGCTCAGCAGATAGCGGTAATCATGCTTTACAGATTCAAAATCTACATGGAATATAGATATAACTGGCATGTTCTTCTTTGGCGATTTGGCGTTTGATTGTTTGCTGCCAAATTGGAAAAAGCAGATTGCTGGAATGTCTCCTATGAATTTCATGACTTCGATTCGCACAGGGTCAAAACTGAAATCTTATAAATGCATTCGACTTCTATCAAAAACACAACTCTTTCCTCTTGCATTAACTTCAACATTCTGGTAGTCATAATGTACAATATTCTTCGTCAGGTTTCTGTAGTGCTGGTCTTGGCTACAACCGCTTACGGCGCAGTGACATCCATTTCTGGGACCTTTGACATCCTTTCACCACTACCCAACTCTATCTATGTTGCAGGTCAAATATTACCCGTTGTATACTCTTTCTCTAGCAGTATCGCGGCATCACAAAGTAAGTACCCATGAAGGTGACATCGTTATATTATACAATTGCTCACAATCAATGTAGCTCTGCAATTGGCCGTCTCCATCATCCCAAACGCTTCTAATCAGCTAAATGTTACCAACTTTGTCGTCACTGCCAACGCTGATGTGTCACAGTCTGGAAAATTGAGCAAAGGCAGAGACAATCTCTCATTCTACGAGAAGGCTATCAATGTAAGCATTATAGCGTACTTCATGCAAACATATCACGCCACTGTCACATAGAACTCACATCAAATGCATGTTAGTTTCCCATTCCAAAAGATGTCCCAGCGGGTATTTATGATGTGAGTTACATTTGTGCAATAGATAGAAGCATGTGGAAATGGTATTGACCCAGTTGTGCTGGAAAAAGGTTATATTCACAGATAAGTTACAGCAAACCAATACTGTCATTACGGTCAAAATCAACCCACAAGCTCCCAACATCACGACATCCAACTTGTTTTCTCCTACATCTGGCGGCGGCAATAGCGTTAACGGTGAAAGCGTAGCACAGCCGTCAAGTTTCTTGTCTAGCAGCGATGGCCAGCACTTAGCACCGGGTCTTTTGGCGGTATGTGGGGCGATGCTCGTCTCACTGCTCGCCCTCTAGATGAAACCTCGTTAGCCTTTTGATCATACCACACTTTATCCTTCACGTCTATTAATTCCCCTATTGCATTATAAAAGTCAAATATGTTTGATGTAATAGAACAATTGTATTTGAAACAAACAGCACAAGTGCTAAATCACAATACTCTAGACAGGGCAACAGTTCATTAAAACTAAGGATTGGGTGAAATGGCTTTGATGTGCTATTTTTTTAAGTGGTTGTTGGTGGTGGCGAATGAGCTTATTTCTTGCCAGCCTTGACAGCAGCCTTGGTGGCCTTGGTGGCCTTGTCAACCTTCTCAACGGCCTTGATGACACCGACAGCGACAGTTTGACGCATATCACGGACAGCGAAACGACCAAGAGGAGGATAGTCAGTGTAAGCTTCAACGCACATAGGCTTGGAAGGAACCATCTTGACGATAGCGGAGTCACCGGACTTGACGAACTTGGGGTTGTCTTCGAGCTTCTTACCGGAACGACGATCGATCTTCTCAACGAGCTCAGCGAACTTGCAGGCAATGTGAGCAGTGTGGCAATCGAGGACGGGAGCGTATCCAGCACCGATTTGACCGGGGTGGTTAAGAACGATGACCTGAGCGGTGAAGGAACCGGCTTCCTTGGCGGGGTCGTTCTTGGAGTCAGAGCAGACGTTACCACGACGGATATCCTTGACGGAAACGTTCTTTACGTTGAAACCAACGTTGTCACCGGGAACACCCTCAACGAGCTGTTCGTGGTGCATTTCGACGGACTTGACTTCAGTGGAGACCATGGTGGGGGCGAAAGTGACAACCATACCAGCCTTGATGATACCAGTCTCGACACGACCGACGGGAACTGTACCGATACCACCGATCTTGTAGACATCCTGAAGAGGAAGACGAAGGGGCTTGTCGGTGGGACGGGTAGGGGGGTCGATGGCATCAATAGCCTCAAGAAGGGTCTTGCCAGACTTGGAACCAGCCTTGGTTTCCTTGGTCCAACCCTTGAACCAGGGCATGTTGGTGGATTCCTCCAACATGTTATCACCGTGCCATCCGGAGATGGGGACGAAAGGAACGGACTTGGGGTTGAAACCAATCTTCTTGATGAAGGAGGAAACTTCCTTGACGATTTCGTCATAACGGTCACCAGACCACTTGGTGGTGTCCATCTTGTTGATGGCAACGATCAGTTGGCGGACACCGAGGGTGAAAGCGAGAAGAGCGTGCTCACGGGTTTGACCATCCTTGGAGATACCAGCTTCGAATTCACCAGTACCAGCAGCAATGATAAGAACACCGCAATCGGCCTGGGAAGTACCAGTAATCATGTTCTTGATGAAATCACGATGTCCGGGGGCATCAATGACGGTAACTAATGAAACAAGGGTCTATGATAAGCCTCTCAAATCGAATGACAACAGAAATTTAGAACCGCTGTGCATTGAAAAATTTTCTTACCGTGGTACTTGGGAGTCTCGAACTTCCAGAGAGCAATATCAATGGTGATACCACGCTCACGTTCAGCCTTAAGCTTGTCAAGAACCCAGGCATACTTGAAGGAACCCTTACCGAGTTCAGCGGCTTCCTTCTCGAACTTCTCGATGGTACGCTTGTCAATACCACCGCACTTGTAGATCAAATGTCCAGTAGTGGTGGACTTGCCGGAATCGACGTGACCAATGACGACGACGTTAACGTGAGTCTTTTCCTTACCTAGAGATTGAGCATGTTAGTATGGGTAAAGCTTAGGCATTGCAGTAAGTTGTAAAACTTGGACTCACCCATGGTAGATTAAAAAGTTACAGAAAGATCGACTTTGGCGCCGCAGCGATTGACTCACTTATTCTTTCCAACGAAAAAAAATAATTTGCCAAGCCACTAGTTCACGTGATTTTAATCAGGTGATTCTTCACCGCAGCCTAAAGCTTAGATCAATATTGCCGATACGAGAGTACATTCACCAATACAGAGCTGAAAAAGAAAAATATCTATTATCGTAAAGTCAATTGTACTAAAGAGATAAATATTTATTTTTGATAGTGCAATGTACTCGAAAACAAGAAGTTTCATATTTGCTAATTGAAATTGAATAATGACTTATTTACATTCTAGATCATATTACTTTTTTTATCACCGAACCAAGTGATAAAAAGTTTCCTGGGCTTGAACACAGTGCGTATTGGAATTACCTCTACTGATAACCCTGACATTGTAGCCCATATTAGTTGCAAAAGGCATCCAGGTGGTTGTGCTTGGCTACATAACTGAATCCTTGGAAGAAGTCTGAATAGCTTGCACTCAGGGGAGAAGGGATATCAATTGGGGACTCCACAGGCATTTCCTTGGTGAATTTACTATCAAAGTTCTCAGCCAATTCTGGATCAGTCTGCGATAAAAATAGGATGATCAATGACAGGCAGCGATTGGCAGTGATAATGAATATAATGGCTTACCAGAATGGGAACAATGGGAGGCGTTCCTTGACGTGCTTCCATAGCTTTCCAATCAATCTTGCGGAAGAAGCGGTGACCTTTGATGCGAGTGATATCATCTTCACCGGAGCCCAGACGAACGTCAGGATTCTTTCGCAATAACTAATAATTCAGTTAGTCAACTATAGCATACGGCATGCATCTGTGAGAGTCGAACCTACCTTATTGCACAGATCTTTGGCTTCAGAAGAAACGTAATAAGGGACCTGCAATTTCTTTTTCAGAATGGCATCCATGGTCTTTTTTCTATTACCGGCATTAAATGGAGTCTACATGGCATATGTTAATAATGGTATGGGAAGGCGTACGACATGCATCATTTGAGGTCAATGCTAAAAGTGAGTAGTACTTACATGTCCGACAATCATCTCAAACAGCAGGATTCCCAAGCTCCACCAGTCAACGCCTTTACTGTAGTGTTGCTCCATTAAGATTTCAGGTGCCATGTATTCGACTGTCCCACATACTGTATTTGTCTTTTGTTCAATTGCCACCTTTGACAGGCCAAAATCTGTCAGAACCACATGGCCATCGCTATCCAGCAAACAGTTTTCCGGTTTGAGATCTCGATAAACAATTCCCAGAGAGTGTAAGTGTTCTAGAGCAAGGATTAATTCCGCAAGATAGAATGAGGCTACTTCTTCAGAAAACATGCGTTCTGAGAAAAAAATGGGTTAATTTAAATTTTTCGTTGTTGTGCGATGGCCAATCAAGATCGCCTACCTGCTGCCATGTGCGTAAATAATTCGCCCCCACTTGCAAATTCTAATATCAAATATAATCGATCGTCCGTCTGAAATGCATAGTAAAGTTGGACAATGAAAGGATGCTTCAAGTCTTCAAGGATCTGTCGTTCAGCCTTGGTGTGTTCTGCATGTTTGATCTTGAGAAAAAGAGAGGCTTTTTTGAGCACCTTCATAGCATAGAGCCTTCGGGAAGCCTTATGCCGTACAAGAAGAACCTTTCCATAGCTGAAAGGAGATGGCTTAGAGACAGCATTAAGATAGTGCTGAGACATTAATACACTTACGCTCCTCTTCCAATGACTTTGAGCTGCTCAAAGTCGGCTTTAGTGACTTTTCTACTACCTAGGATTTCCTGAGCGTTGGATGCAGCAAAATCTTCATCAAGAGCGACTTCATAGACGGATTCATCTCTGAGGCACCGTTCCGAGTATGATTTGGATAAAACGTCTTCTGATGGAGGTTCGTCATGGTCTTCTGAGATAGAAATTGCTGGTTCGTCTGGATGGCCTTCGGAGGCGGTGCTCAAACGGAGGGATGGATGGTCGTCATGGTCGAAACTGAATAATGTACTCATTGTAAAGTGACAGCGCTAAACGGAAGTGAGAAGGCAGCTAAGGCGTCGAGCAACAATACCAAGCTGTAGTAGAATAAGGTCAACTTTCATGCGTTGGTTGCAGATGGTATATTGATTTTGTTTCGATGCCAGTGCACCAAAGAGCTGTCGGGTTTCAGCTGAAAAAGGGTGCAGACCAAAATTTTTATGTACGTCAAACATAGGGTTTTCGATGACGGACGCAGCATATACCATATACGATGTAAGCGTCTTTTGCTGCCAAAATAACAACAAAATGATGGGAAAAGAGAAGCAGCTATCAGTGCTTGCATTCTTAGCGTATAAAGCCCATAGCAGGCCGATCATTCCTCAAACCGCCCAAGCTGTAAGAAATCGAGGCCCATGCTTATAAAAAAAAATTGGCTGGGTAGGGTTGGGATAGGGACTGCTTTCCATTTTGCGCAGGGCGTGATTCACACACATCATCCAACTCTTTAGCGTCAGCGCCACTCTTTGTCCAATACAATGCAACAAATGGAAGTGGACTCAACCCCAATGACTCCTACAGAATATATGGAGGAGGATAGATCTCCAGTACCCGATTCCACTGCCATGGATGTTTCCGAAGTCGACCAGAACGATGACGATGACCTTTCGTCGGTAGCCGCGCTGATTGACCAGCTTAAGCACGACGATGTGCAATATCGAGTCAATGCCTGCAAAAAGTTGACTGTTATTGCCGCGGCCCTTGGTCCTGAAAGAGCAAGAGACGAATTGATCCCTTTCTTGGATGGTGAGTCTTGTTGTTTCTTATGCATTGTCATTCCCTTCCTATGCCCCCTCCCCCACTTCCCTTGATTCGAATCGTCATGATTTTCGCTTGAGAATCAATCGGCATCCGGAAGTTTCGCCGGCTTTTTTTCACCTTATATATTGAAAGCATGGATGCTCCTATATACATGATATTTTGCCATATCATTAACGTTTTCTTATCGTTTCAAACTAATTCTGTTATCATTTTATTTTCCTCTTCCCGCTATCTTACTATGGGCATATAATACTCTCAAATTCAGACTCGATCGATGATGAAGATGAAGTCTTGCTCGCTTTAGCGGAAGAATTGCCCAACCTTAGCCCTTACTTGGGTGGCTCAGAGTATCTGCCTCGCCTTTTAGTACCTTTGGAGAGTTTAGCTGCTATCGAAGACGCGACAGTTAGAGATAAGGTTAGAGACTACGACAACTTTCGTGAGAGATGACACGCATGACCTAATGTTTTGATATGGCATTTTCCTCTAGGCTGTCAGCTCCTTGAGACAAATTGCTACTCAAATGGAAGATAGCCAACGAAATAATGATTTCGCACCTCTTGTCAAGCGCCTTGCTCAAGGTGAATGGTTCACAAGCCGTGCTTCAGCAGCTGGCTTATTTGCAGTTTGTTATAGCGCTTTTGATGCCCAAAAGCAAGAAGAATGGAGAAAGTATGTACTATGACCAAAACCAAAAAATTTCATGCATCGTGGTTTGCTAAACTGATTTATAACCGACAGCATGTTTGCTCAACTTGTACACGACGAGACGCCAATGGTCAGAAGATCAACTACCAAGGCCCTAGAGGTAATTTGATACTGACCATGTGAAAAATAGTTTTGGGAGCTTTGACGAATAACCAGTATGATGTTGTCGTTATTAGACACTTTCCAGTGTTGTATCGGAGGAACATTTAGAAACATTCGTTCTTTCGCTGTTTAACGAGCTCGCAAGTGATGACCAAGACTCTGTTCGACTATTGACTATTGAAATTCTCATCGCCATTGCAAACCGATTTGATGCGCAAAAGAATCGCGAAACTTTGTTGGAGCCACTCAAGTCTCTTGCTCGTGACAAGGCATGGAGAGTCCGCTATATGGTGGCTTCAAAGTTCGTAGAGGTAAATATAACTGGCTAATGCACAAGAAAAATAACATTTTTTCTAGTTTTTTCTAAGCAATTTCCGGAATGGTTACAGGTTTGCGACGCCATCGGAGAAGACACTGTTCGTGCAGAGTTGGTTTCAACCTTTGTTGATTTGTTGAAGGATAGCGAGGGAGAAGTCAGAACTGCTGCCGCAGGAGAGGTTCCTGGTAAGAAGGAAGCATTTTGGATGGTATGTATAGGTGGAGAATGGTTCTTCTAACACATGTCGCCATGATAGGTTTTGCCAAGTTCGCAGACAAGCAGACCATTTTGGAAAGCTTCTTACCTTGCATTCGTGAGTTGGTAGAGGACGGTAACCAACACGTCAGAGCTGCTCTTGCTCTACATATCAGCGGCCTCTCGCCAATTCTTGGAAAGGAAGAGTACGTGCCTATTTTTGGCCATGGGTTGACAACACACCGAGTACTTACCCTTTTCGTTTTAGTACTATCGAACATTTGCTTCCTCTATTTTTGCAGTTGCTGAAGGACGAATTCCCTGATGTTAGATTGAATGTCATTGCTAATTTGGAGCAAATCAACAAAGGTCAGTTGTAACGTTGATCCGTCAAGATACATAATAACCCATGCTTACCGACCGCTTGGTGATTTTTGTAGTCATCGGAATCGACCTTCTTTCACAATCCCTGCTACCAGCCATTACCGAACTCGCTGAAGACAGACAGTGGCGTGTGCGTCTCGCTATAATTGAATATATTCCTCTGCTGGCCTCGCCGCTTGGTGTAGAGTTCTTTGACGAAAAGTTGCTCAACCTTTGTATGTCGTGGCTCGGCGACGCTGTCTACTCAATTCGAGAGGCAGCCACTATCAACTTGAAGAAGTTGACAGAAGTATTTGGAGCAGAATGGGCAAAGGATACTGTCATTACGCAGATCATCAAAATGGCTGACAATGAAAATTATCTGTACAGAATGACAACCATTTTCACCTTGACTGTAAGTGATTGTGTTAGAAAGCCCGGGACTTTCAACCATACCTAAACCTTATCCCTTAGACAATGACGGATGCTCTTTCACCTAGCATCATTAAGGACTATGTGTTGCCTACGGTCATCAGTCTCTCTGAGGACCCTATACCAAATATACGTTTCAATGTGGCAAAGGCTCTTGAAACTCTCACTCCATCATTGAAACAGGATGCCAATACTGCTGATCTTATCGAAAGTACTGTGGTACCTTCGCTACAAAAACTTACTAATGACAAGGATGGGGATGTGCGATTCTTTGCCAGCAGAGCTTTGCTAGATGGTGAGTTACATGACGTGCTTTATGGATTTTTCAGGACAGCGTTATGTTAACCATATATTTTACCCCGCCCATTTTTTTTCGTTTAGCGAAAGGTCAAAAGCCATCACTCTGATGGAGTTATTTTGTTTGATACATTTTGATTTGTGTCCCTTCTAGCATTGTGTTCTTTCTTTTTTTTCGCTTTCGTTTTGTTTAAACATCAATTTCTCAAAGAAAATGGATCAGCAACTTTGGCGATGATTAGCTTTGTAATAAAAATTTTATCTATGCTAGCTTTTTTTTTTTTCTACTTCATTTCTCATTTTTTCTGGCCTCCAGAAGATTCTCCAGCAGATTATGAGCGATAACATCTATCGGTGTTATGCTGAGCTTTGAATCTTAATATGGCACTTTGCCCCAACAGGGGAAATTACCCGACAACATGTTACATTTTACTGGATCGATGCACAGCTTTGTTATTTGACACATACAAGATGTTCAAATGATGGAATAGCAGTGTAGACTTGTATTTTACAATCACATTAGATAAAATATGTCATGGTTCAATGTATTCAAAGCGGTGCAAGTTGAAAGCATCGACGGAATATATGATGGTACAGCCAATCAGCAGTCGAGTAATGGCCCGAGTCAACATCTCATCCCCCAAAAAAAAGGAAGGCAGGTACCAGAAATTTAAAAAACAGTCCCATTCAATTTCAAAAGGTTGCGTTTAACCTCTTTACAGCTTTTCATCCTTTCAACCCCTTTTAACGCAATAAAAATGGTTAATACTGTCGAGGCTACTGCCGTCAACACCATCCGTACCCTCGCCGCCGATGTTGTCCATGGTGCTAACTCTGGTCACCCTGGTAAGTAGATTGATTTTGATCATGACTGAACGCGTTATAGACGCTGATGAGTATGGTGTTTATAGGTGCTCCTATGGGTTGTGCTCCCATGGCCCAGACCTTGTTCTCCAAGTTCATCAAGGTCAACCCCAAGAACCCTCACTGGGCTAACCGTGATCGTTTCGTTCTCTCCAACGGTCACGCTTGTGCTCTTCAGTACATTATGCTCCATCTTCTTGGTTTTGATGTCACCATGGATGACCTCAAGAAGTTCCGTGCCATCGATAGCAAGTAAGTAGATTGGGAGATCGGGTTGAGACAATAGATGCATGCCTTCCTATAATTTTTAGTTGGCTGTGAAAACGTGCATTTGAATGACGTTTCAATTTGGGTCAAAAACTTGGGTCGGAGCAGATTTCTGACCAAGCATATTATCTGTTTTTAGGACCCCTGGTCACCCTGAACGTGGCTGGACTGAAGGTATTGAAGTTACCACTGGTCCTCTTGGTCAAGGTGTCTCCAACGCTGTTGGTCTTGCCCTTGCTCAAGCTCAACTCGGAGCTACCTTCAACAAGCCTGGTTTCGAAATCTTCAACAACGATACCTATGTTATCCTTGGTGATGGTTGTCTCCAGGAGGGTGTCGCGGCTGAAGCCGTGTCTCTTGCTGGGTATGTATTACTGTACCGATAGAATGTTTAGTCAAGACTGACTAATAACCGCTTTTTTCCGTTTCATATTCTTTTGACAGTCACTGGAAGCTCGGAAAGCTTATTGCCTTGTACGACGACAACAAGATTACCATCGATGGTGACACTGCTGTCTCCTTCACTGAGGACGTTCAGAAGCGTTTCGAGTCTTACGGCTGGCAAGTTCTAGTTGTCGCTGATGGTGACAACGACTTTGAAGCCATTGCTAAGGCTGTTGAGCAAGCCAAGGCTGAAACTGAGAAGCCCACTCTCATCAAGATTAGAACCACCATTGGTAAGTATATAAACAGGTTATGGAGTTCAAAAATCTGTATCTTGCTAACAAGGATATATTTTCAGGTTATGGTTCTCAGCACCAAGGTGAAGAGAAGGTTCACGGTTCTCCCCTTTCCGGTAAGTGTCTTTGTAATGCGTTTGCCTGTCATGCAGTGTTTCATGACTAAGCTTACCTTGATTGTAGCTGACGATATCAAAAACGTCAAGCAAAAGTTCGGTTTCAACCCCGATGAGAAGTACGTTGTTCCCCAGCAAGTCTATGACTTCTGGGCTAAGCGTGCTGAAGAGAACGCCAAGGTTGAAGCTGAATGGAACGAGCTTGTTGCCAAGTACCAGAAGGAATTCCCCACTGAGGCTGCTGAGCTCAAGCGTCGTCTTGCTGGCAAGCTTCCCGAAGGTTGGGAGAAGGCTCTTCCCCGTTTCACTCCTTCTGACCCCGCTGTTGCCACTCGCAAGTTGTCTGAGACTGTCTTGACCGCTCTCTCTGATGTTGTTCCCGAACTCATTGGTGGATCTGCTGATTTGACTGGCTCCAACTTGACCCGATGGAAGAAGGCTGTCGATTTCCAACATCCTTCCACTGGTCTTGGTCAATACGATGGTCGCTATGTCCGTTATGGTGTCCGTGAACACGCTATGTTTGCTATCATGAACGGTATTGCTGCCTACCAAGGTCTCATTCCCTTCGGTGGTACCTTCTTGAACTTCTTGACCTACGGTTGGGGAGCTACTCGTTTGTCTGCTGTTTCTCACCTTCGCGTCATCTATGTCATGACCCACGATTCCATCGGTCTTGGTGAGGACGGTCCCACCCATCAGCCTATTGAGACCCTCGCTTTGGTCCGTGCTACCCCTAACATCTATACCATGAGACCCGCTGATGGTAACGAGACCTCTGGTTGTTACCTTGTCGCTTTGGAGAACGACCACCGTCCTTCCGTCATTGCTCTCTCCCGTCAAAACCTTCCCCAACTTGAAGGTTCTAACATTGAGGCTGTCCGCAAGGGTGGTTACGTTCTTCACGCTGAGCAGAAGCCCGATGTTGTCTTGGCTGCTACTGGTTCCGAAGTCGCCATCGCTGTTGATGCTGCCAAGCTTTTGGAGAAGGAGGGTCTTAAGGTCCAAACCGTCTCTATGCCCATCACTGACCTCTTCGATGAGCAATCCCACGAATACAAGCTCTCTGTCTTCCCCCAGAACACTCCTGTCGTCTCTGTTGAAGCTCTTACCGTCTTCGGTTGGCAACAGTACTCTCATGCCCAAGTTGGCATGACCACTTTCGGTGCATCTGGCGTAAGTTGAAAAAGGAAAGGATTGTCAGTCTCGTAGAATATTCTAGTGATGTTAACTATTTGCTTTTTTTTACTATACAGCCTATCAAGGATGTCTATGCCAAGTTCAAGATCACCCCCGAAAACACTGCCAATGTTGCCAAGGATCTCATCCAGCACTTCAAGAAGATCGGTCAAGTTCCCGAACTCCCCTGTCAAAGACAGTAAACCTTCATCCTTTTCCTCCATCATTACTAGTCCTATCTCATTAGATTTAAAACTCGCTGCTGTAATTACAGAATAAATACATTCCAGACTGGTTGTATATTGTACTTCTTTGATTCTCAGGTTGGGTGCGGGAGATGATGTTACAGTGTGCTACAATGGATAAGCATCATTGAGTTCTATGCCATGTTTTATTGATCATTGCTAGATGAATCTGCTTTGGTCCAAAGTTGCACGAGCGCGCTATTGAACTCTTTGTATTTGGCAGTAGGAATGACATGACCGGTATCTTCAAACACCATGAACACATCCGGCTGCAGGTGGTCTCGAAGATAAAAGCTATGGGAAGTGTGTACAAAGTTGTCCCAAGTATCTAAATATTGCGCAGTGAGCGTGAGATTTGTGCACAGATATGCCCAGTCCACTCACATAAACAAAGAGAGGCTCTTACTTGTTGCAACCAAAGTGGGAATTCCGTACGATCGAATTTTAGCCAGATCGGAAGCAGTGACCCAATGTCTCATCGAGGCAATGGCTTGGCTGACCATGCCGCCGACCTGCTGCGGTCGATTTCGTGTATTTCGTTCAAGTTGTTTCTTTAGGACATCGTATGTTATTGTTTTAAAAAGGTTGGTTAGAACGCAACATCGATGGTAGTGTTTACATTCGCGTGAGACTCACGATACCTTGAAGACCTTTTCAAAATTGGTATCGACGCTGCTGTCATCGTCCGGTCGCTGATCCAACCAAGACTAAAAGCTCGATATATGTCAGTCGCTTCGTCATATTGCAAGGCCCATTTGATACGCATACTGTACTTTGGTATAATTGATTTTCATAAGGCGACGAAGCTGTTCGTGCGGATCGGACACGAACAAATTGCTGATCAATGTGTATGCGCCGGTAAAGGGTCGAGTACCACCGGCCGTGGTTGAAACAAGTGCGATCGATTTAAATCGTTGCGGTGACAGTAACAGCATCTGTTGTAGCACTTGTCCACCTGCAGAATAGCCAACTGCGTGCACCTCGGATGCCCATCCCAAATGGTCCAACAACTCTAGCACATCTTTGGCCCACTCCGTGGTGTTGTAAGAATCCCAGCTACCGTCTACCGAAAGAAAGCTAAGACTTGAGACCCCCTGGGTAAATAACCTTTACAATGGCGTACATACCTGTCCATCCTACACCACGAGCATCAAATGTAACGATAGTACTCTCGCCAGTTGGAGCCAGTTCACTGGTTTGATAATCCCACGCTTGGCATGGTGTATTCAAGCCTGTGGGATGTTCATTTTCTCTCTATTAGCTTATAAGCCATACAGCAGATAGAAAGATTATGAAATGTAAACCAACCCATTATGAAAAGCACCTTTCTAGGGCCGTTGCCGTGCATTTCGTAATACAAGTTGACCGGTTCCTGGCTTCGACCCTGAGCCACTGTTGCAAACCCTTGCTTGTATGGATGTTGCCAGTGTAATTCCGGCATTTTTCTGGGAATGTTATCAACATCCCCGGTCATAGATTCAAAAACGGTATCGGTTGCCATGATGAGTTGATTGTGACAGGAATGTCTGTGCCGCTCAGTATGGTGTGTGTCGCGGAATGTCTTGGGAAGGGGTTGAGTGCGAAAACGTCTAAAGTAATGTTTGAAATAGACTCAGTCAGCTCCACGTGGAAAAGATGGGCCACCATTAGGATGGCCATAACTCTCAAGGCAAATGAAAACAGCCTCGGTTGGGCTAAAGATATGTTTCATGTGGAATCGTTCTTATTACTACATCTCGATGCTTTCCTTACGACATTACCAGATAGTTATTGCAACATGCACAACAGGATACAGACACATAGCTCAATTGGAAATCCAGAGAAGAAGAAAAAAGAAGAACAACAACATAGATAAGAATATGTGGGGGAGAAAAGAAAGTGGGAAATAATCTAAAACGCGTCAGTAGGATGTTCTCTGGCTCATAGGTAGAAGGAATATGAAGTGACCTACTTTAATGCAACAGAAAAGAAAAATGAAAAAGAAAAAAGAAGTGGTTCACAGACACAATTTTGCCAGAGCAAGTATCCCATGAGCATTTCGCCATACACTGTGGTTTGGTTTTGTTGGCTTTGCGTATCGTATGTTATTATTTGTTTTGTTTTCTGTTTAGTTTTTTCTCTGCAAAAAAGTTTTGCTCTTCATCGGCACTGCCATATCTTGACAGTTTGATCAACGCTTCCTGTGGCAACAACGGGACTTGAATGGCAATATCTGCAAATTGATACATTAATATTTATGTTCAATGTAACATAAGTCATGAACACAGTGATGCTTACGATATGCATGTCACAAAATGTGAGTGTGCCTCTATAGTCTTCATACAGCGACCAGTTTTGAGATCCCAGATTTTTATGGTCTTGTCATCTGATGCCGACAACAAGAACTTGCCACTGGGATGCACCACAAGTCCGCGTACCCAATTATCGTGACCTATCATGGTATGTAACAGTTGGCCGCTAGCGTCCCAAAGCTTGATAGTCTTGTCTCGAGAACCCGTAACGACGTATTGACCTGCCATCGGCTGTTCTTTTCCAGCCTTGGACTAGATTGTGTGGTTAGTGGAACTGACTTCCCTTGTCGTTCCGAGATATTGCTTACGTACAAGTCGATCGAAAACCCTCCTCCCCCCCCCAAAAATAAATAAATAAATAACTTACTGTATCATTGATCAGCTCACGAACATATGGATAGGCGTTGACAGGAACAAATATTGCACATTCCACAACATGATCGTGACCTCGGAATTCCATTTTAGTTTCTCCCGTAGATGCATCCCAAAGACGAGACGTCTAACAATGGGCAATTATTATCAAAACTTTCGCAGTCCTAGATGGAAAAAACAGAGAGACAACAAAAGGCTTACCTGATCATTTGACGATGTCACTAATAATCGACCATCATCGCTAGGCTGGACAGAACGAACCCACTCCAGATGCCCGGTAAATGTTTTGACACAATATCTAAAACATGCATTGCAATGCAATTGTCACGTTAGGTTGCCCCCTTGGCCAACGTCTGAAATGCAGTATAAGGTTTTGTACTTACCCAGATGCAACATCCCAAAGTTTAATGGTTTTGTCTCTGGAAGCGGACACAATAATGTCTCCTGATGGTAAGAAAGCGACAGATGATACACTATGATCATGTCCATACAAGGTCTTGATGCAGTTGTACTCATTGTTGAGGTCCCAAACCTTGATTGTCAGATCAGCCGAACAGGAAACTGTATATATAGGGATACCATGGGATAAGTGAGACTTGATCTGTTTGGAGAAAAAGAGAAATAGCCCACACATCTATTTACCTAGTATGTTGCCCTTTGCATCGAACGCCAAGTCTTGGACAGCCTTTGTATGACCTTTCAATGTGCGCTCAAATTCACCCGTCTCATAATCCCATATTTTGATTGAGGTATCTTCTGAAGCTGTTGCGAGAATTTGATATACAGGGTGGAATGCAACTCGCGTTACAGGGTTACGATGACCGGTGAGCGTTTGTCTTTCTGGCGGGCGGGGTATCCAATCGACCGAGCTTGTGGCTTTACGTACAGGTGCATTGTTTAGTTCTTCTTGCATTTGAGATGTTTTGCTCTCAAGTTCCATAATCTATGTCAGAAGAAGAGCCATAGATGGGTTAACTCATCTTACTCGCTCGCGATTTGAGGATAAGCCAAAGAAAAAAAAATCCATCTCCCCACCTTTTTCTGCAACCGAATGACTGAAGTCCATTTCTTTTCTAATAGGCCGGCGTATTTTTGCTTGGGATCAGGCACAAAATCGTCATTCAGTGACTCTGCTTTTAGTGCTGTGAACGAATCATGGAATCCACTGGCGCTGAGATAATCTAAGATGGCTTTATGTCTATAATGTAACAGAATGTGCGGTTAATATATGTACTTTTACCCTACTTCCCTTCAGTTTAGGTTTATTTTTTTTCCCTGGAGATAAGGTGTTGGTTGGGTTGAAATATGCGTGTCGAGTACAAACTATCGGTAAGGCGAGTTGGAAAGGATTGCTACATGAAATGAACCACGGCCGATATGTTGATAATAGGAAGCCATCAGCAACATATCCACAGGCACATCGGTTTGTGGGCTCTCTAGTTGATATGAGGTGGACACTTCTGATGAATTTCCAGCGAATGCAATGTGTAGATGGATGCGCATTTGAATTCGATGTATATGAATCGCCAGGTATATACAGCATGCTCCTGCTGGATCGCATCGCTTTCATAACACAGTGCCGTGTTCCCCATTTTAGACATGAATGAAACAGGTAAGCGGATGACGACTTACAACTCGTCCCTCTGACGATCAGAAAGGATTGTACTCATTTGGGAGTAACTGCCTCTAAAATTAAAACCAAGTGAATCGGATTTGAGCATTGTTGACCAATAGATGTTAAAGTAATCAACATGAGCGTAAGAAGTATACCTGCTTATACGACAAAGTGTTCTGAAATCAAAGAAATCTAAGGCTTGCTGGTTGCAGCTTTGGTGCCTGAGCTGGGGGGCGACCCAAGCCAAAAATTGCGACCTATTGAATCGGCCAATCACAAACGAGTTTTATTTGGCTTGTAACCAGGCTTCGATTTACGCTTGCAGTCGTTCCTTGTCAGAACGTCTTCGCCATTATTTAAGGGACACCACTCACTTTCACAAAATATTTCGAAAGTTATTAGAGAAAAAAAAAATGAAAGTTGTTTACACAATGTGGTGCTATTGTTTTGAAAAAATGCTTCCACGTCGTATCGTTATGATAGAATGGATCCAATCCGTTAGTTCAGCAACAATATGCCGACGCAAATGTACCGGCATGGTATCTCACTAATGACCGTGTTAGGAAGCTTGTGGTTCAGTAAGACTGCGATTTGTATCTTTCAAACCTGCTATAACATGCTTAGAAAATGGCAAAGAATCGGCTTATCTTCCATGTTCTAAGTAAGCATGATAACATCTCTCCCACCAAAAAAAAAAAAAAGGAAGATTGGTGAAGAGGTTAAGCACGGCCGCCTATAGAGATCTTTAACCTTGGGCACGGACAAAGGATGGGAATAATAAGTCCACTGGGGTCCCGAAATTAGCTCAGCCCCATATCGCTATGCTGGGTGAAGCATTGCCATTTACTATTGTCACTACGTTTGGTGACAGAAACTTGGTTATGAGCTTTAACCCGGTTCGCCACAGGTATCATTGGATCAATATACTTGGCATAGCGTCTGACGGGCGGTGACCGTTATAGCGCGGACATCCGCTCTCGAAAAATATTTTCCTTTAGTTTACACCGTACAATAGGCTAGTGGGTGAGTCTGGCCGCGTACATAGGCGTTGGACAATCAATGAGCTAAGGACAAAGCATGTTAAGGTTAAAGATGGTTGGAAATGTGGAACTAGACCATGGTAATTTACACGTATGTCAATATGGTGAGGAACCCGAACAGACATCATGTCATCTCTGTTTCATGCGTTTCAGGATCTACACGGAAAGATCCTGGTTTGTCGTTGCATGTAAACATCCATGACGGTTGCGTTACATTCGTCGCCGAACAAAGTTTGTTTTTCGGTGACCATCAGACACATCATGTGTAAGCATGTCAAAATAATGTGGCTATGGGTTGAATCGAGGGTTTGGGGGAGAGTTGCGTAGAAAGGGTGGGTGGGTGGGCGTGCGTGTGTATAAGATGTGGCCAGTTCATGCGGATGTTACCTCATTTGCCCACGTCGGTGCGACATTGTATCGGACATAATGGGCTCACCCACCCAATGCCATGCTCTGCCCTGCTTTACATTGCCATGCACGCTTTGCCTTTGTTATTTTATAAGCTTCGGCTGTCGGAACACCCCAATTCTTTTCTTTTGCTTTTTCCTCTGTTTAACCGAGTTTGGAGTCTCACAATCAAGATCTACTGGCGTGCTATACCTCAAACTGTAATTTCGAATTTTATAAACTATATATAAATGCACGCATCACAACTAAAATGCCCCAAAAAAAAAATTTCTTTCATCTTCTTTTTCTTCCCAGACAACACTCGCACAGACACTTCACTGCTTTCACCTCACACAAATAAGCATTCATCATGGATATTTCAGAATTGGTTTCCCCGTCACCACAGCAATCACAAAGAGGATTGTTCACTTGTAATTGGAATTCATGCGGGAAGTCATTCGGTATGATATTCACAATCTCATGATCTTCCATGATGATCAATGACTTCTCATCCAACGTAATTTTTTCATTAGGGCGTAGATCTGACCTTGAGAGGCACTATCGCATACATATCAACGATCGGTAAGACGCCAATTTTTATTTCTTTTTATATTTCATAGACAAAATGTCTGTGCCTGTAGAAGGAGCCACATCATTTCTCGAAATAACAGCCTATGCAAAGAAAAAGGAGTGTTTTACTGAATTGGTCATTCTGTTATTTACCTTGTGTTCGCTCCTTAAAGGCCATTCGTTTGCACTTTCCCTGCTTGCAGAAAACGTTTTATTCAGGTAAGCGTGCAATCTAAGCTATATGCGTTATTCTACACCATTGGGGGTATTGAGCGCTTGAAATTGCAACAATCACCATTATCTGAATAGAATATTTTTGAGCTAATTCTCCCTTCCCTATCCTCCTGTTCCTCGCGCCTAAATTTGACAGAGATCAGCCCTTACCGTCCATATGCGTACACATACTGGAGAACGACCACATACATGCGAGCACCCAGATTGCAATAAAAGGTTCAGCGATAGTAGTTCCCTAGCTAGACATCGGTAAGTCACATATGAGTAACTCAGCGTGGTAAGGCGTTCTAACATATGTGGATGAAACCTACACTTTAGACGTATACATACTGGGAAACGTCCTTATGCTTGCCAATACGAAGGTTGTGGCAAAAGGTTTGTTTGTCCTCTCATCTTACATTGATTATATTGGGCAATCCTAGACCTTAAACCATATTGGGGTTCTTCCGCGTTTATTAGCTTTACAAAAAAGATGCTGTTGGCAAGGCATACTCGTTTGGAACATGCCACGGCTGCCAAAGTTCGACGTACTTCATCAACAAGTAGCGAACAAGACGGTGACGCCAGTTGCAGTCCTGTTGCATCCTCCCTTCCATCTCCGTTCTTTGCTGGCTATTCATACCCGGAATACCGCCCTGTACCTTGTGTCATGACCTGTAAAAACACCCATTCCGCAGAATTTACCCAATATTACGCATATATGAGCTCAACCACAGCAACGGAATGAAAAACGAAGCTTGTCATGGGAAAGCATGATAGACTGATCCAGGAACCAACTATATTTGGGGGAAACTGAAAGGAACATTTCATCTTCTTACATAAAATTCCATGGCATTCCATGGTTTTTAGGTTTCACATTTGCAGTTGTTGCACAATTCTCATACTAGAAGAGATGTTTTGGTTCCATGATCAAAATCATTTCGTTTGTAGAGGGTATACCCCATCCTACATTTTCCATCAGCTTTCAATGCATCATTCATTCACAAAGAGAAAAAACAAGAACATTACCAGATTAAAAGCATCGCCCAAACATTGCATACAATTCGTTATACTGTGTGTTCTTATTTTGATACCTACAACATCGAAAATGGAGGGTTTCTGTCTAACAACTTTATTATCTTCTTGTCAGCAGACCAAGACAGTGGTATTACATAAACAGACAAGTAGCCAAAAAAAAAAGTATAAAATAAAAATAATGCGTTGTTCTTAATCAAATAATATATCAAATGCATGGAATAATTTGCTTTGGATTCACCATATTGCGTCCCATTGCTCGACCGCTACCTCGCCGTGAGATAATTGGTTTTTGTTAGTTGGGATCAACTCCAAATCCGCAAGTAAACTGTGACTAGAAGTTATTTCCGAATCTGAACTGTAAGCGCTGTCATTCGCTGCATCCATGCTTTCGCCAAGATAACAGTCGATAAATTTGGTTTCGTCGTAATTGACAGGCTTTGGTAAAGCGTATTCGGGAATGACCGACGTCGTTGGTATGGGTAAGTCAATCAGTGGCATGCACACTTCAAGAAGATCGTTTTCGGAAACCGATAAATCGTAATCCTGTATAATAACATTACAGTGTTACTTGGTTGGAAAAACTTAAACGACCTGGTTGTTTGGTTGATGCACAATGTAAATCTATTAAGGCTGGATAGGTAGGATTCGGACTCACCAATAATAGAAATAACTGTCGCTCCATCAGGTTCACTTCAGCCAAGGGGAAACAATTCGCGTATCGCGCCCAGTGTCGATTTTTAGGGGACGAGTCGTTCAACGTCTTTGCGGACAGAATTAACGCAGCCAGGAATACACGATGACATGCACAGTGAATACCTAACAAATTTTAAACCAGAAGAAAATATCCAGAGACGTTGGAGTTAGAAATAGAATGAAAATCATGGGTGTTTAAGTGCGTAGAAGTAGCCGTGATCCAAAAAAAAAAATATTCCCTGGAAAACGCAGCCGCAATTAGGGGTTTGAGGGGGTATCTCTCACCTTGTGTAGCTTCAGGTAGTTTCTTTTGGAGCCTGTCAATATATACTAATGATACTATGACTGTTCCTGTGCTGACATTGGATCGACGGACCAAGTCTTTTATGAAGACACTCAGAGGTGGCACGTATGGCGCATTGATGGATTTGAGAACTTCATATAACGGTGATGCCCGCCGCCGTGTGAAAGAATCTTCTAAACGTTGATTTGAACATCGAATTGCCTCCCGCAACTTGTCGACCACGAGGACTAAATAGTTCGACAAAAATTAGCTGTAATCCTACCGATGTATAACAACAGTCAAAGATGAGAGAGGGGGGTTTTTCCATACGTGTGATTTTAGAGTTGATGGGCTGTTTAACGAGTTGTTCCATGGACGCAAGAGCTAAGGCACTCATTTATTATTCGTTTTTATGAATGAGAAACAGAAGGGTGGATATGTATTAAAGAGAACAAGAAAGACGAAAGATAGAATTTGAGGAGGGTGGCTCCCTATACTGTCTGTTGGCTATTGATCCCTTTGGAGACGTCCATCACATTTGCACGTTTCAAGGAACAAAGCTTTTTACGCCCAAATTTTTGCAAGCAGATCAAAGGCGTGAATGGATCAACGCTTCGGCAGAGCATGTAACGGGGGAACCATCTGCAACCAACGAAACATGACGCTCAACCTCCTTCTTGCAACAGGCGCACTCCGACCTCCTGGCTTTTTTGCGTCTCTATATCCTACACATACCCACATTGAATCTATGTATAAGACTCCATAGATGTGGAGCAAGCGGTAACGTTGTAAGAAACCCTTCATTAGTACAACTTGAAAAACCATAAGTTCGAATTAAGACTTTCTATCAGTCACTGTTTGGCGTGTGACTGCTAACCCTGAAGTAGTGGCATTTCTTTTTTTTTTTCCTGACAACCGCAGTTGGAACAACTCCTACCTAGTCCGAAGATATGGCCGATTTGTCAACATCCATTGCCGGGGTCAAACTCCCAAACTTGCTTCTCAATGCTTCAGGCGTCAACTGTAGATATGAGAATGAACTTCAACAGCTTTTGGACAGCAGTGCTGGCTCCTTGGTTACCAAATCAGCAACTTTGAATTCTCGAGATGGAAACCCTGAGCCTCGTTATGCTCCTCTCGCAGGCCAAATTGGCAGTATCAACTCCATGGGATTGCCCAACCAAGGATATGAATACTACTTGGAATACGCCAAGAAATTCGATTACAACAATGGAAAGCCACTCTTCATATCCTTGGCTGGTATGTCCCTTGCCGATAACAAAGCCATGTGCGAAGCTTTCCGTGATGCCAACCTTCCCTGTGTCCTCGAGATCAACTTCTCATGCCCCAACCTTCCCGGAAAGCCTCAGTTAGGTTATGACATGGAGGCTATGGAAGCTGCTCTCAAAGTGCTTGCTCCCATAATTGGCAAGCCATTTGGTATCAAGCTCCCACCTTACTTTGACATTGCTCACTTTGATCAGGCCGCCGCCATCTTTAACAAATTTGACAACATCGCTTATGTCACCTGTATCAACTCTGTTGGAAACGGTTTAGCCATTGATTGGGAATCCGAAACTGCATTGATCAAGCCAAAGGATGGCTTCGGTGGTCTCGGTGGATTGATGGTCCTCCAAACTTCTCTCGCCAACGTCAATGCTTTCTATAGAAGATTGAACAACGGTAAGCAAGTCATTGCATGTGGTGGTGTTACCTCCGGTAAGGAAGCATTCCTCCATATCTTGGCTGGTGCTTCCGCCGTCCAGATCGGTACACAATTGCAGGAAGAAGGCACTGGTGTCTTTGAGCGTGTCTCCAAGGAGTTGCAAGAAATCATGGCTGCCAAGGGATACAAGAATGTTGAAGAATTTAGAGGCAAAGTCAAGACCTTGTAAAGTTAGCAACACACAGACTTGATATCTTTGCAAAAATATAAACTTTTTTTTTATTTGTGTGTTAACGAAAAGAAGAAATCCAAAACTAGAGAGATTTGATCTCGTATGTCTTTTTCTGTTTAACAAGATATAAGAATCAATTGTAATAATAAAAATTATAAAAAGGGACGAGATTTACAAAGCAGCCTCATCAAGGTTCTGCTAATTTCTCAAAGTGTTTTCTGGCTACATTGATGTTCATCAACGTTGCTGCTGGCACTACAGATCACAAAAAATACCCTCATCCATTAGTTTATGATCTCCCAATTTTTTTTCAAGTCCGTTAAATCTCCATGTACTCACGAATAGTAGGGTCCGACATCACCACCATAACATATGTGTTATTTGTCAACACATCAATAAACGCTGTGAACGAACTTCCTTTGATTTCCATGCTTTTGAAGTGAGTTTGTGACCGGCTGGAAGAATATTTGTTAGTGAGCCCCATTCATTTCCCTTTCATGAACTGAAAGGGTCGAAACTTGCCTGCATCCAAGATTAAACTGCTTGATAATGTTGCTGATCTTTTCAAATCGATGAGCATCTACATGGTTGATTCTGGCTGCATTCGCAATGACCAAAAAAGTGGATCGTTCGAATAAGACAACTTCATCTGCATCGCATATTGAACAGAAATTATTGAGATGGGATTCTAATGTTCGAATATTGGGTATTAAAGCATGTACAATGGTAGACCAAGCCTACGAACGATAAACATTGCATCAGTATCATGTTGGAGAGAGGTCGCAGATTATTTCGGAGCCTTACAGCGTACAACGTTTCGTCCCAGATGGACGTTCGGAACGTCTTTATCTTCAGTGGCTCTGATCTAGTTTTCAATTCATTCACTCGTTCTTCATACATCTGCAGAATACGTCATAGAGTCAATACCAAACAAGATCTTTGTGCGAAGCTTGTCATGGTCCCCCTACCTTGTCTCTTTGATGCTCTTGTACAAGATCCATTTTATGAACTAAGCAGAAAATTTTCGCCTCTCTTGAGTTTGCCATGATGGCTTCAAGGCAAGATTGGTAATAATGCATGTCTCTTTCTACATCTCGACTTTCGACATCAAATACGTAAATAAGTACTTCAACGTTTTTGAAAATGTGATCTCTTTGCGATGTAAAGTAGTTTTCCATAAACGCTTCTTGACTGTTATAGAGTTTTAGTGAGTATGCGCTTGCTGATGTGCTGTAGACCACCACTACGTTCCCAAGTCAGTGTACTCACCCGCCGCAGTCCCACAAGTTAAGTGTCAGATTGCCGAGAAACTTTAGGTTGGAGTGTTCAACGTCGACTAAGGAAAAATAAGTGTGAGCAGCAAGATCCACTTTGAAGTTTAATCGTCATGTCATTCTCTTTTACTTGTTGCTCCCAGCCGTCTGGTGTCTCTTGCAATGTAATTTGAGAATATGATTGACCGCATGGAGGTCTTGCCAGATCCGCTCTTGCCCATCAACAAGACCTGTTTAAAACAATTGAGCATTACAAGGTATCGTAAAACTACGTCTCAGCAAGTCGTTTATAGCCAACCTTCTTTTTCATGATAATAGATTCCGGTGAAGGTCCAAATTCTAATGATAAAGATTGTTGGAGCCTTCAGTCTTCAAGCATACTTTTTGCCCCACCTGCTTCGGAGATCCAATAAATTGCAGTCCAGTGTTCACTCTGACTGTTCACTCTTCTCACCTGGGGTATTATTTTTCAGTAGCATCGTTAACCTACATCAGTAACGTTAAAAAAATCAGATCTCGTTTTCAATGTATCTCTACATAAAAGAACTGCCTATGATTACCTCTGGTGTAAACAGAAAGGAGCGTCGCACTCTACGTATAACTTCAGTGAATCTCGATAGAGCTAGGTAAATATATAAAAACTAGTCAATCAATTGCTATCTGTCTTAAAGATGGAATTATCCGCACTTTACTTCAACAAAGCTCTGTCGCTTTTGCAGCAATCACCTTCTGCTGCAGTCACAGATAATTTTGGAATCCCGCAATTTCTGGTTAAAAGGTGTCTTGGCTGGTTGAGTTCCAAGAAAAAAAGCACTGTTCGTCCGCACACTCCTTACCACTGTAACCGATCCCTATCCGGCAACACCTTCTTTACCGTTAGTAACATAACCCAAATGGTGCGAATATCATTAATAGCTATTCTAGCTGTTGGGTTGCAGCTGAGCGCTGCTTCACAGCCTGTACCTCGCAACTACGCAGAGAGACTATATTATACACTTCATTCACCATCTGAGGATTTCGAAGCTGCCAAGCACACTGCTCAATTGTTGAATGCTCGATTCGAAGGCTACGTTGGAGAACTTAAGAATCATTTTCTCATCAGTGTCGATCGTCCATCCATAAGTGCTCGATCTGAAGTTGATGAGCATGACCATACACTTACTGCGTTCAAAGCCTTAAAAGCGCAGAAACTAGACAAACGGGGTGATGTTTCTGTCAGGGCAATATCGAGCATAGAAAAACAAGTACCTCGCCGAAAGCTGGTCAAACGAGCTCCTATCGAAACTTATGAAGAGCGACAGGACCCTCCTGTGAGCGAAAACGCTGATGAAGAGCAGAAGGCAAACGGCAAGAAAATTACTTGGTGGCTAGATGAGCCTGGAGCCTACTTGGCCATGAAAAAGGAATTGGGTATAAAAGACGTTGGTTTTGATAATCAATGGCATTTGGTAAATATCACTAGCTTCGTTGCAGGCACATATTGTGGAGGTATGGGAAGATCGCTGAGTTTTTTTTTTTTTTTGGATGTCTATTTCTAGGTGAATAGGGAGCAACAGGGCAATGATCTAAATATCACAGGCGTGTGGAAGCAAGGTATAACAATTGATGATGATTCCATCTGTGACATAGAACAAAGTCTGACACTATCTCCTTAAATAATTCCAGGAATTACTGGAGAAGGCGTTGTCGTTGTACTATTGGACGATGGCTTGGACTACGAGAGTGATGACTTGAAGGATAATTTTGTATGTTTACTTTTCGACGAGTATCTCTAGACCACTCTATGTTTACCTGGACGGCTTTATTTATACAATTTCTCCACAGTACGCTGAGGGATCTTACGACTTCAATGATCATACTCCACTTCCCAAACCTAGATTAATAGACGATAATCACGGTACACGATGTGCTGGCGAAATAGCAGCCGTCAAGAATGAAGTTTGCGGAATGGGTGTCGCATACAATGCTAAAGTAGCTGGTGTACGCATTTTGTCAGCTGAAATTTCGGATGCTGACGAAGCAGAGGCTCTTAATTACAAGTATCAAGAGAACGACATCTATTCCTGCTCTTGGGGTCCTCCGGACAATGGCGAAGTAGTTGACGCTCCCAAGGGATTAGTGTATGATGCCATTGTTAATGGAATCAACAATGGTCGCAACGGAAATGGTAGTATCTTCGTCTTCGCATCTGGAAACGGTGGCTCTTATGACGACAACTGCAATTTCGACGGATACACTAATAGCATGTACACCATCACTGTCGGAGCTGTTGACCGATTGGGCAAGCATCCATACTATTCTGAACGATGCTCTGCACAACTTGTTGTTACCTACTCTAGCGGTAGCGCTTCACGTATCGTAAGAAAAGAAGAAGACTATACGTAAGATGATGTTTGTGGACAGGTCTTGGTTAACGGCAAACATTTATTTTCAATTTAGTATACAACGGATGTTGGAAAACAATCATGCACTGACGGCCACGGAGGAACTTCTGCAGCTGCCCCTTTGGCAGCTGGTGTCTTTGCACTCGTTTTATCGATACGACCAGATTTATCTTGGAGAGATATGCAATATCTCTGCGTAAAGACAGCTGTTCAGGTAGCACTTGATGATGATGACTGGACAACCCTACCCTCTGGCAGAAAATTCAATCACCGTTTCGGTTATGGATCTTTAGATGCCTATCGAATCGTTGAAGAAGCCAAAACTCACGTCAATCTTCGCCCACAAACCCACCTTGCTATACCACACCTTACCAAGAAACCACAGCCCATTCCCGATCTAACCGGTCAGGATGATCATAGCAAAGCTTTCATCAGTACCATCAATGTCACTCCTGAGATGGCAAAGGGTGTGGGATTATCAAGACTTGAACATGTTACTATTGGCGTCGACATTCAGCATGAACGCAGAGGTGATCTGGAAATATTACTTGAAAGTCCACATAATGTAACCAGTCAACTGGCTGCTCGAAGACGCTTCGACACTAGTACCGATGGATTTGGAAATTGGACATTTATGACTGTGAAGCACTGGTAAGTGAGGTTCTATACGAGCTTGGTGAAAAACGTGAAGCTAACGGACTTGTTGCCCAGGGATGAAGACCCTATCGGTGACTGGACTTTGCGTGTCATTGATGCGTACAATCCTGAGCAAACAGGAAGTGTTGTGCATTGGACCCTGAATCTTTGGGGAGAAGTTGCTGAGGATTTCGATCCAAATGCCCAGCCTATTGAAACCCCTGTGGAAACCTCCAGTACAGTTGAAGAGCCAGTGGAGACCACTACCGCCAGTTCAGAAATTGAGACAGCCTCCGCATCTCCATCGGACAGCACATCGTCTTCCCCCATTGAGTCTGGTACTTCGACACCCGCAGCCGACCCTATTCAAACTCCTGGCGCTGAACATGCGGACGAGGAGCTGGAGGTGTCCCCTGTCGGAAACGGTACCAATGTACCTGAACACATAGTCTCCAGCGGTAGCACGATTGCATATATTGCGGTTGGATCTGCCCTTATTCTTGCAGCAGCAGGCATTGCGTATGTTGCTAAGCGCAAATCATGGGCAGACAAAGGATACAAGGAGCCGCCAATGTCAAATAGAACTGAGGGATATGAATTCGATCTCTTTGCCGATGACGATGATTCAGAAGCTGAAGAAGATAATGAAGACGATACCGGAAGTCATGCTACTAGTCCTATGCTCGGACGAGATAAGGGCAAGGGCAAAATGGTTGCCAGCGAGCCGGAAGACTAGCCATACCCCAAAAGCATAAAAATGTTTGATAGAAATTCATTCTTCTAGATAAAAACAAATTCATACCTTTTTTTCAATTCAACGTCTTTCTTAATGTTCGATTGCATGTTCTGATTCATAGTTTTGCATTTTTCATAATAAGATTCAAATATGGCCAATTTCTGTTAGTTCTCAGCAACAACGTCTTTGAAATGGGGGTCGACTGAGTTTGAAACATTTCCGGTCCGGTACAAGATGATGGAAGTTGCTTCACAGAATGAGCTCCCTCTTTTTCCGCACATCATGGTTAGTATTTTTACTGCTGGCATTCATCATCCCATCCATCCATCCATCCTTAGAAAGCGATGAACATGTAAACGATGATACGATCAAAACTATTCGCACCAAGAAAACGGAAAAAATCGACGACTTTTTGCACCACTTCTTGGCCACTTACATCCATCCATCCATCCATCCATCTATATCATCAAAGCTATTGCACCTGATAGAGAGTCGACATTACATTAATTTTTTGCCGTTTTTCACCTGTCATCTCTGACTTCATTTTCCACATGTCCTTGAATGTCTGACTGACGCAATTATCCTTTTGGCATTTACAGGCTGACGCTACTGTTACATTGAGAACCAGAAAGTTCCTCACCAACCGCCTGCTCCAGCGAAAGCAAATGGTCGTCGATGTCATCCATCCCGGCCGTGCTAATGTGCCCAAGGACGAGCTCCGTGAGAAGCTCGCCAAGATGTACAAGGCTGAGAAGGAAGTTGTCTTCTGCTTTGGCTACAAGACCCAATTCGGTGGTGGCAAGACTACCGGTTTCGCCTTGATCTACGATTCTCTTGAGGCTGCCAAGAAGTTCGAGCCCAAGTACCGCCTCGTCAGAGTATGTATCATTTCCTTTACCCGCCTTTAGTGAATCCACCCAACTCAACATTAACATTTTCTTTTTTGCAGCATGGTCTTGCTGATGGTTCCAGAACCGCCCGCAAGCAACGCAAGGAACGCAAGAACCGTGCCAAGAAGTATCGTGGTACCAAGAAGGCCAAGGCCGCCGGTGCTGGCAAGAAATAAATGCAAATGCAATAATAGCTGTTTTGCTTTTTTATCACCTTTTTACAATCATCAAAGTAAAGAAAATCACATTTTATCTACTCGGCGCATTTCATTTTATTTTGCTGTGAGATTGCTGCAGAAGAGATAGATGAACCTGAGATATCATGACAACGCTTGAGGATATGTATGAAAAAGTCGCATGGTCAATGTGACAGGTACGCTTGTTTGAGACTCATGTTATGTGAGAGAGGAATGCATGGAGTGATGAATGGGAAATTGCCAGTGTAGTCAGGGTCAGAATAATGCGATTATGCTTTGACGGTAGTGTGTCATTGGAAACGCTATAGAACCAACAGACTACTTTTTCTTTTTAGATGATGCAATGCGTTGGGTAATAATATTTACAGACAGTCAGTGCGCAGCTTTAGTCCCACCAACCAGCCAGTGGTTTGGTCTTTGGTATTGGGAGCGAGGTAACCTATTATGTAAGTCACCTCTTGGTCGCCAATATACAATTGGTAGCAGCCAACATGACGTGAACTGAAGATATCGATGAGGGTGTCTTGAAGCTGCAAATACAAGTATTGTTGATCGCAATAGTTGGAGGTGAGAGGTTCAAAGAATTCTTCCAACGATATCGTTTGGCATGAAGGGATTGCTTTCGTCTCAGACTCATAGTAATGTAAATTAGGTAATCGGTCACTCAATCTGAGCAACCTTAAGAATTCATCTCCACTTGGCAGTGTTCGTCGGGACGACAGTAGACTGGTGGTTGAATAAGGGATACTGATGGGCTCGAATGTGATGTCGTCGTCGTAGGTTCCATGCTCAGTGCCGTACCAATCGTTTGAAGACAAACAGAATCCAAGATCTTGCATCAAACTATTGATTCTGCATTCGATTGTTTTTATACGGGTTTGATACATCGGTGGATGTATGATCATTAAAGGTATTTCCATGTCTTATAAAGTGGTAGAAAAAGATGAAGAGAAAAAAAAAAAAAGAGCTATGAGCAGAATAGCCATTCCATTCAGTTACCGACTAGCCACTATATATCAATTTCTTATAGTAGGCGCTATCAAAAACGTCCAACAGCAGCACTGTATCAAGATATGGCATATTTGTGGTCGCCGAAGAATGCCTCAGAGTTTGAAGTATGTAAAGATCATGACTGCGGAGTTTAGGGGGACAAATTCCTCAAACGGATCAGGGTAGCTTTGAGCTGGCACTCAAAATCTCACCATTCAATCAAAATCTGAGTTTGATACATCTTCACACATTGACTTTAGCGTACTTCTTGCATTAGAAGGTAAAGAGGTAGGACTTTTTTTGGATTATTTATTAATTTACTGTATAGTAGAAGTAAGTAAAATTATGGAATGAGATTTCTTAGAGATGGCATTGCTCGCTGAAAAATAATCCATTTCTTTACCGCTGGAAATTGTATGGCTACGGTGTAACAGTCCCTTATGAAAAAAGTTCTAAGGCGAGGCTTGTACCCTCGAACAGCAACGGGAACAAATAATGATCATTTTTGCTGACTATGTCGCTTGATGTTTTAAGATTTTTTTCACAAACGCCATCTCACATGTGAAATGCCCTTCGTTCACATTGATGTCAACGTAGTGTTGGTCATCCAGGAAACCATTCATTTTGATGGCGTTTGTGGGGAAAAAATCGGCCTGGTCCCTATTGATACCTCGTCGTTCTCACCAATCACCTTGAACGTTTTTCTTGGCGGATCTCCGCTGTAAAATCTTTCTCTTGTGGGTTTCCCTCCATCTTCAGCTGATGTCGTACAACCACTTGTCGGAATGGAAAAGCTAATGCATTGTGGGATGTGCTCGAACTGAATTGATTGCCCACACTCAAAATTTCTATTGGTGTCTGTGCATAGCCTTTGCCCTTTTTTCTCTTCTTCTCAAAACATCGGTCCTTTCCCATCCCTTCCCTTTCCTTCTATATTTTCGACTTGATTCATCCAGTGAAGGATGACCCATTTAAGTGACTTCAGTTTTCTGCGTAAGTGCCATCACTCTATAATGGACGTCGACAAAAAACGCTCATCCTTGCCTACCTTGTATATCAATCAGAGCGAGCTGTTGAATTAGCCTTTTTGGAGGTTTGGTTCGTCCTTCGAATGTGGCAGATCGATCGCTTTGCCTGCCTTCATCCATCTCGCATTCGACAAGGCGAACTGAAGAGTATATTATCAGTATTAATTTTATTCATGGTGCCGTTTCAAATGGCGTATGGTACGTAGTTTATGCCTGATCGTCGAAAATTTCTATCCTATCAATCGCTCATATGTCGCTACAGATATAGCGTCCGTGAAAATTAAATACGAGGAAGGCTTTATGCAGCTTCCTGGAACAACGACCATTATCACGGCAAGTGTCCTTATGGAATTCATATCTTGTTTTCAAACAAAGCATTAACCATGACCTACATACAGAAACCAGCCACATTCTGGACTACGGCTGATCAGCAACTCGTCATCCCCACAAACTACTCCCTTTGCGTTGGATTTTCATTTCAAACGTAAGTTGTCACATTGGTCTTCGCTGACCGATAAAGCGGGAAAGCTATTTTTTTTTTCAGGTTACACTAACGACGGTACATCTTGCAGCGGTAGTTTGTTCCTCCTCCAATGTTTCTGGAACTATCTGGCGAACTCTGTAGCAAAAGCTACGTTTATGTCGAGTAAAGAGTTCAAGTTTTATGTTGCGTGGATTTTCGTTGCTATGGCATTGTTCCCCGTCCTCCAGTAAGTAAACATGGTCGATCAATTGCTGTGGAAAAACGTGGTCACAAGCTCAACCTGACTTTCGGTTTGTAGATGGAACTTTTCTCGTGATGTCTACCCTGATACTTGGAAAGAAGTCATTCCGGAATTAGTTTATGGAAGTGCTCTTTTCATCATCGCCATCCTCGGTGTTGTTTCCCATTTCCGCTTCAAACGACTGATTTACCAGACACGGGATAGCACCAACGGAAAATCAATTTCCAGCAAAATTACCTACTTCAAGGACTTGAACTTTTTATTGACTGTTTGCTTGCTCCTTGATGGCGCTTGCTTTATTATTCTTAGCGTGGATGGTTTGACTAGTAAGTGAACGTTTTATCACATTGTTCGCCTATGGTTTGGATGTGATATTAATGTAATACGTGGAATTGTAGCCGCCAAATATTTGAACAGCCACAAGTAAGTAGCACAACACCCATGGACTTGGTCACCGCATGGTCCATATGAGTAACTGACCAAATGATTTCTTTACTTTTTTCCTCTGTTGTTACATTGGCAGGTTTTCCGCGGATCTTTTCATTTGCATTGGTAAGTTTTAGAGTTTACACCTGGGGGTTCCTAGTCCCGTTAGGACGGCTTCTATCGTGCACATTGACTCACGCGTTGTTTCTCGTACTAGCTAATTTTGCATCGGTTATTATCTGGTTTATTGTTATTCTCATTTTCCACCCTAAGCGTGGAAGTGGGGTTGGACCTAATTCGACTCAGCAGAATTCAGGATATGTCTTCAGCAATCCTACTGCTAGTGTTCACCATACCACTCGTGGAAACCATACCCAATCTATGGGCATTGCCATCTCGTCTCCTGCTGCTCAGACCGACTATATTCCTTACAGTCCATCTCTTGCTAAAGCTACACCTGTGCCGACTTCACCTTCCACTCCACTTCCTCGTTATGGAACTCCTCCTCCTCTCAATCCGAAATCCAACCAACGTCCACTCAGCCCACAGCAACCTACGTTTCGGTCCATGTCACCTCAACAAAACATCCACGATATCTATTCTTCAGAGCCTATGGCCACTGAAGCTGGTGTAGATTTTTATCCAGTCGTCTCACGAAAGTACAGTGACGCATACAAACAGCCTAGAGCACAGCGACACCCTGGCCAGGAAGAAATCGCTCTTCAACAATGGGACGATGATACTTTGCGAAGTGGATACGATAGCCGCAGCCAGTCTCCCACTTACACTCCCCGTCATGATGATAACTGGCTGCGTCAATCTCCTTTGAAGCAGCAACATCCTTATAACAAAACTCCTGACTCTCCATGAAGGACAAAATGTGTACTGGTTACACCTTCTTTTAATCACATATTATTTACATCTGTATCCTCTGTGTTTACTCTATTGCTAACATGTTAGCGCGCGAAATGTGCAGCTTTTCCTCTAAAGTTCGTTATATATTATTTGACATTTATTCATTGACCTTGTGCTATTATGCTACTAAAAAAAAAGAAAAACGTTCTGTCCTCATTATCTTCGCTTAATCAGCTACAAGTATTTGTGTGTGGGTCCGAGGGGCAATCAATGCACTTATGGGAAACATTACTGCTCAATTTTGAACCGCAGTCACGGATGTTAAGCTTTATGGGTTCGGCTAGGGTATTCATCATCGATTCATTCTTTTTTGAGATTCTCCAGGATGGAAGCAGCTCAAACGGAAACTACAGCTACTAGAGACTCTCATATACCTAGTAGCCTCAATCCAAACGCCAGTGCATTTACTCCTTCTGCCACGCCACAACCGGCTTCTCCTCAGCAATCCGCCGTCTCGCAGGCGTTCAAGCCACAAGTGAAATACTGCTACTACGAGCAATTTGGTCAATGCAATAAAGGTGATGCATGTCCTTTCACACATCGAAGCCAAGAACAGTGCTGGTACGAAGCCAATGGAGGTCAGTAACTCATATATGACAGGTTGTAAGATCAGCCCATTGTCTTTCATTGACTAATGTTTTTCCCGATCTAGGCTGTAAAAGAGGTGCTGCGTGTTTGTTCAAGCACACTGGCATAACATCAAGCAACGGTGAGTAACTTGAGATGACTTATTAATTTCGTTTGTAGCAATAAGGCACAACAATGGAATCAAATCCTGGAAATTGGCAAGCATAAACTGATATTCGAACCCATCATGAACAAAAATAGATGCTGCCAGCCCTACAACAGGGGAAACCGTAGTCGATAACAGCAGTAAAGATGAAAAATCATTTAAAGAGACTACTACAGCAGTGAAGCAAGTCAGTGGTACCAAAATACTGGCCACAGCCTCACCAACGGTCAAGCCTACTATACCTGTAGCCAAGAAGCCTGTTGGTTCGACACTAAATACCGCCATGTTAGAAGCAAAATTAAGCACTGCTAAGAAAGCGCCTGCAGGCGATTCGATTCCAAATAAGCTTGCTCCCACTGGAAATGGTCTTCGATCGAATGTGAAACCGCAGGAAACATTGGCTTCCGTGTCCATACCAACTAATCAGGCCAAGGCAACAACCGCCAACGCACCGGTTCAAGGACTTGCTTTGAAAGGAACGGCCAAGCTTGCTTTAGCCAATGCAGTCAAGTCCAATGCAAATGGTACAGCCGCCGGCAAGCCTATGTCGGCATTAAGAGCAGCGGCTTTGGCGAGTGTCAAAGGTAATCCCAATGGTCCTGCTAAAGTAGCGGAAGCCAAACCTGTGGCAAAACGTGGCGGACCAACAGCAGCAGCAATCACAGCAGCGACTAAGGCAACGATGGTCGCAGGTAAACAGGCTGCAGCACCGACTTTGGCCAATGCCAACAATAAGCAAGGTACAGCACAAGGATCTCCCAATGCTAATAACAAGCAAGCAAGCAAACTTAGCCTTCCCGCCAAACCTGTGGCGGCCAACAAGCAAGCTACAGCACAAGCGTCAGCAAATGCAAACAATAAGCAACCGGCAGCACAAGGATCACCTAGCCTCAACAGCAAACAAGCGACCAAAAAACCAAACGCTAAGACGTCGCCTGCTGGAACGGACGATGGTTTACAAAATATCAAAATTCTTACCTTTGAAGAAATCATGGCGCAGAAGCGCGCAAAGAAAGAAGCTGAACAGGCTACATCATCGACTGGTAGCCCGAAAACTGGATCACCACGGCCAATACCAGCTCGACCGGCTGTCAAAGCACCCACTCCACCTGTAGCCAAACCAATTGCTGTTACCGTTGAAAAAATGGCTACCACGCCACCCGTGACACAAGTTAATGCTTTAAACAAAGCAAATCAGAAACCAGAATCTGTGGCACCGTCAGTAAGCAAAGCGCCACCCAGTCATCCAAGCATCCAAGCTGCTGCCGCTGTTGTTCCTTCACCAGTAACGGCCGCTCCAGTGAAGGCTGCAGTGGTCCCTCAAGCGACCACCCCAAAACCACCTGTAAATAACACGCATAGCAACGGGAATAGCCAGATTGGAATTAAGCGACCTGCAGAACCTAATCCTCTCACCGTCCAACCTCCAACGAAGAAAGCAGCAGGGGAGCCATTGTCCAGCAAAGTCATTGCCCAACCCGCTGCCAAGCCCACCAACCAAGTAATTGCTCAACCCGCTGCCAAGCCCACCACCCCTCCCAAGAACACGACGTCCGCGCCACCAGCGGAAATTCCCGCACCGTCACAGAAACGTCCATTGGACATAGAGGAAGAAGCCAAGAGTAACAAGAAACAAGCTGTGGATAACACGGTGTATGAGGATGATGAACTGGCCCAATTTGAAGCTGAATTTGGGGAGTTGGAAGAGCTGGAAGGAGGAGATATGAAAGATTTTGATGAAGAGAGCATCTTGAAGGAATTAGAAGAACTTGAAGGAGACGTTTAGAGGCGTGTTTATATTCGCAACATTGTAAGATAACCCAATAAAAAAAAGTGTGTGCCTGGCCCCTGCCTGCGTTTAAGCAGCGGGCAGCTGTTGCCATTCCATTACTTCTCAAATGGTTTCAAAGATTTGGTCTCTAGCGGAGGAAAGAAAAATTATGACCCATCTTTTGAAAGTCCGATTGTTTGATTGAGAGATGCAACCGACAATCGCTGGGTTTCTCTTTTAACCCTTTCCCCCCTCCCTTTTTTTAACAGTTTTCTCGTCGAAATGACTCAAGAGGCTCGCGTTAGCACTGTTGTCGAGAGTCTTACCAAGGCTCCTCGTAACATTGCCTTCCCCCAGAAGGATGGAAGACCTCAGTTGATATCTGAAATCTTTGGACAGAACGTTTTCTCGTTCAAGCAGATGGCATCTCGTCTCCCCAAGCCTGTGTACAGCACCTTCTTGAAGCAGCTTCGAGGAAACGAAACCATTGACAAAACCACGGCTGATGCTATTGCTCATGCTGTTAAGGTTTGGGCTATGGAGCGTGGAGCTACTCATTTCACTCACTGGTTCCAACCTCAGACCGACTCCACTGCTGAAAAGCACGACTCTTTCTTGACTTTGAAGAGTTCATTTGAAAAGGGTTTCGAGGAGGTAAAGTACATGTGTGTTTTTTTTGGGGAATATGCGATTAGATACATGGTCCCCCTAGGATCTAAAGCAGTTCCTATCTCGGCATGATTTTTTTATTATGAATTTTTTTTTTTCTCTGACTGACTGATTATCTATTTTAATGTCAGGTCGAATGCCTTGACTCTTTGTCCGGTTCTCAACTTCTTCAATCAGAGCCTGATGCGTCATCTTTCCCCTCTGGTGGCATGCGTTCTACCTTCGAGGCTCGTGGATATACCATTTGGGATACAAAGAGGTTAGTGTTTTTTTTTCTCACATAACATCATTGCTAGTTCATTCAGCTGACTGATCGTCATACCCTCCGCTCCTCCCATCCTCCGCTTCGCATGGCGATAAAAATAGCCCCATGTTTCTTCAAGAAGGCCCTCATGGAACCTCCATTTTGTATGTTCCTTCGGTTTTCATTTCATACAATGGTCAAGCCTTGGATGAGAAGACTGTCTTGTTGCGTTCTTCTGAAGTTTTGGCCAAGAACGCTTTGGATGTTCTCGATTTGATTTTCGACCCCGAGAATGGTAAGCGTTACGGAACAACTTTATTTTTTTTTTTATTATACATTTTTTTTTCTTTATGGGGGACCGCGGCTGGCGGAGGAAAGGCGTCGACAAACCAACTAAATCCCATGTTGTTTACTCGCTGTAGATGTTCATGTCAACCAAGTTCACACTTCTCTCGGTACTGAGCAAGAGTACTTCTTGATTGATCGTGCTCTCTATACTCTTCGTCCTGATCTTAAGATCACCGGCCGTACCTTGATTGGTGGTTTGCCACCCCGCCACCAACAGCTTGAGGACCATTACTTCGGTAAGATCCCCTCGCGTGTTCTCGCCGCTATGAGCGAGTGCGAATATGAATTGTACAAGCTTGGTGTTCCGTGCAAGACCCGTCACAATGAAGTTGCTCCTGCTCAATTCGAGTTGGCTCCTATCTATGAAGAGGCTATGATTGCTGTCGATCACAACTTGTTGACCATGGATGTGTTGCACCGTGTTGCCCATCGTCACAAGCTTAAGGTTCTCTTCCACGAGAAGCCTTTCAAGGGTGTCAACGGTTCCGGAAAGCACTGCAACTGGTCCTTGACCACTGACAATGGCATCAACTTGCTTGAACCCACTGCCAAGCCCGAGGAAAACTACCGTTTCCTTCTTTTCCTTTTGGCCACTTTGAAGGCTCTTGAGGATCACGGTGATTTGTTGCGAGCTGGTATCGCTTCTGCTTCCAACGACCATCGTCTTGGTGCTCATGAAGCTCCCCCTGGTATCATCTCTGCTTTCCTTGGTGACCATTTGACTGAGGTGTTGAACGCCATCGAAGAGGACCGTCCTCTCAAGACTTTCGGTGCCCCTGAAATGCAATCTGTCCGTGTTGGTGGTACGGTTCTCGATCTCAAGGTCGCTACTCTCCCCAACATTGCTCGTGATTTGACCGATCGTAACCGTACCTCTCCATTTGCTTTCACTGGCAACAAGTTCGAGTTCCGTGCTGTCGGATCTAAGCAATCCGTTTCTTTCCCCGTTACTCTCCTCAACTCCGCTGTTGCCTCTAGTCTGCAAGAGGTGGCCGAGGCCCTTCGCAAGCAAAAGGGTGATAAGCAATATGCCACCAAGGAAGATCAACTTGCTGTCATCAAGCAATTCATCAAGATTACCAAGAACGTTCGATTCGAAGGCGATAACTACTCCGATGCTTGGGTTAAGGAGGCTGAAAAGCGTGGTCTTCCTAACATTGTCAACTCTTACGATGCCTTCACCCGTCTTCGTGAGCCTCGCAATGCTGAGATGTTGTCCCGTGTTGGTGTTTTCACTAACGAGGAACTTGAGTCTCGTTACCACATTCTTATGGAGAAGTATGCCAAGGATGTTCGCATTGAAGCTCAAACTTTGCTCACCATGGTCGTCCAATTGATCATGCCCGCTACTTTCTCTTACCGCAAGGATCTTGCTCAATCTGCTTCTCTTCTCAAGGACGTCGAAGCTGGTTGCGAGCCTGAACTCAAGGTTCTCAAGGAACTTACCCCTATTCTCATCGACCTGCAGAAGGCCGTTGCTACCCTTGAGACTGAAATTGCCGCCACCGACGATATCACTGATGACATCGGCGCTCTTTGCAAGAAGTCCCAAGCCACCTTGTTGCCTGCCATGGAAGCTGTCCGATCATATGCAGATCAATTGGAAGGCATTGTTGGCGACAAGTACTGGCCTTTGCCCAAGTACACCGAACTCTTCCTTAACATTTAGACGTATCTGTGTAAACCCATTACACCTCCTCCAAAAAAAAAAACCACATGTCTTCTGAATAATTTGATTTTTATTTTCTTCGTTTCACACTTCTTTGCCAAAGAGATCAATTCCTCCAAATAATATTACCTTTTGTTTTTAAAAGAATCCACATACAATGACTGGGTGAAATTGGCTTACCACTGGGGAAGTATGGCAGTCACGGACTTGTCAATTCTCCATTTTTTCGCTTTGTCTGGTCGAAAGTGATACTCCGTCCATTCCATTTGAAAAAGATCTACAGTATCATTCAACATGGGTGATGCAGGATTCTTCAAAGTATGTTGTCAGCTTCCATTGCTTGTGCTGCACGCTCCTTTCTCCTTCTCCACAGTGATGTTATATCTGTACTGATGCACCATCCACTGTTCCAGGGCACTAGCGCTGATCAAGACACGCGATTCAGCAACAAGCAGAAGAAGTTGATGAAATCTATGAAATTCCCTCCGGAATTCGACCAAAAGGTAAGGCATTTTGATGGGATTTGGGTACTGTTATGGCTGCCAACGAAGCGAACATATGTTCTGGCGATGGTACGGACATGTGGTCATAGACAGCCAAGTGCATGTCAGAGCGACAAAAGTACACCCACCGTCCCCCCAGTTCAACATGACAGACTACATACCAATACCCCTTTTTCTAAACTCTTCGTTGCTCAGGTCGACTTTTCAAAGGTGAATTTGACCGTTCTGAAACCATGGATCGCAACTGAAATCACAAAGATACTCGGCTTCGAAGACGATGTTGTAATCGACTTCACCTATGGTCTTCTTGAAACACAGGTAGAGCTATCTCTGGTGAAATTCGTCATCGATTTCCTCAATATTTACCCCTCCTGTAGAAACCAGATCCAAAGGAAATGCAAATTAATTTAACCGGCTTCTTTGAGGGCAAAACCCAGGAGTTTCTGTTGAACTTGTGGAAACTATTGCTGAGTGCGCAAGGAAGTGTTGGTGGTATTCCCGCTAGTTTCCTAGAAGCAAAGAAAGAGCAAATTCGTCAACAACAGGCAAGTGTTTAGTTCACCCCCACCTTTTATAAATCATTCATTTCTAATAATTTGTATGTTCTTAGCTCAAGGACGAAGAAGCCAAACGACAGCAGAAGGATGTTATGGATAATATTCGAAAGCGTCGAGATGTAGAGGAGGAGGACAGGCGTAACCAGCGAAATACCACGGGAAGAGGAGATCGTGACAGAAATGATGTACGGATTGCATACTTCAAGCTTCATGGTTTCGACTCTTTTTCTAACATCACTTGTTTGCACTAGGATGATAGATCATATAGAGGTAGAGGAGGAGATGACCGACGACGACGCTCAAGATCACGAGAGAGATCGTACCGAGGTGACCGATACCGTGGAGATCGATATGAGCGCAGGCGGGATGGTAGTGGAGACCGATACGAACGCAAACGAGATGATAGCGCCGATAGGTATCGATCTAGCCGGCGACGAAGTAGAACTCCTGAGCCTAGACGTAGTCGCTACTCTCGCTCACCTAGTCCACGTCGTAGCCCTCCTTCGCGCTCAAGATCAGAAAAGCACCATCACGACCCTTCTTCGACCGATCTCAACGAGGTAGGTTGCATCGACCGGATCTCGTTATCCCCCAGATAATCAAGGCGATTTATTTATTTTCTCTCTGTTTAGCAGGAGGACCTTCGTTTGAAAGCCATGGCATCCATGCAACCGCATCAAGATTAAAGCTAGTTATCGAGGTTACCCTGCCGCGATTTATCTCAGCATTCACTCACTTGCGAAAAGAACCAACAAAAAACCCACTAAAACCAATAAGCCATTAAAGGAGGAAAAAAGACCACCTCTCTCCCGTTCCTAGCAATTTATTTTTCTGTAATAAAACCTCACACCCCAGCCAGCCTAAAAACGTCTGCCTGTGCATTTCGAAACTACCATATTCCGCTCAATTGGCGTTCGATAGCATGGACGTCAGCGTGCGAAGGGCCGACGATTCGACGCGGCGGTGGTTCTTCGCCGTCGGATTCTATCATGTCTTCTGGCTCACCGACCAGATGGGATTGATTGGTGAAAAGGGAAGCGTTCTCGTTGATGGACGCTGCCGCCTGTTCATTGGCCTCAGCCAACTGGGTTGAGCGCCGCGTGGCAATACTACTTCCAGTGTACCGCCGCCGACTGTAACTGCTGCCTGTGCTCATGCTGCTGATACTTCTATTGGCCTCAAAGGCATGCACTTCCTTCACGATGAGCTCGCGAAGCTCGTCAATGGAATCGACTTTCTCGAACGGCTCAAAAGCAAATGACCGAGGACAGTCGTATTCTTCTCCAGGGTCACGGAAGTCGGCTAGATACGGATGTCTAAGCGCTTGGTCGACGGTGATTCGCTTAGCTGGGTCTAGATGGAGCATTTGCGTCAAGATATTGATGCCATTCGTTGAACATTGGGGATATAAGGATTGGAAATCAACCGGGTCAGTGGGTGGAGGACTGCCGTCGGGGCTGCGAAGGTTGTGAATATATTCAATGACGGTGGGGGATGCCATGGTATTCCAAAAACTGGTATCTTGCGGCAGGCCTAGAATAGCAACAATCTTATGCAGTTGATCGACGTAATCCGAACCCTTAAAAAGGACTTTTCGTCCCAACATCTCGCCAAATATACAGCCCAAAGACCAAACATCAACTTTTTTTGCAGGGTGTACAGGTAAAATCAGGGTAGTGCAAGCGGAGAGAATAGGTTTAGGTCATGACAATAAACCCCATACCGTTTCACAGAGGAGATGCTTACTGGACTTGTTGTAACTGTTGCGACTCAGCATGATTTCCGGCGCCCGATACCATCGTGTGGAAACGTATTGGGTTAAATTCCATGATTCGTAATTTTGGTCATCGATATGACCTCGTGCCATGCCAAAGTCGCATATCCGGATATCGCAATTTTGATTGACCAGTATGTTGGCTGGTAGAAATGGGGGGTTTACTATCAAGATGCGTGTCCCCCACTGATCATCTACAAGAACTTACCAGGCTTCAAATCTCGATGTAAAACCTTTAAAAAGCAGCGTTAGGTCATTACGCCCATCTGAACATACGGATCTATTCACTTACGTCGGCAGAGTGAATATATTTTAAGCCGGTGAGGATTTGGTATAGAAACCATTGAAAATGGACTTCTTCGAGAGGTTGGGAAGAATGGATCACATCGGCCAAGGTTGTATCACAGCACTGCTGAGCCAAATAGATTTCATTAAAATTGGTGTGATCGACGATATCCAGCTCTCGGATATCAATGATTCTCGGGTGGCCGTTGAAATGTTGAAGTAACTTGATTTCCCTTAAGCATCGCTTGGTTGTGAGTTTCCTGTCGAATATGTGATGCACCTTTTTGATGGCAATGACTGGCAGAGGGCATATCAGCCTGAGGGTACATTCAACGATTTCGGCATGAAGGAAAAAAAAAAAAATGGGAAAAAAAATGGAGGTCTTACCATCGCCTGTGTAGATATTGACTACACTGCAGACGGTTCCGTATGCTCCTGAACCGATTTTTCGAACAAACCGATACTTATTGCGAATGGTAAATCTATCTTTACCACGATCGATTTCTACCTCATGATACCGCATCCGACCAAGTTGAATAGAGAAGAGAAAGAAGAGAAAGCGATTAAAAGATTTATTTTTTTTAATATAGAAAAGCCGGTCGTGGTCAGTTGAGGTGGGATGGGATAAACTGAGAACGACCCGTTTAGTTGGGTGGTCTGTGTGCATCATTCTCATAAAGGCATTATTAGAAATTTTCAAATGGCTCGTCATCACTTTTTCCCCTTCTAACGGACATGAATACATAGAATGGCAAGTCCGGGGTTGCAGCCGAGAAATAACATGGTTAATTACTGTATTTGCCAAAGGGATATAGTCTTAATTGGACTTGATTGCGGCAAGGCTGAGTTTTATGCCTTCTTCAAGCCCAACGCGTGCTTCGTAGCCAAGGATACGATTAGCTTTGGAGATATTAAAATATCTGGACGACATTGCTTGCTTGATGCGAGAGCGAGAGAGTCCCTCTTTGAGCTGGCTCTTGTCAACAAACATAGCCTTGATGTTGTAAATAGTTTCGCTGATGTAGGCAATGACCACGCTTGCGCCATATGGAAGAACAATCTTTTTGGAGTTGGGCATATAGTCACCAGCTTCGAACCATACCTTGGAGGCGAAATCCCAGAAGGGGATAGGGGTACCGTTAGTGACATTGAAGGCTTGTCCGGCTGCCTCAGACTTCACATCGCCCAGCTTTTCAGCGGCAAGGACATGGGCATAGGCAACGTTGCCGACATACGTGAAGTCCATCAATGAGCTGTTATCACCAATTTGGAATCTGTGTTGTCCCTTTTGACACACCTCAAGCATACCAGGGATGAGTTGACGATCACCAGGCCCGAAGATGGCAGAGGGTCGAATGGTGCAAGTTGTAAGACCTTCCTCTCCATTGGCTGCAAGAACCACCTTTTCACATTCAATCTGCAAAAACGCGAAACCAAGTTAGCTTTTTTTTTCCCAAACAAATCGCGACCAATGTCATGCCGTAGATACATACCTTGGATTCGGTGTATACATCGATGGCTTGGGGAGGATAGGGAGTGGATTCGTCAACGTTGACCATGGCCTCACCAGTGGAAATAACACTGCCTGAGCTTGTGACAACCAATTTCTTGATACCCCTGGCTTTGCAGGCAGCAATCACGTTCTTGGTACCGTCGACATTAATGGAAAAGTAGAGGTCTCGGGGTGGGTTGCTGCTATTCACGTGTGGTGGGGATGCAGTGTGAATGACAGCGGTAATACCGTCAAGGGCAGCAAAGACATCATCAAACTTTCGAAGATCACCAACAAAGAATTTAATGTCGGCAGGCGCGTCCGCTGGCTTAACAATGTCGAAAACAGCAATTGACGAGCCATCCTTTCGAAGGCGAATCTGTTCTAAAACGTGACGTCCGAGAAACCCGTTACCTCCAATCACCAAATACTTTTCGGGCATGATGTGTAGAAAGATGGACTGACAGGAAATGCCAAATGGGATATACAAGTTTATTGCCAGCTAGCCAATCAAATTTTTTATAAAGGACAGGCATTGGGATATCTAGCAGCCACCAGGGAAGGCATGCTTAAAAGGCTGCCCACAGAGTGTTAAACTCCTTGTCGAATTCATCTATACAGCTTTTGATGTTGGTAATGATAATGTTTTCCTTGTTCTTGAAGCGTGCACTGTACAACGCTCATTTAGTCTCACCATCCATCAGCAAAAGTCCCCAAAAATAGTCCTCACTTACCCTTTAGACCAGTTAAAGCTGCCATTGATCATTAACTGATGATCGATGATAGCGAACTTGTTATGCATGTAGCCTTGGCTATTTTGGTCGAACGAACAATGGAACAGTTAGTTTATCATATCTAGCTCTTACACATTCATTTCACCCAACACCTTACGTATGATCGGTCTTGTAGGGAATGTTATAATCCTTTTGAAGTCTTGAAGCATCGGCACCTTTGATGGCAGCTTGTTGATCGTCAGTAATAATTCGAATTTTAACGCCGCGTTTTTTGGCGGCAATCAAAGCGTCAGCAGTGTCGTCGTCGGTAATGGAGAATACGCAGATATCGAGAGTGGAACGGGCAGAGTTAAGGGCAGACAAAAAGGCAGAGTAACTTTCCTTCGACGGGAAGAAGTAGGCTTGGATAAAGCTACCCTTGGGGAACGACATTTGATGGTAGCTCTGCATTTGCTGTTGTTTTTCGTGGCGCTGTGAATCATCCTTGGATGGGAAAACATCTCCAGATTTTTTGCTATGGTTGAGACCATCTTCGGGCACATTGGTCGTCGACTTCTTTGCGCTCTTTTGGCCACTTCCTCGTTTACCTTTAGGCGAGGATTTAGGTGAGGAGGGCTTGATATCAGGCACGACCGCATCCTCATCCGTGGGTACATATTCATCATCATCCTCATCTGAAGGAGGCTCATAATCGTCATCCGACGCGCCAAGGTGGTTATGCTCTATTTTGTCGGCATCGTCAGGCACAACGAATCCATCCTCTTCGTACTTCTTACTCTTTCTCTTAACGGCGGAGCTGCTGCTGGAGCTTTTGGCTTTGGAAGGTGAGCCCCCAGCTTCATCAAAACCTTGCTTCACGGCGAGAAGGACGGTTGTGCGAAGCCAGTTGACGACGTCTCGGTCATTTGAGTTGTGACAAACTTGGGTCGCTGCATCAAACATTTGTTCAACAGTCCGTAAGGTATTGCTTGGACTGCTGGATTTGCTAGCAAGGGTTGAGTTGAACTCGGTGGTCATAGCTTTGCGGAAGTCCGGCTCCGAGGCTATGTAGCTGGCCGAGTGCATCGTCTAGCATCGGATTCAGGCGTTCAGTAGGTTTGGGGCGGCGCGAGGATGAAAAAGCAAAACTCACCTTGGACAACAAGTCATTGAAATTGAGCTTCTTGGCTTCATCTACACTAAGAGTGGGCCCTCGGCTCGAAGGCATACATAACTTTTCAAATAGGCGCTCCATGTTTGCTGGCTGAAAAAAGAGAAAGCAAACAAAAGGTAATGGGCTTTTCAAAAAAGGATCGATCTTTCAACTTATATAAATGAACAGCCAGCCCCTGCCCTACGTCGTGTTCTAATTTTGTTTTATTTCCTCCCCGGTTCACATTTGTGCGACCCAAGGCAAAGTGAATGGAATGAATACCCCCGCTCTTTTAATGAATGGACGATGTTTAGTATGGTTTATAGCGCTGTTTGACATTGCTATTTTTTGACAATGACGACAATGCCTGAGGCGAATTACCCTTTGTGTCACGGTTCAAAGTATCTGCAGATGGTTCTTCAACCTTCTGTGAGCCTTGTAACGCTGCCAGTTTTTTCTCGATGGCTTTGATCTTGGCATCCGTACTACTCAAGCCAAATCTGTTTTAGTACGCAAGCAAAAAGGAAACAAAGTGGCGGTATGCCACGAACCGCGCTGTACCTAGCTTTAGCCATCTTTTGTGATTTCATTACACTCAGTAGATTGGGCCGATGTTGTGAACTCGATGTCTGGCCCTTTCTAGGCATCGAATCCTCGTGGGCGGGTGCCTGGAGTAGTAATAGTATGGATGAGGCGGAGTAAGGGGATCCACTCCATATAAGACTAAAAAGTTCTTACCGCCAATGCAAAAGAAACAATTAAGGGCCTGCCTTTAATCATTTTGTTATTCATGATATCGATAGCCTTCAGAGCCTCCTAAAAACGAGAGACACGAACATGTCAGTCTTCTTGAAGAATGCGCAAGTTGTTTCTTAAGATAAATTTACCTCCTTGGAGCTGTACTCCAAAAAGCAGTAACCTCGGGGTTGGCCACGCTTTGGGCCAGCAAAATGAAATAAGAAATCCATCAAGGTGATCTTTCCAAAAGGTTCAAATAGCTTGACCAGAGCATATCTAGAATAAAAAAAATGAAACCAATTATCAGTCATGATGACCAGCACTATAATATACTGTAAATGGCGGCGTGTTGGAATACTTACTCATCGATGGTAGGATCCAGGTTACCAATGTAGAGTCTCTGTTGTGGGACAAAGTTTAAAATCTAATCAGGCTACCAAATTCAGAGTTGCATTGGCCAAGCCGGAAATGTACATACAGAAGCTTCCTTTGCGGACTTTTCTCGATTCATTAAATATATAAATTATTATGCGTGCTGGTTGAGCATTGAGGGTTGGGATTAGGTGTAAAGGGTTGGGTGGACGGCAGATTTATGCCCGCCTTGCCTGGCTGGGTGCGTTTGGTCTGTGACTTGGAAAATTTATCCTATCCTTTTTAGCGCACGTTCTCTTGTTTCGTCAACACAAAAAGTTCACAATCCATGGAGCCTACAACGTTTGACAAGATGAAGATGGGTGCCATGATGGGAGGCACCGTTGGTCTCTGCGTTGGTCTTGTTTTTGGCACGGTCAATATCATGAGGTAAACCCCCCGGCATTTTCGTGGAATGAAATGGCATAATCAACCTTTATACCGTTCGCGCTGACATGCTTCGACTACAGATTCGGAAGTGGACAGCGAGGCGCTATCTCTATGCTTGGTTCTTACATGGCCGGGTCGGCTGCATCCTTTGGATTTTTCATGTGTCAGTCTATTTATTCATTTTTTCATGCAGGTAACGAACTCTGCTAATGACTTGCCCCTTTAAACAGCAATAGGTTCGGTTATTCGATCAGAAGAAAGCCAGCGAATGACTTGGCCATCACAAGCCCCGTTGGGAATGCGTCCTAGCATCTACGTTGCCCCTAGAAATGAGCAATAAACCATTCTCAAGATACGGCGGAAATATGACCAATCTTTCGTAAATATTTTCGCACCACTGTACAAAGATTTTTTTTTCTCGTTGTTACAACAGTATTAATAACAAAAAATGGGCAAGAGTAACTTTGATTACATGGAGGGTTATTCGTTATTGCTATAAGAGGGAAGATGGAGGGGTTTGGTCATAGAAGACGTTTCTAAAGTACGTGAATGATTGCTCGGCAGCCTCGAAACCAGGGCGACTACCACCTTTTTTTTGGGAATAGACATAAGCACTCTATTTTCAACACATATGTAGAACGCATCACTGAAACTTACCAAAGAAGGTTTCAAATTGTACGCCATCAATAGAGATGTCCTTGGTTCTCCAAACAACTTTGTCAAATTGAATGGCAAGCTTCTGATTTATCCAAATTTTGAAGACTCCGTTACGCTGACCAATGTCGTTCAATTTGACATACATCCCTACAGTGTCCCATTGACCGTCTGTAAACTTAAACGCTCCTCTGCCTGCCGATATGCCATACTTTTGATTGATCTCGGTTTTCGGAGGAATGGTGGAGATACTGTCATCTTGTTCACTTTTGGGAACATATAAGTACGCCTCGCCATCACCATCCTTTCTCCACATGAGTCTGGAAATAAAAGAGTATGTAAGCAATGAAGCCAACAAGGTGCTTACATCCGCATTTCCAACATGCAAATCGACATAGTCAGTCAAAAAGTAGACTCATACCGGATGGAAAAGCAATCCAAAGCTGCACTGCCACCTAATGAAAAAGAATTAATTTGTGCATCCCATCACCTGCATCTACGGATATTTGCAAAACCTACCTGAACACTCGGTGCGACCACCGTAGATGCCTGGCAACTTTCCGCCTTTGACCCACTGGAACCCTTTCTCAAACATCACATCGTATTGAAAGTACAGCTCCATGTTGGGTGTATCATCGTGTGTGAACCATCCAACACCTCCGACTCTTCCTGAGAGTGGATTGATCGAGTTCTTGGGGTATTCGACTCTCATCACTGGGTGTTCGATAGGAGAAATCCTTTCTTTAGCTGGATACAGGACATTCTGTCCACCAAATCCATAAACGAAGGATTGAGGAGCCCAAGTCTACAGACATGGAAAAATAATTGGGAGTGAGCGATTGTACCGAGAAAAATAAGCGGGATACTTTTGGTACCTTTTTATTGATATGGCAAGCGGCGAAGGGAAGAATATCATTATTTGCGGTGACAGCAGTTGTGCATGCTTGAGGAGACACATCTATGCGATTTTGTGCGCTAGGTCCGAATGTGGGTGCCCCAAGAAAGAAAAAGGCCGTCAAACAAAATATGAATACAGCGCCTAGAGCTGTTCTGTACTTTCGATGTCGCAATGCTTGCGGCCAAAAGTTAGCCATGGCGTAAGTCGATGGGCAAGAGCGGATAAAGTTATATGAGAATTTTGAAAAAAATAAATTGTGGGCGGCCAGGGCAGTAAAATTATTAAAAACCTTAAGTTTAAACGCTGTGCACGTTGGCTGTAGAGAATCTTCTTTCTGAATATAAGCAAGTAGACGCATAAGAAGCTTTCGCTTATCTTTTTTCTGTAAATTTCTATTGCATTGACATCGCGTGCTGCAGCGAAGCCTACTTTTATGTCAAGTGCATCTTTTTATTGATTTGGAAGGAAGCAAAAGTAGACAATCAAGATAGAATGAAGAAGTCAACATAGCTGTAAGACCTTTAGTTAAAACCATCATTTGGTAGCATGAAGTACCTAATGATCTCTTCAAAGCTGACAAAAATTGATAGTGTCGCTAGCCTTATGCTAAGGACAAACTATCAATATAACGAAATCAAACCAAACAATCATATCCACTGCATGATAATGAGCTACCGAGTAGAAGCTTTGATTCTGCAACATCCAATGATATCAAGTACGCTACAGCATTCGAACGAGCTTATGAGGGACTTTTAACTTCATGGTGCATCTTACTGACAAAAGTCAACAAATATCAATTCGTTACTTTTCACAGCAAAAGGTGTTTCACCTCAGCGATCAACTCAAAGCGAAGGCTCCTTGTGTTTTAATAGCATACAAATTACCATGGACTTGAAGGCACGAAAAGCAGCTAATTTATCAGTACTAAGGCGTCACGATCCTTCTATCATTGATCTACTAGATCAATCTAGTCACGCAGTTGTTTACTGTTTCGACCAATCCAAGGCTGGCTGGGTATGTTCCTGTAGAACGTTTACTGCAACTCGTAAAATCACCGTCCCGCTTAGACGCACATTCCCATTTGACAGGCAAAGAAAGGAATTGAAGGCACCGTTTTTTTAATCAAAAGGTATGTCTTATGTAATTCTCGTCTTGAGATGTGGCATTGATCGTTCAATTCATATATACACTTGGATCTAAATCCACAACTTTGACCTCACAGAAACGTACCTCCTCACTACGGAATATACATTTTAAACCGCCTGAGCATAGACAACTATCGTTTGTTATTGACTGAAGATTTGGTGATAGAACTACAAGATGAGTACATTATATACCAAACACCATCAGGTATAGAAAAGTTCGTTGTGCGAATCGATAACGGGTCATGCGGCATTCTAATAACAAACGCCTTTAATAGATGATATATGCTGCCTTTGGCTGTATGAAGTTGACGATCGCGAAAGGATATGTAAAGAGATGATAAAGTAAGTAAGCTTCATGTTTGGAATGGCTTATAGTATTAAATACTCACTGTTGGCATATTCAGTATGAGAGATGCAAAGGACGTACAAACGACTCCTTCGGCTGGTACAAGTATTGATGTGGCAACCTTATTTGGATCCGGTGCCAACAATGTACAGAATACAGGGCAACAACCTGCAGCACCAACGAGTGTTTCGCTTGATCAACTGTTTGGTAGAGCTAGTCTGAATGAGCAGCCGTCAGTGAATTCACCTGTGGTTGGCAAATCCGTCGATCTTGCTGCTTTATTCCAAAAAGCAAATCCACAAGCAGTCTCTGCCATGTCACCACCAAAGCCCAAGTCTTTACCTCTTGACGACTTGTTCACTAACGCAATTCACCAAACAACTCCACCTCCCCCTCCTGGCAAGGCATTGTCAATCAACGACTTGTTCCATAACGCGATGCAACAGCCACAAGCTCCAGTTCAATCTGATACACCTGTACCTAATCCGTCTTTAGCATTGCTCAACCAACTGCGAGGTAATCCTGTAAAAGAACCAGCTATGGAGCAGGTGCCATCGAACCCGGCAAATACATTATTAGACCTTTTGAAGAGAGCAAAACCGGTTAGCCCTCAAGGACAGCAACCGCCGTTGCATGCCCAAATGCAATCGCCTGCACAATATGAACAACGACAACCAACGTATTCTCCTTCTGTACAGCAACAGTCTCCATTTGTAAATCAGCAGCAACCGGTTACAGTAAACGGATCAAGTCACCCACAGACAAACCCACTGATTGCCTTGTTGCAAGGCGCTTCTGTCAATAAGCCCCAAAGCCCTACAGCAGCCTCTCCCGTCAATCAAGCCAGATCTCCTCGTTTGAACCAGCGTGGGTCACAGCAACGACCCTACACTTCCCCTAAAGCTATGCCATCGAAGCCAACCTTATTGGATACTTTGATGGGAGGATCACCCGCCAAACAACTGCCACGCCCACCGCAACAGCTTTCCATGCAAATGCCAGAGCCTCATCCATACTCCCCCCAGTTACAGCAGTCAACTCCACCACACCCACAACAGCAACGGCGTTCTTTAAGTGGGGCACCACCTCTCCTACTGCAGCAAGCACAAGAACTGACCAGCCCGCGTATTCAGGATCGAATCAGGAGCCCCACCGTCCTTTCTAAACCAGAATTTATTCAGCAGTACTTAAATCTTATACAGGTACGTTGGAGATTTTAATTGAGCACAGGTTGGTCACAGCATATTGAACGAGATACATATTTTTTTTTCAGTCGGACGCAACATTTTTGGATTCATTGTACAATGATTACGTTAGCAGAGAAGCAAGCATTGACTCAAGTGCACCACATCCATATCCTGCTGCCAACGCTGCCGTACCAGGTTTTGCTATGCCATACTCCGAACCACAAATGATGCACGGATATGGGGGCGGCGCGAATTATCAGTAAATACCATAGGGTGTTTGAGTTCTTTCTTTTGTCATGTTTTTCAAATTTAAATGTTGTGATCATGTATTCTAAATTAGCCGTCAGTAGTCGAAAGCGGCTAGCTACTGAGGGGTCAAGGGATTTGTTAAAACAATACATAGAAGAAAGTGAAACTGCAAAATAGCCATACTCTTGATGCGTTCATGTGAAAATTTGCTGGACGATTAATACAATAATGGCTTTTAATATGTGGTATGTTTTCAAAACAGGTAAAAAGGTCGGGGAGAATGATAGAATGAGAGACAGAGGGATTATGCTTGTATAGATACATGGTATATACTAATGCTGTTTGCGGGAAACAGACCACATTTGAAGGTAAATAGGATAAAGTATCCATAGGGACTAGTCGTCAATCTTCCACGAGTCTTGAGCCTCAAGGGCATGGAGTTCCTTGATACCATCGTGTTCACCCTTTGGTTTCTTCTGAACGACAGATTTTAAACCATGTCCAAAGTTACGCTGACATATAATGGCCAGTACAATGGTTGTGAGAGTAATGACTAGGCCAATGACGACTGTTTAAAACGGTTAGGACATGTTTGATGAATGGATACACATTTAGTGAACTGAGTTCATGTAACAACTTACCAAAGCAAATCCATATGACCCATTTGTCAGAAGCTCCAATGGTTAGATACAACATGAGGGCAAAGTGGAATACGACGATGATTTGAAAGACGATGAATGTGATGATGCCTGCGTTGTTCTCAGCGTTGGTCTAAATATACCTATAATTAGTATTTTATGCTCAGCCGAGCCACTTTTCGCTTAACCTGGGTACTTACAGCAACTCGAGCAGCAATTAGCATTGGTAAAATCAACGCCGTCACACCAACTTGAACGTATTCAATCCAAGGAGTAGTAGACTTGACGCCATCAGTAGCAATACCTCCTTTGATAACAAAGAAAAGGGACACGATGAACTCTGTAAAGATGTCGATCTTGAGAACCAGTAGGAACTGTTGATATACACGGTACATTTCTGTAGTAGCATAACAAGGTCAGCATGATTGACAAGGCATTGATCTGTCCAAACATATATGCTTACTGTCAATGGCAAGGTCAGCTCCAATCTTCTTGTAGCGTGTCCAACCAAGTTGCTTGGTCAACTTATAACTGGGCAGTGCAAAAGCAACGGCGAAGACGGGTAATATGACGGCCAAAACAATCTCTAATTTGCCGGCGGTCTTCAAAATCGATACGTCAATGAAGGGGCTCAGCGTATTGATCCAACGATCATTGTCGACAATCTCCAGTGCACCTAGAATTGCGCAGATGAGGTTCATACTGAAAATAGCAATGACCTCAGCTATATTTTGGTTGACAACCTTTGTAAGAGACAAAGCAAATCAAATCAATTGACTGAAACACACAAACAACATCAAATCAATAAGCCTTACGGAATCATATGCCATTGCACAGAACCAGATTTGATAGCCACAGAACGCAACGTTTTCCCACCGCATACGGTCAAATCGTTCATTTGCGTCCCCATGGTCGTGTAAGAGTGAGTCGACGTTGCTCACCATGATTCTCTTAGCTTCATTAGAGTTTTCATAGGCAATGGCCGCTTGAATGCCAACAATGATGATGGCTTGTAGAGTAGCCAGCAAAATATATAATATCGACCATCGTGATTCTGTCAGCCTGCTAACCTATAGGGTAGAAAGGGTTAGGATGCGGTAAAAGTGTCATGTTAGCTGTTTGAAATCGAACGTACGGTCTTTTCAACGGAAGGCATTTTTTTTTCTTCAAAGTTGAGTATATGATTGATTTAGAAGAAGAGCGGTTGAAGGTGGAGAAAAGAAGTGGAAGATTCTAAAAAACAAAGTATATATAAAAAAAAAAGCTGCTCAGCCATAGCAAGGTCACACAGCCTGATGCCTGCTATTTTGGTACAAAATTTCGGACAAGACGGATCTGCGCCATTCTTTACGCGAAACAGATTGAAATGCAGTGAGTCACGTTTTTTGGGAGGCTACGCTAGAGCATCTGAATGGTAGCCATGGATTTGACTGCAGGAAAGGTGAAAAATGGTCCGTTCAGGCACCAACTGGGTTTCATTTACAATTTCTATAAACGAGCTGTGGCTTCGCTGTGTCCAAGGAGAGGCTGGACAACGTTAAGTGACCTTAAGACAAGCAATGTTACGTCACACTCATAAACATGAGCGTTCATGGAAGGCTAGTTATTCTGCCTTTCTATCGCATTTGTTTCCAAAGATCTTTTAATTTTTTTTTGTTTAACAACGGATTCCATGACTTTAAACACTTTAAATCACCAGCCATTATAACAACTGTGAGGATTTACAGTGTATCAGACGATTTTAAACTCAGGATATCTGTTTCCACTTGGTCAGCGAATTTTTTGATTCCCCCATTCACGTGCAAAAAATACGGAAGCTATAATATATCTTCCAGCTTTCTACTCCACACTTGCTTTCTGTTCCCATTTGTCCCCATTTCCAAAATGTCCTCTGAAGCCGCTGTGTTGCCAACTCCCCCTAATCTCAAGGACCAGGTCCATGTCGACGCTGTTGAAGTTAAGAAGCAAACCACCTCTTCTATCAAGTCCTTTATTGCTGGTGGCTTCGGTGGTGTTTGTTCTGTCTTGGTGGGGTAAGTCGACTTTCATAAGAAACCGAGCCTATGAGATTGTGCTATATCACTCAACTGTAATGTCTATTAGACAACCTTTTGACTTGGTCAAGGTTCGACTTCAAACTACTGAAGGTATCTACAAAAGCACCTTTGATTGCTTTGCCCAAACTGTCAAGAAAGATGGTATCTTTGGATTATACCGTGGAATGTCCACTCCACTTGTCGGCGTCACTCCCATCTTTGCTGTGAGCTTTTGGGTAAGTTACATGACTGATTTTGGACTGACTGCTTAGGGTTTCAAAGTCCTAATTGTTTTGTTCCTAGTCTTATGATCTCGGCAAGAAGTTGGTCTACTTGGCTACCCCCAACCGAGAATCCAAATCCTTGTCTACTGCTGAGATTGCCTTAGCTGGTGCTTTCTCTGCTGTTCCCACTACCATGTTCATGGCTCCTTCAGAGCGCATCAAGGTCTTGTTGCAAATTCAGGGCCAAGGTGGCGAACAAAAATACAAGGGTCCTGTTGATGTTGTGCGACAATTGTACAAGGAAGGTGGTATGAAGTCCATTTTCAGAGGCACTGGTGCCACTTTGATGCGTGATGCTCCTGGATCTGCCGTCTACTTTGCTGCTTATGAAATAACGAAGAAGAGCCTTGCTACTGAAGGAAAGGATTTGGAACCCGCCAAGGTTCTCTTTGCTGGTGGTAAGTAGCAGCTTTCATATGATATGAAGCAATCTGCTCAAGAGCGGGCGCCGGCTCTTGAGAAGATCTTGCTGTGTGTTGCATCTTATCTAACCCATCTTTTGTGACTACAGGTATGGCTGGTGTTGCTATGTGGACTATCGCTATTCCACCAGATGTTATCAAGTCTCGATTGCAATCTGCCCCCGCTGGAACCTACACTGGTGCTGGTGATGTTCTCAAGCAAATCCTGAAGAAGGAGGGCCCTAGTGCTTTATTCAAGGGTCTTGGCCCTGCTATGCTTCGCGCCTTCCCTGCCAACGCCGCCACCTTCCTTGGTGTCGAACTTGCCACCAGCGCTATGAACAAGCTCTTTTAGATGGTTGTTAGATAATTTTTGTACATTTTATTCTTTACGAATTAGAAAAAATACACCTCTTGCTATTTCTGGAAATGGGTTCGCATGATGCTATCATTGTCATCGATGCTCACGAAGATGGTTTGACTAACATATAGTGAGAAGGGGGTATTGTAATGAATTATGGCCGAAACACGAGATCAAATGTTGTGGCACTGCTCACTCTAAACAAATGAATGGGCCGGACATCTTAAGAAACACAACGAATGAAACCAAAAAAGGCACCACAGGACAGGGCATTACCTTACCACCGGGGTACAAGTGACTCAATGTCCATACCATTGGCCAGTTCATGGCTCTACCGTCACTCACCAACAGCAATAATAAATCGATGTTGGTTTGAACAGAATCTCTTCTTCACTCCACATTCCTCCGCACTGGAAATGAAACATATAATTTTATTTTTGAAGCTCAGGTGCACCCGCTGAGAATTCTCTTAGTTTACCAGCTGACCTTCAGGGCCTCTCCAAGCGTCTCCCATGAAAGGTCTCTCACGAACACCGGAATTTGTCGGTACTTTGCAACCAATCAGATGCGCCAATGGGTGGGTACTTTCAAAGTAGCCCGTATGTGCGACACATTTGATACTCCGGAAGTCCACTATTTACACTAAGGATATTCGTAAGAAAGATATGAATGAAAAGAAGTATAGAAAAAGACATAGAAAAGGTGGGGAAAAGAAAGAAGCGAATTGAAAAGGAGATTTAAAATCTTCATACTATCTTCACGGAATGGGGTTGAGGGATTCACAATTCCAATGACTCAGGCAAGTGTGTGACCTTGTAATTGTGCTGACAGAAAACCAGAATATAAAAACCTCAGTCACCCCCCGCCCCGCGTCTCCCCACTAATATTCAACTACCTGGCATCTCTCCTTGATCAGTCTTCTAATGTCTGTTAGATCCTTTGCTAGAATGTCATTCAACTCTGCCAGACAAGCTGTAAGTGTACCTCAAGTTTCTCGCTCATAAACAAACAAAAGCCCCAAAGTCTCACTTTCTCCCCCTTTTTTCTCTTCGCAATGCTTCAGACCGCTGCTGCTCCCCGTCGAGCCATGACTACCAAGCCTGCCCCCAAGACTCCCATCGACCCCCAGGCTGCTGGTCCTATGCTTCGTTACCAAAAGAACCTTCCCAAGTTGCCAGTCCCCCCTTTGGCTGCTACCATGCAAAAGTACCTTCAAAGCGTTCGTCCTTTGTTGAACGATGCTGATTACGAAAAGACTGTACAGGCTGTTCAAGAGTTCCAAACTAAGGGTGGTGTTGGAGAGAAGCTTCAAGAACGTTTGATGGCACGTGCCAATGACCCTAGTATTGTGAACTGGATGGAGGACTGGTGGTTGGATCAGGCATATATGGGTTACCGTGACCCTATTGTCATCTATGTCAGCTACTTCTTTGGTTATAAGGATGATAAGCTTAGACGCACCCCTGCTAAGCGTGCTGCTGCTATCACCACTGCTGCTTTGGAGTTCAAGCGCCAAATTGTCGAGTAAGTACCCTGGTGCCACCGAAAAAAAAAAAGGCTTTGAAATTTCTGATTTTTAACCCATTTTCCATAGGTGCAATCTCGAGCCCGAGTATGCTAAGGGTGAGCCCATGTGCATGGACTCTTACAAGTATATGTTCAACAACTGCCGTATTCCTGTCAAGCCTTCTGATGTTGAAGAGTCCTATGACCCCATCAAGAACACTCACATCGTCGTTGCTCGCAACAACAAGTTCTACATTGTTGACACCGTTCACAACGGTAAGCAGCTTTCCACCACCGAGCTCGAGGCTCAATTTGCTCGCATCATTGAGGAGGCTCGTGGTTCCAAGGCCCTTCCTATTGGTGTTTTGACCACCGAGAATCGTGATAATTGGACTGACGTGAGCTTTTTTCCCTCCAAAATGTGAATCTGAACTCCGATCATGATGACTGATTAACATTATCCTCATTTTTTTTAGTATCGCGAAACCTTGATTGCTGCTCATCCCGAGAACAAGGAGTTGTTGAAGCAGATTGAGACCTCTTCTTTCATGGTCTGCTTGGATGACTCTTCTCCTGTCACCCGTGATGAACTCTCTCGTGCTTGCTGGCACGGTGACGGTCGCAACCGTTTCTTCGACAAGCCCTGTCAATTTATTGTCTTTGAGAACGGCAAGGCTGGTTTCAACGGCGAGGTGAGTTTTTGATTTGGAAGGAAGGCGGCAATAATTGGAACTTTTGGACTCACATGCATGCATGCACACTATTTTCAATTTTAGCACTCCTCCATGGACGGTACCAACACCGCTCGTTTGAACGACTTCGTCTGCACTAACTTGCTTCGCAACAAGATCGACCACGGCAGCGAATCCGTTCGATCAGACCTTCCTGCTCCTCAGGTTCTCAACTTCCACATCAACGACAAGGTCGAGCAAGCTGTTAGCAAGGCTGAGTCTAACTTTGACCAATTGATTGCCAAGCATGACCTCACTGTCCTCGCCTACCAAGCCTTTGGCAAGAACTTGATCAAGAAGTTCAAGTGCTCACCAGATGGTTTTGCTCAAATGGTCATTCAATTGGCTTACTACAGAATGTTCGGTGTTAGCCGTCCTACCTACGAATCGGCCCAGACTCGCAAGTTCCAGCGCGGACGTACTGAGACTAGCCGTACCGTTAGCACTGAGTCCATCAACTTTGTGAAGTCCATGGAAGACACCAATGCCTCTGTTGAGCAGAAGATTGCTGCTTTCCGTGCTGCCCTCAAGACCCAGGGTGCTTACATGGCTGACTGCGTCAACGCCCACGGTGTCGACCGTCACTTGTTCGGTTTGAAGAACAGCCTTCAAGCCAATGAGCCCAAGCCTACCCTTTTCACAGACCCTGCTTACGCTTACTCCCAGCACTGGTTCTTGTCTACCTCCCAGCTTTCTTCAGAAACTTTCGCTGCCTATGGTTGGGGTCAGGTTGTCAACGACGGTTACGGATGTGCTTACATGATCAAGAACGACTCTTTGCAATTCAACGTTGCCAGTGTCAAGGATCTTGAGGTTGCTGGAAAGAAGTATATCAACGGTACCCACCAGTTCAAGCAGCACCTTGAGGATGCTGCTGACGATCTCCGTGATCTCCTCCTTACTGAGGTTCCCGCTCAGCCCAAGCTCTAGATTGCTTTTACTTGTGTTATATCCCGTTTGATTTCTGATGAAGATGCTTTAGAATGCGTCGAGTATAAAAATTGCTATAAAAATTTCCCTTCACCATTAACTTTTATGATTTGGTTGTTGACGTGCTGTGTGAGTGTATAACAGTGAAGGACGCCGGCATAAAGAGTCATTATGGATATAAGTGACTTAAATGGAGATCCGTTGTGAGTTAGCAATTGGAGACTGCTCAAGAAGATGTGACCAATTTACACTAACATGATTACGAAGACACCTGTTTAGATTATTCATAAAGTGCAAGCGCTGCAAATATTGTCCTTATGATATTATTTTTTATTCTGTATTTCATCTTAGGTCTGATACCAATGAATTAAGGATATGTTGTCCCAATTTGAATTGATGCAGTTTGCACGCGAGGGCCAGCTTTTCAAATTAAAAAAAAATAAAAACAAAAAAATTGAACTATTTCATTTGATGACATGGAATGCAAAGTAGCTGTTGCTCGGCACATTTGCAGAATATCAAAGAAAATTACGCACAACTTCTGTGCATAGTGACAAGTAATATCTTGTCTGTCTTATTCATACTGAGCTTTTCGAAGATCGTCAAAAGAAGTTGACCTGTGGTATAAGTATCCGACAGCTAATATTGCCCTCATTTATTTTCTGATATAGTTATAATGTCTTCAACTATGTTTGATTATAGCATAAATTTTTCAAATGAGCATAGCAAGATCTGGCAGTTATTGTAAAGCCTTAGGAAGGTTAGCATTATCGGCGTCGAACCCGTAAACAAACCCTAATTTCTGATCTCTCCTGCCTTTGCGGAGCCAGCAAACAGTCAGTGTTGCACCAATCCGACAACCTGGGTCACATGTTGCCAAGCTGAGAAAAAGCAGTAGTGAGCTTGAGCTTTCATTAATATGAAGACATGAATCTTTTACCCGCTTACCATTCTAAAATACTTGATGAAGAAATTCAGAATATTTCCAGCTAAGCTTGCTTTGAATTCAATATGTTGGCACTTCCACGCGCCAGGCAAGCAGGCCGTGCCTTTGCTACATCTGAAGTGGAAGGTCGTTACTGCTTAAGTAACTGATATTGTAAGCACTGCGCTGGAAAACAGCCGGTACAAGACTGCTCTCCATACTTCAAAATCGATCTCTCCTCGCCCTGATAAATGGCTCTATACTACAACCGATCCTCACATACTTATCTTGTGATGACATATGAGGTCGCTCATATGCCAATGGAAGCAACTAAAATCTTTTCAAGGTTCTCGAAGTCATTGACAATACAGACGTATACAATAGCGCCCCCCAACATACACTCCTACTAATAAAATACTGCCGACAACGTGATCAGTCCTCACCTAAAGGCTACCGTCAATGGACTATCAATCTGGAATATGGCCCTTGCATCCAAATATGCTGTCATTTTACCTTCGTCTGCCGACGTGGTTTGTTGATCTCCCACAATCTGTCCTTATAAATATACCGCTACATCGCATTCCGGAAGGAAAGATCTACGTCCTTGCCAAATTTGAGCGGAACCTAAAATTAGCTCCATGAAGGCATACATCGGTCCAGCTTTCCATCCATATGTGCCGCAACACCAGTTTATTTTGAAGTAGCGCATAAATGCAATTTTTCTATACTGAAAACAAAGTTCGCTTTTCACCTCAGCATTCATAGCGTATTGTTCACCAATAAATGGATGGTGTCCTCAAGCTTGAAAAGCAAGGCGTTCGCCTTTACACTCCCAGCATTCAAATTTGATCTACAGACGACGATGAGGTAATTTTACAACATTGTTCCCCTAAACCTGGTTGTCGATTTTTTTTTTCTTCTTCTAAGTATCGCGCAAAATTGGCAATTGTGAAATGGTACTTTATGCAGGAATTGATCTTGTTTGATTACATATCCATTTGCCGTCGATATTCGTATGGAAAGGTTATCGAGGTAGTATGAATGCCCATTTTATTAATTGAATGCCATGAGAAGGTAAACTTCCTCACGATGCACGGTCCATTTTCTAGGAAGTAATTTTTTCTTTTATTGTTGGCATATGCACATTGAGTATACTCCTCACTTGGTATCTATATTTGCCTCGGGGCCAGGAGGGTTAAATCGTTGATTCTGATGCTGTATATGTCAAAAATATTTGAAATAATCGCAATTGTAGCAAATGCATAGGCGCTGAATTGTGCAGCGTAAAAGCCTTCGATGGCCACATCTGGGACAAACAGCCGCATTTGTTCGCTCCTGGCTACATAGGTAGCACATTGGTAGAAAAGGTGGGGATGTGACAACTGCCCTTCGAGGGTTTTGGTTAGTGCCAGGCATCTTTTGAATTTCTTGTTGAATGAGATATGAAAGTGAATATGGGCACAAATCAAAGTCTTTATATACCTACTGAAAAAATAGTCTTTATATAGTCCTCTAGGGTAGCACAAGTTTATTACGTGGAAAGTTGGGCTATAGAGCCCCTTTCAGGGGGGAAATTTTGCGCAATGTAGCTCTAGTGGAGACATATTTGGTTTTACCCGCTATCTCAATTTTATTAGTAAAACTAATTCTACTGGACAGTGTTTGTTGTAAAGTTACCTGACCTGACTCCACCTGTGCCTAAACCCATCCTATGTCCTAAGCCGCTCACTATGATCTGTACCTATGTTCGAATATATCAGAGCGAACAATTCACAAACCATAGACATTCTTTACCTCTTATTTGTAACTGACTGACTTTCTTACTCTGTCGAATCCTCTGACTTTTGGCCCATAACTACCTCTGAACCCAGTAATCCCTGACTGACTGACTAATATGATTACTTGCTTCTTTATGGTACTATGATTCCTCTACGTTAAGAACTTGGCCAACTCGCTGACTCTATCTATCGGACTAACTCTATCTTGTATTCGGAAATGGCGCTTATTTACACGTCTTAAGCAATTCAGTGCTGGACGCGTGACTGCCTCCTTTGGATCGGTCAATTTACCTTTCAACAGTGTGCATCTTGAATCACTCATAAAAACCATAGATAAAAGTGTTTCAATACAATAAACAGTAATCATTTCTCTTTGAGTCTCCATTGACAAGTCACACACGTGACTCTTATACACTGAAGGTCAGGTGACTCTTGTAGCTGCTTGCGTGGCTGACATCACAAAAACACGGATTCGCGAGTCACGCCAGAGAGCTTGTTTCCAGTATCCTTTCGCTCTACCGACCATCCTTCAAGCACACCCCACACGCGATGAGTAGCACTGATCCAAATCAATCACTTTATATAAAAGGACTTCCAGAAAAGATTCGGGTCGAAGGTAATGATCAGTGTTCAATGTGAGAGGAGACTTGGATCATGCTCAACTCCCAGATCAAACTGACGCTCTCGATCGATAGAAATCAAAGCATCCCTATATACACTGTTTCTCACGTATGGAGAGATATTAGATATCGTCATAATGAAGAAGGACAAAATGCGAGGACAAGCCTTTGTTGTTTTCGATGACATAGCGTCTGCTACAGCTGCCTTAAGAAGTTTGAATGGATTTTCATTTTACGAGAAAAACATTGTAAGTGTCTTTTTCCAACCTCCTTTTGCCATGAATAGAATGGAGGAGAATTCTGTATCGTCTTATCAAAGTGTTTGTTTTAACAATCTACCGCTGTCAATTTATGAATGTTCTAGACGATTCAATACGCAAAATCAAAGTCGGACGCAGTAGCAAAGTTAGACGGCACCTACAAACCCAAGCTCTCTGTAGAAGATATAAAACGAAAGGCTGCATCTGCTGCCGCCATGTCAGCAACGAAACGACAGAGGAGCTCGGACTCAGACTCTGAGGATGCCAAAATGGGCCGAGTGGAAGAGAGCGAAGACGATGACGAAGATTAGACACGCTGGCTGGATACGATGTTGGGTCGTCGATCATTGTTGAATGACATGGACTTGTAGATTTCTCTCCTCGGTCGGTCAGCACTTTTTGTATTGTATTGGCTTTTTAATAAAAAGTGTTTAATAATGTATAAAGCAAAGGAAACAAAACAAGTTACAGAGTCGAAACAAAGATATTTTTGACTATACAAAGGGGGTTTGGTGGAGACGGTATAGATGTTGAAATTTTGTTTGAGTGGAGGGGAGGAGACTATTAACTGCTACATACAAGAATGGAAGGGATATGAACAAATGGTGTGTGGGGAATAAAGGAAGTGGTATAGGTATCCTAGACGTAGAATCTATGGGAGAAACAATAGGTTAGATTTCGATCGGTTCCTGAGACACAGAAAAATAACCCAAAATTAATTCAACTTACTTGCGATTGATGAGCCAGATCAACAAGTTCACATTGATCTTTGCCATGCCGTCCAAGACGGTCATGGTTTGAATACCATTGAACTGCGTTTGCAAAAGTTCTTCAAACCGTAATTCAACAGCCATGCTGGCGATGCCCCATCCGGCATAACTTCCTTTGATTTCAATGATACCAACTTCGTTCATAGAGATCACTAGCGGTATACGATCATATTGCTTGGGACTGATGTCAGTCAGTTCCAGCAAAATGCGACGATCATATAATTGCTTGGCAGTGTACTTGTAAGAACCGAATTTGGGCACTCGACCATCCTTCTGTAGCTGGCGAATATGGAAGTATTGTCTAGTGAAAGGCATGACAAACTTGTTCTTCTTGCCACGCTTGTTCATTTGATTCTGCATGCAGTTATCAATGTACTTTTCAAAATTGCCCTTTTGTTCTTCCAGGTAGGCAGTCTTTTCTTGCAAGTGAGTCAACGTCTGTTGCAATCTTTGGATTTCACCCTGTCGAATCTTACGACGAGTATTCTTGTTGGTGATATCCTTGGCAATCATCTTGATCAAATCTTGGTAGTTGTTTCCGGAAGAAATAACTCCACATCTCTCAAGGTTCAAGACAAGCTTAACTGTGATGGTCTTCAACTGGTGGAAGTTGAGGCTGTAAGAAATAAACAAATAAAATGCACGTTAGATGTCATTCTTTGGTAGCGTTAGCTTGATGGTCATAAGAACCTACCTCATCAAGTCAGTTGGAGGGTCATCCACTGTCCCTAAAAGAACATGTCTGCGTTTCAAAAGCACATCTTGGCTTTCCTCGCGATCCAAGAATTCAATGTGCTTGAGTTCAGCCCACATATGTTCATGCTCAGCAGTAATAGGTTGAGTGAAGATAGCCTTGAGGTCATTGCCATTTTGAATCTTAATAACGTAAAGAAGGAATCGCTTGGTGTCAACCAGCAATTGCTTAAGTCGAGCGTTCGGATCATGAGGTATCTTATCGTATCGGTTGGTCAGGGTCAAACTCATTTCGGTATGAGCAGATTCTGGCATGTCAAGGTTTGGTGAGTACAACGGATCGCCAAGCTCTTCAAGAATGTCGCGCAATGGACCCTTGTTCTCTGGTTCCAAACCACTGATGTTGTTGTGAACAATGTAGTGCATGTGGAAGACTTCGTAGGGGGAGATATAGACGATGGGTTTGTGTGTGTTTCCATAATCAGCAAACATGTCCATGCCAAAGTGAGTCTCGGCATCTTCAACGTCAGTGAGCGAGACGAACCATTGGGAGAATCGTTGACCAGCCTCAAAGACATAGTCGTTCAAAGGAGCCAAGAAGAGATCGTTTGCGTCAAAGACCTTGCCGCTAGAAATCTGTTGAAGCATCTTGGAGACTTCAGCCAAATTTTTACGTTGCATAGGGGTAATCACTGTGTCAACAACGTCATATTGCTCTGGTGCAATGATGGCTGGGTTAAGGTAACGGTAGTAGATGAAGTTTCCAATGATCTTAACAATGTTCTGCTTAGGTTCTTCAGGGAAATTCTCCTCAAGGGACTGCTTAAGCTCCTTTGCAATGAAACGAACACCATATGGCATTTCCTCCAAAGTAGAGATGATGGCAGACAAGAAGCGCTCAGTGACTTCGCGAAGACGCTTCAAATGTTGGATGAAAGTGTCGCGCACTTCTGCATCAGCCAATGCCTCTTGTGAAGTTGCAGTGTGCTTTCGTGCAGATGGACGACCTGTACGAGACTCCTCAAGGTTAACTGATTTGTGGTAAATGTTGACAGGATCAGTTTCAAGATCCATAAAGTCATCGTCCAGTACGGTATTAACAAGAGGTTGAAGAAGATCTCTGAAGAACTTGCGTTCCTTGGCACCACTATTTCAAGTAAGATCATTAGCGCTTTGTGATTTTAGCGTCATATGAAGTATTGTAATTATTAAGCTTACCGATTGTAATGAACGACCAACTTCATAAAGATGTAGTTTCCTCTCATGAATTCTTGAGCATCCTCCATATAGCTCATTTCCTCAGAAATACAGAACTGTAGGAATTACATGGTTAGCACATTATCGTATGGAAATTACAGAAACGAAAATATGAATGGCATACCTTGAACAACTTGAGCAACAAATACTCTTCTCTGGAATTTTGTGCATAGCCAAACAATGTAAGCACAGTGGTTTCCACCAATTTCTTGCCCAAGTGATCAGCCGACTCTTGTCCATTCATAATGTACATGAGACGAGAGAGGTACTTTGGTTCGGTCTGGAGCAGGTAAAACATTTGTTGGAAAAGTTCCAAGCGCTTTCGGCTATCCTTATCCAAAGAGCGCAAGCTATAAGGGTTGTTGTTGGATGCAGAGGCGATCTCAGACATACGCCTCTGCACCTTCTTGTTCATCTTGCGCGATAGACCAAGCACTTCGTCCAGTGTGATTGCGTTTTGGACCAACAAGGCAATCTGAATGTCCAAATCGTTAGCTTGAGCTTCCAGTTGACCGTTATCACGGATGCGGCGAATGACGCTTTGTCGCAATTGTTCCAAGGCTAAAAGGATCGTTTAATGTTAGTGACGATGTCGGCAATCTTATGGGGTATTCACATGAAGACACTCACTCAGTTCTTGATCAAAATCAAGCTCACTGTCATCCAACAAGTGAATAAAGTTCTTGACGGTGCCAACTGATGGATTGGTAGCGGTGGCTAGTTGATGAAAAAGGTGAGAAATCAATTTACCAAATTAAAGTTGTCAAATCATTGGGAATTTTTTTTCGTACTCAATTTACGGTATGCGTCTCCTACAAGTTTGGTCTTGACAAAGCTCTGAATTTTGATAATTTTATCGAGGTTGGCCTTATAATAATCGAGCTTGTCTTGGTATTTGCAGCGAGTTAGGAATCCGCGTGTGGCAGCTTGGAACTAGAGATTGGGCCAAACCAATAAGTGTGTGTAAGTACTTTACAATTTCTACCATCGATATATGCTAAATGTTCTTACGTTAGTTATCCATTCTTCGGCATCTTCATACATGATACGCTTGTCTTCTAACGCTCTTCTTGCCAGGACACCGCGTGCCTGGGCCTGCACATTTTTAATCTGTGATTCAAACAGGGATGACTTGTGCAAGTCCCTAATTTGATTAAACTCCTTTCGCACAGTGAAGCGGCGAACGATCGACTGGCATCGGATCAAATTTGCAAGGTTTTTGGGCTCAGACCAGTACACTTCGTTCTCTGTAAAAAAAATTCTGGTTAAATGTGTGATTTTCCTTACATGACTGCCCAATGGCAAATATACTTACTTTCTTCCTCAGTAATCTCCTCCTCGAAGACATGTTCATCGTCAGAATCGGATTCTTCAATTAAATCCGGAGTGGTAGGGCTCACAATGGCGCTGGAGTACTTGGACACAAATATAGGCTCATATTGAATGTCATCCTCTTCATCCACCTCATTCAACTCATGCTTCAATGACGTGCGGACGTTGCCAAAGTTTGGCATAGAAACGCCAGCTTGATCCAAACCTCTCTGGGTGGCACTAATTTGTTCATCTAGCAAATGGAAAGTGAGGTTAGTTTTATGCGATTTCCATTGATAGGTAGTACAGCGAAATAAATTGCTTACTTGTAAACTCCAACTGTCCCACGAGATTTTTGATATTTGGCGCCAAATTTCTTCTGGCAAGCAAATGACTGAATACGCAAGGATTTAGTTTTCGAAAGCGTCACGTAGCACAACTAAAAAAATCCCGACGTGTCTATTACCTCAGTGCGTGAATACAGTAAATAACTTTGGGTATGTTCTTTCGTTCGTAAAGATCCGTCAACTCGAACCAGAAAATGTTTGGTAATCGTACGAGTTTGATTGCTTTGAAGAAGTAGTTGATATTATCGGAATGACGAAATTGAAGTCGCTTTTCCTACAAAATGCAAACGTTGCCAGTTTAGCAAACCAGCGTTTTGAGCAACCTTGAGAGATACACAAGCACGTACTGTAAAAATTCGACGGACGGTTCCGGGGGCAAACCAGTGCGCCAACTGAGCTAGAACAATACCGTTTCTCATCGACTCTTCCAGTTGCACGATGGGGTCAATTTCTTCACCAAGACATTCTTCAATCCATCTAAGTAAGTGTTTGTTGTTAGTACCTAATCCAGATTAGGCATCACACACTCAAGGCATTCGTGCTTACTCCTTTGCTTCACCGATGTGACATAAGTACTCGTATGCCTGCAGATTGCTTCTCTGTTTGTCCATCCAGTGGCTAGTGATAACAGTTCTTTCATCCTTTTGAAGTCGAATTCGACCTAAATGCAAATGAATTTAGCAGCGTGTATTGGGTTTTCAAAGCAATTTATATTCCCGACTATGGTACCTTGCATGCCTATGAGTCCCAGCAAAACGATAACAAGTAGTTAGCAACGCAAACACTTGAAAAAATGAGATCCATGTGCAATTTACATACCAACAACGTCTTCGGCGTCTTCTGTAATGGTGGGTATACGTAAATCTGACAAGTCTTTTCGACCCGCCATGGTAGAGAGGCGATTCAATGGGGTTGGGGTTGGTCTTGCTGTCATGGTATCAAGTTGCTGTTGATGCAGCGACGAACAAAAGACAGTGAATCAGACGGGTATTAAGAAAAGAAGAGGAAAGAGAGTAGTGCAAGTTAAGCAAAGAACGTTGAATGGGATTTCTATCTTTTGTTATGAACGAGACTCCAAATTTGGAACTCCATAAACAATCGCTGCATTTGGCTGGCGACAAAGAAAAAAACAACACTTCCGCGAGAACGAACGGATCTCGGGAGTACCTCACTAATACTTAAGCGGGAATATCGTTCCCATCATCAATCTATCATTAGGTCTTGTTTTTGACCGCTGTATTGTGAATTGAATACCACAGTTTAAGGGCTTCACACTGCCGCAACCCAAAATCTCTCCGTTCTGAAATTTGCCTGGATTGATTTATGTCATAAATATATGTCATTTCTGGCACACCACTTCTCGGTGATCGATCAAGCGGGGCCAAGGAATAGGAGCGTTCCTTCAATGTCCAGAGCTAGTCAAAACAAGAAGCATGCTCATTTATTCGGATTGGGTGGTATGTCAGAATGTAGAGGCAGTGCATGGCTTTTACGAAGTGTATTGACCGAAAGACTTTGCATTACTATGTAGATCCGCTCAGTGCCCCGAACTTGAGCACAGTAGCTACTGATGACCCATTATCACGGTCAGCTTCACCATCCAGCACGCACACTTCAGATCCCTTGTCTTTTCTATCTAAAAGAGCTGCTAGTAATAATGGCAGGCCACAGTCTCCACTCTTCGACGACACAGACCAGCTGAGACCTGCATCGTCAGTGTCATATGCTACTCGGAGAGGCAGTAATGGGTCTACTTCTAGTGGATCGAGTACACCTATACCAGCCTCATCTGTGTCGACTATGCCATCAAGTAGAGCTTACAAAAATGGAGGGTCAGGTGGCAGTATTTTCGGCGATATTGATGTTACAAAGTTAGGAGGCGGCAGTATCTTTAGCAAAAAGCCGCAATTGAAGATGCGTAGCCGTCTAGATCAATACACGGATGAAGACGACATTTTTACAAGTGGACAATCTCGCAGACGGCTTACGCCAACTGAAAGTAGTCCAGTTTCGCAAACCAATCGATCGCCTGTTTCTTCGCGCCCTGAAACACCAGGCAGCTTAAGTCCTTCTGACGAAGAGCATAACATGGAACCGGAAAAGAATTCGGACCCATTTACTGCAGATAAACGAGATTGGGAGAAGTTAATGGACAATGAAAAAAATCGCTTTCAAAGTCCACAAGGGTTCAGAGAGTTGGCTCAACCGGAGATCGCTAAAAAAACGACATCGCCTCCAGTGAATAATGCGCCATCTAAAGGCATCAACTCTCCCCCTCCTCAGCCTAAATCCGCAGCAAAAACATCATCATCGATTTTCGCTTCAGCCGCATCCAATATTGCTAGGGCGAGGTCTCCCAAACAATCACCCAAGCCGGTAGAGTCGTCCATAGTGGAGTCACCCAAGCCGGAAGAGTTACCAAAGCCGGTAGAGCCGATAAAGCCAGTCGAACTTCCCAAGGCGATTGTGTCACCCAAAATAGCACAGCGTAGCGAAAGTAGTGAAGCTATATTCGTCAGCAAAGTGAATCAAGTGGCAAAGCCGGTTGCACCACAGAGCCAACCAGAGACGATACTTCAACCGTCTGTGGATGTAGCTTCTGAACCTTCACATGATGTGGCAGCAGCATCGAGCGACAGGTTTGAACAAATTAACCATCCGCAACCTATGTTTGAGGATGATCCCGAAACCATCGCTTTCCGAAACGATATGTCATTTTCTTTCAAACCATCGGTGCCTAACACCAACTTCCTAGATCCTACAGAAACATTCCCGCCATCCACCGATGACCTGCATACAACCATTATACCAAAAACCATTATTAGCCAACGGACAGCAGATATCGATGATCCTTGGCAGAGCTCAATAATACCGATCCAAACCACGGTTGACCCACCCACCGTTATTAAACCTAATCCCGACTATGATATGTCGGCTTTTCAACCACTTGACATGGGTGGTCATCCCGCTGATAATCTCAAGGTCAACTCGGAGAGTATACCAGAAAACAAGCGAAACGCATTTTCAGACCTGATTTCAAGTTGGAATTCTGGTTCAGTGGGTCAAATGGAATACATGACTGACCCAGCATACATGCAGGACGATAGTGAATTTTATCAACGTGTTGCCAGCCAACAATCCGATGTGGGGTTCAAAGGCATAGAAGACCGCACCGATACTGCTCCCCGATCTAGTTACTCTGATAGCTATCACCATACTTTACCTGATAGACTGGGTGATATGAGTCTCAATGATAATCCTTGGAGTTAGTTCATGTGCACAAAGAAAAAAAAAAGTCCTTGTGGAGACGTTGTAATATTGTTCCAAAAATAAACTCGCTAGCTAGTTAATTTACTCTTACACACAGCAAAGAAAGCATGGATAACATACTGGGTTTATATGTATAAAGAGGGAAGCTACAACGTTTAATTAAACTAGAATTGGCACCAGTGAATGAATGGGGGGATAACAGCGATCAGGCTGGCCAAAGCGCTGTTTGTCCCTGATAGAAAATCCCAGCATAGTGAAGGAAATTCGCTCTACGCGGAAGCAAAATCAAGGGGAAGGGGGGGGGGGAATGGTATGATGGGCGAAAAAAGGTGCAACGAAATTCTTCATGGAACAAACAAAATGTATGTTCGCGGGAAGAGACGGGTTTGGTTGCAAGTAGAAAAAGATTTTACAAGTAGCGGAGAAAGGGGAAGAAGGATGCGACTATACAAGAGGGATGATATGAAAAGGTGTAGAATAAATTAAGATTGGTTAGATGGTTGGGCTAAACGATACTGTTCAAGCATCTTCTCCAATTCCTTGACTCGCACAGAGTATTCAGTTACTTCATGCTGCAATGTCTTGATTTGTTCAACGCTCTTGCGCAGGATATATCCCTTGTTGGGCTTGTTGATACCATCATTCTCGAGATCAGGTAACAAAGTACCAAGCTCATGAATGCGATCGTTAATGTTATCTCTTCGTCGTCTTTCGACGGCATTGTGTGATTCTCTGCGTCGACGGCGTTTTTCCATCATGCCTTGCAAGCTACACAGGAAGAGTTTAGCCAAGGGCTTCCTTTTTTTTAAAAAAAAAACAAATGCATGCGGAGAGACTTACTTTAGTTGGACACTATATTCATCATCCAAGCTTCCGGCTAAATCGGCGGCATCATCAGCCTGCATTCTAAGCGAGCTTGAAGGCATATGGGAGCCAAAAGCAGTGTTATTGGGATAGGAGCTGCCGAATGCTTGGCCGGCAAATCCAATATTAGCAGGGGCTGACATGGCAATATGAGGCTGCTTCTCAAATGAGCCTGGAATATACATGGGGTATTGGTTACCCATAGTGTTAGCAAAATTGCCCGAAACTTTTCTCATGTCAATAGGGACGGAGACTTGGGGAGAGCCAGAGGTAGGGAAGCCATTTTCTTGATAGTGCACGTCCTGCTGCCCTTCGCCCAGTCCATAAGAATGAACAGAATTGGCAGGTGACTCACCAAAAAGTTCAGCACCTGAAAGGTGGGTTTTACGGAGGGGAGATTTCATACCATGAGTGCCAAATGAAGAAGGATTGGTGGAAGGACCTGTGACAGTGAAGTCATTCATGTCTTCGAATTCGTGGAGTGGAGAGCTTGTGGAGTGAGGTGACACCATACTGGTGTTTACAGTATCACCAAAGTCCATATCCTCTAGCTTGGGAGATTCGTTGCTCTGATGCTGTTGCAAGCTATTGAAGAAATCACTTGACCACAGCTGAGAGTCAACATTATAGTAATCAGGGTTCCCAGGCTTACTTCCTTGCTGGCTTGACCTGGCTTGTTGCATTTGCAGATGGTATTGGGTGGGATTTCGTAATTTGAATTGCTGTTGTTGTTGCTGCTGCTGCTGTTGCAGTTGCTGACGTTGGGCGTTGTTCATGTTCGCAAGGGAGGTTTTTTCTGGGTAGAAGAGTTATTGCAGGACTGAAATAAAACTGCGGCTTTCGGATATTGAGGAGGGCAAATAAAAGAGCGAGTCCAGGGAAAAATAATTTCAAGAGGGCTTTTTTCTGTGGGGTTTATAAAATAATAAATAAAAATTTATGAAGCGGAAAATAGATGGCCATACGATTAAATACTGCAAATGATTATCACAAAAAGAGATCGTCCATGCTGAATACATTACTCACTTGACTCGGTCTTGTGTGTTGCGAAAGGGAAGGTGGCAAAGCATGGTTAAAACGTATTACGACATGCCATGTACCTCCTGCATTGCTTCAGCCGTTTGTACGCCTATACCTTCCTTTCTGTGACCTGGGTGGGTGTGTGCTAGCTTCCGTTGAGTTCCCCCCTGCGCACTGGCCGGTCTCCTTTATGAACAATCGTTGATAGGCATCTTATTGTGGCAAGTTCACTCAGCTGCAGCACTGTCTGTATTGGGTAATATGGACGTAGAGTGATCAGTGGTCATTTGAATTTAGGAACAAAAAGTGCCTAATTTATGAGTGATCAAAGACCCGTGTTCTCATTAAAGGCCATCAATTCTTCCCAGCCCACCCGCTCCAGATTGCAAGTCATTTTTCATCTTATTGTGACAATCGAAGATCGATGTACTAGCCCACGCGTCTGCGCACTGTTACTTATATAAAAATAGCTTAGTTCAGGCACATGTGTTTTTTTACACCATCCCATTGCTGCAGCTCTATCTGTGCACGTATTTCCATGGCGATGCATTTGCCCTCCTCGTTTTTGCCAAATTATGCTTAGTCTAGACTTACACCGCTGCTCGATGACCTTGCAGTGCTCTAATCCCCCGCCCCCCGATTCGGTAATTTTCTTGTCAACCTGAACAAGGAATGCCGCAAGAGGCACTTTTTTGCCCAGCTGATGCCTTCTACTTTTTTCGTACCTTTTGGGGTGCGTGGACACATCCATCTTGTCAACCAAGTCATTACACGGACGTACGGTCACGGGTATAATGAAAGCCCTTGTGTCTGTCACTCAATCATGCTTCGTCTACTCAAGTCAAACCATGACGGAGAGGGCTGACAAAGATCGAGAATGAATGAGCTTCTCCATCAAAAAATATGCATAAAAATTGTACATGGAAAAAACGGGACTTTAGCACTCATTCTCGCATATGACCTCTGTCACCATGCCATCATTTTCGATCCCTTCTACTTGTTTGGTCTCATGAGTTACAGAACTGGTATCTGTTCGCCCCTCCCCTGAATTATTAGCTCATGGCAATGTTATTGTTCTTTTATTGGACATCGTGGCCATGCCTTTGCATCTGAGCGAAGGATTGCTCTGCTTCCAACTCCCGGATCTCTCTCCTAACCGACTGTAGCACGCTGCTATTGGTTTCATAGCAAACTTCCAATAGTTTGAGAGCTTGGACGTAATGTGCATGTAATGTCCACGAGTATTCAGGGTGTAGGTTAGAGTACATTTTAGCAATCACATAGCATTCGATGGCAGTAATAGGCGAGTTGCTGGGGTATATATGTTGGTAGGCTTCATATAATTGCTTGGTGACACTGTAGGCTGTCTCCCAATCTTTCATGTCAATGGCTATGTCTTTCAGCTGTTGACGAGCCTTGACCAGCAAATGGTGGCAATTATGGAGAATTCCGTCACCAATACGGAAAGCGTTTTCCAAATTTAGCCTTGCCCGGGGCTTATCTGTGGATGCTTAAAAAAATAAGGAGGGAGAGGGTTATCAACTGTGCCATTGTATCATAAGACGTCTTGCAGGTTATCCACTTACTCATTGAGGAACTCAATTTCAGGAGATTTTCTACTCGGTCTTGGCGTTCCTGGATATCAGCCAATGGCACTATCAACTCCGTGCTGCAGACGGAGCACAGACTTGTGTACATTTCCCTTGATTCCTCCAAATTATCTATAGAAGTGAAGCAGAACCGTAACAATGGAGTTTTCCAAGTGTGAGAATTGTATCATGAACTGCCAAAAGAAAATGTCAAAATAAATTACCCGGATACCGAACTGCACCGGTACAGTCTTTCCGTAGGCAACGTAATGCACTTCGGATGTCTATGTCTTTTGTAATGCCACACAGTTTGCATTGACATTTGAAATAATACTGCTCCAAAAGTCTCTCCTGCCGTGTTTCATATGGCTCCATAACGTCGATGTAGCTGATGCAGAGCTATGAGGGGTTTTCAAAAAAGACAAAATCCCATGTCAGCGGACAATTCTTATTTCTAATACACTCCATTACTAATTACCTCTTCCGATTCTTCAACATGACCTATGGTACGAAGAACTGCCGTTTTTCCTTCAAATGTAATTGCGCAGTTTGGCCAGCACGAATGGTTCAGCCGGCATACATTGGTGAACAGACCAACTCCGACTCCTGCATAATCAAACCCGAGCACGGACATACTGTTGACCGTAAAACGACATATTAACTCCATAGTGTCGCCAGCAGATGGCATCATCTTGGCCGGCAGAATTTGGCGCACTGCCATGATCAACTGTGCGTACTTCATTTTGACTTTCTCTGGTACTGCGTCTTTGCCTTGGCAACGTGGAAATTGGAATTAGAATAATGTAAATAATGTAATGCACTACACATTGCTGCAGCTCCAGCTAACATACCGACTGTCAGACGTTCAACTGTTTTGAACGATGTCGGGTCGTTAGCTCTTCTTATTAGCATTCGAGTAATGCATCGTACAGCAGCTGGAATTCGTTTTCCAATTTTAGTGTAAGATGGGCATTCAATTGAGTGATATTGTTTCCAGTCAGAAATTTGGCATTGTCGAGAACAATAGTGCAGGAATTTGCAAGATGAGCATCGAGAAAGCGGCTGTTCTGACGCTTTGAAGCACGCTGTGCAATACTTAGTCAAGTTGGTGTCATCAATTACTGCGCCATACGGTTGTTCACGAATAAGAGTTTGGCCTTGGAATAGAGTATGGTAAAACGGTAGTGAGTAATAAAGAGCTAGCGGAATTGGGATGATGGAAAAGTGATGGGTATGTACCTGCTGGAATTGCTGTAGCAGCAAACACAGACACCCCTTTGTCTTCCAAATTTTTAATGGTGAGTCGTGGGTCTGCACCTTCTAGAATAGGCGCTTCGCTTGTCTCTTGATCGTCTTTGGCCTTAGAATCATTAAGGACTTTGGCATTTGCCTCGGATCTTGGTTGAGGAGCTCGAGGTATAAATGGACTTTCGGATTCCAAGGAATCGTCAAAACTCAAACCTAAAGGCTTTGGAATGGAGGTTGCATCCGTTATGACATTGCTGATTTCTTCGTCTGAATCCGATTGCTCCTTCGCTCTGCGTCGATAGGTTCTCTTCTTATGCATAAGCGTCTTTTGACATGCAATCTTCGTAGTTTTTTAATGAGTATAGCAGTCACTAACATAATCATGTTTTCAGGTCCGTCCGGTCAAACAATGAACAAAAAAATAAGAAAAAAGTCCTACGGCGGCCCGTCCAGGCATAATGTAGCAGGGTATGTAGCCAAATACATTGTGGATGATATTATTCGCGGTTTTTGCACAAATCAAGGTAAAAACACATGTAACAGGGTAGAAAATAAACAATGAAACTTAGTCGCAATAACGCTATTATCGCTTAGTTTTGGGTGCCGTCGTAGGCACAGCTCGCCTATTGGTGCTTGTCGCCTTCAAGTATCCAATTGAAATGATGAGAAAAACAATTCATATATCAATACTACGCATGCTCTCTACGGTACCTTTCGAATGGAAACTAAATCTTGGTCAAGTTCATCTTCGTCTCTGGTGGTCAAAGCGGTATTTAAGTTGGCTAGCGTGTTGAGGCGTACTAGAGGAGAACAAAAGAATCAAGGATAAAAAAGAGCAGATTGATACAGTAAACATCAACACAATGTCATAATACGGGTGTAAAGGATATGATCAGTAGCGTGTCTTCGTTTGGCAACAGCATTCACCACGCTGTTGGGGGATCGGTAGTGCGCTAAAGATTCGGTTTCCAGTATACCGCCTCTCTTGCGCATTATTCTCTTACGGTTTCGAGTTTGATGCGTAGAAAAGAAAATATCTTTTGGGTAAACGGATATGTTAGCTTGTGTTTCAGGAAACACCACTTTCAGGTGACCAGTATCAAAGCCCTTTCTTACCATTGGCAATATCATTTTCATTATCCTTTTCATCGCGTAATCGTTTTCGTTTTTCTTCCAATGCATTCAGCATCATATCTCTCATCCCTTGTTTTTCCGCCTACGGTGATATTAGCAATTTTGCCTTCATTAGCCAACCCAGAAGAAAATTTTCTTGTAGGGTTACCAGCCACAGTACTTACCGTATACTCGTCTTCTAAACTAGAGATTTCCGCTTGAAATTGCTCGTTGGTGCAAGTGATATGGTATTCCATAATCATACGCGCCTGATATATTACGTGTTGCCGTGCTTTTTCCAAGTCAGCTATGGATTCCCTAAGGGAAGGGTGAGACTCTGTGCAGCAGCCAAAAGGTTTTAGATCGTTGTAATCAAATGCGAACATCACGTGGTGTCATGATTACCTTGCTGGATAGCCAATAGATCTTCCTGAAGAGCATTGAGCTTCTCTTGATAAATGCTATGGAGTAGATCATTCGAGCAGATGAGTTTAATCAGTTATAAAGATAGATTAAGCTTGGGAGTCCGAGAAGCTAACCTTTCATAATTATCCATGAAGTCGCTGTTGATATTGACGACACGGTCGGTATACTCTCTTTTTCGTTTGTCTCGTCCACTCTCTGTAGACTCTGCAGCATCCACGGCTGAGGAAGAGTAAAAAATTAGAAATCAATGAACAAGAAACCAAAACGATCGGAAGTCAAAATTTCTTACCTCCTTCAGCCCAATCATTGTCTTCATCACCATAACCTTCTTGGTAAGTCGCTTTGTACCCATTACGATAGACCGGTTCCTGCTCAGCTTCTTCGCGCCAACGATTGCTGTATGAATTGGCTTGATCTTCTCCGTGATGCTTATGAGGTGCATCTGAATAGCTATTGTCGTAGCTCTTGGTTGGCATGGCATGGTATGATCCAGCGCCGCCTGCAGCAACTGGTGGGTAGTCATTATTGTGGCGATTTTTGGGAGACATTGGGTGATATGAATGAGCTTGATTCATATGTGGAGAATTGTAAGGTCCTTGGGAATAAACGTAGGGAGCACCTTGGTAAGCTGACCGCTGTGAGTGTTGCTGGTCACCATAGGTCTGGTCATCTTCTGGTCGGAAGGCCAAGTTTGAGAGATGGGGTAGAGGTGAGTGAGTAGGGTGGATTGGTGGCGGTGCATACTCATACTGAGAGCGAGAGTTATGACCATAGACTTGAGACGTTATGGGGGGTAACGAGTACTGATGGGATGTTTGTGGGAGCATTGGGTTACGTGTGGGGCAGGAAAGAAGGGACTTTCCGCTGGTTATGGTGGAGTTTGGACAGTCACGGTTGGAGAATCAAAGTCACGCTTCTGCTGGAACGACCAAGGAAAGTCCGCTTCCCGGCACTTCCAAAAGTTGTTTCGACATGGCAGACTATAAGCCAGTTCAGGACTTGCCTGATGAGGCCGTCGAATTGCTTGACGAAGGCTCACATAGTCCGAACGCTATGATAGATCAGCCAAAAGTCGAGATGCAGGAGCAAGAGCAGGACACCGCTCGTCATCGATCAACAGCTTCACCAAGCAGCTCCATTGTTAACCTGGCCAACACTGTCCTCGGCTCTGGAATGCTTGCAATGGTAAGCCAAACTATTATGAAGAAAAACAACAAAGATTGTTATTTGCATGTTCCTATTCTTTGTTCATATGCATGAAATCGTTAATATTTCTTAAATTTCAGCCTTCTGCAGTGGCTTCTGTTGGCTTAATACCTGCCATATTTTTGATCTTATTTGCAGCAGCAACATCATCTCTTGGATTATATTATCTTTCAAGATGCGCAGCTCGAACGGAGGGTAGAAACGCATCATTCTTTGCGGTATCACAGCTGACATGGCCATCAGCAGCCATTTTTTTCGATTTGGCCATTGCCATTAAATGTTTCGGAGTCAGTGTATCTTACCTTTTAATTATTGGAGATCTGATGCCGACGGTAGGTGTAACATGCTTGTACAAGATAAATCTGCCTACATAGCTGACGCTTTTTTATAGATTATCACATCGCTGGCAGGCATCAGCAACCAGGATAACATGCTTCTAGACAGAAGGTTTTGGATAACGGTGTTCACAGTCACGGCGATAGTACCCCTCTCCTTCATGCGAAAGCTGGACTCTTTAAAGTACACCAGTATAGTGTCGCTCTTTGCTGTCGCATATCTCTGTGCCATTGTTATATGGCACTTTTCATCTTCCAACTTCATAAACGACCCAACTGGCAACGTAGAAATGGTCCATTTTTCTACTCGATTCTTCCGAAGTCTTCCAGTTTTCGTATTCGCCTTTACCTGTCACCAAAACGTATGTATCGTGCAAGCCATTTCTCAGACGATTCTGTTAACTGACAGTTCTTGTCTCAGTTATTTGCAGTCTACAACGAACTTAAGGACAATAGCAAGCAGGTGATGGTTACTGTCATTGGTATCTCTATAGGATCGGCCACCGTCATATACGAGATCATTGGCACCTTAGGGTATCTTTCCCTAGGCAAATTAGTGCATCCTAATTTTATATTGGAATGTGAGTAAAGTCGCGAGTTTCTCATGCACATGCTCGAACCATTGACTAACGTTATTTCCTTCGTCTGCTAGACCCTTCAAGTGTCTTTGTCACTGGAGGTCGTATAGCGTTGGTCATCCTGAACACTTTCAGCTTTCCACTACAAGCTCATCCATGCCGAGCTTCCTTGGAAAAAGTCATCGCTTGTTTAAAATCCAACACTAGGAAGAACGGAAAAGCTCCTCCTCCCACCCCATTCCAATTCTTTGCCATGACCACCGCAATATTGATCGGTAGTTACATCGTCGCGATTACGGTCACGAAATTGGATTTGGTAAGTTGAGCTTCGCGTGAGATGTGGGTGGTATATTTATTGACATCATACCTTCCACCTAGGTTTTGGCATTTGTTGGATCTACTGGTTCAACGTTGATATCATTCATCCTTCCCGGATTGTTCTATGTAAAGATTAATGAAAACGAGCCATGGCATCGAGAGAAGATTGCTGCTTTGTGTTTGGCAATTTACGGCGTCGCTGTTATGGTGATTTGCTTAACTTTCAACATTATACATATCTATCAATCTTGATCTTAAATAGAATTGTTGTTATTTTTTGGATAGAACCCATTATATTTATTATAATTATCGCTATTGTACAGAGTGTTTTCGTAAGGTTGTAGCTTATGCGCTTATGGATGAATGAGTATCAGATTTCGGCTCGTTTTGATTATTGATCACTCGAGTAGCTGACATGAACCTAATAAATGGAATAGGACAAGTGAATATTCATACTTTTCATGTGATTGACGACGAAGAAGTTGGCAGTGTTCCTTACATGGAGGAATGCAAAATGCCCATTTTTCGAAACGAAGGGATTTGCTGTGTAGTAACTTGCAATTTCTGTTGCAATTCTTCGACGTTTTTCTGTAGTACATCCAGTTGAGCATTCAAACTAGCGTAGTGCATAGCCTTGGATGCATATGTAGAGGAAACTGGCTGCCGATGGTGCTGCGCGTCAGACATGAATCAAATAAGCTGCAGCTGAAGAGTGGTAATAACGCGAAGCTCAAATTGTCGCGGTTTTTTTTTTTTTGTTCTTATTTTATTTTACTCCACGCACGCACTTTTTGCTGTGACTCAATAACTTATATATCATATGGCAGAACATAGGCGAGCCCAACTAAAATCTCGGTCAACAAGACAGGAGCATTGGCGAGACAAATTCAAAAAACAATGCGAGACGAGGATGAAAGATGCTCGCTCAGCGCATATTCATCAACGGCGAGAAAATATGGTATGTCAAAGCTGAGTAATTCGAACGTCTGGCGCGACATGTGGCATTGACAGTTTGCAACCTTTGTCGCAGTGGCTCCAACAAATGGTGATACAAGAATGGAATAAGTTCCTTCGAGATAACGAAGATGCACTCAAGCTAGAAGCTGCTCAGGTCATGGAGAACCTCGAAAGTGCCATAGAAGAAAATTTGATCGAAGAATTACAAGGTTAGACACGTCAACTACATAATCCATGAAGATGTAGGTTGACTAATTTCTTGATAACGTTTAGAATCCTATGATCCTACCTGGGATGAACTTATGCAGCTGGAGGAGGAAGCTATGGCAGATGCGTTTGAGAACTATGAGCCAGAAGTTGACGTAGCTGACGAGCAGGACAATCTGATACGTGAAAATACCCACTTGAGCAGAGAGTCGTCGCATCAATGGACATCAAGCCCATGTTACATATGTAGAAAAGGATCACTATCAATCATTAACCAGGACGACCCGTCGATCTTGGAATGTTCTGACTGCCATATGCGTTTCACGCTGGACAGCATTAAGTTATTGCAGCAACACTCTGAAGCGTGTCCTGGAAACATTCTTTGCGCTCAGAACTCGCCCGAAGATGTGATAATATTGTGCACTGTATGTGAGCTTTGCGCTGCCCTGTAAATACATACCATGGTCTGCTATTTCATATCGCTCCAAGCGATGAAGAGCCATGTATACCCATCTTGTTTGATAAACCATGTATATTGCATTTTGAGGCGCGGATTTATTCATACTGGACATCAATGCTGCAGGCAGTCATTATCCAGCGCTAAGCGATTTTCTCGAAATAAAAAGTCGTTGGTGGTTAAAAGCAATTCTTTGTATCGTTCCTTCCTCAGTTCGCGAATTATGGAGGATCTTGCACACCTGACTAGGAATCTATTTCTTACTGAAGAAGATAATACCGGAAATGCTACTGGCGACAATGACTGCAATAGCATGTTAGCCGGGCTGCTTGATCTTGGCCAAACCTGTCTAATGGTAACGTTCTCTGCTATTCTGCGAATTGCCTCTACAAATGCCTAACGCCATTATAGGAAGACAGTGAAGAAAAGCGACAAGAACTATATCTTACTTGGCTAACTACTTTAGAGCTTGTGAACGATCACGTTGGGAACCTATCAGCTCAGGATCAACTACACGTTGTGCAAACTCTAGAAGGCTTGCTGCTTTCAAATGAATTTGGCTCGGAGCAGAGACGCGTAAGCCTTCACGATTCGATTTTGAAGTAAACTTACGCCTTGTTAACTTTGTCTTGTATTTTGCAATGTCAAAGGTCGATATGTTACAAACTACAGGATGGGATCTAGTGCGATTACTGTCTCCATATGTCGCTGGCACGAGTGGGAGTGAGGAATTGTCACTTGGAATTCGGTCTATCACACTGCGAATCATGGATTCCATTGCGCGTCATGCAAATCCTCGAGAGCTTTATCTCATGATACTTCAGACAATGAGCAGTATAAGCTGGGACGTCGACCTGGATAATTTGGACAGTGCAGTGGAAGGAACTGTGCTTTTTGCTGTTCTAAACAAGATGCTATCAGTCGGTAAGGAAATATGAACCACGCTTTGCGTCTCTACCTTTAGTACTTAACCCTTGAGTGTCCAGTAATGGCAAGGATCAAAGCAAAGCAATTGGTTCGATTCATGGTCACCCCAATCAAGGCACAATGGCCAGTTCTGACATTTATACAGGGTTTACTACAAGCTGGGTACGGCGATGAGACCTTAGGAAGTAACAAGGATATAGCGAATACCAAAAAATCATGGAAAGAAGTACTTAAGGTTCTAGTTGATGTGATCTATGATTTTTGCGACGCTTGCGTAGGGATGCTATCAAGTGGTGACATTGTAAGTGATCCATATTATAGTTACTAATTTGATTCGAGATGTACTAACGCAGAGAACCCAGCTGTCTGCATCAGACAGCGAGCTTAAAACAGAACCACAGCAACGTCGGTACATTGTCTGTTATCACATCCTCAACGTGTTTGATCACATCCTGTTTGTCCTACCGTCCAATTTCGCAAGGTCATATTATATGACAAGACACAAGAAGTACAACGTTGATTCGGTGAGGCCAGGTGCTGACAAACAATCCAGCATAGAAATTGCCGATTCATTTGGCAAGGATATCATCAAAAGGAGCATGGTATGGCCATTGAACTATATCAGACCCGCCATGTTGCATAGGATGCTAACATCTTTATCACATCATCTTGCTAGTCTATTGTCGCAAAGTCAAAATTTCAGATGAAAGAAATTGTTACAGTAATAGCCTTCAACCACAACGAGACATTTACATGTAAGTGATTTTATTTCTGTACCTTGCCTTTAAAATACATGCCTAGCTAAGAAAACGAATGAAAACTTAGGCGACGATGAGGAATCAGAAGATGATGATGACACAGTGCGTGCTTCTAATCTCCCTTGGCCAATAGATGGTGTTGTTGCCATACTCGCGACCGAAGTTGCAGTAGGAAATGATGAGGCATTATCTAAAGCAACAGACATTATGCCATTAGGCTATAGCCAACTTTCATTGGAGGATTTACTTGATGACTTTGGAGCATATGTAGTAGACTCTTTAAACAGAAAGTAAGTTTACAGTATTATCCGGGTACGCTTCTTTCACATTTGTTAAGCGAGTTTTGTCAGTCGAGGGTCGCTATCATATCGTTTGGACAAATGCCTGGTTATCTTGCATGATATGTTGCAGCGGCGTGGCGAAGATAAGCTGACATTGGACGATATGCAGCGGACGTTTGGCAATCTTTCTGGTCGACAAGCCTTGGAAATATCCGCAGAAGAATGCACATGGATCGGCCTTTTCCAGGTAATGTTGTAGACACTGCCGTCGCATTCCAAATATCGTAAAACTTACTCGACGTGTCATACTAGTCCGTTGCATATATAGCGGCCACTTCACCAGAGCCAACATATCGCTTCTTGTGCCATCAATTTCTAGCTAGACTGATCGAACTCAGCACAGATGAGGCGAGCGTGTATCTTTTGATAGAGATCTTGAAAAGCTGCCCCTTTGAAGGATTGCGAGCAGCTGCCATTGGACTAACAAAGCAACAAATAGACAATAACCTAAGGAAAAAACAGCAAGATCCAAGGGTAATGAGTAATCTGGATGTGCCATAATTCAACACATTAATGACCCTCTATCAGTTTTCCAGCATATATACTAGTCCGCTGGTAGTCACCGAGTTTTTCCCAGTTATATTCAAATTCGATGGGGAGAGGATGATGGCCTCGGAGTCCTACTTTTGGGACATGTATTCAACGACCATGCAAGCCATCAACTTTTACTATTACCTTCTCATATCCGATGAAAAGAACAAATCCGTAAGTCTGATAGGGCCCAATACAAATGTCATTTGATCTTATTGAGCAGTTGCTGACGAACTTTTCACATTTAGATTGGTGTTAAGTCAAAGGATACTGTTGCTTTTGTGGAGAAAAACTTCTTACAGGGTATCAAAGAGGCTTTGAACCACTACTTGGATACTTACCATGAGAAGAAGAAGGAGTTTGAAGGTCATGTACATTCAGGGGATCACACCCACACTGCGGATTCGAAATCCAGTCCACCTATTTCGAGCTATGAACTTGGCGGTATTGATGAGGATAAATTGACTGCAACAGAAGAGTTAGAGGTGAGAAGACATTTGGATTGCTCGAGTGAGCTTTGAATATTTACTCATGTTGCTTTATTTACAGTTGATTAATTCACGAGTTATGAATTTGTCTATCATGCAAGATGTATTGGATAGAGTGCAAGCTTTGTTAGATAGCTAGGTTATAATAATATCGCATAAGCCCAGCTTGTTGCCGCATTTTTTCAAATTATGAATTGGCAATTGCTGGTCCGGTTTGGCTGCCTTTCGCGTCGGTGGAAATGATAGAATCAACGTCACCAACTGAATATTAACCATTCCAAAGGAATGTTAATAGATCGAGCCGAGTGAATGCAAATATACATTGGTTACCTGATCATCTTGGTGAACCTAGGGCAATGGTCATGGTTCCTAAGCAGACAGTGACATCGTATTCCTCGGACAGATGTTCGTGTATATCATCCTTTCCGTCAGCATTGGAGTTTTTAACGAGTTCAAGGTAAAACTGATGAAGATAGCGCTCGCAATGTTGCCAAGCAGCATTATCGACAAGAAATCGATCGGTTTCGAAATGTAGACGCGTGCTATTGTCGTCCGTAGTGGCATTATCTTCCGTTTGTAGAACAGCTGCATCGCTCTCGATAGGCTTCGTGACCTTTGGAATATCATAGTACTCTTTCGATTCGTAGTCTAATAGCGTGAGTCGATATTTAGCGGTTGGTTCTAGACAACAGCTTTCGGGGTATCGGTATGGTTCGTCTTCGAGCAATTGACCAGCAATTCCAAAACATTTCTGAGTACTGTTCGCGACATAATGTCCTCTAATCTGACTTGGTAATTCGCTTCCTTTCAACGCAAGAAAGGTGAGTTGAGCTCGGCCAGTCAAAGTGTCATTGGCTGACATAATCGTAAATGGAGATCAAGAATTTTGCCTGGTAAGTAAGCAACTGCTCTAACAAATTTGTTAACATGGTACTCCGACATTCGAACATTTATCATGATTTCGCACCAGGCATACCTAAGCAGGCGTGTTTTATAGGGAAGCGTCTTTCACAGCCAACTTATTCATATCTAAGAATATCTGGTAATCTATTGTAATATGGCAATCTAAGCATCTTAAGGCACTGATTGAATTGTAGGTCATAACACCTTCGCTGCCCAGTCTATACATCAAGCAGAGAGCAAAATCCAGTTTTCTCATCTCTCTGGAGGGTAACCTTACCCTCCACCAATTTCGCTACGATCTCTTCTACCTCTGAAAAGGTATCAAATCCAAGGAAAGGTACATTTTCTCTTTGGCACCAGGTTTCGAGATCGCGTCCATGGCGAGCGAACAAGATATCAGCGTGCTGTGCTGCAGATATATCTGAAACGCCATCACCACAGAAAACAAAAATTGTCTCTGGAGTCGCAGCTTCTCTCGCCTTCTTCAATGCTACAATTAGATGTTCAAATTAATGCCAACTGAAAGAGAAGCTCTTAATAAGGAGGAAAAATACATACTGAGAGACTTGTCGTGACCGAATGACCTGAAAGCCAAAAAAAAAAAAAGAACATTTAGCTAGATGCCTCCTAAATAATTGAAAATCTTCACACATATTAAGAATATCTTACGTATCATCACGCCACTGGATATTCCACTTGCGGCCATCAACACCTCCTCCATTGGAGATAATCTCAATTTCCTTAGCTCTGTCGCCGATGAAATTTTCCATAATCTGCTCAATAACAGTGTAGATACCACTATTGCAAGATGGTATAAACGCATATGAATAAAATGGTGTGATGATATTTCATATATTGTTATACGCATACCTGCTTACAATCTTCACAGGAACGCCAACGGATTTGCAATAATCATAGAAAGAGGAAAATCCAGGGTCCACTTTGACAGCTGAGAAATAAATTTGAGTACACAATCATTAGTGGTAGTAGAACAAACACAGCAATATACTATAGGAAATACATACCCTCGAGATGGTCCTTCCATGCCTCTTCCCACGTCAATGTGACAGCGGCCCACATCTCTTCTAGACCGTCTCTGTTAAACCAATACCGCCATGTAAGTCATCCTCATAAACAACAGTCAATGTTTGTATCATAGCTCAAAGTACCTGAATGAAACGTCCTTGTTCATAATAAGGTGATCCAGCTCACGTCTCCTCTTGAAGCCTAAACATCTGGGATCGTCAATGAGCAGACATCCGGTATCTGGAAAACGAAAAAGGTACATTAGAATGTTGGCATCGATTGCGTTCTTTAATGATCGTCTTTTTTTACCTTGCAAAGATATGGTACCGTCAAAATCGGAATACACTTGGATATCAAGACCTTTAGCCATGTTGTTGGATAGTGACAAAAGCCCACCTTTAAGTTTTGCGGGTGAACTACTAATAAGTCAGTTAGCAAAACTCCGCGATTTCCGGACATGAGCGTAAAATGCCATCATTCCTTTGTGGGTCAGTCTTGGTTTACAAGTGGATTTGAATATATAAGATAAGACTAATAAAGAGCCGCAACGCTTCATTCTTTTACATATATCTGTGATGCTATTCGGTAAACGCTGACAGTCCCTGACATTGTAATCAAAGTGGTAAAGTTGACGATTCCGATGTTTGTAGTCTCTTAAAAAAGCATATGTCTATTTCAACAAGATATACAAAAAATATATACAAAATTCATTTGAATGTGAAATAGATATTCATACAGTCGTTTGTCATTTAAGGTGGAAGAAGGGTTTGTCCTTTGAAATTTTTTGGGACATTTGCCCGAAAGTCATTTTCCAAAATCGGATTTCACGTGACCGTTTCAATCGCTGGCCCTGGGGCTCTTCATCTACCCGCTCAAGCAGCAATCAGTAGCTCCCTCTTTTTGCTGCAAACATGGTGCGTATAGTTCTCAGTTACATGAATTGTACTTTGATGTCCATCCATCAACACGGATGGATGAGGAGATAGACGGATGGATGGGGGAAATGGACAAAAGTCAATATTACTGGATACATTTCATCGAATTCAATTGCTAATGCTACTCATTTTTTTTGTGTCGACATGCAACAGTCGCTCGCTGTTCCCGACAAGAATCAGTTCCAGCACATTCTTCGTCTTCTCAACACCAATGTTGACGGAAAGAACAAGATCATGGTTGCTTTGACTTCCATCAAGGGTGTTGGCCGTCGTTATGCCAACATTGCTTGCAAGAAGGCCGATGTCGATCTTAACAAGAGAGCCGGCGAGTTGTCCAACGAAGAATTGGAGCGCATTGTCACCATCTTGCAGAATCCCAGCCAATACAAGATTCCCAACTGGTTCCTTAACAGACAAAAGGATATTGTTGATGGCAAGTACTCCCAAATCTTGTCCAACGGTCTTGACAGCAAGATGCGTGAGGATCTTGAGCGTTTGAAGAAGATCCGTAACCACCGTGGTCTCCGTCACTACTGGGGTCTCCGTGTCCGTGGTCAACACACTAAGACCACTGGTCGTCGTGGTAGAACCGTTGGTGTCTCCAAGAAGAAATAAGCGGTACGTACTTTAAAACCGAGGAGCGTAAATTATGGTGATTGCAACTTTTCATACTAACTATATTCTTTATTCCATAATATGATAGATCGCATTATACGCATTGTTTCTTTTGTTTCAATAAAACCGTTTTGAACTTGTCACATCCCATTGAATCTGTCATGCGGTGCTTTAATTTTTGTCGTCATTACGTCTTTCCCTACAAAAGTACTTTTTTGTACCTGTTTGCTTCAGCTCTTTTGCCAATTCACCCTTTACTTACATGGCTCCCCAAATTGGAGCTGTCGTAGTCGACCGAACTCTTCCATTTGTCTCCCTAGCATTACTGGGTTATACCTGGTATGTGTATGTCTTTCGAGTATGCAGTAAGTATAAAGTGACCCTCAGGAGAACTTTGGAAGTTAACTTTACCACTATCAACGGCTGTAACTAACAACATTGTGCAGTCAGTGCAATCTACAATGAGCTCGGTAAAAAAGCAGAAGCAGGTAAGCTACACCTGAAGACCGATTTTAGAGTGAGGGTTCTTGACGGCAGCCATTAACTTTATCATTATTATATCACTACACTAATCTTTTATATAGTTGTCTTCATCGTCATTGCTTGTATATTCTGGGTGTTTTCTTTGTGGAGTTATGCAGTAGTACTGGCAACGGGGCCAGGAACTCCTGAAAAGGTAGGTTTACGCAACCACTTGGCACATGTACGTCTTGCGATCAAACGTAGTTGATTGATCCCGTGGCTCGTTAGAATTATCCACAACCAGTCCAACCACCTCCGCTGGCTGAAGCAAATGCCAACTTGCCTCCACCAGCGACTTCTCCGCCATTCGCATATTCTCCAGAAGGATTCGATATGCAGACGATGCATCAGGTACCTGTCCTGTCGGACCCTCCTACCGACCCCTTTGTGTCTGTCACTCAGCACGATGGACGACCAAGGTTTTGTGAACATTGTCAACGCATCAAGCCAGATAGAGCTCATCACTGCCGTGAATGCGATTCTTGTACATTGAAGATGGACCAGTATGTCATATATCATTTTTCTTAAATTCCTCAGTCACACCATGATGTTAACGAACTGCCCTCCTTTTTAGTCATTGTCCATGGTAATACTAATACATATCTAACCTCACGGCAGCAGCATTTGCTAATTTCGTTTTCTTATCACGAATAGGGTCAGTGGCTGCGTAGGACATGGGAATTACAAGTTTTTCTTTCTGTTTGTTGTTTACACATCATTGTATGCTCTGTGGGTATTTGCTACGACTTTGCCGACGGTAATAGATGCGGTTGCCAAAAGGGTAAGGGTCTAATGATTACAGTAAATGAAATTTGTGTATGGAATTAACTGATATATCGCTTTTGCAGGGTTTCGATATAGATGTGCAATGGATTGTAACTATTGTATTGTAAGTGTTGGCTATATCATTTTAGGGCAACTATGTCAATTATTTTTAATGGAAGTATCAACACAGGGCATTTTTGTTCGGATTTCTATTATTTGCATTCTCGTGCGTTCATGGATATTATATTCTCACCAATACCACAACCATCGAATCCATATCGGATCGGCCGTATTATCTTCGAGTGGATTTCGACCGAACTGGCTACAGCTATCAAATAGTGGCCACTGACATAGGGGAAAAGCTGTGGGGCCTAGGATATTCGGCAAATTGGCGATCTGTCATGGGCAATAGTGTTGCTGGATGGTTTTGTAAGTGGCACCTTATTCCATAAAAGCTATGGATTCACTTAACTTAGCATTAGGAACTAATTATGATCATTTGATATAGTCCCTATCAGAAACGTTCTAGGCAACGGATTCACCTATCCTTTTAATTCTGAGGTATATGATAAAACCGTACGTCGCGCAAGGGATCAATCACGCATGTCCGGAATGCAACAAAATGACAGTACACTACCAAGCATGGATTCTCCTCCTCCAAAAGACACCACCCCCGCTCCTATGAGTCGGCGCTATAGCAGCGAAACAGATTCATTAGTTTAATCCTGACCACATACTTCATCGTTGGCTTCAGATCAATCCGTGTGTAAATACCTATCTTGCCACTTGACTCTTCTATTATTTCGCTGTCAATAATGCAATCTGAAAGTACCTATTCCAGGGGACGATGACCCATTAGAAGATATTTTTATTTTCTCCTCCATCTATATCTATTTTATACACTTTTTTTAATAGGTGATCAATAAATCCATCGCAATACATCGCCTTCGAGCTTGGTTTTGCGCTGTAAGACTTCTCTGACTTTTTCATGTACACCGAACTTTCCTTGTCGCTCACGGACGAACCAATTTATAATGTCATCGCCGGAAATGGGATGAGATAAAATGGCGTCTGCGGCGTCACCAGTGACGACTCTGCGGATATCTTCTTCAGTGGGCAGAGCATACTTGCGATAAGGATACTGCATGTAATCCTTTGGCGACAACAACGTAAGCTGGGTTTCACCAGGTGCTTCAAAGTATGTCTTCAGAATGCTATCGTTGGAAATTTCAGATAGGGTGGCGGGGTTCCACTTTGGCTTTGTCCTGTTAACCAACTTGGCGGTAACGCCTTCGTGGAATTCGCTACTGAACTGCAATGGTGAAATAGATGTGAGTTAAATTATATCAGGTCGTTTCAAATATTGCCTTGATGCTTACAACAATCTTTTCAGCGAGCTTGTATTCCATCTTAAAGCAGTCAGCAATGCTGCGCTTTGCACCTATTCGAAGTTGCTGAAGGGTAATCTTCAATGAGGTAGGTGATAATTCCAACATATCGGCCTTAGTCTTGGCAGCCCATTCGCTCTTTTCCTTATCCAAAGCTGCAAAGATTTCCTCGACCGTATTAAACTTGAAGCATCTGGATGATAGCAAAAAAAAAAAAGAAAAAATCTTTAGTAAATTTGAAACGGAAATAGTGGTCTTTCATTCTTGTATTTCGCATGACATACCGGTCAATGGCTTTGCGGGTTTCTCCACCCATAGTGAATTGCACTTCCGGGTCGTAATCGGCTGCGAATTCTTCAATAGCGGTGTTGATGATATCGTGATCGGAGGATTCGATTTCGGAAAGGCGTGTTTCCAAAGCCTCGAGACGAGATGATGGAACAAAGTGGGTTGCAATTCCAGCAAACCTAATAGCATGAGTCAGTACCATAATTCAGTCTATACAGTGTTCTCGCAGTTGAATATTGCCACTCACAAAACATCTTCCGCAGAGAGTTTGGCGCCTGTCAAACCCAAGTAAATTCCTAGTTGTCCATCCAAACGAGGCAAGAAGAAACTTCCACCAACATCAGGGAATAGGCCAATGGCGGTCTCGGGCATGGCGAATACGGTGTTCTCGGTAGCAATTCTGAAAGGTGCGTGGACTGAAATGCCAATACCTCCTCCCACTATTGAAGATATTAGGAAACGATTAGGAATAGAGTGGGTAGAAGTAAGAAGATCTAACTGCCACTGATATACGTACTGGTGATACCGTCCATAATGGAAACATATGGGGTGTCAAGGGCAGATACAAGATGGTTGAGTTGATATTCAGTGGCAAAGTATTCGTTCGTATTGGGGGCTTTTGCCTTAGCAGCTTCAACCACACCTAGAGAGAAATGTCGAAATATGAATAAAGAAGAAACAAACTCAGGAGGCAATATTTGACAAAAAGGCAATGATGATCTTACTTCGAACGTCACCGCCGGCACAAAGAGCTCTGCCGTTGCCCTTCAATGTGATGATGTTGGCAAGACCCGATCCGTTCCAGGAAAGAATCTTTGGTATGATAGTTTTGATCATGTTCAAGTTGAGGGCGTTGAGACGCTTAGGTCGGTTAAGAATCAACTGGCGAACACCAATGAGCTTTTTGGCGATGACTTCACCCTATTATAAGCGTCAATAACCTGTTCCGATCGAAATTCATATATTTTCCCGTGAGTTACCTGAGCTTCTTCAGTAGAGGCAGCTGTACCGTGGACTTGAGACATCTATAGAACAGACACAAATGTCAATATGTGGTAACCATAGTGAATCAAAACTCTGAGATTTTTCGACGGAAACGAGGAATCAAGTGCAAATGCAACACATACATATCTCAGCTGTGGAATGTTTCGACCATTTGCTGATACTCGTGATGCTTGGAGCAGGCCGCGAAATGCTTGTAGGCGATTCATTGTAGTTGAAATTGACAAAAGCTCTAGCGTTCAACACAAAAAATTTGGACTGGTTTTTTTTTTTGTTTTCAGGGACATCCCAGTTTCTCGACGGTTGAAACGCCGATATTGCAGAAAAGTATCTTTGTAGAAATATATACAACATTGGGAGTGCTAAATAATATAAACTTATGGAAATGATTTATACAAAGGAATGTTTTTACGTTGAGTTTTGCCAAACTGCATTTGAAATTTGATGCCGCGTGGTTTGCCAAGTTCTCTTGTTGGCTACAATGAAGTGTCAGATTGTGCTTGTCAAAAGCTACAACATTCATAATACTTACAACAACAGAAACTTTCAGATCGCGAGTAACCCAGTACCAGTTCTCAGAGTCGATCACTGGACCAGGTGATGCGTTAGCGTTCGATTGTACAGACCTTGATTCTTGGATAGCTTCTTTCCCTTTATGACGGTTGAGGCTATTGCTCGAATTTTGCCTCGTCAGCATTGCGTTTGGCGATTCCGTAAAATGAATAAAATCAATACCACAACCACGCATTTTCCTATTGTCAATCTCTTTTTGCCAAGATGTTCTATAGGTAATTTGGTTTCTGATTTTATCTTTGTAATTCTGATACGTGGTGAAGGCGACAGTTGAGCTCTCATACATAGTTTGGATCACCTTTGCAATCACTCTTGCCGCAGTTGATTTGCGTTTCTTTTTTGGCGTTTCGTCCATTTGGGAGTCCTCATCTGCCGATCGTTTCCGGCTCTTCGCTACAAAACGGTTGTCATGAGAAATACTACTCTGCCTCAACGAGGCTAGTCGGTCAACCAAGCCAACGTCAGGCTGGCTATCTCCCTGTCTGCCATTCGGAGATTGCGAGGATTCATAAGTCGGCAGGTCAGCAGAAGAGGGATTTGAGGTATTTCCGAAAAGAATTTCAGAGTCGCTCAAGCTCTTCTGCTGCCAATTCTGATCTGCCATTGAGGGGAGACAAGAAAACCAAGACTTTCGCTAAGGCTGCGGCTATGGCCACGAGGTCTAGCACCTGATGGGTTAGGGTTGACATGCTTTTAAGTGATAAAGATGCTGCCCTTTAAAGCTGTCCAGCTGCCAGCTGACTTTTCTTTCTCATTTACATGACGCGTTGAGGGCTTTCCATGCAACTGTATAGATTGAAAATTCAGCTCTTTCGCTCGAATCCACCTGTAAATCTGCCAACTGATTTGTTTTCAGCTCTTCCACCGAACCTTGGCCCCGACCACATTGCTTCAAACCAATCCAAACCACAACCAAACAGACGACTATCGCAAACAAAGAGCCGAAGCCAGAAACAAGCAACAAAGTTAGAAAGTCACCCAGAGATCCCTCCCACTCCCTTACCATCCAAGAAGGAAGACGCAACCCGAAGTTTAAGAGACAGGGACCAAAACGCAAACGTCCTCCAACCTTACCATAAGAAGAGGTCTGACTTTCGACTTGGCCAAATTAAAGTAGAGTGGTTTGATAATCAAGAATCAGATATGTCTCGTAATCAAAGAGGATACGCTTCTGTCGTCCGCGGAGAAGAATCTGCATCTTCTTCGACCTCCGCGGCAGACACTCAGACCCAACCACCCATGGGTACCATAACCACCGTCAAGGGCCTTTCCGATTTCAACTACGGCATTATACATTTGTACAAGGATAATAGTGGTGTTTTGATGTCGAAAGTCAGTGATGATAATGCTGGTGCACTGGAATCTACCTCGTCAAAACCTAATGTAAAAAACACCACAGAAGTGAATACCCACGATGGAACCGTGGTATGTGTCTTAGCTGTTCCAAGCTACATGTCTGCCACAGATTTCCTCAAGTTTACAGCACCAGTCAACCAATGTGTCAGCCATTATCGTATAATAAGGTATGTATTCCGTAGGCTGGTCGCACCTCTTCAATCGTAAAGACGCCTTATACTCATCTCGCCTGTTTGACAAATCAGAGACACAGCACCAAATAAGTACATGGTGGTCATGAAATTCCGGGATTCACCATCAAGCCGAGATTTTTACCGAAGGTATAATGGAAAACCTTTTAGCTCCATGGAGGTTAGTGATAAGCTCAAACTTTCTGTGACAAACGGCGGGTAACGAAGTTTATCTAATGCGTTGCGTGTATTTTAGCCGGAAATATGTCATGTTGTACATATCAGATCCGTAGAGATTGACACATCCATGGTGGCACCATACTCGTTCCCCTTTTTGTACGAAACTTTGAAAGCTGATCGAGAAACGATACTTCAGGAAGAAGAAGACGGTGAACTAAGCAGTGGAGCAGCTGATGAGCTCCCAACGTGCCCTGTATGCCTTGAGAGAATGGATGCGAATATTACTGGATTACTGACAATCCTTTGTCAACATACCTTCCATTGTTACTGTCTCAGCAAATGGGGTGACGGAAGGTGCGTAGAAAACAGTCATATATCATATGCACCATGATACGATGGTGGACTAAATTCAGTTGTTCTATTGCAAACCCTTGTATAGCTGCCCCGTCTGTCGATATTCACAGAAACCAATTGGAGTCGATAAAAATGCCTCGCGACAACTCATGGCGGCAGAAACTGTGGCCAATGCGTCCAACGGTGTTAATTCGGACGAGGTGAACGAGTGCTTCGTATGTGGCGCGACCGAAAGCTTGTGGATATGTCTGATATGTGGACATATTGGGTGTGGACGCTATAATGACGCCCATGCTTACCACCATTACATGGAAACCAATCACTTGTATGCTTTGGAACTTGAAACGCAACGTGTTTGGGATTATGCTGGAGATGGTTACGTCCATCGCTTAATACAAAACACCATTGATGGAAAGCTTGTGGAGCTGCCTGGTGCCAACAATGACGATAATCAACGAGTTCCGCAGGTACCAGTTTGTGGGAATTGACTTGACACTGAGTTCTATGCGGTGAAAAGGCTAAATATTGCACTCTATAGGAAAAACTGGATGCCGTCTCTCTGGAGTACACATACCTTCTTACATCACAACTAGAATCACAGCGCATGTACTATGAAGATCATTTAACGACACTTACTTACCAGCTATCCACTTTATCTTCTCAAGTCAAGTCTCTAGTAGGCGAGATACAAAATGTAAAGGCAGAAAATGATAGTTTGAATAGTTACCGAAGGGAGACAGACAAGAAACTCAAGGAAATGGAAAAGGAGAAGGAAAAGGCCGAAAGGAAAATAGATGTGTTCAAGAAAAGTTGCGAAATGATTCGAAAAGAATGGCAAGAGGAAAAGGAGGTTTGTACATAGACTACGTCAACTGGATTGAATTTATGCAATAGCTTTTATTCACACCTCTTTGTCTCATAGATGACGAACTCTCTCGCCAAAAACAATGAGCACCTCAAGGTTGAAATTAAATTGAAGGACAAAGCGATTGTTGATCTATCGGATCAAGTGAGAGACCTAATGTTCTTTTTGGAAAGCCGCGAAAAGATTAGCGATAATCCTGAAATGGAGGGCGGCACTGTAGAAGTTGCACCGGCTGCAAAGGGTAAAAAGACAAAGCGTGGCAAGCGATGATCAAGCTATTTAGTAGACTTGAAAGAACAACAATAATCTGTAAAACGTTGTATGTACAATAAATAAGGGCAGAAAGAGAAGAAGGGTATCTAGAAATGATTATTGCTTTTACTGAAAAGCTTAGAAGGTGCTGGGTTTGCTACTTTGACATGTTGTATCATGTAATATGCTATCGTTCTAGCCACGTCGGCTACCGTTTTCCTCTCCTGTTCATCAAGAAGATATTGAGATCGCTTTTCTTGACGAATCATATCAAACGTTATTTCGTTGGTCTCCATGATAAGCTGTATGTGCATGGCGTAGTTGAAAGTCGGCGGCGGATAGAACAAAAATAGGTGATAGCAACCGTCGATCAGAACATCGCCAGAAGTAGGGTAAAATGCGTGAAGGAAGTCCAATAGCAGAGCCCAATCACTACTTCGTTGGAAGAACTTGGCAAAGTTGCTGTCCACGGCTAACAAATCGATTTTATCAAATAGGTTCACAAGGCTGACAGTCTCTTCCAGGGATGTATCATGCTGGTCAGTAACGTTCGAATCAGAGGCTCGAGCGTTTTGAATTCCTCTCGAACTATTGAGTGCACCGGTGAGCATTCTGTTCCAGTTATAGTCTTGTCCAGTGAATGTAATTGCCTGTATAAAGGTTATAAGTAAGAAGCACTTGTAATTGAACGAACAAGGCATTCAACTTACCTGACTGATCAAAGAATCAATCTTCTTTTTCGCACTTTGCACGACGTCCAAAAATGTATGAGTCTCAGGAGCCATGACTTCATTCATTGCTGTCACCGTAGTGCTCTCAGGCGAGCTTTTCAGTAGTTTAGACCAAGATGTAGCTGTGGGCAAGTTGTCTCGAGATTCAGAAGTTTTGCTGTAGCTAGCAATCACATAATATTGTAAGATAACTTGATCAGACGAAGTGTCACCGCTTGTGGCGGCCAGTCTCGTCGATGAAGCCGGAGTCATTCCATCAAAGGATGGCGTCATAAAGAAAGATTCTGGTGCAGGACATAACAAAAGTGTATACCGGAAGTTTGGTTTGAGTCCCTTTTCTTTTGAAGTGGGACTATCAAAAGTGACTGAATCGCTTTGAAGGAAACAGGCGGAAACTTTGGAACCTAGCAGAAGCGCTTGCAGTCCATATCGATCTGCATTGCGGCTAATAGTATTGAAGAGGTTATCAAGGACGGAGCTATCGCCATCACACTCGTACAAGCCTGTAAAAATTCGGTTGCGAGAGTAAGCAGCACCACGGGTATGGAGAGATGCAAAGTGGCGAATAACATGAACCAGGTTCAGCGTTTGCGGTACCGACCCAGCTTTGTCAAGAGCTCGAGTTATGTATCGTAAATGGAAATCATAAACAAATGAGTTGACATGAATCAATTGCTTGAAAGTATCGCATTCCTCTGTAAACGTTCGGAAACTGAATCTGCGAGTTTCGTCTTTCTCATATCCCCAAGGAGTATATGTCATTCTTCCGTATCGACGGTGAAGTGTATAAAGAGTCACAGAGACAAACATGTCGGTAATTCGTACTTGGCACATAATGGTACCGCCTTCAAAGACTTTTAGTAGATACACCACAGGGCACTCTACGGTTAACTCATCTGTCATCTTGAACTTTGACATATAAGCTTCCTTCTCAGTGGCTTCTTGATCTTGTCCGGGACCAAACACAATGATTTGCATTCCAATTCCCTCCAGGTACGCTGCGTATTCTCGCATAAAAGTATTGACAAGATTATTGTACCATTGAACAGTCGAGTCGACACTTGATGACGATAGTTTAGGATCCGTGAAGATTCGGCTTTCAGCCTTTTGCTCGAGTACGCCAACCTCAGAAAACAACAAAGGCGTGCGACAAAAATGCAATAAGCGAGACGAACGCAAGATGGTGTTGAGCTCTTTGAAAGGCATCCGCTCTCCTTGATTGTGATCTCTACTGTAACGTGGATCTTGATATCTTTTTGCCCATTTTGTGTAAATACTAAACGCCTTTTCATGAGCTGTTTGCAAACTTGAACGACGAATGTAGCTACTGAGGAAAGGTGATCCATGCCGTATCAATAAATCAGGATGTTGCGCATAAGTCTGCTCTGTTGAGGGATCGGTTGTGGAATCTTTGAGCACATCGTTGACGGCAGCAGTTCGTGCCGCAGTGTAAATGAGCTCTTCCGTCTTTTTCTTGCCTCTATCGTCCTGAACATGTACTGCACTAACAGTTCTATTGTCACTGATCAAAGGTGGTCTGTTTGCGCCAATAGGTGCCTTGGATTTGACAGGTTGCATAACCAATTGTTGAAGACTGTTGAAATTGGCAACAGGAGCTGGCGGCGAAGACATGACGTTAACAGCGGTAGAAGACATTGACGAGATGCCTGCTCGAACTGACATATCTGTCAAAGGATTTCTCTGTGAACTGGTTGAGCTAACAGGTGCTGGTGAAAGCATGCCTTTGTAAGGAGGCTGAAGAAGGGTATTGAGCCCTGTTCGACCAGTGTTGGAGTGTGACGGAGGCGTAGATTGCAGTACAGACTTGTAATTTCCGATTGTTGTGAGCTCCTGAACAACTTCCGGAATAGACTTTGCGTGATGGAATAAACCCATCTTTTGATGGACAATGTTATTGAGAACAATCGAACGGTGCTCTTGTCTGTATACTGTTCGATATACACGATTGAAAATCTTGTCAACGTAAGCATCAGTCCAATTGTAAGTATAAGCGGCGAACTGACGCGAGTCGATAGACATCATGAAGAAATGATGTCGCCAAAATGGATCATTGGCCGAACTCTTGTAGCGCATAATCTGATCCGAAATAGACTTAGAACTCGCTCCAGTGATTGTTGGCTCAGACGCTGATTTCTGTTGCCGCTTTGGACCCAAAGGAGAGTTCTTCTTTTTGCCCTTTTCACTTGGCGCTTTGAAGTAATCGACAGTATAAGTGACTTGGTTGTTATTGCTAAAATACCTATCTTGCTGTGCATTGGATCCACCATCACACAGTGCATCAAAGTATTGTTGGAAGTCCCTGTGGCCACTAATGATGATATAATAACTGTTCTGAGTCACTTCAGAGGAGGCCTGAACGCCATCCAAATCATCCGGCTGTAACACATCGAATAATGGGACATCACCAGAGTCGTCGTCATAATATGCCTTTGCAATGATGGGTTTGCATGTCTTATCCACGTCAACCAAATCGGCATAGATTTGGGAAATGACATCGCGCATTCCCCAAGGTGGTACTGAAACCGTCTTCTGTAACTCAGAAACTGCCTGCGTATTCCATTCACCTGCCTTTCGTAATATCATAAACAGTGGGTTGAGGACTTGCGTGTACAGCGCGGAACTTCGAGTAATAGATGGATCAACACCAGTACTATTTTCCAGCTGCATATTGTATTTTAGGTTTTCAGCATCCGTTGCCATTATCATCTCAATAAGGTATTCGCAAATACTTTGCTGGTAGCATTGGCAAAGATGTTTCATCAAGAGTTGTGGGTCGACTTGTCCTACATGCCAGATCTCAATCAAGAGTTGATAAGTATCAAGTTGATTTTCTCCATCCATGACTTCGCCGTCTAGGCACTCCTCAATCAAGCGGGGATCAAGATTAGCGCTTGACACGGTTGAATCAATGTTGAATGGTAACTCTACACATGGGTAGCCGGTGTTGTGAAGTAGTGTAAAGCATATGCCAGCAATGCCTTGTCCAACTTTCATTTCGAGATTCGATGCGGTAGCACCAGATCGATTTAAGCAATTGTAGTAGTAACAGTTGTCACTTGAAGAAATTTGTCGGTTTCCACTGCTGCAATGTTATAACAAATTTACGGCTTTAGTCAACAGGTTCTAGGCATATCCCTTAAAAGCATTAAAATCCTCACCTGCTATCATAATCAATATAATCGAAACCAAACATAGATCTAAGATGTTTTTTCGCAGCATTCACAACTTCTGGGCCGCTGAGACTACGCAGTGAGCTAGCGAGGACATTCTGGTGCATGAATTGCATAAAGCCGTAAGGGTCTTTGATCATTGCGGGCAGTCGAAGAATCTGTTTGCTGGTTGGAGTCTTCTCCATAGGCAGAATGAAATCAATATCAGCAGGAGAAAGCCTAGAATTGGGGTTTCTGGTCAAGAACTGTTGCACTTCTTTAAGGGTGATCTGTGATTGTAGTCTATTGTCCAGCATATCGACCAGCTGTTCTTCAATCCAACTGGAGGAATCTATACCATGCACAGCCAAGACAAGCTCTCTAGACTCCATGGTTCTTTGGGACGTCTTCCTGTAGCCTGGGGACAGATTACCACCAAGCTTTGGACTATGTTGAGGTGACTGGGCACCACTGCCAGAAGATTCTCTAGGTGACGAGCTGAGAGAATGCTGCTGAGAGGTAGCTTGAAGCTTGTAGTGAGGAGACGATTTCGGTGAAGCCAAAGAATCAGCTTGCAAACCACCAGGTGGGCCGAATGGTGAACTTGTCTTGCGAGTGTTTTCATCAGCGGACAATTCGGCCTCAGGAACAGAGACAGTGACGACAACCTCTGATAGTTTGCAATAGACGATACCATCCGTCCCAGGTATAACAAACATATTGGATCTATTCTTGACAGCGAACTTTCCAAGAACGTCGTGTGCAATTACATTGAGGGCTGAATTGTTTTGAAGACGCCAATGTAATGGAAATTGCTTGAAGAAGATCATAGGGCACTCAAATTGGCCAGGTTTAAATTTCTTTCCAGACATATCGCCGACTTCGCTGGTAGATAGCATTCCCACAAGATTTTCTCTATGACCATCAGCATTATAGCCATTATCCTCTTCATCAGCCATCTCGTCAGAGGAATACTGAAATTTGGTTTCATCTTCATCTGGTGCGACCAAGAATTTGCTGCAATACAAACATGATTTTAGTGGCAAGCTAACAAGCCTTGATAGTGGTTTGGCAATACTCTACCTGCAAAGTTTGTTCTCTGCCATATCTTCCAAAAGAACCAACCGGTTTGTTCGTTCTAGAACTTCAGAAATTTTGACTT